CCTGGGTAAAGAATTTTAAAATAAAAAAAATAAATTTTTAAAATAGATAAAATAAATGTCTTGAAACTTTTTAGACAAGGATATCTTGAGAGAAAATCCCATCAACATGAACAACTGGTAAGCTAAAGCCAGCACAGGAAGGAGAGGATAGGGTAGAAAAGCCCGCCTTACTTCCCCAAGCCATGCTCCCTATTACCAGAAGAGTGTAATAAAGCTGTTATACACGCTTTACTAGATAGATTTAGAGAGGCAAAGATACCAAGAAAGTAATTATATGAAAAAGTACAAAAAAATAAAACAATCATCAGTGTTCTTGCTACTTTATGTATCAGAAGAATTAGGAAAGTGTGATGACTGATGGGAAGTTAATAGGAGTTATGCTCATTGACTGCAGCAAGGATTTTTCTAAAACAGTCAAAAAGAATTTATTACAAAAGAAAAAGCAATCGAAATCACATGACAACTTTATGGTCTCCGCGATTACATTAAATGGCACAAGAATGTTTCCATGTACATGAATGATATATCAATACAACATCATGGCATTTGTTATAAAACAAACAACAGAGGTGCTGTTAATAAAGCACAAGGTTTAGCAAACGAAATATTGCAATGGTTACAAAGGAAGGCAACAAAAGCCAAGAAGACAGGCACCACGATCATTCAAAAGAATACATTTCTTGGGCCCTTAAAGCCCATTAAAACTGCCCATGATACATTTGCCAATAAAACGGAAAGCAGGCTGCTGGGGATGTACATCAAAAATAAGTTTAAATAAAGGTACAAATACATAATCATTCCTTTCACCCAGTCTTTCACCCAGCCTTTCACCCAGTCAGTCTTAGGAAGAAATTTACAGTTTATATTACCGTGTTAGGAAATATTATATTCCTGCCGAGCGAAACAGTTAGAAAGATTTAAAAAATTATGATTTTTCCAAAAGTAACTAACGGACTGCTTGTGTGAGGAACGTGCTCAAAGAACTTATTACAGAAGATCGAATGCAAGCATAGAAAGGTCTCAAGGATTGTTCAATGGTGAAAGGTATCGATGTCTTCTAAAGAGTAGACTGGGATAACATCAAGCATATAGACAAAAGGAAGAACGAATGCAAGCATAGAAAAGTGACAAGGATTGTTCAATGGTGAAAGGTATCGATGTCTTCTAAAGAGTAGACTGGGATAACATCAAGCATATATACAAAAGGAAGATCGAATGCAAGCATAGAAAAGTGACAAGGATTGTTCCATGGTGAAAGGTATCGATGTCTTCTAAAGAGTAGACTGGGATAACATCAAGCATATATACAAAAGGAAGATCGAATGCAAGCATAGAAAAGTGACAAGGACTGTTCAATGGTGAAAAGCATCGATGTCTTCTAAAGAGTAAACTGGGATAACATCAAGCATATATACAAAAGGAAGATCGAATGCAAGCATAGAAAAGTGACAAGGACTGTTCAATGGTGAAAAGCATCGATGTCTTCTAAACAGTAAACTGGGATAACATCAAGCATATATACAAAAGGAAGATCGAATGCAAGCATAGAAAAGTGACAAGGATTGTTCAATGGTGAAAGGTATCGATGTCTTCTAAAGAGTAGACTGGGATAACATCAAGCATATATACAAAAGGAAGATCGAATGCAAGCATAGAAAAGTGACAAGGATTGTTCCATGGTGAAAGGTATCGATGTCTTCTAAAGAGTAGACTGGGATAACATCAAGCATATATACAAAAGGAAGATCAAATGCATACATAGAAAAGTGACAAGGATTGTTCAATGGTGAAAGGTATCGATGTGTTCTAAAGAGTAGACTGGGATAACATCGAGCATATATACAAAAGGAAGATCAAATGCATACATAGAAAAGTGACAAGGATTGTTCAATGGTGAAAGGTATCGATGTGTTCTAAAGAGTAAACTGGGATAACATCAAGCATATTACAAAAGGAAGATCAAATGCATACATAGAAAAGTGACAAGGATTGTTCAATGGTGAAAGGTATCGATGTGTTCTAAAGAGTAAACTGGGATAACATCAAGCATATATACAAAAGGAAGATCAAATGCATACATAGAAAAGTGACAAGGATTGTTCAATGGTGAAAGGTATCGATGTGTTCTAAAGAGTAAACTGGGATAACATCAAGCATATATACAAAAGGAAGATCAAATGCATACATAGAAAAGTGACAAGGATTGTTCAATGGTGAAAGGTATCGATGTGTTCTAAAGAGTAAACTGGGATAACATCAAGCATATATACAAAAAGAAGATCAAATGCAAGCATAGAAAAGTGACAAGGATTGTTCAATGGTGAAAAGCATCGATGTCTTCTAAAGAGTAGACTGGGATAACATCAAGCATATATACAAAAGGAAGATCGAATGCAAGCATAGAAAAGTGACAAGGATTGTTCCATGGTGAAAGGGATCGATGTCTTCTAAAGAGTAGACTGGGATAACATCGAGCATATATACAAAAGGGAGATCGAATGCAAGCATAGAAAAGTGACAAGGATAGTTCAATGGTGAAAAATATCGACGTCTTCTAAAGAGTAGACTGGGATAACATCGAGCATATATACAAAAGGAAGATTACACTTGAAAATTATAAGATCATAGATGAATCAGGGATATATCCCATCCAATGTAATCCACCGAAAGGGTAAAAGATAGAGATAAAAAGATTAAAATCAGAAGAGGAGCAAAGCATATCAGAATGCAGAGGATCAACAACGTGAAACAAGTGAAATATAGACTCAATGAGTAAAATTAGTAAAACTTTAAACAACCACTAACCAAGAATCGCACAATGATAGAAAAATAACTCGCTTAGCAACATAAACAATGTAAAAATGAATATATATCTCTAGACTTCTTTGAATTTCTAACTCTTAATTGTGTAAAATTCTAGATTAGATAATAATGCTAGGATTTGAAGAAAGTTATGAAGAAAACAGGACAACAACAGAATTACTTCGAAGTGATGGTGCCATGGTAGGGGGAAATAAAGCGACTAATACATGTAACTTATACTGAAACTAAAAGCAGAATAACACACAAAGTTAGATATAGGGCCATCAGAGATAAAAAGCCTGAGCATGATATGAATTGCAAACGAATAAAAAAGATATAAAGACTGAAGAAACGATCTACAGTAGACTTTTCATGGCTGTCTCTTTAGGTCATTCAAAGATCAGTTTTGAAAAGATGCTTATCAGAAGCCACCACTTTCTTTCACTGACAGCTCGATATGTTGTGAAAAGAGTCGCACAATAAAAGATTAGTTTAATGAAGCAGTTGTGATTTTCTTAAAATAATTATAATGATAAGAGCCACACGACTGATGTTTGATACAGAGAGAAATGCAACGATTAATACCTTTAAGAAGGTGAATAAATAAATTGAATTAGCCCAAAACCATCAAGATTATCTACTGGCTCAAAAAAAGCAGAAAAGATTTTGCAAAGGGTTTAAAATATTTTAGAAATGAAATTGAATGACAAGAATGGTCTTGGTATCCAAAAGAGTCATGTTATCATTTGCCACTGTAAAAAAGGAAAATCATTCACATGAGCAAAGATTTTTCCATCTTGCCAAAATTTCTTACAGTACTGCAAACTTAAATCTATATTAAATATCACATATTAAATATTTGTTTAATGAAGATTGGAATAAAGTTGACACTAGTATTAAACTGACAGCAAACTTTAACATTATCAAACAAAGGTTTTGAACAGTATGAGCATATATTTTTAGACCTTTTTGTTATAAAAATTATTCATTTTACTATTTTGATTAAATGTAAATAAATATCTTAGATAATTTTTATACAGTTCATTAGATAGAGGACCCTTATGAAAACCACTCTCAAGTGGTTGAGGCTTCCTCTTTAAGTATGTTTATTATCACTATTATTATTATCTGATGAACTTAGGGGTATTCTAAATCTAGAGAGAATTGAAACATGTGCAGTAGAGGCGGACACTTAGTAAAATATTGGGGGAGGGGGCAAGCCTATTGTTCTAATGAGATGACATCACATTTCCCATTGTTTTAAAACAAAATACCATTGTCCTCTAAAGTATTGGGGGGCCCAGGTGTCCACCACTGGTGTGCAGAATGGAAGACGTGCAGATGCTGGTCTGGTCATATTGAGAAAAAAGATGAGAGGGCTTGGTAAAGTGAATGCAGAGCAATGGTGGAGTTAAGCCAAAGACTGAGGCTGAAGTGATAAGAAATGATTTTAGAGAAAAAAGGGTCAGTAAAGACCTAGCAAAAACTGCCAGCTTGGAAGTCACTATAATCTTGTCCAATGGAAACAATAATGTAAAACCAACATTAAACTAAGATGATGATGATGTGATGTGATGGTGATTATGGTGATAAGTTCTGCTTGAGCATCTTTTTTCATACTAACTATCAAGAAATGATTATCATTATCATAAAGCTTAATCATGGAAAAAACCAACTAAGCTTTTGAGTAGGCACTCCAACATATTGCTCCTATAGCATTTTTCTCCTTGCTTTGTTGCATTGTTCCCGCAAATATTATGTAGCAAAGTGCTCCTTTTTTTCTCACTCATTACCTCATATTATAATACCATAGCACAGACATCCTTAGTTTCACTGGCAATACAACATATCAGCTGATCCCTACCGTTTAATTTCTCTTCCCAATGCAGTTCATTTCATACATCCTATTAGCTCACCACTCTGATTATTTGTTTTCCCCAATACAATTCAATTTAAGAAAATTGTGTTGGTTGATAACTTTAGGTAAAACAACACAGTTGATAAAACTGATGAAAATGTCACAGATTATTAAATGAAAACAAAATAAAAAAGAATCACACAATTCAAGATAGTTGGCCTGTTTCAAATATTCATTCTGGCATTCAATGTTTAAGTTAAAGATGCTGACATTTCAAATGTCAGCTGTCATGGGAGCTGAAAACTTTAATTGGGCAATAGGAGTGTAAAATGGAACATACCTGAAATGATTTTGTCAGAAATGAGCATGAATAATCACTTCGAACACCAATAATTGCATTTCCATCACTAAAACATTTACAATCAATCTCCTGGATGGCTTCATCAAGAGAAATGTTTTGCATTGCAGTACCATCATACTCAGGAAATGCACCATCCCCATTGTCAAAGCAAGAGATAGGATTTATACATAGTGTATCCATTGTACCTTGAAAGAAAAGAAATGAAACTGAAACCACAAGCGTAAAGGTTAAATTTTGAATGGGCCATTGCCATCTTAATCATACCTATATATCTAAAGAAGATTGAAATGAATAAGAACAATTTTAGTAAGAAGTGTCACTCTGAAATCATTTCATATCCATTTCAAAGAAAGAGTGGAATTGCCCATTGAAAGGTCCACGCAAAATCTCTTTTGCATTCTGCCCTTGTTACAATTACAATTGTTACAGTTACAATTAATGTGACCAAGAACTAATTCCAGGTGGGTTACACTTTATTTCTGCAGAACGTGACACATGTAAGAAGAGAACTTAAGAGACACAGATAGCTCCTGGGCATGAGCATTTGTCATTAAAAGAGCCTCTAAGCACTTGGCACTTACCAAAATAGCCTGGCTTTAAACTTAAGTATTTATACTAATAAGGAAGCAGTTGAACTCTCATAGGTTTTTGGCATACAAACCTTTTGGGTATATGAGCAAATCTTCACAATTTGACAAACAATTTCCAAGATGTTCATTCTCAGTTATCAAATCATATTTACTAACCAATTCTTCATCAAGTAAGTCTAGAAGCAGACCTCTTGGAATTTCAAAAATTGTTTCTAGGGTCTCATCTAATCTTTTAACAAAATGTCGGTTCTCAAGTGCATGGGTATCATTTCGCGTAAATCTGGTCATTGTCCGTGTTTTCCTCGTGTTACTTTGCCGGTAGAACTCTCTGAAGTTTTCTGGAGGTACTTGCCTTCGGTTTAAAATCATAATTGTATCATAAGCGTATTTTAAAGGGTGAAACTGTCTATGAAGAATATCCATGTCAAATCCTTTGAGCTCATCTAACGTGGTGCCAATTAGAAGTTCAGGATGGTCTTTGAACAACATGTTCAATTGTCCAAGATTGGTAGTCTGTAAATTGCTCGCAGTTCTTTCTGCACAAGTATCGTGAGGGCAGGCCCAGACATCCCGAACATCTTCAATAATTTGTGAAACTTCAATTTCGTTCGGTGGCATTAATGGAAAGCATGTGTTCTGGGCTAGGTATCTTTTACATCTACCGCCAGAGGTTTTCCTTGAGGTCACTTGGATACCACTGTCGATGCTGAAATCAATGTCAATTCCATCGTTCGTACCAAAATCAACTACAGATTGCCCTTTCCACGTTGCATTTATCTTTGTGAAAAGAGGAAATGGAAAACTGATAGAATCTCTTTGCTGCATGACTCAAATAATATCGTGAATCGGCATGAGATTTGAATTGATTCCTTGCTTGTTTATAGGACGCCATATTACTCCCGAAAAGAGATTGCTCTATAACGAGGCAGATACAACATTCTAGACTCATCGCACGTTCTCTTGGATACGGGGTATAAAGAGAAGGGGACACTTCACAAAGTCGTGAAAATTATGGCAGTGAGTTAAATTCTTAATGCAATAATATTACCACATTTTGATTGAGTTATTTATTTAATTTACCCAAAAGCTAGTAGTGTTTTTCTGGTAACTGCGACGGCCATTTACTGGTGATCGCTCTCTCAACTCAATAGGCCTACCTATATTAGCCACAGCGAATGATGGGAAGAATGATACTTTGTGGCCCTGTATCTTATAAGGAAATAACTGGTTTACCCCTTTAGAAAGGAACAAGTGTTTATGTTGTAATTATAAAACCGTCTTTCAAGCCCGTTATTTTGGCAAAAATGGATATATTGTGATAGAGTCAGTTGAATGATGATGACTAGACTGCAGAGTAGGGCAAGTGCACACCAGAGATTTTTTGCTAAAATGCCCCTGCACACCTAGTAAAGGGTGTGGATTTTTTAGATCTAGGCATGACAGGTGTTTCCTATTGCTTAAGGCAAATGAAGTATCATATTTCCTCAAGAACCTGCATCAGGCATCATATTGGTTTTCCCAATGCTCAATTACCAGACTGGAATTGTGTGTGAACTTGTTCTTGCAAGAAACAAAGTTTCCTGTCTGGCTTAATCATAGTTACGGGAGACCCCAAATTACTTGATCAAAATGATGATTTTTCTCATTGTTGAGACATTTTGTTATATAGAGAACTATACCATCCGGTGTGCAGAAAAAGGTTGCTTTAAGTTATAAATTAAAGCCATCCTATCCTACACCCAAAAGTCTGTGCAGCTCTGCCTTAAAGGCATCAACCGCTCTGCAAAAGACACAACAAAAAACAGTTACCTTCACTACCTAAAGTTATATTACGATTACATTGCCTTTAAACTTTGAATCCAGAGGAAGCATAGAAAAAATAGTAAGGTCAGCAAAGAGAAGTCAACCATGAGTGTACCTGGCTTGGTTTTTACGTCAAAATTGCTGATTGCCAACCTGGATTAAAAGGGGTTGCCTTCTGTCATTGCATGTTATATTACATTGACAATTACTAAACCATTATGGTTATATCATTTACATTTTACCTCTAGACCTTACCATTAAACCCAAAGCCATTTCTAAATGGACTAACTGGAAAACCAGTCATGGTGAAACTGAAATGGGGTATGGAATACAAAGGGTATCTGGTGTCAGTGGATGGGTACATGAACTTGCAGGTAATTTGCTACAGAGCATTTATACATGATTAAAACCTAAACCTTGTATTTTTATTATGATAATAGATGTATGAATTACAGCTGCTACATTATTTATTCTTTAAAAAGAATAAGAACATTTCTAGGACCTTGTGAAGTATAAAAATGGTGGCTTAATTGCGCTAAGATGTTTTAATACAATTTTATATATTTTTTCTAATATTTCTATTTTCAACCACTTATTTTTCAGCTTGCTAATACTGAAGAGTTCATTGATGGTAGCTGCACTGGAAATCTTGGTGAAGTGCTTATTAGGTAAAAATATTATCCATTTATAAAATATGTATTTAAAATGCAAATAAAAGTACTCTGTATGTCACAAAAAATTTGACAGCTAAGTCAAGTTCTGAATGACAAATAAGGTTTTCCATCTAACAGCTACAATAAGGAAGTCAAAGCTATCTAATTATTTTGGCCGTGCTTCTTCCCTGACAGTCTTTGTTACATGAGTTGTGATTTCTAAAGCAACAAGAAGGCAGTTCTATCAGTTTTCAAGGGTTTGAAGTATTACTATATAAAATTTATCAACAGCATCAAAAAGTAGTTGCATATTCTATGATTGCAACATTATCATGAAAATTAGCACAATTAAACAGGAACGCATATGTCTCTCAATATGATGATCAAGGTTTTTTCTCCAAATCGAAGGAATAGTATGAGTGTGTTAATATAATCTTAAGCTAGGTTCCAGCCAAGAGATATCTTGAAATGCACCACAATAACCTTGAAAATGCTATTATTTACTTAAAAATACCAATAAATTTTTTTTCGAGTAATTATGAACTCTTCTTAAATATCACGCTCTATTCAGTTCTGCACTATTTTTCATCCGGTGCAGGATTTCTTGGGCAATTGCCATTTTTGAAACTGAAACTGAAAAACCCCTCCACACTATAGGGAATATTAGCTTACATATACATTGCCATATTGCACAAATTCAAAATCACACAATGCAACCTTCAAATTGTGAAGGAAGGAACACTAAGATCAGTTGAATCATCCAGCAGATAAACCAAGCAGCATATTGTTACATATCAAGTGAAAAGAAAATATATTTTTCCTTTTTGCTACGCACCTGCAAACCTGGTTTAACCAAAAATTATGTTGTTTGGAAAGTGAGAGGTGATCTGGGTGTGAACCAAATAATCTCTCGTATTTTGGTTCATTTGGAAAGTTTCCTCCTTTAAATAATTCCCTGTTTACAATATTAGCTTGTTTCTCCTCTACTCTGTATTTGTTATGTTACGTTTATATTCTTTAAGTTCCTTTTACATTGTTTATACTTTTAAGCCTGGATTATTTCTAATTTGCAACAAGTGTATGTATCCAGTGGAATTTAAAATAAAACTGAACTGAACTGGTAGAAACATTTCTTCAAAAATCCAAATTTTGACAATTTAAAATATTTGCAGAAGTGCAATAGTAAGATTACAGAAATACTTAACAACAAATGGTAAAATTTTCACAATAACCTTTGAACATAGTACAACATTTGTGCTTCTTTTTACTTTTTAACAGGTGCAACAATGTGCTATATGTGAGGGGTGTGGATGAAGAAGAAGAGGATGGTGAAATGAGGGAGTGAATAGACAGCTGAAGACTCCTTTGAAGCTAAGAAAAGCTATGTAATGATCAACTGCCAAAACAGGTCACGTTATTGTGCACAATAATAATTTGGAAGTAGCAGATGGACAAAGCAAGGGGCTTTTGTGTTGGTCAATTGTATATTTTAAGACTTGCAACAAGGACAGAAAACTGTGCTTATCCTCTATTCGTTTATATTTAATTTTATTGATGTTTTATGTAGATGTGAGTATAAACTCATTTTACAGAAAAAATATAAGCGAAATTATGTTTTTTTACTTGCAATCTTTACCAAAATTATTATTTTATCATTTTATACCAGATCTAAAGATGTTGATTTCTAATTTGATCAATTGATTTCTAAAAGTCATCAAAGAGCTTTATTTTCTATAACCCAAGCTTGTTTTGCAAAATAACTTTTAAGGAATATCAGAAATATCAGCAAAGGAATTCCAAGAGGTTCATTTTTTAGAAATTTATGTGCCATAAGATGGCAAGCCCCATCTCTTGTTACTTAGTCATGATATGTAAACTTAAAACTTTAAAAATGTATTGCTACACATTGGTAGATTATAAATATTCGAATAAATCAAATCGTTTAATGCATAATTACATTAATAAGTAAATGGAAGCAAAATTTTTGTGTAAGTAACAGACACAAAACTGTCTTAAATTACAATCAAGGGCAACACTAATTTGGAAGTGAGGGACTAATCACTGAGGTTTTTTGTAATTTTGTTTTGCTGTAGTTGCAAAGCTGTTTTTATTTAGAAAGTCAAGTCCCCTCCTCATGTCCTTTGGCATCCATCATCCCTGTGTATTTCTATTAAATGTTCATGTGTCAGAAATAAATACGGTTTAACATTTTACGATTAATTCTAAGGTACTTTACTTCCTTTTATGGTCTTTTACACCCTTGTGGGGTAAAATACCTTTATATTGTGAGGCAGCAACATAAGTAGCCTTCGAAAATCCAAAAATGGGTCATAATGGTGACATTTCTGCTAATTTTAGCAACCCAAAAGCACAATGGACTATGTTAAGCCAGGCTTATTGCAAATAGCCTATTTCCAGTAAATAACAGCAATTACCTTAAGGGATCAGCATTGGACTGGTGACCGTTTTCTTTGATAGGCAGTCAGCCCATGACCTGCTTCCCTCTTTGTCATCAAGTCATTTTTATCCAATATCTCAAGACAAAAATTTATGAGCCTATTTGTGCGGACTGCTGAGTAAACAACTATGTATTTATGGCTTGGAGGTTAAATTCTACAGCAGCTTTCTCATCTGCTCTTAACTTTTTGCAGAAAAAAGTCAATGCTATTATCAATCCAAAACAAAAACACCATCCCACAATTAATGCAACCCACAATTCTACAGATATGTCACAGCTATCTGAACTTTTCTTTGATGTCATGGCATCACTCTTTTGTTTCCAGACTCCAGGTGTCACTTCTCCGCATATTGGTATGTCGTCACCAGGAGCCTGTATCTGATTGGCTGATTCAAGAAACACAACTTGCATGCCCATAATGAAGTGCCAAGTCACATGGCAATGAAATGGCCAAACTCCTGGGTTATCTGCCACAAACCTTACCGCTGTCCACCCGCAGCCTCCTTGTTCTGCTTGGCCTCCAAATGGCTTCACTGAGTCGGGCAGTACCGTTGTAGTGTCTCTATAAATGGCGTTCACTGGATCAAGTGAGGCCAACTGGGCATCACTGCCATTCCAAAGTCCATTGCCCATGCCAACAACCCAGAATTTGTGCCCATGAAGATGCCAAGGGTGTTGTTCGCATACCTACATCACAAAAAAGCTCCATATTTATAAAATGCACGGCCGCCGAGAGGGGGCAATTTGCCCAGGGCCTTGAGGTCTAGAGGACCTCATAAAGCAATGAATTCCATTTCAAGAAAATAATTAAGCATATCAAATGTAAGCTTAAAAATAGTGGAACGTTTTAAACGACTGCGAGAAACTACTGCAAGAAATATTCTTACTTGCATTTTATGTTAATCTGAAGGGCGTTGTCGCAAAATTTTCGGTTTTGCCCCACGGCCTCCGAAATTTCACTGTGGCCCTGCTTAAACGAGGAGTAAAAAGGTTTAGAATGCAGCTGCAGCAATGTAATACCATTGATCGACTTTACAATCTAGGGAGACTTAACAGAAAACAGAAAGTCAATAAAGTCTGTTGAGCAAACAATTTACTGCTCATTCTGTTTTATCGGTAGAACATTGAGTACCTCTGGAGACGAGAAAAAGTGTTTTGCTTGGTTAAAAATCGCTTAGCTACGGAAAACGGCGCCGACCAATCTGATACTTCAGAGGGCTTCAGACAGGCTTCAGGTTTTTCAGTCCGCGTCTTCACGTTGCAGTATTTAAAAAATGTGTGCGGAAAAGTGGGAAAAAGCATACTTAATACTTTTCGTCCGATATTCAAGAGCATAGACATTGGATAATGACTAAAGGTAAGCATATAGAAGTTTAGAAGTTTATATCCATTCGAACCGAAAGAAACGTGAGAAAAAGAATGTCATGTTTGATAGGCTCCTTGTTTTGGATCAATCAGCGACTGCTTGCTTCTCACCCAGTTGAATTGTGCAATGGACAAAACGAGAAAAAGTTTTTGCTTTGAGTTTGAAACTTTGTCCGCGAAACTTGCTAGGCATGAGCTTGTTTCGTACCATCAGAGATGCATGTGCAAAGGGAACATTTTCAAGCAATTCAAGCTTTGTGTTTTGACTAACAGTTCCATATGTCGAGTTTTAAAGACTGTTTCAAGTTAAAGACAGATTCATTTTTGTAATGGATTTACTATTCACTGTGCTTCTCCCATGCTTTGTGTATATTAATGAGCAAGGTATATTCCCAAAGTAAAGCCAAAAATCGTTAATGTCGAAGTAACCAAAACCTTCTCTTTGTGCCCAGGCGACAAACAGAGTTGCAAGCAGCTACGTCATGAAAACAACGTCATAACTGAGTCCTCTATACATCTTTTCGATATCCGCGGGCTTAATTTGTACAGAGGGACTGGGTCAAGAAATTGGGTGAAAATGTTGCCAAGGGCCTATATTTATATATAGATACGGCGTTTACTATCAACTAATCACTGCCTGAATTGACATCAAAGATATTCGAAATTTTGAGGACTTCTTCCGTAGTCTTCCGTATTCTTAAACATCTTCCGTAGTCATCTCCAAAACCGTTTTTTCAAAAGCTTCTGTCAAGTTTTTCTACTCTTATAGGCCAGGAGAGTCGCTGATCGAAGAAAACGGCACACAATGAATATCGACAAATACGCGCAAATGAAAGAGCTCAAAAGCTTCCTGAGCCTGAGAGGACTCAAAATCATGGAGAAAACAGGATTTAGTTGCAAGAGCATTCGTTGCTCATGAAAACTTTAATTTCTCGCTCCAGTCTCTTCATGCAAATAAAACGCCCGGATATCGAACACGTGTATTAGACTGAATCATCTAAATGATCTATTCTAATGCATGTTTTCCTTCAACTTACTAATTTGACACGTGCTAAGCTCCCAGCAAATGGAGCCGCTGGCAACTTGTTAAGAGAATCAGTATCACTTACCTTGTTGCATGCTGGGTAATTTTGTATGATGATTTCAATAACATCTCCTTGTGAGATTGTGTAATACCCCCGTGACTCATTCAAGCTATTCGTCCTGATATTATAGTACATCATGTGTGCAACAGGGGTGTTCTCCCATTTATAGGTAATTCCGTTCAATGCCCATCGCAAGTGTTTGTCTGTAGCATCGCAGTTCTGCCAAGGTTTCTTCACCCGGTGGTCGTTGAAGCTTTCACCTTGTTTCCAACGAAACCGTTCTTGCGTGCCCATTAAGACAATCCTTCGTGTTATGCTGGCAGGCGCCTGCTTTGTACCTTTCATTGATTTTTGCTGTTTGGCACTGAATGCGCTGTCGTCCCATCTCGGCTGCTTTGACGAAACCGTTTCGCGATCAACGCTAGGCACAGACGAACTGCTTCCACTGTATTTCAGAACTGCGTATCCAGTAACAATACCACTACGATGGCGCGATCTGACGCTTATCCAGTAAGCATCCACTGCTTGAGTTGTGTTGATGAGTACCGAATACCTCTGCCCGGAGTTGATATCAAGGTTTTCAACTTCTATGGGTGATACCGGCTGTCCATCCGCTTCAATCACCGTCATATTATGACCTTGGATCGCTATGTTCAGAAAGGATAGCTCTGCGACATTCCCTAATCGCAGCCTTACTACTTTATTAGGTGAAACTTCAACCACTTCATTGCCCGGACACAGCGCATCTGCGCAGTATACAGTACTACTGGGTTTGAAGTATGGGTAATTTGTATTAACCGGCACCGAATTGGCCGTACAGTTGTAATAACCCTTGCCATTTATCAATACAGACTGGGGGTCTCCTGCCCAGCGAAATTTTTCTTCCAACAGACCTGTGGCAATTTCAAGATGGCTGCCATGATACCAATCACTAAGCAATAACGATTGCTCTTCATCATAATTTAGAGATGTCCCCGAACTTGGATTTATGATGAACATACCGTAGAGCCCAGCAGATCGGATGCCACCGACATGCCCGTGGTAAAAGTATGTGCCCGGTTCTGAATTGACTTTAAACCGGTAAGTAAATGAAGTCTTTGGTGCAATTGGGCAGCTTGATATCAGGCCGATACCATCTTGCCAAACGGTTCCTTTCTGCAGTTGCCCGTGGAAATGTATTGTCACAGCATCAGTCGCTAGCATGTTTTTCACCTGCGCGTGAAAAGAGAAAATTATATTATTTCAAAATAACAACAAAATGATTAAAGTTTTAGTTTCTGTGGTATTGCAGGGTCTCACTGGGTGTTGTGTCTTGGGCTTAAGCAAGGTGAGAAAGAGCACAGAGAGCGAGAGTATTATACTACTTTGAGTTTATCACTCTAACTGATTATTATTATTTGTATTATCTATTTATTCAAAGTAGGCGTATAAAAATAGCTACAAAATAAAAGCTAATTCAAGCCTACTACAAAGTAAAATTGTTTAAAAATAAAAAAATAAAAATACATATATATCTAACATAAGAAATAATTAGTATAAATACATGTATACATATTTTACAATGTTTTACAGCATTTTTGGCATTCGATCACACACCTATCCATTCCAACTCTGTCGTTACATCTACGTAGGCATAAAAATGGACTGGTGACGAGCCCCCTGGGGAGTTGTACTATGACCTAGGTCAACAGATAAACAACAGTAGCATTGAGCACGTGGCCAAAGCGTTGCTGATACTAGTTCACAACACATTGGTGTTCCGTAGTCTCAAGGATTTTCTCAATAAACATGAACCTCCAGGTTTTGATAATCAACATTTCAAAGGTCTGATATTGTAGATTATCAAGAATAGCAGCGAGATGACATGCGTCGTAATATAAACTATTAATTAGCGAAAAGAAACGGTCCCGACAGTGGCGGAAATCATGGTAGTATGGGGGGCTCGCCACCCCCCTCTAATCAGCAATCTCGTCGGAAAATCCGGGCTTTTGTTGGATAATAGACAACCGTTTAACGTGTCGAAATTACTGCAAGAGATCGTTCTGAAATGTATTTCAAGAGAATCTCGCTCGCAGGTTATCCGCATTTTCCCTTTTTATAACAGGGGCCTCTATAAGCTCTCTGACCCCCCTTTCTGCAAAATTTGAACATAGTATAGTTGATAAATTATTAGCCAGTACTAAATAATTAAACAAACAATATATGACCAAAATCAAAACTGTTGTGAATCGTATATTTAATTTCAATTCCGTAAAGATCAGCCGAAATTTTCATCGGATTCTTCCAAATAAAATTTATTTTCAAACGTATTTCCCACTGAAGAAAACACGATAAAATGCATAAAATGAACACTACAACTACAATACAATTATTTTGTTATCATGAACGACTTGTATATAGTGTACTCGGTGTAATCGGTCTACCTCTTGTATCATCAATTGCCTTAGATGAGATATCGATCTTGATATCAAAAATCATGAATTGATTGTTCTTCCTGCTGCGCAATTATGGCGTGGCCAGCAAATATGTCTAAAAGGTCCCGCCAAAAAATCACCTATTTTTATCAAAATGTGCAGTTTCCTTAAAATTAAACATGATCCAAGATGTTATCTTGTCGGAAAATCGTAGGCCTAAAAAATGAAAGCTGAATTTCCGTTACTGCAATCTTGGCAAAAAATGCTGAGACACTTGCAAAAAAAGAAGCTACTTACAAATCACCCACCCCCTCTCCCCCCGAATCAATGTTGTGATGGGATTGGTAACTAATGTTGTAATCCCCACTTATTCTGTAACCATCCTAAACAACATTGACCATGGGGGGAGGGGGGTTTAGGTCACCAGGGCACATTATATGAAGATATAGCACGCGAATTCCTTTTTCGTTCATATGTGTCAGCTATTTGTTGCCAGGAGTGTGGGTCACGAGAACATCACGGCCGTTGCTATACTCTAGATGTGGATCAACCAAGATCAGCTATACACATTTACTATTAAAGAGCACAAATCTTGGAGACTTACTATAATATTTGTTTTAGGCTTTGCCTTCTTTATAGCGACTATTCAAATTACAGTGGAACCCCGCCTTACGGCCACTTCGTTAATACGGCCACCTCGTTATTGCGGCCACATTTGTTGGCCCGGAAAAACGGCCATACATAGTCTCATAAAAAAACCTGTTAATGCGGCCTCCCGTTAGCACGGCCAGCGGCCACATTTTGCGATCCCAGACAGCAGGATTCGTTATAATTCCACCCTGTTAATACGGCCATTTGTATTTAGCAAAACTGTAATAAAATCACAATAATCTCATTCGTTTTACAAAAGAACTTTTCATTATCAAAGTCGCTTGCTTCCAGGTGTGATTGCCCCCACTTAAAATGATTGGCTGGAACGCAAAACGAACCAGTCAAAAGTCACCGATTTTTTTGCAAAATCATGAACATGATCTGGTGATTAAGGCACAAGATCCCAGGATTTCCGTTTCGTTTTGTTGATGGACTAGTTATTCAACATATCTTTACATTTCCAGTTGTCTATTGTAATAGAGCTAAAATAGTGCCAGCCCCAGCATTAGGATTGCTATGTTTTGTATACGTAGCTATTTTGTATATTACGTAATTCTTAGGAAACTCCCCGTTGTGTCTCGAATGTCGTTGTGACACAGCACCACGCAGCATTACACTGCATTCCATTATATTGTTGTAGGATTACCCCTCATTAGGATTACATCATATTGCGTATTCGTCTGTTTCTAGAATTATCTCGTAGTCTATTATTAGTAACATTTCATGCTTGGTTATGCTTTTCTGGTAATTTCCTTGTACATATAAATATACGTGGTTAGTTAGATTCAAGGGGATTCGAAGAGAGCTTTAGAAGGTATCAGGCATGCAAGGCTAAACATCAGAAAGAAGCTAACCGTCTCGCCCAAGAGGCTTGCGAAAGCTCTTGCGGCCCAGTCTGCATTTGGGACAGGCAGTGCCTGAGAAAGACTGCGCTGTGCTTCGTAATATATTTCATTGGATTGTTAGTATTAGAGTTCGCGGAAAACCGTCGTTGTTTATGTTAGCTGTTTAGATTAAAGTTTAGCCTTGGGCTGTTATAAGATGGAAATGGAAAAGTATAGCCGCTCGCAAGAAGTCGTCATTCTTCAAAGTTTTAGTCTTCGCAGTATCTCTCTCGGTTTAAACATCCATTTTACACTATTAAAAAACAGCTCCTTTCGACCCTTCCTCGTTAATGCGGCCACCCCGTTAATACGGCCAATTTTGGTGGCCCGTTGGTGGCCGTATTAACGGGGTTCTACTGTAGTGGAGGTTTTTTCCCAGTCGCTACTCCCTGCTGTCATTTTAGGATTCTTTAACAATTTAGAGGATGTGCCACCCTAGGTCATTAACGTTCCTCTATTGATGCAAATACAAAAGACACAGGCACCCTGTAGAAAGACCTATTATGTCCCTCAGTTAATAACGCTTTAATCGCATTCATTCGGAGGCGATTCAGGGGGGAAACCGCAGTTTAAGCATCAGATGAATAAAAGGTGGAACGGCTAGGTAACGACAAACGACAAACCTGCTTTCGTCCTTGAGGACGGACCGTCATCACAGATGGATGAGGGCGACGGATGAAGGTGACAGAAATATGGCCGGGACCCGACAAGGCCCCCTAATGGGAGAATTTTTAGGGTCATCCCTTCTCATTATGGCACATATGTGGCCAAGCCAATTAAGTTGAGTAAATGAAAAATGAAAATAATTTGCTAACGTAGTTGTGGGTCTGCCTGGCGGTAATTGTAGAGGTGAGATTGGCGCATTTACATTCACGGTCCGGATCAGTATTATTCTTTCTACCAATCCCGTTTACATAGCGGTGTAGTGCTATCAAAATAACAAGGGGGGCTCTTGTTTAAAAAGTTGCAAAAAACAACAGCAAAAATAGAAATTCGCCAATTTTCGGCATAGGGGGTTAGCCTGCGTTTACACCGCATCGGATTCGCTGCCGGAAGAGGGGAAGGGCAAGGAAGGCAATGCGCCTAGAAAAAAGGGCAAAACAATGGCAAAATAAACTGCTAAATTTAGCAAGGGCAATGAGGTAACGGCCCCCGTGCCCCCCGTTGAACGGCATCCCAAGTTGAGGCTGCAAACCTTTTAAATGGCCTCCACTAAGAAGTCTGGAAACATAATTTTATTGCAACAGCTGCGAATTAAACTAACGTCCATCATATGAGCCTTCAGACTGGTACTGACCTGACTCCAGTTCTGGAACCCGAATTGTTTTTCCGCTATTTGGTCTATGTTTTACCCTCCCCTGGGAAACTTGACAATTGCATGACAATGGATCATTAATGCTAATCATTAATATCTACATGAGTAATTCATTGTTTGTAGAAAGTAATATAGGTGGTGACTCAATGGTAGCAAATTCTAATCATAACTAAATATTTTTTTATAACTATACTATATCAAAAGTGTCGGAAACTTATTCTTTTGCGTAGGTAATATTTTGTGTAACTAGCGAGAAAATCGGCGTTTTTCAACCGTCACATCCCCCTTGAGTGCAGAAATTCTCTGGCTGCTAAACAAAACAGACTCCCCTGTGCTCGTGTTTGAAGAAGTGAGAAAAACAAAACAAGGCTAAATTATTGCCACAACTCAATGATCTTTCGATTGCAGCTTTTTCAAACATATATGTTTAAATCTATATATCATTACTGGGGAATCATTATATAATTTGAAAACGGTCGAAATAAGCCTGAGCGTGTCGGATGAAAACAATCTCCAAGTGCCAAATCTTACTCAAACTTGTGTGAGCTTTTGGTTGGTATAATTCTGCGAAAAGCGACAAGAGGGACAAAAAGGCTCAGTGGCACTATGGTGGTAACAATAGCAATTTGCTCATCACAATATATGACTTAAAACTGAGATGAATTTTCCACATTCGGATGAAAGGGGAGTTTTCCACCAATTCCGTACAAAGGTTCTTGCAATTAACGAACAGTGATCTTGAAGCCAGGAGTTGTCACATTAATCAGTTGTGTCAAGTAGAGCTTCATTAAGGAAAATAAAACTTTGAGAAAGTAAGATACGTACGTTGAGATAATGATGAAAAATGGCTGGTTCTTGAAAATCGTTTAAGTTGAGACTTATGCAACACGTTTAGTGTTAGTTAAAACCTTCAAATATACTATTTCATCATCGAGAATTGTTGCTTTCATCATTTTCAGCCCTATTTTAGTCATTCATAAAGCATTATCATGCAGTTTAGATTAGGCATGCCCCAGTGATCAACCTAAACCTCGGGATTATGCAATCGTGGTCATGCCCTCTCGATTTGCATTTGGAGAGGCCACAAACAAGGCATGGATTAATTGGTACTCACCTCCACCTCTAGAGTTTCACCGCTTGTGACATTGATTGTGGGTCCTGGAAACAAACCATTCACCAACGTGATTGGCCTTTCTACGCAATCTGGACTTCTGTACTGCATGGAAACTTCGAAAGTGTACTTCTTCCCGTAAACAAACTGCACAAAAATGGCCACGGCAAAAAGAATCGATTCGGCTGCCATTATTGCGTTTATTAAGCTGAAAGACTCGGCACGCGCTTCCAGAAGCCTTGGTTAACGAGAATTCTTGAGCTCTGAAGATAGTTTCAACAGTCTTTCTTTACTCTCATAGGTATTCCTCGATTACACAAGAAATTTCATACTCTCCTTTGTTTTCACCCTACGACGACGAATTATTTCAAAAGAACTATTACCTATAATTTGATCTCTTTTGGTAAGAGCGCTGATTCTAACAATGCCTTTTGAAAACGCCCTCCGTACGAAAACGACTTGAAACATTGATAACTGCCCTGAGATGGGTCCGTGTGCTAGGCAGGGGCGGGCAACCTACGGCCCGCGGCCCAGAATCCGGCCACAGAATAGGATCCTATTCTGTGATCCGGCCCAGGGAGCAAGCAGGGGGAGCAGGGTTGCCAACTGGCCTACTGGGAGGCCATTTGAGAAATCGGGCCTTTTTTAAGAATGTTTGGTTACGTAATTTTGGCTGTTTTTGGCCTCCTAAAGGAATGTTCGAAAATGAGATTAAAACCACAAATAATTATAAAATTGTAATAGGGTTATTTTTGTCAAAAGAAAACATCCACCCTATCGTTACCGACGATATAAACTAGTCCTTCAATGAGAATTGAGACAAAGAGACAAATAAATAATGTTTCAAACGTCCATCTTCCGATCATGTGATCTTTCCGCGAAAGGTTATAAACTTCACAATGTTTCTCTAACAGGCACAGTCTTTCACAAGCACTGTCCGTTCAAACTATACTATAGTAATACACAATCCATAAATCATCACGCGCGATTCCACAAATCCAAATACGTATTCTATAAATCCATACTTCATGTCGACAAGATCTTTCACAAGCATCTTGCCACATAAGTGAAACGTCGAGAACCTAGATATACAAAATCTCAAAACTTAACCTAATCGCTCTTAACCGAATTCCATTTCCAACTTCAACTCCAACTCCAACTCAAAAACTAACTCTATATGTAACACGCCCAAAATATAACTAAACAAGAACTTATTGTAATGCTACATAGCTACGTAAATTTACATAATAATAGTGAATACAAAATATATTAGTCCCAAGATTAATTACATAAACTGAATAATGATACTAAAAATCCCAAAAGAAATAGTTAATGAATCTAAAGGTGCAATTAGAAAACAAAAGGAATTATAAACAATCGAATGTGCGAACGGTGATAAAATTACTAAGGTTACAGGATGCAAAACAAACGAAATCCAAACTAGCACTATTACAAAATGGATGACCGTAATATGTCAATGAACCAGACAGACACTCGAGGTGGCATTGATTTTATCCAAATGGGCCAGTGCCTGAATTTCTCATGTAATAACATGAAGGAAATCATTGCTATAGCTTATTTTTTCAGCACTTTCTTGACCAACCTTTTTGAGTATTTCCTTTTAACATAATGTATTGAAATAGACTTTGCAAACAATCTTATGGTGGTACAAGTTTTAAAACGTTTTCGATCTATGTTCTAACGTTTTAAACTCTGAAGAGTGTCTGACGAGAAGCTCTATACTAGTATGACCCATAATGTTTGCTTTTTTCAAACCCATCTTGAAATAAAATTAGCAATTTATCGGTCATATATAAATCGCTTAATACACTCTTTTTTTTTATAAGAACAATTTTATAAGAACACGAGCCTCAAAACTGGTCAAAAGTTAAGAACAAATTAAAAACAAGCTGAGGCTGAGCTTCTGCAAAATGCAATTTCGAACAACGTTTTTTCTCAAAATCGAGGATTTTTAGCGATGTGTGGGTGCTTTTTCGGTGATACTCAAATTTGTCAGCAAATTAAGGCTGTCTCACTCACTTTGTTGGCAAATGAACACCTCCTTAGAGCGAAAAAGCTAGCAATAGCACTGCTTACACCCTCTTAATTTAAGAACAAATTAAGAACAATCCAGCCTCAGATTTTCGAAAAAATTAAGAACAGTCAGCCTGAACTTAAATTTACTGGTACTTATAAAAAAAGAGTGTAGCACAGATTGATCTACACATTTGTAACAAGTTACAATAAATAGTGAATAATGCTTTATTTTTCTCGAATTTTTAATCTATGATAGCCAACGTGGCAAAGTAAATATGACACTGCAAGGAAGTACAATAAGTCTTGGGAAGCGCAATATGTTTGGCTTACATCGTCTAGTGACGGGAAGGGCAACGGATATATTGCAAACTGAGGTTGTTTTTTACTGCGCTTGCACATTAAGATGTCACTGTGGTATGGGTAAATTTGGCCTATTTTGACGTGATTTGGCCTATTTTCATAAACAGTTTGACTACTTCGTACCTAGACCACCTGGCAACCCTGCCAGGGAGAGAATTTTTGTGGCCCGCGAGATAACAAAATCATACTTTTTTGGCATATTCAATGAAACATATCGATTCAGAATCAGATTATCTTCATTAAACTTGGTAGTCATGGAAAGAATTGTTGTCCGTTGTCAAGAATTTATCCTGCTGAAAGATATCATTATTAATTTTGAACGCCCGAAAGCTATACAAGAGCTATTGAACGCCCAATGGGAACATGTTTACATAGAACAGGAAGCAGAAAATGCTTACAACATTCAGTCTTTGACAGAATCGCGTATATGATAGATGTTGTAAGACTGTTAAGATCAAGAGCTCCTTAGTAATTGCAGGTGCACGAGTGCCTTAAAGGTAGCACGAGGCATCGTGCCAGGTAGAATCATCATTAATTTTGTAAGTAGATAGAAGTATTTGGGAGTGACAATGGGTCCATCACTTAACATGAATGACCACCTTCAAAAGACTCTAAAGAACGTGGCTGTTCGATTAAGGCTCTTGAAGAAAATGAGACATTCGCTATCAACTTTTGCAGCTGAATCAGTCTACAAAGCTATTGTTCTTCCTAAAATATTATATTGGTCAACTCCTGTGCTCAAGGTTGCCCACCAATGAAAACATTACGGTCGCACGGCCACTGACCGGAGGAAGGTCCACGAAAAACAATAGAAGCTCCTATCACACACCCAAGCCACGCCCACTTTCTATTGTTTTGTAAGGAAGGTTTGCCTTCTGGGATGTTTTTGTCTGGAGGAAGGTTAACAACTTTTCTGGAGTCTGGTCCAACTTTGAATATGAATAAAACTTTGAATATGCATTCGTTTCTTTTCGCTATTTTAATGTGTAAACTGTTACAGCAAACCGCGCTCTGTTTACGCCATTGCTCACTTTTAGCATGTAGATGCCGCATATTTTACGCATAATTAATTTTCCCAGAGATCCTGGGAAAACGCTTGCACACAATTTTGCTCTCGGTTACACCACACAGACCCTCTACACTGATGCCGACCCTCTACTTTCAAGTTAGGGGTCTGGGACACAGGCTACAAGCAATCGTTTGGAGATGAGCACCTACCTCAGATCAGGGGCAAAGCCAAAAAATGTTTTTGGAGGGGTAAAGAAGTGCTTTACACCGACAAAAAAGGCGTGTCTCACTTTTGAAGGGTGCGGTCAAAAGATAAATACTCTTATATACTGACAGAAAAGTTAATACCTTACAATTGTTGAAAAAGGTTCTAGGGTGAGTACAAAAATAGCTTCTTTTGCCCGGCAAAAAATCCTTTATGTGCCGACGGACAAATTGTTGGGGGGGGGGGGTACCGCAACCCCCCATACTCCTCTCTGGCGGCGACGCCCCTGCCTCAGATACAGCAAACATGGGTAATAAAAATATATCCTTGTGATTGACATGTTTTCCCTTTTAATTTATATTAGAAACTCTCTTAGAAAAGGATGTGTTAATCTTATGAAAAACAAAACTTTCCTGCAAAACACCATTGAACTATTTATCATCGCTTGTTAATCGAGGAAGTTTATGAATTCGCAGACATTGTATGTAGTCAGATCATTGACCATTGGTGATTTATCTTGGCTTTTCTTTCCACACTTTATTATTCGATATCTTTTAATGATCTTGTTTAAAGACTTCTGTCGCGTGATTACTTTTGAAAAAATTCAAATCAATTTCTTAGTTTATCATTAATTGCATATAACTGAATCATTTAACTATATTGAGTCTTATTATCTTTGAAAATTAATCTCAAATTGTTGATTAGGTTAAATCTGTTGCTAACGATTAATTCTTAATAATCTCAACACAATAAGCAGTTCATTCTCAATAATCTGCAGCTTAACTCTTTGATAATTGTCAATCTACATTTCCATTCTGCTGGCAATCCTTCAACAAAGGTATAGTTTTGTGTTGTCACACTAACAGGCCTTCAAAGGTTTGGTACCAGGAGCAGAGATTCTGTTTCATTTTCCATATCAACACTCTACGAGGCTTTTTTCAGCAAGGAAGAAGCTTTTACTTCAAAATTTGGAAAATGCTGTAATCAGTGTCATTTTTAATTATGCGAGGAAGGATGAAGAGAAGATTTGCTTTACTTGTGCTCATGTATAACAAATTCATGTTCATGCTTGAGTTCTTGTATTTTTTACATCTTTATTTTTTCTATTTCTGTGAGGGATGCGGTTTCCTTTTGTTTCCTCCTTATATCCGACAAAAAACAAGTGGAAAACTGCAATCCTCGACAGAAGGTACTTCGTTTTTGTAACCCCACCACCCCTGATCAAAGTCGACACTTCGCTTGTTAAAACACATAGGCCTAAACGCCCAAACTTTGAGATACTTCGCCCTGCATACGGATGCCACCCAGCATGTGGCAAGGGTTGGAACGCCTTATACTTGAACTTTGCACACACAAGTTTTGTCTGGATTATTTGTCCCTCGATAAAACCATAGTCAATAGAAAAAAGTGCACCCCTTTCTATAAACGACATCTTACCCACCCGCACTGAATTGCAATGACTGGCCAACGAAAAATGTGAGGCAATCTATAAGTCTGTATTACATTTCCATCGTGTGATATTCCGGAAAATTTGATTGACCAGTACTTCGGATAACCTGTTTTTTTCTACATATTCTGTGTGCACAAGGAGTTTGGATAATCGAGGAAGTTTTGAATAATTGTCGTTATAGTAGATGTTTTCGAACATGATTCTATTTACCGGGTTAGGACTGTGGTGAGGTGGTTTGAAATGAAGTGAAAAGGTTTCATCAGCAAATAAGAGAATATTAGCAGAGAAAGAAGGAGGCATACAGTATCTAGCCAGCATTTACGACGTGGGAATTGAATGCAAAACCATAAACAAAGTTGGTAACTGGCTGTCTAGCTGAAAAGACGACAATCTTTTTAAATATTAACCATTCAAATAAAAGATATAACGTTTACAGTCACAATTTGTTGTTCATAGTATTGGTTTTGATATTTTCCTGAAAAATGTCATCTCGCCATAAGGGACAATGTCTGTTTTTTTTGCAAAATCAGAGTTATAACCCAACCTCAGAATCAGTTTGATTGAGGCCCTTTCGTAGGTACCTTGGAACCCTTGAAGACCCTACAATATGTTTGTAATTGAAGGCAAACGCCAGAAAGGATTCTTAATTCTAAATAGCGTTTCGGTGCATGTGATAATATATCTCTCCATATGAATGATGTCTGTTTTTTTAATTTTGAGAAAGAAAGCCTTTAAATTATCTGAACGAACCCGCAAAAACGAGTTTACAATGATAAGACTTCAAAATATGAGTTTTTGGACAGGGTGATGTAAATCAATCTAAAACTAACGGGCAGAAAATTTATCACATTTTGCGATCTAAAAGAAGCAGAGGTTTAAATGAACCTCAAAAATCCACCGTTGGTTGATAAATACCAAAATCTTCAATTGGTTTCCACCTTAATGTCTCTGTTAAGATGTCTCAAAAAGCTCTTCTGGTCATTCAAGAATGCTGACGGTAGGAAATTTTTCTTCTTGTTCTGGACACTTTGTTCACTGTTGGTAATTACACTAGTAGCAGCAACAAAAAATTATATAGAAATTGTGCTGTATCTTAAAGATACAGAGAATGAAAAGAGAATATTTTCTGATTGATGAAAATGTAAAATGATGAAAAAAACTGAAATTCTTGTGCTCAAATTTGAAGGAATAACATATGGAAACTATAATATGACAATCAATGAAGGTTACCACAAGTTCTTTATGACAACTAACAATACATAACCTTTATCAAAATGTGACTCAAACAAAATTTAGTAGTTAACACATTATTTCTTTGCAAGGTTCATCTACTCAAGGCAAGCTCAACTATTCACCTATACATGTGTATTCAGACGTGTGTATTCCCCTGACATGTTTAAAATATATAAACAAAAATGACAATAATGGCTGAAAGTGACAAGTGAGAGAGGTTGACAGAGCAATTAGAAATTGTTTTACTGAAGGGGTATCAAAAAATGGCAAAACAGCAAACTGGATGATTGGGAATTTAAAGTTGACATGCAATTGCCAAATACAAGCTCCACAGAATTGAGCCTCTTTTATTCTTTCATGACACAAAACAGAATAAATAAAATTGTCAGAAATGCAATGAGCTCAATATCTTCCTATCAATGAGAACCAATCTAAAGAAGCACTGACAACAACACCCCTGATGTTTTGATGTATTTTCTTAACATGTACTACCATTGTGTCTTAGTTACTTTGAAATGGTTTTTAATTTACTATTATAAGTACAAATGGGAACCTTGTTATCCCAGCTGTAACAAGATTGAAAATGGTTTTTTTGTATTCAAAAGAAGAAACCATCAGATTAATATTCTAGTCTATCTCTTACTAATACCTGGGGCTATATATATTTCTTCACGATAATTTAGAGAGTTCTTCTGATAACCAGTCAAGTCCTTCGTATAATCCGGTTCCCTGTGCTGCACATGATGCTTGGACATACCACTGTAGATGAAAAAGGTTGTATTAGACCAAAAAGCTAACTTTTATGAAAAACTACAGATAATTGCACTGGTCTACCACAAAGTGCTTGGTGCAGAAAAAGACAGGTGTTTAGAAGAGGACAGGAGAAAAGGACAATAAACCTTTTTGATATCCATGCACTTATCAAAAAGCTGTCTTCTCGAAAACAGCTTTTAAAAGATTCTGTCAAATATCATGCTCTAAAAGGCAAGGCAAGTTCTCGTCGTAAAAACAATGCGTGCTCGATCTCAACAGAATTTTTTGGAAATAAAAATGCAAGAGCTCAAAAGTTTCCTGCGTCTGAGAGGACTCAAAATTACAAGGAGAAAAAATGAGTTAATTGCAGAAGCATTCATTACTTATGAAAACAATGCTCCAGTTGTGGAAACAGCAGAAGAAGCAGGAGGCAAAAATTGTTGCGCAGTACAACATAAAACTTAGTCCACATTATGCAGTCATACCATATATTTTTGAATTGAAATCTGGAGGGACTGAGAAAGCTTTGGTGTAAAACTATGGCCAATGACCCTTTATCCATAAAGTTTTGTATACTTGTGATGATAATCCAAGCAGTGATTAGTAGCTACTTAAACACTGCATCTATATGGAAACATGGATACAGGCCCTTGGCAACTTTTCCACCCAATTTCTCACCCCAGCCTATTTATGCAAATTAAACATGGGGATATTATAAAGAGGTATCCAAACGGGCCTTTTCGGAAAGAAATTTTCACAAGGGCAATTAACTGCCTTTGAAGGCAATCAAGAAAACCAACAAAGCCTACAAACGTTTCAGGAACATATAAAGACATTCATGGCTCAACGATAGTTTCGATAAAGACGTTAATTTCATATGGATTGACCCATGGGTCAGACCATGTTTTTATAAACTTTGGCTTTTTAAGCACATAGTATAAATATACTTGTAAACAACATGTCCAGAACTAAGATGAATGTCAACCCAGAAGGGAAAGGAATGTAAAACAAAATCAAAGGAAAGCAAAAATATGGTTGGGTTTGAATTTTAACCCTTTAGCTGGGCAGAATATCATTCTATTTTGGTAAATATTGTTTCCTTTTATGCTGTTTCTTTTGCAGGTGAGATACCAACTGGTGAGGGCAGATGTAAGCCTGTGCAACTGACTTTTCAAAGGAAACTGCTAAGAAGGAGTGCAGCTGTGATCAATTGTCTTATGATCACATTGAGAACAAAACTAGGAAGCAGTGGCAGCAACTTAGAACTGGCCTGTTCTTTCCACCAATATCATTATATAATATATATCATTACAACAATGATCCATAATATCATTAAAGATCAATAGCAAAGTTGAATATCATTGTATGAGAGAGCTATGTTGAGTTGTTTCTCAATTTGGACTTGCTATATACTGAAAAAGCAGGGGAATTATATCAATCACTTTTGATCAAAACAATGATATGAATTTTACTTCTTTCTTTTTCATTGGTTCACCAAACACACATATACACAAACAAAAAGTGCTTATATATTTTTGTTTTTGCACATAATAGGTATACTCTGAAAAATACTCATTTTTTAATTCTTTTACTCGATATGGCAATCATGTGTTGCTGAGGATAAGCTTTGACACAAAAAAGGCTTACTGTAAACAAACTAATTCTGTAAACATTGTTTGCGACATTTTGTATAGGTATATATTGCAAAGCATGTAATAAACACAACAAAAAAGTGACATGGTTGAGCTATTTTGAAAGATTGCGAAAACAATAAAACTTACCGGCCTGGCTTTGAATTTGTGTAGTTCTAGCTTGTCTGTTAACTCTGACACCGACAAAGCATTTGGTAGATCCTGTTTGTTTGCAAAAACCAACAATACTGAGTTCTGAAGTTCTTCTTCCTTCATCTAAAGAATAACAAAATAATCATTTGAGTCTAAAGAAATAGTTTTCTAAATACATTTCATGGGAAAGGGGACATTCTTTCCAGGCCAGTAGCACTACAACCCTCTCTACCTGTAACTTGAAAATTGACTACCATACCCATTCTAGGCCTTTCAGATGGTCTTCATTCTTAAACAATTGATGGACACAAAGCCAGAACAAGTGGTGTGATTATCACCATTTTTATTATACAGTGACCTGAACTCAAACGCACAGAAAAACACAATATACACACTTGCTAACATTGGCAGAAAATTTAACATGCTCAAGGCCTCACCAAATATTAGACTTATTTTCAAAGTTGAAGTATGAATGTATCCCAAGAATGAAAATAAATAGAATGTTTATTTATAGAATGCTCACCATTTTATCAAGCTCATCTGCAGCTTCTTGTATTCTTTCTCTGTCATTGCTATCCACAACAAAAATCAGCCCTTGTGTATTTTGAAAATAATGTCTCCAAAGAGGTCGAATTTTGTCCTGACCCCCGACATCCCAAACTGTAAAACTGATGTTTTTGTACTCTACTGTTTCAACATTGAATCCTAAAAAGAGTAATTGTTAGCATTTAAAAAAAATTGTGCAAGCAAGATTTGTTAACGCAAGTTAGGGCTCTGGCAGGTAAAAGCTGACATTGACCTGCAGATTGCGCCCCTAAATTCAAGGCTGTTGGAAATGGGAAGGGGGGCTGAGGGGTGGCTGGTGGCTGGAGCCCCCCAATAATTGTCACACTGTAGTACATTTCCTTTATAACAGTGTACTGGATGAGAAGGAATACAATGGACAGCCCTCCCCCCCCCCCAATATGAATTTTGTTCCGATGGCACTAAGATTGATATTCTAAATAAATACCCTCGGAACTCATTTACCAACCTCATAAATTTAGGCAGCTGAGTTGGCTGGAGGCTAGCAGAAAATAACCCCAACCAGACTTGAGTCCAAAATATTCAGATCATGAGCCAAACACTTTTACTACTCTTGCATGTCGCTTGCAACAGAATACAGTACACCAAAAAGTATGTGCTACTGAAGATTGCCATTAAAATGTTGATCACAAATTCAAATGAAATAAACAACTAACCTATTGTTGGAATGGTTGTAACAACTTCTCCAAGCTTTAATTTGTAGAGTATGGTTGTTTTTCCAGCAGCATCAAGTCCAACTAAAAACAGGAAGGAAAACAATCAGTGCTGTCATTTTTAATCTGGAGTCTATCAGCAAATTTGTATCCTGTATTATATATAGATATATATAGAAATACATCCGACCTGGACTTGTGGTATATCCCAGTCCACTACGCGGAGATCTTAAAAATTCTTGGTGTTAGAAGTCAAAAAGGCTTATGCCACTATTGCTCATTTGAAAATGTCTCTAATTTACTTGAGAATATCATTGACAAAATTACTCTAAGACTAAGTTACATGTAGCCTGGCAGATAACATAATTCGTAACTGCTACAAAACTACAGCTATATATTCATATTTTGGCTTTACTAGAAAACGTTTTTAAAAAAGAAACAGCGATAGAGATCAGACTGGCAAAATCATACCAGCACATCTCAAAAATAGGTTTAGGCCTACTTACCCATTAGAATTCTCACGGGCTTCTTTCCGAAAAATTTCTGGAAAACTGAGGAAATTGTCAATCCCATCGTTCCTATTTGGTTTGAAAAGTACTAAACCACGCAAATAATAAAAACTAGATACAATACTGTGATTTTATACAACTTTTTTACAGGAAGTTCCACGGGTGGGAAGCTGCGTTGTGGATAGCCACGTCAAGAAGTTTACAGGTACAGGTACAAAGTATCTCACGAAACCTCTTTTTGAAACGCAGTTGAAATTTTAACGAGGGTAGCTTTTTGGGGGAAAAGACAGGAAAAGAGTGATATAAATCTTGGTTTTGCGTCTGAAAACAGCTTCTATTATATTTACATAAGGATTGAATTGTATAACATAGAATATTTAGACATAGGAAAAGCATAGTAAAATTTACTGACGACGATTTAAGCTGAAGACAAATTTAGGTTCTATGACGACGATATTTAGGTTCTATGAAAAATTTCACTTAGCTTTTGTTTAGTGAAAAATGTAGTGGAAAGTTTAGTCGTTTTGCCACCCTGTTTAGTGTTGTTTCGTTGTGTTCAGTGTTGTTGAGCAAAGTTTGATTCTGGTCAAAAATTTCTACCGTGTTTATTGTTTAGTGTTTAGTGCGACGTAGCTGTGGAAATCCAAAGGTTTTCGTCGGTTCTTCTCGGTTTTCCTGTCCCTGCAAGACCAAAAATCTCTAGAATGTCTTCATGAGACATCTGCGTCATCTCGTTGTAAGCAATTGCGTCTTCCTTAATCCACTTCTTGTACTTGATGTCAGTAGTGAACAGCCAAACAATGTAGAGGGGGCCATAGCGCGTTCTCCATATTGTTTACAAAATGAACGTTTCAGCTGTTTTCGTTTGCATTGCTCCTCAACATCAATTTCTTTACCTTTCCACTTTTTCTAGAGTTAAATCAGCTTCCAATGCCCAACTGTTGTTACTTGAGCAGAAAATCTTAAAACCATAGAATTTAAAGTAGTAAAATTTTGCCAGCATTTACTGAATTTTTAGTTACCTTCGAAAAGTAAAAGGGGTGGGGCTGAGCCCCCCTCTTTTACAGCCCGGCTTGATGTCTATTTTGCTAACATACAACAAACCAAACGGAAAGCGAATCCCTAGACAAGATCCCCTACAACCCTTAGCGTCTTACGCAGCTCGCAGTTCAAAAAAGTTGCGTGAAGTTTAGTGAAATGTTTAGTACGCTTTGCCACCCTCGCTAAACTTCGCTCAACTTCACTAAACAAAAGTTTTGCAAAATGTTTAGTGAAATGCTTAGTCATCTTGCAAAAGCATAGAGCTGATAGTAGCATTCTGAAACATAAATCACTTATCGAAAAAAGACTGTAAGAATCAAAAGTATGTGACACAATAGAGTTTCGTTTTCATTAAAAAACTTCGTTGTAAAAACGTGTAGTTTTTGCCATTTAGGGGTCCTTTTTCTGCAAATTTTCAGATTTGTCGGCAAATAAAGGATGGCTCACCCATTTTGTCGGCAAGTGGGATCGTGGCACCACCTTTGTGCACAATAGCTAGCGACGGCCCTTGCAATTTTCATGATTTGAAAATGTTTGAATTTTTCTCTAGCAAGCCAAAAAATGGTTATCTGTTGCAACAAACTCTTAGACGATTCTTTCTCGACCCAGGTTTAGATGTTGCTGCGGACATTATCCCTGTTTATTCCTAAAACGGTCTTGCATCATAAGCTTCGTGCCACTACATTCCACATTTTCTAAGTTCAATAAACTCCAAGAAACATTATTCTCTGGTGGAATGTGACATTTACGAACGGTTCTGATGCAAGTTGGAAAGTAGAGAGAGCATGAGCAAATTGATGATTCATAACAGCAGATTATGCAAAAGGTTATTCACTGGCTGCGTGCATCGGTTACAAAATTAATCAGAAATATCCAGGGTAGAAGAAGCAAGATGGTATTTAAAGATCTTGAATATGAAAAGAGTCTCTCAGTTTAGCTTGTAAAAAAGTTCTGGGGTGATATGATGGAGACATACGAATATATAAATGGTATTTACGATATATATTATAAATGGTCAAGCCTGTGCTGAAGATGGAAAAACATTGAGAAACCATGAAAAAAAGTAAATATCTTTATAGAGGATTTAAGACAAATGTCAGAAAGCACGCCTATGGAGTCAGGCACTGTGCAAGGTTGGAATCGTTTTCCGAGAGATGTAGCAGGTACCAATCATTAAACCCGTTAAATACGAAAAAAACGGGGGAATTATTATGCAGACAATTAAAACTTATGTGAATTAGAAATAATTTGTTTATCAGTGAAATGAAATTACTGTACAATACCTAAATTTATTTTCTAGCTCGGGAATGCCATAGACATCAGAAGGTCAGTCACGAGGCTACGTTCCCGCATCGGATTATACCCAAGTGAAGCTTGAAAAATTGTGAGTATAGAATAAAAATGAAAAAGCATTCAGCTCAACAGAATATATTTATGTTGCGTTTTGTTCCTATCTTCATCTGAACTCTTCAAATTATTATTTATTGTGCCTTATTCAGCAAAAATCTTAGCGTTGTCGCATCGAGATGGAATCTTTACAAAGCAAACATGACCACTAAACAACAAGATGTGTTGTTAATATAAACAAATGATGTCTAAGTAAATATAAGTACAGGATATAAAATAAAAACCGTCAATAAAATTGTCTTGGTGCATTTTAACGGAGGCACTCTATTCCTCTTCTGATCTTTTTCTTCACTATAACTGCAGCCTTGGTTCAAGATTGAAAACATAATTATTCTCAAACTTCGTTGAGTTAGCTTTCCTTGGTTCTGAAGTCATCCACTTACAGTGTATCTTTCGTTGAAACACTTGGCTTTAGTAAACAACAGGATTTAGTGGCTCAGCTTTGACATTTCCTAAATCCAAGCCTGAATCAACGTCATCATCAATTTCTCCTACAATTGCCCTGTAACAAAAGAATATAATAGTTAAAAACATATCTTAACCAAGAGTACAGATGATCAACAGATTGATTAAAAGCTACAAAATTTACAACAGAAATAAAATAACGTCAAATATTTGATCTGTAGCTCTCAGTACACAAGCTATAACGATTGCTTAAGGTTTGTTCAGTGCTGTAGAACTCAGCAAAAAGTTAATACCTTATTAAAAAAGCCTGTCTAACATTCTTTCAGCTGCATACTGTCGTAATTTTGACATCACTATCAAAGTGATCTTATTTGAACCACAAAAATGATCATTAGCATAATGATTATCAACGTTAGTGAGAATATCAACGGTGAGAATATCAACGTTAAAGCATTGGAATATGCATAATAGTTGGGATTGGAAGTTAATTTAAAGGTTTTCAAAGCTTAGTTAAACGTTTCGAAAGCAAAAATACTGAATTATTTTGCTTTTGAAGGATTTAAAAGCAATAGGGAGAAACTACCAAGGACAATCATTTACGAAGCATTGGAAATGCTAGTGACTTCTTTGATCATATTTTCAGAACAAGATTTTATACTGTGTCACAACGACAAAGACATGAAAAGAAATGCAAAAGTGAACCCCTCTGATAACGAATTCCAACAGCATTGCTTCAGGCAGAGGAAGTAATACTTCCTAACGTTTCAGAGAGACACTCCTCAGTTTAAGAATTTATCTTTATTAAAATTAAGAAATGTTTTTTCCGTTTAAACTTTCCGGCTGCAAGTTTTGCGGTAATTTACTTTTCTTATGAAAATTGCCAGTTTCCCAAATCTAAATGTTTAATCTGTTATTTAGAAAACTTGTTATCCAGATCATATTTTCATTTCCCTCCACAGTAGGAGAAAGCAGTCGTTAACATTATATCCTGCCAACCTCCAGCATCTGTATTTTCACAATGTTATCAATATTCCAATCATCCTTCTTCATTAAAAAATTTCCCTGCTTAGATGCGCCATTTATTTCATCAACCACATACTCCAAAGCCCTTTTGATTATGTAAGAAATCTCTTTCCGTTAGCTTCAATTATTCCACATATTTTAGATAGCAAAGAAGATTAGATCAATTCTTTGAGTTCTTTCTAACAGTTCATAGAATCATCCTCCAAATAGAACAGACACACAGTTTACAGCTAAACAGAAAACAACAAGGACAAAAACTAAAAAAAGTTCGCAGCACCCTTAAATTAGCAGAAAACTGGGCACATTGATTAAAATCAAAGCTCACATTACATTTAAGCTATAAATTAAAATATGTATAAATTAAATTAAATTAAATTAAAATATATATAAACATGCAACAAAAAACATACTAGGAAAAAGTCACTCATGAAATCTATGAAACATCATATGACTTTACTTACACATTGTCTCCTCTCACGATGTAAAGGCCTAGCACAACTTGCTCTATTCCAGTTGTCGAGGAAAACACTCTTTCATGGCTTTCATCTAATATCAAGTTACAAGTTTGATCAAATCCTTTCAATGTTCCCTTGAAGAAAATCGATCAAATTTTAGCTTCTGTCATCAAGATTTTTCATATCTTTATATCTTTATGAAGTGTGTCCTGTCAGACAACAAATCATTGAAAACCAGACTTTTGCAACCAATTACAAAATGTAACAAAAGCCTTTGTTCAATGCAACCAATGATAATAATTATTAACAATGAATATAATAAAAAGACATCTCTTACTACAAAACCTGAAAAGTCTGTCTCTGTCAGGCCTGGCCATTTGAGAAGAGCCATTGCTCTGGCTCCCCTCTAAGCTTTTCTCAATTGCTGGAGTGGAGCTACAGATTGATTTTCTAAATTGCTCCAAAAAGCGAATTGATCACCTTGAAATCAATTGCCTTGTTTCTATTCATATTAATCTACAAACAGCTAGTCTGGATATTGTTAGGATAAGGCAATAGCTCGCGCTTGCCTCGGTGCTCACCTTCCAACCTGAGGCAAGCTATGAATTGCTCTCCTAAACAGAACATGATGGAAAATGCGCACCCCTAAAATTTATGTTCATTTACTTTTTCCGTACTCACAGAACCCTGAAAATCGTACAAGGGTAAATCGGTTTATTTTTGTAAGAGCGATTTCTCCCATCATTGCCTTTTCTCAATTAATTTTTGCTCGACGGGCAGTTTTGTTATGATAGTCATAAACTTAAATCTATGTTTGTAGAGCTTAGAACCTTTCAATCTTATGAAAACAGGCAAATTCTTGGTAGGAAAGTCGAAAAAATTGGTAAGAATTCTCAATTGGGGAAAAATAAAACAGCAGATCCCTTCCAGCATTAGAAAAAAAACTCTCCCTCAAAGAGAACAGCCTACTCGGTCATGCAGATCAAAAATGACGACTTAAACATGCAATTTAACTATCGAGCTGCATTTACTGGAGAACCCAGTTTGTGCAAAAAACTAAAATGGCAACATGTTTAGATAATTGGTAGAGCCTGATCATTGTTCCATCTGGCAATTTTGGAATCCTTCTATATAAACATGAAAAGCCAGAATTGTCTAGATAGAAGGAGTTCTTTTTCACTTTAGAATCTGTTGGTAACATTTTCCATAAGCAAGCAACACTGATTGGGCAACTTCAACAGCCATGTGCTCATGTTTCTGATTGTTCTGATTGGCCTATTTTGATCCACAACTGGGTACATATATTTCCTAGTGTGGAGTTTTCGATCTACGTTCTGACATTTTATACTCTAAAGAGAGTCAGATGAAAAGCTTGTTTCAAAATGTTTTAGCTCGCCTCAGGGAGCGATTCACAGCTCACCTACAAAAAAAACAGCCATGCCTGTGTGTCTTAAATGCTCAGCTATTTAATTATGTAAATTTCTGCATGAGGTTTAGTTGGCTGGGATTCCAAGGTTGTGAGACTTTCACCCCAGATTGAAATAAGTAGAGGCAGGTCAAAAGATATCAATATACATACAACTATCATTCTTCCATCTTGAGTGACAATTGCAACCATATCTGAAGGAATGTGTCAAGGACATGCAAAACAGCTATTTCATTACAATTAAGCAAAAATACATAGTTTACTATTTTCATTAATCATGCCACAATCTGTTCACACATTGTTAATGAAATCATGCAAGAATTAAGTCAGTTAACAAAAACTATAATGCGGGAATTCCAAACACAAATTACTAGAGATTGATCATTAGTGTGATTTGGCCTGAGATATCTTTGATCATAAAGAACATAAAAAATTTAAAGATTAAGGCTTGAGATAAAGAAATTTCTTGGTCAGATTTGAGTTCATGTAGAGTTTCTGTTAAAACTGTAAGTAAGTTGGTTGAGCATGGGAGATAAATATCACAGATTGAGCCCAGGGTATACTTATGGTAACAATAAAAATGGCAGAGATGGTGTTGTTCCTAAACAATATGCTGCCATTGGGGGGGGGGGGGGCTTGGGGACATGCCCCCAGTTCTGGGCAGGAACAGTTTCATAATTTGTCTAAATTTGATGAGAAAATTTTAGGGGGAGGAATAGTATTTTGGTGACATGTTAATCCTATGATTTTGAAACTTCCTTTGTGTAAACAAAAGTGTGTCATGGTAGTTTGCTAGGTATTAAAATTGGCATCCCTTGTTGATAAAGGGACCTTTTTTGACAGTAAAAGGGCATTGCCTAAAATATTTTATTTTGTCCCCCACCAAAGCATAGAGGCTGGTGCTGGCCCTGCCACTGAATGAAATTACATTATGCTGGAGTAATCTGATACATTCCAGACTAAATTTGTGCAAGGATGTCATATTGTTTAGAGTTCTGGGCTATAGATACTTGGGTCACTGAGATGATCAAACTTACACTTAGAATTAGGAGAGTTGCCAGCTCTCCATTATTCTAAGCATATTAAAGTGATTTCCTATATACTAATATGCCTAAATGCAGATCAGGGCAAGCTCTGCTGCCCGCGGTCGGACGGTCACAAATCGCCTGTTAAAATAGCCTCCTAGATCCCTCCTCCCCGTCCTGCGCCCTCCCCTTCCGGCTGGCCCGCCTGGCCCGAACACTGCCGAACAGTGTGGCATTTGCTTTTCCATTTCAATCTGAGTCGGCTTTCCTGCCTAAAACTCCTCGAAACAAACTTTTTTTCGGCGGAAGTTGCCTTGCTTGCGGACCTGATTGCCTCTCCAGAGAAAAGGTTACATCAGGTCGTTAAGCGTGTTAGGCTTTGTCGCGTGGGTCATTAACCGCCACCTCTTTGTGCGGAGGGCAATTATCTCCGCAGAGTTGCTCTGCCAAGGCTCTGCTAATGTATGATGCAAGTGCTGCCCTAAATAAAGTTGAGGTAAGGTACCTGTCCATAAGGTTATGCCCATGTAGAGTTATTTGAGACAAGATCTCTGCATAAAAATCTTCTCTAACCAATCATGCAAACAAAAGCAAAAGACCATTGTGAATTTCAATTTTTGGCATGCAGTACTGCACTGGTTTCATAGATGCATCTGCTTTTAATAACAAACGAAAAAGCCGCCATTGTGTAGACAAAAGGAGTTCGTTTTCTCTCTTTGACTCCATTGGTAATTTTTCTGTAGGCTCGCGGCACTGATTGGTCAACTATACCGGTCTTGTGCTTGCGTTTTTCTGATTGGCCTATTTCGATCCACAACTGGGTATATATTTTTCTAATGTGTTTTTTCGGAACCTATTCTGACGTTTTATGCTCTGAGGAGTGTCAGACGAAAAAGCTTTAAGTATGTTGTAAAATGTTTGCTTTTTTCAAAGCCATTTTCAAACAAACTTTCTTTAAGATTTCATTAAAAATCCCAACCACCAGGTTAGAGGACAATGTTATGATTTTGGCTTAGTGTAGCTGCAAGCAACAGCACACTGTGAACAGTGAACAAAGGCCTTTGAGCTACGTGCAACAACGCTTATATATACAAGACTATAGTGTAATATGCATATAAATGTTGTCGACCAATATTGGTAAACACAATTTTATCATTACATAATTTACATCTCTAAGCCGCTAAATGCAAGCTCTCCATCCAATCTGTAGCAACTGCGATACTATTCCGCAATTCAATGCCTGGGTTTTTGTGGTTACCTTCAACACTAACACTTACATAGCCTAACCAAAGCTCCTCACATTCTGTTCTCTTAGATTTGTGGTGTGTATTAAAGCATGCATAGTTGTGGCTCGATTTTTACTTGTTACAAAATATTAATTTCAAAAAGATGAGCAGCAGCGAAAACCTATGCTTTAAAACACCAACAAAGTTGCAAATTAACTATTTGCATTTCGCTATCAAGAACAAATAACAAAAAGGATACGTCCCATGTAACTTTCTAAACTGGTAGCCATCTTGAAAGCCCTTGTGCTGCTCAATGCGAGGCAAATAGACAACAACAACAAAATAATACTGGTGGAAGCAGCGCACATTATTACTGGTATTCTCTTTAGGTTGTGATTGGATTTTACGGGGCTGAAAGAAACTGTAGATTAAGATGGATAAAACATATTGTGATAATTGTGAAGAGCCAGGACATCTGAAGAAAAACTGCACATCGCTGCCAAAAGCTAATTTGGTGGCAGCCCAGTCGAAGAATGGCAAAGATTTTGAATTCAGGGAACCATTAAGCGATGTTAACGTTGTTGACACCCATTGTCACATAGATGCACTTTTCGAAAGAATAAGACATAGAGGGAATTATGAACAGTTCAAAACACTTTTTCGTTTTCCACCCAACGTACGTGGATGTATTTCATCATTTAGTGATCCTACCTGCTTTGGATCATTAGGAATGTGGGAGAGTTTGTTTTCAGAGGATGGTGTCTGGGGTACTTTTGGTGTACATCCACATAGTGCGAAATACTACAATGATGAGCTTGAAGCAAAAATTGTGGCATGTCTTAAGCATCCAAAAGCATTGGCTGTAGGGGAATGTGGGTTGGATTATTCTGTCAGAAGTGCATCACCAAAAGACAAGCAAGATATCGCATTTAAAAGGCAGCTCAGAATTGCTGTTCAGTTGGACAAGCCTGTTGTGATACATTGTCGTGAAGCTGAAACTGACTGTTTCCAAATCATGAAGGACATCTTACCTTCAGACTGGAAAATCCACCTTCACTGCTACACTGGTGATTTAGCCCAGGCTGAGGAATATTCTTCACATTTTCCAAACCTTTATTTTGGTGTCACAAATCTAGTAACATACCCTACTGCCACCCAGGTGCACCATGATGCCACTGATTTGCCATTGCGAAAGCTGGTCTTAGAAACAGATGCTCCGTATTTTGTTCCAAGCCGTTTAAAGGGGACAACAAGGTTCAGTACACCAGGCATGGTGATGTACGTTGCTGGAAAATTAGCAGAATTTCACAAGTGCTCACTAGACAAAGTTTTAGAAACTTGTCAAAAGAATGCTGAGAATCTTTATGGGATATCATTTTAACTAAAGTATAAATAATAGGTAATTTAAGAAACATTTTTCAAGATGTAAAATTGCATTGTTTTATTGGATGCATGATTCTTAATTCATGCCCATTTTAAAGAAATTGTCTGTATGTAGTTTAAACATACTTTTTGAAGATAAATATAAAAGACAATAACTTGTTTTGAAAATCTACTTTGCATCATAATGGTGTACGTAAGTTGAAATTTAGACATAACAAAGATCGACTTTGGCTATGAATGATTTTACTTGATATTATAAATTTTATTTGCTTATAAATCAATTCCTGTTCTGAAACTTTCTTTCTAAAACACCTTAGACCTTTTTGTCATTGCCTGCATTGTCAAGGTTATGTGGGTAGCTGTCCTTTAAACTATATGCTGTATTTTGCCTTGATTAAGGAGCATTCTTGTAAAAGACACACCCTTAATTCCATGGTAAAATTTTAGGAAAATTGTTGTTGCCTTGTCCTATCCTGCATAAGTCGCACCCCCATTTTATCAGTACTGGTAAAGCATGAAATATTAAAGTGAAAAATAAGAAAAACTCAAGAATCCTAAAGAAACTCTGTGTGGTTTTTATGGAAGGATTCAAACCTAAAGTATGTACCATTACGTTTAAATTAGAAACAATTGGTTTTAAAATCCATAAAATTCTCTGTTACTATCTGTTTCATCAGAAAAATCCTTAGCCTTTCTCAGATAACATCAACAAACTATTGCTCATCAGTCCCCAAAAACTCAGGAAACATAGCATACACTTTTAATCATCCTTGTTTTTTACCACCTGCCAATGTTAGTTTCGATGATTCAAAATTTTCTCCAAGCGTCTCCATTTCAATGTGCCAAGAGGACTTTTAGTTTGAAACCAGCAAGATAGGATGTGTGTTATTTTACCAAACTTGGTTAATGAAGGTATTTTGGACAAAATAATGTGTTATATTGGATATATCATCTGTGACCAAGTTATTTCCCTATTCAACAAATGCAACTGATTTCTCAAATTACGTTGAGATGTTGCTTGTGGTTTCATGGTTGTTTCCTGTTCCATTATCAAGGGTAGATTTATCTGGCAATTATACAGGGACGTTCATCCCTAATCCTGCATGGAGATTATTTCTTCTAAAAGTGAGGTTATTCAATATAAGTAGCTGAACCAGAGCCCAGGAATGATGGGAAATTTGATGTCACCTGAGATGCACCCTCAAAAACAAAGCTAATAATGGCTCAAAAAGGTGTCATACGCACAGTGAAATATGGTAAACAAACTGAAGAAAGTCCTTAAGGCCATGGGGAACATGGATGGCTACATTTATAGCTAAATTCAACTGCATTCTTTCTTTCCAAAAAAAATCAAAAATGCCCCTAAAACGATGGGTGTTTAAATTGTTAAGATGAAACATGTAATTTTAATAGCATATTTGCATTTTTAAAATCTGGTTCAGTTTCGTTATGCAGGGGTTAAACCGATTTCCAGAATTCATAACAGAATTCAGAATTCATGGTGATTTATAAATGCATAAATAGATAATGTCTTTAAGTCAAATAAATCCAGAAATTTTATAAAAGAGAAACATGCCAAGGCTGCAGTATACCTAACTTTCTTTCTGATGTAGTTCAACCACTGATGTCTTTTTGATATGTTTAGATGAAACATTTACATATGTCAAAAACAGAACAAATAATTCTATAGCACAGCAAATAACAAAAAAGTTTGCATATCCAACATACTCTGTGATTAAACCAGCAGCCAATTTCAGTAGCAGCTTTCCAAGAACCTCAAAAGTAGCCATTAATGTGTAATGCAATGCATGAATATTATCAGGAAGTATTTTTGACATCATCATCATAGCTGTAAAGGTTGCTGTAGTCATTGTACCTGCTAGCAGCTGGAAAACACTCTCAAAAACTATATGTAATGCTAAGTTCCTTGTAATAATCACAAGAAAAACACTGTATAGAATCAATATAATTGATCTTGAACATGCGACCAGGAAAAGAAGATGATTGACTTCCATCCTGAAAAGAAATTATTGAAAAATCAATGCAGCATTTGCATGCACGATAAACGGTCATAAATCAAAGTTTTACCCTGAACAAGATTTACACATGAATCTCACAACAAATCTACAAATCTTGCCACAAGTTTTATACCCAGCCTGGTACATTCTAAATCTTTACAGAGGCAACAGCATTTTAAAATGGCAAGTCACAGTTAACATCATATTGAGTTACAGCCAGTTGGCTTTGTCAATTAAGCCCAACTCAGCATGAATTGCAGACCCTCAGAATCACAGATAAAGAATATGTCCTATATCTAATATGATGGAAAAAAATAAATAGCAAAAATAGAATTTACCTGAATTTTGAAATAAGTATACCACCCATAGATGATCCAAATATGGAGAAAAGCTGACCAAAAATTCCAGTCACCATCCCCACACGACTCAAACTAAGACCGTTATCAATGAGATAAAGGGGATACATTGAAGTGAACCCTTGCTCTCCCATTTTGTAAAAGAACACAAAAACCAGAATCCATAATTGGTTATTTCCAAATAATACGGAAAATGACTTCCAACTTGTGTACTGAGAATTATTTTGATGGTTATGCTTTGATTTAAATCCACTCTTTGAATTAAACAAGTCTGATTTTTTCGCAAAATAAATTGCAGCCAAGCCATAAACCAAACTTTGAAAATATATGAATTGAGGCAGACTTATATAGTGACTCAAAGCTGTCAAAAATCCACCAGCAAATAGAATTCCAATTTTGTATCCAACCACATGGCAAATATTGCAATAACCTGGAAATGAAAAAATCATTTTCACAAAAAAATGTATGCAAAAAATTTAAGACTGTTTTGCCTTTATCTTGCATAACAGGAATGGCAGATAAAAATACCACAAAATTTTACATGTTTTCACTAAAAGGATTTGTTGAAATAAGGAATAGTTGATAGAATAATTTGTATCTACTTTAAATGAATCAAAATCAGGATATCAAGTTCACAATACTTTCATAAGGTGAGAAAGTGTGTTAATTTTTGCAGAGAACTTAGGCGCAACAAGACTCTCTCATGGAAAATGCCCTAACTAGTGATCATATGTGTACCATGCTGTCTAGAAATGTAGTAGAAAGCAAATAAAGTTACTACAATCTTTATCGGCTGAGCTTAATAGCGAAGAGTTTCCAAACCAGGTGAGCAGGTAATAGTTTAAAAAATATAACATCCCCTGCATTGTGAAGTATTTGAGGTTTCCATCACAACTATAATGTACAAAAATGTTTAGGCTGCACATCAAACTATCTATGCAACTGTATCAGTACAAAAACCTTGAATAGGGGAAGCATTACCATGCCAGATTGGGGTATGAAGAAAAGTTAAAATCACCTGAAATCAACTGAAATCAACTGAAAGCGCCTGAAATCACATGAAATCACCTGAGACCATAGGATTTTTCCTATTCACAAAAACAATGCCAGTTGATTTATGATTGTTGTTGGCAGTTTCAGGTGATTTGCAGGTATTCTCATTAAACAATATTTGATTGTGCACATCTTTTTTTAAGGATTAAAACCAGACTGTTGACATGCTACTAGTTAAGACTCATCATTAACTACAAACAGATTATACATCTAATCTTTTGGCAGTACAGAGTTTAAAAATGGTATTCACAAAAGTAAAAGTTGGTTTTTTTTCAAAGCCATTTATAAGTCATACATACATCTTTATATATTACATACACATCTTCTTACCTAGATCCTTTGCATCAAATTTTTTGATGGCTAAGGCATCAACTGCTATGTCCAAAGATGCAGATAAGAAATTCATAAAGATCAATGGGAGTAAAAACAACGAGCTACTTGAGTTTAGATCCAAAAAGAGGCAGCAAAATGAGAGCAAACATAGGCAGGTCACAACCCATTCTCTTCCTGTGTTTGCAAATCTGTCAAAGAAATTTGCCCACGAGAATTTCAAAATCCATGGCAAACTGATTAGATTTGACAGACCAATTGTAGAAAGACCGATTCCTCTTCTCCTCATTATCAAAGGAATGTATTTCGTTTGCATGCCATACGGGACGCCTTGCAAAAAATATAGTAAGCTGATTTCCAAAAGCAGTCGCATGTTACCCATGGCAGCAACTGATGTATTAAAAATCCATGAAATTTACCAGAAATCTGCAAGTTTAATTAGTTGTCTTAAATCAAATTAAATAATCCATCTCTAGCATTCAGCCTTTTTTGCATGCCAGGCCATCAGTAAAAGCTCAACGTCTCTCTCAATGGTTGTATCATGTGCCACTACCATTTGTTCACTGCCTCCTTCTCGTGTTGCTAAGAAACAGTTGGAAGTAATTTGTCAAGAAGATGAAGCAAAACAAGTATGTCGGACACTCGAAATCAAATTTTGGTGGTTTTTGTTTGCTTTTAAGACGATAAACGACATGTATTATTGATTTATGCAAATAAGCGCAATGATACGACAAAGTTCTGGAGGAAAGGCCAAGTGGAAGAAGGGCCTACAGAAACTGAGGCGCCAGAGTACGGTGTCAGAGTTTTCTGCTGGAGACCAGCAAACAAGCCATTCGCTGATGGACGAGGAAGGTACTGAAGATGAAATGCAAGACTACCTTTCCAAACTTAAGAAGAAAACTGGCCTAAATCAGCTATGGAGTGGGCGTAAATTCGAAGAAGCAATTGACAAAGATCCAGACATCGACTTATCTGAAGAGCCAAGGTTGAGGACTGGTACCTTGAAAGAACTGACACTTGATAGCGATGAGGAAGATTTGAAAAAATTCATCAATAATCTAACAGATGAAGAGTATGATGTACTATCAGAGCATGAAGAACCATCACAGACCGCTTCATCAAAAAGTGATTTCAATTTAATGAAAAATATCAATTTTGCAGAGGCTTCAAAAAGTGCTTATGGGATGCTTAAAGTTGATACTGATGATGAGAAAGATTATATTCCAGTTATTATGAAACCAGACCTTGATGAAAGCGAATCAAAGAACGAAAGCTCAGGCCAATTGTCCAAAAGCTCCCGGAGTGATATATTTAGAAACGCTAACATAAATTTTATTAGCAGCGAAGTTAGTAGTCTCCAGCAACCCGTGAAAAGAAATAAAGATGGTGTTGATGGTACTGCAGAATCAGATCGTGATGGAGAGGACACTGAATTATCTGAAGAGATTCCAGAAATGCATGATACGAGCAGAGTTAATACTCCACTAAATAAAAGTAATGATTACACTGCCTCAAAGTTTGAATCTTATTCAAGTGAGGAAAGTAGTGTTGCTAGCCACAAAGAAACTCCAAGAAAAGGTGCAAAAGAGACTAAAACTAACAAAGAAAGCAAAGATTTAAGCAGCAGAACTTTAAGCTCACAGAGCTCAAGTATTTCACACAACAGTAGAAGTGAAAATAGAAATGTGAAGAAGAAAAGAAGCAAAGATTTTTCAGAAACTGACTCACATTCGCAGTCATCTAGTGTCACTTCAAGTTCATCAACTTCTAATTCTACATCTTCCTCTTCTTCATCATCAAAAACAAAGACTAGTAGATCATCCAAATTGTCTAGATCAGAGAAGAGGCATACAAAAAATAAGATTAAGTCTAGAGGAAGGGATGATAAGAAAAAACCACACCACATGCATTCAGGGCAATTGACAATTGGATTACATGATTTGGGTATGGATGAATCAATTTTAAAGAATTTAGGGGCTTTAAAGTATTCAGACCCATCTCCTGTTGCAGCAACAGTTGTCAGTGAAGAAGCTCTTGATGCAGTCGCAGCATACAATCCAACAGTCCTTGCTTTAAATGACCTGTTAAAATATCAGCTGCAACTAACAAGACAGCATATTGATAATAGTTGGAGACTATATAGAGCATATGCAGAACCAGATGCAGTTGGAAAACACAGATATACAACTCTGAAACAAACATTGAAGTATATGAAAAAACACGCACCATCAGTTGTGTCATATCAAGATGCTTTAAAACAAGTCCAAAATGGTGATGACTTTTAAAATCTAGAATTCTCTTAGGCGTTTGAAGGAATGCATGATTAGAAAATTCAATAAAAGGCTCGAGGGGCTGGACAAATCTCTTTTTGTTATTTTTTGCAGTAATGTATGTTTATTTTTTGCTTTCTGAATTTTAAGAAACTCTTTAATATGTCTTCCTTTTTAAACTACACATTTCTACAAGCATGAAGGCTATTAAAATTCCAAAGATCAAATTGTTTTACAATATGGATTTGATGTCTTTCGCTAGTTTGAAGACAATTCTGTTTTTATTGAATGCAATTCTGTTTTTAGAGTGCAATTCTCTCTGTTCAATTGTTTTATGTGTCTAGTCCCCTTGAGCAACTGTTAACATAAAGATTATTCTAAATCAGAAAAACAGCTACAACTATCTGAAATTGATAAAAATGATAAAATCATAGGCACATTTGGAGACACAAATTATGAAAATTGCCAGCACAGTTAAGGTTTTAGCCAATTCACCTGCTGCTAAATAGCTGTGGAAAGCTTTTTAAAATTCAAAACTGACAGTTGCATTCCTTATTTAAATGTACACTCAAAAGCCTACATATTTTTTTCAGCTATAATGTTGCATGTCCCACTACAAAACAGCATATACATCCTTCAGTATGGGTGCATATATAAACTTATCTTGTTCTATGATTCAATGGATAAAATAAATGGATTACAAGAGCTTTTCACAGATAATAGAGAGACTGAAGTTGCTAAACGTAATTCTCATTATAATATTACAAATGTAACATAAATATTTGTTTAACCCCCTTTAGGTAACTCTATCTGCTGACGAACTATATAAATCTAAATAACCAACTTAAAATGAGAACCAGGGCTTGTTTGAAAAAGCACAACAAAAACATAAAGGATCATGAAGTATGATCTCTTGTAAATATTTGTAGATAGTCATTTTAAGGTGCCAACTGCCAGCAAGCAACTGCATTGCATATTTGCAATTGAAAATACAATTTTACAGCATTTATGAACACCTTAACATACTACAAGGAAAATATGGTTTAACTAAAAATATACAACAGATTTTCAACATTCAAATCTAACTGATCTATCAATAGATGGCTTGCTCTGGTGAACAAAGTTTAAGAGGAAGGGTTTTGTAGCTATAGGATACTGGATAGTCATATCAAATATGACAAAGTGATAACTTGTGTCTATATACATATAATTTTTGCAACAACCTGAGTTCTTGTGAACAAAATGCATAAATAGCTGTATGGGATTAGGATGCATTAAATGATCTCAGCATTAACATTAAATTATGCTTTGTTAATAAAGATAAATCTATCTTATAATCTATCTAATAAGGATGATCTATCTTAGGGTTAGGAGTAATGTTTTATGAAAGATACCTTAATTTGAAAACATTGATGTAATTAGCAGTGAACTAAATATTAGAATAAATGAAGAGATACCATAAAAGGGCTGTATCACTTTCTTGACTCTGTAAAGATCAATTAACATGTTCACTTAATCTAACTTTCCTTTGCAAAAAGGGAAGTTGAGCTGTATTCTGCAATTAGATCTATCAATTACAGTGGTTGGGACCAATCCGTCATAAATATATATACAGGGACATACAGTGGTATTACTAGTATTAAAAGCTGACCTGTGAATATCTCATCCAATGCTTTCTTAAATACTAAATACTAACTGCTGGTCATTGTCATGTCTAAAGACAATTAACACTTGAAGTTGATTTTGATACTTCCTTAAAGTTATTGTACTTCAAATATAGTTCACTCAATTTGTATTTACATAAAACTGATACAACTCTGAATTATCAAGCCTTTTACTCAAATATTACCAAGGATTTACAATTTGAACTTAACCTCTTTATCAACTCTTTTGTCATAGGACTAACAAATAATTGCAAAAACATATGAACAGTTATTTTGAGTTCTTTTTTATCTTAGATCTGTATTACTTAATCCAAGTTTGCGGAGTTGCTCTTCATAATCACCAATGCTTCGCTTCATTATATCCATACATGGACCTAGCAGTCGCTCAAATGCTTGAACATCAAGAGCTATGAGAAAGACATTTGCATAAAATCATGTCATATTGCAGGTGGCAAAATTTTTCCTTTTTGATTGTATTTCCCATGAAGGGATTTCATGTGATTAAAGTTATTCAAATGTTCTCAGAAATGGGACATTGTAATGTCTGGTAAACAGAAAATTTAATAAAAATTCTTCCAAGATCAAATATTCCAAATTGCTTGCATTGCTAAAAAACATTTCATCGCCAAGAAAATCTGTGATTATATTTTTCCTTGAGATGCCCCACAAGACAACAAAACACCCAAATAACAACTGATGATTAGATAGAGAAGTCATCTGTTTGGCTCAAAAAAGCTGACCCTTGCTATAACACTTACTTGCAACAGTTAGATCTCCTACAGCATAAATAGAGGCAGCTCTTGGTTTGTGTGTAACCAAAGCTAGTTCACCAAAGTAACCACCATCTAGAGTTGTGATTTCAAGGTCTTCTGGAGGATCTGCCTGCAATTAGAGAAGGAAGTAGAACAGTTAAGTGGAGGGATATGAACGATGCTGGGAAAATTAGGAAAAAATTATTTGATTCTTGTTTTCAATTAATTCTCAAATTCTATGGACTAAAATGGAATACAAAATGAAGTTTTTTAAATACTTTGAATAGAAATAAGATTTAACATTGGCTTGTTTATAACAACTAAAAGTTAAAGGACCTTAACAAATATATATATATATATATAAAGGTAACCTTTATGAAAACATGGATAAATACTAATCCTTATTCCTAGTACTAAAGCAAATCTTGGTCAAAACAACGGAAGTCTATCAGTTGAAGGATGATATTGTGTGGGTTAAGGCTGATATACACAAGCAGTTCTTTTGTGTCAGTTTTTCCCAAAAATTTTTACATCCTTTTTTTATCAGTTTAACTGAAGGAGCATGTGTTTATACAATCAGTCAAAATTCTTCAGTTTTTCAGTTTTGTGATGAATAGAGACACAGAATGTGCTGCAGCTGCAATTATTATTGCCACAATTTCAAATTGAAAAAGGAGGAGAAAACAGAGGTCCACATGGGTTAAAGCATGGCTACAAAAATGTTCACAACTTGGAATGTATGATACATCGTTGAGGGAATTTCGCCAACAGGAGAAGGATGAATACAAGAATTTTTTAAGGATGAAACCAGAAACTTTTGATGAACTGTTGGCCTTGAAGCATAATGTTCTTTTTGGCTCAACCTTTTTCGTTTTTGTAGCCATGTTAAAGCTTGTTTTTAATCAGATTTACTTTTAAAAGACTTGCTTCCTGATGTTTGCCTCAAAAAATGCAATTGCTCACTCAAAATACGTCATAGATAATATGTTAATTGGTGTGATAACCACTGCTTTCCGGTGTGAATGAAGTTTTGACTGATCAGTTTGACTAAACACGTCAGACTTTTAAAAGACTGACAGTTTTGCCTTGTCAGTCGAAAAAACGTCACATATTTTGACTGATGAGTAAAAACTGACGAAAAAATTATTGTGTGTTTCAGCCTTTATGATTTAGATTTTGCTGAGGAAGTCACTCAAAGAAGATTTTTTGGTTATTGTATGTCACTAAGAATGAGAGAATTAATTCATAAAATGGTAAAATATTATAATAATTTCAGTCAATGTCTCAATGTCGGCTTTCCAGTCCAGGTTTTTTTAACTTGCAGGTGTATAGTAGCAGGAGGGTTCCAGTTAAAATCTAGAAACATCTCTGTTTACAAAAACAAACTGGATAGACTTACTGCACTGAGCATTCTCACTGACACCTTTCCTTTCACAATGAAATACATGCAATCAGCTTCATCACCCTTAAGAAAAAGAATTTGGTAATTCATCCAAAGAGCATATTATATTGATATATGATAAGGTAAACACATGACTAACTCATCACCCATACACAAATCTTCATATTGTAACAAATCATTAGCTAAATCAATTTAGGTCATCAGAATGAGGGAGATTCTAAGGTTTTAGATACACTGTTAAAACAAGTGATTCTGCCATCCGTCAACATCTTCTAGACAACCCAGATTGTGCAAAACTCTATAATGACGACATGTTTCGGATAATTGGCAGAGCCCGGTCGTCCTTCCATCTAGCAGTTTTGGAGTAAATCTACATAAAAACGAAAAAGCCGCCATTGTGTAGAAAAAAGGAGTTTGTTTTCTCTCTTGGACTCCATTGGTAATTTTTCTTTAGGCTCGCAGCACTGATTGGTCAACTATACCGGTCTTGTGCTTGCGTTTTTCTGATTGGCCTATTTCGATCCACAACTGGGTATATATTTTCCATTGTGTTCTTTCGGAACCTTATTCTGACGTTTTATGCTCTGAGGAGTGTTAGACGAAAAAGCTTTTAGTATCTCATAAAATGTTTGCTTTTTTCAAAGCCATTTTGAGAAAGGATTTATAACGTTTGTCTTTTTGATAAACATGGTAATAAATGTACATTGCTTATTACAATTCCGAAGCAAATGTAGGCAAGATAGCAATAAGTAAACTCATATTTGCAAAAATCAAGTTACTTGTTTGATAATTCTATCTCCTTCCTGAAAATGCTTGGTTTCTAGGGCATCGGCAACATTCAGTCTTTCATAATTCTGTGTAATGAAAATTAGGGTAAAGAAAAATTGCACTCTTATCTGTAACAACTGTCCTGGCTATGTTAAAAGGAACTGACAAACTGTAAAACAAATGATACAATAAAAAGCCGAACGGATTAGCTAGTTTAACAAACCTAAAATAACAGTTATTCTGTCAAATAAGTTCACGATTTAACAACTTTCATCTAAAGGTATTGTTCATGAAAATTTATTAAAAGTACAAAAAAGGGTATACATTTTCTTTTTCAAAGCTATTTTGCAATTTTTATTATAAAAAAGTAACATTATATGGAGGTTAGTGAAATGCTATCAATAGTTTTTTGGGTTATCTAGCAAATGTTGGCTATCAAAATAGAGGTTTTTGAAAATTCACTGGTTCAATGTTGGAGGTTTGGAGGTTTTTCATAACTCAAAAACAAATTTAGAAAAATAAAAACAGTGTAAATGGTAACAACTACAGGTATTTTCTACTCCATTTCTGTGAGCATTTTTGAAACTTATAGCTTAATATTTGTAAATTTCAAACTTTAAACAAATGCACGTTTGAATATCAGTTTAAAAGATAATTATAGAATTTCCAAGACATTTTGAGTGGTTTATTAAGATACAGTAAAAGAGCTTTTACCGTGAGATGTGCCAACATTGGAACATTTTCTAGGAGTTCTTCATGCAATTTTCTCTGAATGGGACAAAAAGAACACAATAAAGTGTCTGTTATAATATGCAAAGTTCGTTAAGCATAAGAAATTTCCCATCATCATGAAAATTTTTATTTGAGTTCCTAAGACCCTAATTTGTTATTTCTAGAACCAAAAAAAAATTCTGGGAAATAATAACTGTAATGAAACAAAATTTCTTTATTGAAAGATAAAAATCTCAAAATCACTTTCCAAATCTGAAGTACCTGCAAACTAAATTTAGCATAAAATACACTACTTTGCTTTCATATAAAATGTATTAAAATGATATGATAAAGAATACAGTTGAGTGTTAAAAATTTTTCAGAGGAGGTTTGGTTTGGTACATAAGCAGACTAAGGATCTGCGAACCTGCAGAGATGTATCACATATACAAATTTTTGTTATGCAGCCACTTTTGCAAATTTTATCAACTCACTCGGTTTAGGCCCTGACTTACAGGCTACTGTTTACAAATTTTATTTGCCCTTACAAAATGCCAGCACATATTTATTTTTGGAATTTTTTGCATATAATAGAAGAACAATCGATCTATAACAATATCATGGTGTCCGATTGGTTAAGCCTGTGAAAAATAAAATTTTCAACTTTAACACATGATTGCGATATCAAAACTTTTGAGAATCACTTTAACATCAGAAAAAGGACAAAAAACAAAGGAATAAACTATTTTTTCCTAGTTTTTGTTTTCAAATAGCTACCTTTGGAGAGAAGTGTGAGCAGTTTTTTTGCTGGCCACCCCACCAATTTTGTCTCAAAATCGCAAAGGAAGAGTTGTTACGCAGTGGCCCAAAGCTTCATTGGGATTCTATGTGTACGATTTTATATAAATATTGCCTCAAAAACTTGAAATTAATTCAATAATTTCTTTTTAGGGGTAAATCTTGAGGAAACAAACTTATTTCCACAAAGAGGTACAATTTTTGATATTAGGGCTCAATAAATGTTCCACAGAATACCTTAACCAAAATTACCATTGTTGTAATTCTAACTTCAAAAAAATTTTCTAAAGCGTAGATTAGCTCGAATATACCAACTTGCAGACATGAAATGAAAGGTAATCTAATAAAGAATCTGAAAAATTTGACCATTTTATTATGTCTAGACTAAATCATAAGTTATAGGCCGTAATCGGATCAGTGGTCGGAAAATGAGCTAAGCCTCACTTGAGTTCTGCAGTGTAACAGCTTTGTGTGGAAATTTCTTACAAAAAGCCTGGAGAAAATACAGTATCTGCTGGCGAATATTTGCTATCATCAATATTTGCCACTTAAGCAAACAAATCATGGTGTAGTTTCTAACCTTTTTGGATGCATTCTTGAGCAAGATCTTCCTAAATGTTACTCTGTCAAGTGCCCACACAATTCCAGGTGATGTTGCTACAATTGTTGCTGCCCTGCATGGAAAATAGATGGGTATTTTAGTAAAAAACTTGCAAACCAACACAGTGACTTGACAATGCATTTGCAATTGCTAAATACTTTTCTTTTTTCTTCTTTACAAAAAAGACAAAGGATATCGTTGTTTAGAAATCCCCATCCGCATAATTCCTTGCAGAAATTATTGGTCTGTGAATACCAACAATAGTGTTATTATCACTGAAGACTTTTAAGTAGTTTCAGCTTATGAGAACAGAGGAGGGTGCTTGTTGACTAAACAATGAATAAAATCATGAACAACTCTTTTCGATAAATTTATTTTATAAATCTTTTTAACCTTATAGATCATTTCTACTTAACTAAACTATCCATCTAAACTCAATTTTTCACAACCTTTAAGAACAATGTCTCATGTGCTGGTGTATAGTTGGAATTTTTGTTGAAATTATTTTATGAATATTGACCAATCCCATGAAACTGAGTAATTATATTGGAGTAATATTATAAAGTGGCAATAGTGATCTGCTCCAGGGAGATGCCTTAACTGCAACTGGAAACAACTGTTATAAAAGATACCACATACCCAAAAAAAGTGAAATGAAATTGGGTGGCCCTTTTCCCTGTCACAAGCATTAACATTTAATTTTGAAAGCAGTAGATTCACTCATTAAGTTTGGGGAAACTGTTTCCTTTTGAATAACATTAAAAAATACCTAGGTGTGTTGTACATTAATGCCAATTCTCCAAAGCTACCTTTGTTGTCATAGCAGCCAACCTGGGAATGAGGCATAAAATTTCAGCACGATTAAGTTACATTAAAACTGAAAATAATCTGAACAAAAAGTCATTTCATGCTTTGATAAAAGAGGAACAAGAACATCATAACTCATATAAAGCTGATTACCTTCACAGCATTTATCATAACATTAAAAGCAGTCTGTCCCCTTAATGATTGGCTAATGTGAGGATAGGCAGGACTGGAAAATGTCCAGGCCAAGAAATTTTTAGAACAAATTTATTGAAGAAAATTGTTGCTGTTTGCCAGAAAATCTTTAGTGTGAAATCTCCATTGCTTGATTTTAATATGAACATTGAATTTATGTTACTCTCTTTCTATGGAACGCTATTTTTTCGTGATATACATATGTACTGTAAAATTTTTGTTCTGCGCTACTAATAAAACTGAAGATTAGCTTTCCAAATACAATCATCTGGTATTATCAGCGTCTGTTATACCAAATTTCCAGCAATTTGTGCATGATTTTCAGCTACTAATTTAATTCAAGCAAGTTGAAAAAATGTTCATCTCTCTTTTTACATTAGCCATTCTAGATAAGTGAAAACTTAATGACAGCCAATCTTGTTACGTCAATTGTATTGAATGTAAACATATCTGTTTAGATGTGTTCATTATTATTCATACTTTTCTACTGGTATTCGCATACATTTTTCAGCACTAGCTTTAAAGAATGTAAGCTTTTTGGTCTTACATCTCTGCCTCTAGCACCAACCCTGATTTAAAACAGTAATTTTAACAATTGAAAATAGTATTCTTAGATGTTGTAGCTATGATCATAAAAATGAGCAGCATACATGAAACCCAGAGCAAGATGTAGGATACATCAATACTTCAATATTATCTAGTTTGCTAGTACTGATATGAAATTAAATCAAAGTTATTATAGATTCTCAGATCTACTAACTTTAACCTTGAAAACAGCTATGAGTATTGTGCTCGACCACGTTAACCTTGATCATCTAATAGAGTATAAACAAAATGATTGCTGTGCGAATAGCTATGATAAAAAATCCAGGACCAACAAATAGGTCTTTCTTAGTTTGACAGTTTACTTTTAAGACAAAAGTTTAAACAAATCAAGCAACTTAAAATATCACTTTCAGTGGCTGGAAACTCTGTTGAAGCTTTGCAGGAAATCTTGATTTTTTATTTTGCCAGGAAGGAAAATCTTTTTTCAAGTCCTGACAATAGGTCTAAAATAAACAATGGATTACGCTGCTCACTCAGGCTGCACACTCACTCTGGCATCAAAGTTGTCTCTGATTGGTTTTAATCATCTAATTATCAATCAACCTCAATGGTACGTGAATTTCACTCCCATCAAAATAAAGTTGAGCACAATAGGGGACAGACTTCTTACCATTTCATCAACACCATTCTTTGATACAAATATGTCGTAAGTCCCACTGCAATGGAAATATTTGATGTGAAGAATGACAGGAAAGAATAATTATTACATCAGCATTAAGAGATAAAAACACCACACTGATTTATAGCAATACTATTAACCAATGATCAACTATTGCAGTTACTCTGAGTTTCAGATGTGTTCACTCATCAGACAGACAAACAGACTCATCAGAATAGTGATCCATAATCAATTATATAGATTAAACCTAACTTCTACAATGTCAATGAACATTTTCAATAGTAAAGAAACAGTTGATACAAGCTGCTGTTAAGTTAAACTGAATGTGAATACTTGGTATTACATTTCAAAGAAAGTGATCATAATGTAAAATGACAAGGTTTCATTTCATTACTAAAAAGTAGTGTACCAAAAAGATGGTCTTCAAAATATTATTACATTTTATAGAATGCAATAAAGCTTATAAGTACATATTGAGAGTGTTGTTCATATAAAATAATGTATAAAATAAAAGGAAAACACAAGCAAAAGAATAAATGCAGATTTGAATACCATTAGCTCACAAACCTGTCAATGACATAGAAATTATCACCATCATCTCCTTGATCAATGACATGATCACCAGGTTGAACTTTCTTTTCAAACATGGCATCAAGGACTTGTGACAATTGCTCCTAAAATTACAAGGCAGGTTCAGGTATTCAAGGGGTGAATAAAAATTTCCCAAACAAAACTGCAAGCTTAGAAAGGCAATAACAAAATTACAAATAACATATAGAAATAAATTATTTTCATTGTTCTTTTGGTTGGTTTATAATAATCAAAGAAATTAACCTCTAAGAACAGCTAGGGAAAAATAAAGATGACGACAAAACAACAGTTTTAAAACAGAATGCTTAAAAATCACATAGAATAGTACAAAGAAAACAATCAGCAAAATTGAGAAAAAACCAGGTAAAGTAGTACAAAGGAAAAAATCCTGACAATGGAACGCCTTAGACTGTTTAAAGAAAAATATTAAAGGATTTTTTGCTGTCAAGGAAACTGTTAATAACTATTGCAGAATATTTTATTTATTAATCATAATGACAAGTGTGTTCATTATAATCATGTTTATCATTATGATCATTATTATGATGAAGACAAAAATGGCTTGATAGTTTCTCAAGGTAACTCTAAAACTTATCACCCTTCAAAATCAAATATGAATGTTTACAATAAATATTGGAATGACTACATCTCAGGTAACTGCATTGGTTAGTTAGCGGATAAATTATTTATTGCAGGATAAACCTCAATATCATTTGAGGGAACTATCTTCTTCAAACTCAATGTAAGATAACCAAAGAAATAAAAGTTTCAAGCTGGTAAGACCAAATCACGAACTTGGATGGAGAAGCAAGACCTTGGTAGTCAAAATAAGGGCTTTTGTTATAACCTGGCAGGTGGCTATGGCTATACTGAGGTGGCCTGCTAGAGAAATTCTGGTAATATGAATTACAGGAATGCACAATCAACAGAATTTGAGATTATGAAACCACAGCAGGGTGATTGATCAACCAAGCACAGACTAATGAGCTATATGCTTTAGTGTTGATTGTGTTGAAGGCTGCATTCTTTTAGCTGAAATAGTTAGGCAAATTAACAGACAAAAACTTGCAGAAATCAGACAACATTTATGAAAAAACAAAATGGTCAGCGTTCCTATTTTATGGGTTACACAGTAAATATAAAAAACTTTTGAATCACATTTGGATAGAAATGACATTGATCCAAATGTCAGGTAGTAATCCAAAAGAAATAATATAAATATTTCTATGAAAATGTGCAACTTATGACATAAGACTCACTTGATCCAAGCTTTTGAACAAAAGGATATGTTTGACTGCTTCATTAAGCCTTACTCTTTGCTCATCTGACTTGGGATGGATAACCTAGAAATGTTAAAAATGCAAAAGAAAAAAACATAAGTGATTTTAAACATTTCATTAACTTTGATGATGAAAAATGAAGCAGATCGATATTAAAAATGAAAGTAACCTCAATTCAGGTAAACATGAATATAACATGGAAAAATAGTAAACTCTTATAAAATCTGGTTCTTTGAGACTATTCTAAAAACCTTGCTGTATAAACAACAGAACATACAGAAAATGGCACTCCTGCTTCTTGGCTTATACTTTCAAGAAAGGTAACAAAATGTCTATATCTTAGGCTGTTTCAAATATTTGGCAAGAAAAAAAATTAAGATATGAGTAAGTGAGAATAGATTTATATTTAAGCTGATCACTTACACATGTTCCCTCATCATCAGAGTCTGAATCAGGGTGATATGGCTCAGCACAAACTGATGTGAAATAAGCAGATATGGGTTCATTAAAAAAGGAAAAGATTGACTTCTAGTTGGTCTAATATTGAAGATTGCTGAATGAAATTTTGTCAGAAACAAAAAGGCTCTAGATGACTTGCTCAGGATACCTTAACCCCTCTATTCAAAGTAACTCCCATCATATACAACTTACAATACAGTAACACGATGATCAAATTAAGAATGTAACTTAGAGCTACAACTTACAACCATCTTTTCTATACACCAAAATTGCTGAGCAAATATTTGATTATTATGTATTTCACATCAAACTGTTGAATTTATAGTTAATTTACTTACTCAGTTCATAGCTCGATATAAATGATTTTTTTGATAACATACATATGCATAATATTCACCTGATTTTCGTCTTGCACCATATTGTTTCATTGGAGGTTCTGTGGAAAAAAGAATCATGACACATAAAATCCTTTAACTGGTTTCAGGTTCTGGACAGGTTAAAGAATAACATAGGAGCTCTGTAAGGCAATTAAGCTACTAGGAAGAATTTGCTTTATAAACGAAACTCTGTTTGCTCATTTTCAATTGTATCATTGTTGGTACAAAAAAGAAACCTCTTTCAAATAAATGTTTTCTTCTGCCAAAGAAATAAAAAATTATGTCAATAGAAGGAAGACCTGTTCATTGTGACTCAGCTTTCAATCAAAGTCCACCTGGGTAAATAAATCATCTAGACAAAAAAACACTATTCGTAAGTAACATAATAGATTAATTCAAAGGCTATATTATGAGCTGTTACTGTGAAATATTTACTGCAGGAACAGGTATGAAAAAACATGCAAAATGTTTTTGCTGTTATACATTCTAGATAATAAGAGAGAAGAAGATGGATCTACTATATTTGGGTATATTGTCTCCCTAAAGGTTACTTTCAGGGCAGGAAGGTGGGCAATCTGGAAACAGAGAACAAGCTAAAACATGTTCTTTTTAAATTTGAGCCAGAATAGGTCTTTAGGATTCGGGGTCACTTTGAAAAAACTGAAAAACTTTATATTCGCCAACAAATTGCTTACCAGAGAGCATGCAAAACATTTATCATAGTGTTCTTATTTTGCCAATCCTGCTAGCTTCAACTTAACTTAATGACTTTGGTTTCTTGAAAAATTTATAAGAAATCAATATCACATAAAAAACTAGCTAGCATTTAAATACTACTGTCCAGCTACTGGCAAAGGCAATTGATCCAAATTTCATTTAAAAAATGAAATGATTCAAATGCTTGTACAAATATGATGTACTTTGCATTTTTTCAGTAACACAAACATGTTTTGCAGTTCCTAACTAGATCAGATAACAGATGACTTCATTTATCTACACGACACAAACAAAACCAAGTTTAGTTTAAAAATCTAGGAACTTTGTTTCATTTTTAGCTGCAACATGAAAAGTTTAGCTTAGGTATCAGCAAAAAGCCGCAATTTCTATTATGATTCTCACTTCTAGCTAACATGACTACATCTGATATATAATAAGTTTATTTGCAATTGTTTCCTACATTTGATTATTAAAATTCTGAGAATAGCAATGATTTATTTTGTTGGTTGTCAGGGGACATCTTATGGGGGCAATGGTTAATGATTTACAATTTAACCTTATGGGGCAATTGTCAAACCAAACAGATATGAAAAAAGTATTAAATTTGTAGATGTTTAAAAAAATTATTATAATTTTAAGCCTTTGAATTTCAAGTCGATGTCATATGATGACTAACAAAAAATGTAATTACGTTTTAGCCAATGAGTTTTTGGGACTTATAAATACTTTAGCAATAGTTTCAAGTCGGATTTATTGGCTCCTAATTTTTTGTTTTCAAAACCCATTTTTCACTCAACCAGCAGTGTCTCCCAACCAATATACCAGAAGAAGAGCTCCTTGTCAAACGGCCCTCTGGCAGGTGTTCTACGTAATAAGCCTTGGGTGTCCAAGCTTCGCTCGGGTAGCCATTTCTAAATAAATGATTGAACGGTTCATTTTCGAATGGGAAGCATCTGCTTCTCTGTTGCCACAAAATCCATGGCTCTGCTCAATGACGCATTGATTATCCTCTTGTGGATAATGATTCTCTCAGGGACTCGCTGAAATAATAAAACTCACCACGGCCTACCTGAAGAATCTTTCAAAAACAAACAAATCTTATTCAATTCTTTCAAACAAATTTATACCTGGAATTGGCTCGTCGTCACTTCCATCTGAATCTCTGGCTCCATTTTCAATCTGAAAACTAACCCCTTTTGCTTTAGGGGGAGTTTTCTCCTTACTTTGCTTCAACTTGGCAAAGTACTCGGCCGCAAAATCTACTATGTCCTCCGGCTTTTCGCGTAACACGACCACTGTGAATTCTTGTAAGAGGTCCGTGAGGCGTGGAAGTATTTGGAAGTCCATTTTGCATTGAATTTAACGAGTAATGACGCAGGCTTCGCTTTCTGGACTAATTTTCTAACGCACCCACGAACTCCATTGCAAATCAAAATTTTCTCATGAAAGCTGCTCATCAAGTGTCACTCCCGCCATCTTTAAAGCGCATGCGCCCATATGGTTGCTATTGGTTGCATGACGACAGTTTTCAAAATTGCAGCTTGTTTATTGATTAGGCAACATTTCTAACCTTTCTACTCCCCTCTTTGTGCAAAAACAATCAATTCACCATAAAGAAAATCACATTTAAGATTTAATTAATCTTTTGGTGGCTTGAAGCAAATTACACAATTGAAATGCATTTTAATTCAGTAGCCCCAAAAGCAGCAAAAGGTGCGAATGACAAACAAATGTTTACATGTTCTTTCAAAGGATTCAAGACGTTTAAAATAAACAAAAAACTGGGCTGCATTTCAAGATATATTACCAAAGTGGATTGTAAAAATTATCTTGTAGTCAATGTTTTTGCAAACACTTTATTTTTAATTTGATATATTAATTAATAGGATATAAATCAATAAGGATAATGCCTATGAAAAGTTTTAATAATTAATGGACCAAAGTCCTGGCTTCCTTATTAAAAGAGAGCTTGTCTGATATCTGTGCTGGACGTGGCCCCTAACTATATTTTTGTCATGGTGAATGCTCAATTGTTTTTCCGATAAGTAGGATTGTTCCCACAAATTCTTAACCATCTCAACACTTATTTTTTACAAACACTTGAAAATATAATTTGTACTTTATCCTTTTTCGAAATCCAATTCAAAACAAAGGATTAGAGGATTACGACAAATAATTATAATCACTGATCCGCACTGTTGTGGTTATCAATCTACTTCATAGCGTTATATAACTTTAAATCAATATCTTTTCAAAATGATTTTTTTCCAATTACCGTTGCCTTTTATCCTATGTTTCTTAAAATCAACCAGACGGACAGCTATTGATTCGTTGATCATTTCGCGTCAAATTTTTTTATGATTTTATCTAGGTACCTTATGATTAATATTCTCGTTTAATTTGAGCTGGTTTATTGTTTTGTTTTGCTTCCCAAAAAATAGAAATGAAGAAAATTCAAAAACAAAAGTCTACACTTTTAAAGCTAGCACATACTCCACCGAAGCAATTCTAAACGAAAAATAAGGGCTGCAAGCATGAAATTATGTAAATCGGTCAACATATCATCAGAACAATTATCAAATAGAAAGTACAGAGTACATCTCTCTTTCATTATAAACAACACATCGTTATGCACGAGGGATTTTGCAGTTATTACCTGGCTCCTCTTGAGTGGTAGGTTCCTCAAATGCAACCCTTTTGCCACTTTTTCTTTCAGTTGGACCTGATTTTGACATCTTTGATCGCACGATTCCCATCTTTGAGTTGATTTTCCATCAAATTTAAATTTTAAATCCTGCGTTGAAGTACCACAGCAGCTACGCTCCTTCTAAGGGACGTAGTTCGTACTTCGCACTAACTTCTTAGGTCTTCTGCGTGTTTTGGGACTCATTATTCCACTCTACCAGGTTTTTCTAAATAATGAGATTATCAACATCACAAGTGGAAAGAACATTTAATGCGAAGAGACTTAAATCTACCTGAGATACAAGCATCCCCTTTGACATCGATAATGATCTTCTTACGAAGAGATCTGGCAAAAATTGTTTAAAAAGCAGCTGAAGTTGACTTGTCAACAGGGAATTCCCATAAGAAAGTTGAAAAGGCTAACAACAGCAAACAAGCAGGGTGAATTCGTGGTTGTTAGAAGTACATTTATATTTGTGAGTATCAGAAAGATGTTAATTGAAGAAAGTAATTGAGCAATGATAATTCAATTCTGTTTTCATAGACCAGCATACTTGCTTAAAAATTCTGGACAATCTTTTCTTCAAAGCTTGTGCTTTCAAAAAACATTTTTGAAAGAGTGATCCAGAATGCCTTAATTTTCCAGCTCATAAGGTTATTCAATATTTATTGATAAACGGGCCATTTTTAAGCATAGTTCTGATCGGCTTAAGTTAAAAGGGGGTGTCCTGCTTGTTTAGAAAATTTTAATAAAATTTTGCGTGCTTCAAGAAAAAAGTTGTGCCTAATCTTGAAAAAATAAAACGTTTTCACAAACCTTCTAGATACCTAGTTAGTCTGATCAGTAAGTTTGTTAGACTTGTTAATTGGTCGTTTAACAGGCTAGTTAAAGTATGTAGCTAGTTATCCTCAGGAAGAAAGAAGTTCTGGGTTAACTGTCTACACGACTTGTTCACATGTAGTATATTGGTGCACGTTATTTTGTACACAGTTTAATCTTTATTAAGTTAGCTGGTTTGCTCGTTAATTAGTTGGTGTTTCATGCTAGCTTGTTAGTCAGTTAATTATTTCATCGATCTGGGTAATGAGATCTTTAATTACACAGGTATAGGAATTCATTCTAATGAAATACGGCCAGTAAAGCTAAAACTTATAGCTGATTAAGATTCTCAGCTAACAAAAAGCCCTAAAACGGTTCTTCGCATATGCTGAATAGAATTAAAACAAACCTTTAGTAACAGGGTAATAACAGCGATGCTAAAACACGACTGACAGAGATTTGCAGGAGAAATCGTGTCCACGGATACCGCAGAAGATGTTTAGGAAATAAGCTAAGGGGACAATGAACACAAAGGTTGAAAGTAAGCTTGCTCCATCATGTTTTCCTCGCAAGTTTTGGTTGCAGCCGATTATAAACAGCGCAGTTTGGTTTAAAATAAGGTTATTCGAAGTGCATCACTCTTAGGGTATTACGAAATCTACGATGGGCAGGTGTAAATAAAATCCCCCACACCGAGAAGCCAGGCCAATTTCGTTTTCCAATGTCGACTGAAGTACTACAGATGTGCTAAGAAATGAGATTCAAGAAATGTGAAAATGTCTTAAAGTATTTTTTACTGAATTAAATGAAATCCAATATTGAAAACTATCTCAGAAAATAACGACTTAGTTACATAACTAAAGGCTTGGATGACTTCACACTGGGCAAAATATGCTTAAAAAGGCTTATAAAAATTCATTTAACATATATACTAATGTTTCTATTGTTAACTTAACTGCGGTAAGCGTGATTACATAAGGACTTGATTTAAGTCTTCAGTTATTTGGTAGCTTACCCTTCAAAGAGTGGAGTTTGGCTAGAAGGATGCTCGATAACAACTAAATTTGACGTACTTGAAGCGAACCTATGCAAGTATTTAAATCAATAGACACAACAAATTAGCAACTGGCTAATGGTAAAGAAAGAAAAAGGGACAATCCTTTGAAATCCCTCTGGAAAGTGCTTAACTCTTGTGAAAGATTCGCTGAGGAGGGTCCTAACAGCATTGCAACTGACGTAAAAATGATAGCCTAAATCGTTACACGACCCAATATGAAGTAGCTTAGAAATACATCGTCGATAAAATAATATGAATCTGTGAATACTTTTAAAATTTACAACCATTTTAGAGAAATAATTTATGATTTACAAACATGAGTCCTCAACAGTATTCATCGCTTTCACTGGCACTTTCTTCCGCGTCTGTGTTGTCACTAAGATGGCCTAACACCCGTTTCTTGTGCATCATTGCGCGCTCGTATGCTTTTTGAACTGATTTTCGAATAGACGATTTCCTGCCTTCGATTAACTTCGATCTATCCAAGCGCGAATCGACACCAAGGGGTTCGAGCTTTCCACGGCTCAGCCATTGCCTGTAATGCAATGCGGAAGGATAAAAGTTTATAAAAAGCAGTATCAACCGGAGCCTTAGGCCTAAAGATTTTCAGGGCTAAGAGAGTCAATTGAATTTACTATCAGGGTTTACGTAAGGGTGGCTACCGAAGGCTGAAAAGCAGCACAATTAAATACATTTGAAATTGCATTATTACTGAAAAAAAATATTTAAAAATAGCAGACAGAAGGTGAAAGCAAAAGGCTTCAATTAATCTTGAAATTGAGGGGAAAAGAAGGATTCTGTCTTTAAACAGCAAAGGAAACAAGAAAGAAAGATGTCCTGTCTTCAAACTAACGCCAAATTTCCAAAAAGCAAAATTTCACGAAGACAAACTTAGTAAAATGGCTTACAGATCAGCTACAAGATGCCACTATCGAAAAACAATAGAAAAAGGAATAAAGTTTAGATCAATTGCCACATGCCAAATAAATTTGTAGTTAGCTTATCCAGGCCACTTACCACGTTCTTCTTGCATCGAAAAAAAGAACAAGATATTGAGTCTCTTCTTCATCAGGGTTTCGTTTTTTCAGTACTTCAATAGGAGGAACAGGAATCGGTACACCGTTGTGAATGAAGCCATTGCGCGGCATGTTGGGATCGATCGACTGAAAACGTAAAAACTTCATCAAGAAAGGACAAGGTTTATGAAGTGAGCGATGCAAAGGAGAATCTAAGCAATTCCTAAAATGTACACTGCAAAGGTTAAGATTGGGAATAAGTAACCGAGATAGATATTAAAGAGTTTACCAACGAATTGAAAATTGGCATTTCCTCTCAAAAATGAATTTATTATTTTAACGAAAACAGAAGCTTGTTGGTGACCTTAAGAGAATTTGGTTAGTTAAGTAGTCTGGCTGGTTTGTTGGTGGTCTTAGGAGAATGCGTAGTTAAACAAGTGGTTCGAGTTCATATTTCATGGCTGATCCAGAACATATTAATAAGCATCTAAATGCAAAGGTTTTAACCGAAAAAAGAGAGATTGATTGTTTATTTCCAAATAGCTTTAGTAGGTGGATTTCAGGAAAATGAAAAGAAAGGCTCGTGTCACAACGTGGTCCTTCCTCTTGATGTGACCGCAACTCAAATCTTACTAGATAAAGAGGGAAGCTAATTACTTATAAAGGCATCTCAAGCCAACTACACAAATGAATTTACAACAAAATCAATCCAGGATTGATAGATTGCCAATTTTTCTATACCATTCCCGATATTATAAAATATACACAATCTCATTCACTTTATGACCAAGTTGAAATTAGGATTTCACTCGTGCCAAGCGGAATCAAACACAATGTGAAAAGACACCACTGGTGCAAAAGCTTCACAATGCTTTGTTAAACGAAGAAGATCGTCCAATTTAAGGATTAAGAGTCCAAGTGAATGGTTTTTTATTACAGGAAGATTACTGTTGCTTCAAAAGAGAGCAAGGGTAAGTTTAAATGGTATCAAGAGCTCTAGGGATACCCAAATCAATAAAGAACTTTAGTTTGGCTCAACAGAGCTCATAAACACTGGAAGTTCACAAAAGCAAATAGACTCACCATGGCTGGGTATGAAGGATAGCCTCTGCATTTGGCCCAGACCAAGTCTAGTGGTAGAAAATTCGTTGGATGCTTTTTCGGGTCGATAAGGTCCTCATTATGATTGTCCTCTGGCCCTGTCCAATAAATCCCACACTGCATTCCTTCAACATTATCTACATTTCCACAATCATCCGAGAACGACTTTTTGGATGGCCTTCGTCCCCTCCGACGACCAACCACAGCCGGGCGTCGTGTGATACCTTCTGAATCTGAATTAGCAGAGCTGCTTGTATAAGTTCTTTTTCGTGGTACTGGTTCGTTATTGTAAGGCAACCCCCCGTTACCATCAAAAGGCCCATCTAAACTTTCAACAGATTTCGGATTCTCTAAAGGGAAGTCTGAATCTGTCTCTGAATACACCTCTGAAATTCCGTTTACTTTGTGATTTTCGTTTCTGCTTAGCCTCGACCCGCTCCTGTCAAATTTTGACTGTAGCTCTTCGTGCGTTCCATTCAATGGGGCGATATGGTTCACTTGATATCCTCGTTCTTTGCTGTACCTGGTATCTTCCCCGAACGGTTTTCCATTTGGTCGGCACACCCGAAGCCGTATCCTCAAACCGCTTTCTCCGTCACTTTCGCTGCTGATATTAGCCCCTTCTCTGGCTAGTGGACTCACCACAAACGGCCGGTATTTTCTTTTATTAAAAAGAATCCCACTTCGTCTGCTTCTCCCTGGGGATGGGTTTGTGATTGTTGGTGCTTCCTCTTTCGGCTCCGCAGGGTCGCCTTCAAGAATATGTGCATCTTCATCATCCTCGCCAGTTTTTATTGCCTTCTTAGGTACCTCCTCCTCACTGGACTGTGAAATGCTCCGTTTCCGCTGCGGGCTTGTTTGGTGACCTTAAAGAACAACAAAGCTACCCTTAGCTTGGATCGACCCAGCAATTCTTCCATATTCTATTTTTAATTTGCGCTGCATAAAATTGTCGAAGTTAATTGCTTAGAATCATTTTAATAAATAAATAGCTTGTCTTTGTAGAAGTAACATTTAATAGAAACAGGAAAAAATAAAAGAGTGAAATGAATTAGCTAAAAAATTTTATACGCTAAGACATAAAAACATACCTGGTGAATTAATCGAAGACACACTGTTCTGGTTCTGTTGAGGTAAATGGAAGCATTCAATTGAATGAAAATTGAATTAGAAAGGGTTCACTTAATCTTAAGTGAAAATAAAATAAAAGAAATCTACCTCTTGAGACAGTACACACAAAAAACTAGAAATTCCAGCACATAACAGTTATTACAGTTAAAAAAGAATGTGGTATCGAGTCCAGAAAATTGTTCCTTCTTCAACCAGATCATAAGCCAAAAACTTAAAACATTACGCAAAATAACAATCAAAATGGGACGTAGAGGTCTACTTAAAAAATTAATATTTGCCTCACCCTTCGCTTAAATAACAATATAAGATTTAATCTACAAAAATATGCCACAAAAACATCAACACTCACTTTTTTTCGTATAAGCCGCTTGATTTTGGCGATTTCTTTTCGGAGCATCTTTTGTTTGCCTGATCGTGATGCTAAATAAAAAAGTAGTTGTAAGCAGTTGCTAGGTGTATAACAGGAAAGAAATCCGTTTACAAGACTTTAAAGAAGGGAAGAGGGTGTGGTGTTTCACAATCCATGCATGGTACCAAGTTATGGTCTTAATTTTTGCATTGAAAACGCTCACAGCTGGGACGATTTGATAAATGAATGACGAAAATATTTACCTTAGGTTTTCGTATTTCAAAAAATTTCAAGTAATAATTCAGAATAAAAGAGTCATATCACTTGTAAAAATTGGCAGGTAACAGTTATCTTCTCACCTGGGCTTTTAATGGTCGAAGCCAATTCGTATTTTTCCTCTAAATCAGCAAGTTTTTCTTCATAAGTAAGCTCAGTTGTTTCGCTGGAGACACCATCTGAAAAGACATGAAAGTTAAATTTTTGGGGAAAAGATGTGTTGGACAGTCTATTTTACTTGATTATCCAAATTTTGATTATATTTTTCTTGTGCTCCATTACCTTTGGTCAAACTTTTTGGCATTCTGTTGCATGTATCAAAATTTCATTCGTTTAACTTTCAGAGTTTTCTACAAGTTGTCAGAGAACGGTGTACTGTTATCTTTTCAAATTATCACAAAACCCTTCAGATAAACAGATAGCTTTAGGCCTAACTTAAACATATATTTACACTTTCTACTCTAAAACCTTGATTGCTTATTACGCTCAAATGAGAGACACCCCTTAAGTCTACCTTCCCTCGCGAAGAAAAATGGCATTGCCTACAGATGAATGGATCAATCTGTGTTGAAATAAAATCAGCTACTGTAGGAGAATACCTACCTCATGTCTTAGGCACAGCTCTCAAATGTTACACGTAATAACACGAAAAGCAGTTTATATCACGAGGTTAACCGAATAGAGTCACTCATTTACATTGAGTCTTATTTTTGTATCGAATTCTTAAGACTGACAAATGAAAATTACCTTCTTCTGACATTGCACTGTCAGACATGGTTAACGGTCTTGCTGCATGCAGTCCAGTTTCAGGATCAATGCCAGCCTTTTTCATTCTCTTTCTTGCATTCCTAAGAATTGGCTTGCCAAGATGCCTCAGACGTACTGCTGCCTTGTAGAAAATTGTATCCTCTGCATTGTAGGTCATGCAGTTATTCACCATCAAGTCAAAATCTTCTTCAAGTTGGTCAAAATTCTGGTATTCTTGATTTTCGAGTTTTGTTCTCATTGTTGAGAAATCCATTGGTATGTCTATGAATTCGTTGTAATCAGGAGCCTGTAAAATAAGCCAACACTTCATTGGTATTGCGCCAAAAGCATTAAGAAAAGACGTTAAGATTCAGCAGTGAATGCATTGTTACATTATTTTTTCAGTGTTTGTTTTCCTTTACAAACTTGCTTCTAGATTTTCCTTAGAAAGAAAAGTTTATTTTTACCATCCTATTCCCTAAATTGTCTCTGTCCCTTATCATTTATAACTGGCTATAGGATATTGTGAAATATTCACGACTTCTTTTCAATTTCAACGAGAGAAGATACAGAATGCCCATTATCTCAGCATTGAAATGACTCGACAATTTACTGAAAAATTACGTTTAATAACATGTTTGTCAAACTATAGACATATTATACAAGAACAGAATCATTCCTGAGACACACTCAAAGTAATCCTCAATTTTGTTTGGCAAATCAAGGAGAAAGCCATTTTTTAGAAATTTTTTTGCTTGCTGTAGGCAAATTGTAGTGATTATATGCATATGAAGTATTGTAGAAAAAGCGAAAAAATCAGCTTAATAATTTATAATGTTTAAAATAAGGAGACAAAGAACAGGACCAGTGATTTTACACTGGTGTTACATAAACTTTTTGAAAGTTGATCAAAAATACAGCTACTGGGGAAATTCATGATTTTTGAAAAATTGGTTTTGGAAAACAAAGGACTGGTTTTCTTTCCAAAAAAGCCAAGCAATTGTTTCATTTTGGATGTGTCTTCTGACCAACAATTGATATAGTATAACAGACAATTAAAACTGTAAACAATGGTCTAAATTTGATCAATTCTGGCTAGATTTCAAAAATATAAAGCTGATCCTGGCTAGTTTCAATACAGTTTGAATTTCCCAAAACCACAGACAAATGGCTTTATATTACAAGAACTTTGATAACAGATTCTACTCAAGAAAATTGGCTAAAAAGTTAAAAAAACAAGCATAGATAGTTAAAATGGGAAAGAAAAATGAAGCTTACATCTTCTGGTTGAACAGGATCTGCAAAAATATTTGAAGTGTCTTTGCTTTGGAGATGATCAAGCGTCCTTTGCATTAAGATATTCAAGGGTTGCAAATGAAGTGTAACATATTGCTGCTTCAATTTGTACTGAAATACAAACAGAAAGTTAAAAAGTGCAAGGCACGAACTGAGAAAAACAAAACCAAAATAAACAGGCTAATTTCACTAATGGATCAAAATCAAATATTCGCTATTACTAGATTTGATGATTCATGTTTGTTTTATGCTCTAACTATCAAATATTTTCATTATGGTTTCTTTCTCTTTGTAAAATATTTCAAATCATGGGTATATTTCAGGAAAAGAATATTTTAATGGGATTTTAAAGATCCACAAAACTTTAGGGCCAAACATATATGCTTAATTTTGTCAGTAACTTGTATATTTTTATAGTTACAATGCAATTGTTATTGGCATTACTTAAAACAAGAATCAGTGCTCATTATCCTTCAAAAACATGCTATCATTGAGTTCTTCTTTACAATACATTATTACTGATGTTGTAGCTATTACCAAGTTCCTACATCTATCTTCTATCACCCATAACTTTGCCTAACATAAAGAAGCTTTCTCCCATCCCAGAAACCTGTGTGGCCCAAAGCACGTTCTTGCAAAATATTTGTAACCATTTGCTCCAGACTGCTTTTCAAAGAGACATGGAAAAACTCTTTATTTAGATGCACTTTCAAAAATAGTCAATATATGGATTTACCTGCTCTTTCTTCATTTTTTCCCTCTTTCTAATTAGTTCTATTAGTAACCTTGCCCGCTCCAGGTCATGCCGTAGCTGTTGCCAATATCGGAGTTGTTCCTTCAAAGCTTTTGCTTGGTCAGAGATCTCAATCTGTGAAGAGAATCAAAATAGGATGATTGGAAAGAAAAATTATGAGAATACATTATGCTTTGGGCAAGAGGGTATCTGATTGGGAGGTTTATGGCTGTGACATCATCATGTTTGTGATTGTTGGTTGGCTAAAACCTTTATTTACTTGGTCTATAAAATTACCCATCAGTTCATAGAAAATTGTCAGCCAATAAGAAAATTGTTGAAATTCTTCGTAGCAGCACAAATTAAAGTCTTTTATAGTTAATGTTAATCCTAATGATTTACTTTTATAATATTTTTAGAAGGCTTTTACAGTTGCAAAATGATTTGCTTTACATTCATATCTCATTTTTAATTGAACTACACAAAGACAAGGAGGAGCTCTAAAATAAACACTAGAGCTATGTACACAGAGCAAATTGAACTAAAGGGCTTTTTGATTACCTCTTCATTCTGGCCTCTTCCTGTACCTCCAGTGTTAGCTTGCAGTCTCCTTAGAAGGGGAACACCATTCCTTGACTGCCTTTTGAGCATCCAATACCCTTGAAGTCTTTGTATAAAATGTGCTTTCTTGGCAATAGCAACTCGATTGACAATTTTAGCCAGTCTTTAGGAACAACAAATAAAACCTCTTTAAATGCAAATTTTTTTTAACAACATAACAAGTCAAACGCACTGTTTTTCAAAGCTCCTTTATTTTAATTCTTCAAACTTATGCAAGTTCAAATTAAACCCTAAATCATTAAGAAAAACAAAACACCTATTAACATTTTACTAATTCGAATACACCTATTAAAACATAATTGATATTCAACATTTCAAAATATTTAAAGGAAGCTTGAGCATATGTTAGGAAAGGCAAAAATACAAAAAAATCGTAAGATGGGCATATGAATGAATGGAAGAAGATTACCGTATTTCCTCTAAAGAGCACTGCAGTGCTTATTAAAATATTGTTTAAAAATGGGCAGCCTTTATCAGGTGGTGATGTTTAATACAAAATGGAAAGTGTGAAATTGAAAAATGACACGAAAAATGCAATGAAATTAATAAGACAGACTTTAAACAACGTTTTCCTTTCCCAAAACATGTAATAAAGATTTTGTGTAAAAAGTTTCAAAGTTCCAAAAGATGTGTTGAGGAAGTGTCAAGGCATGTCAATGTCACTGTCTCCATCTGATTTCTCGCCTGTGACATAAAAACTTTCATAGCTTTTGAATAGTAAGCATATAAACTATTCATTATTTCTTGTTTGGTCTGTTTTCTAATGAACACTGCTTTTCATGATGCAGCATTTGAAAGAGGGCGGCATTTATTACAAATGGTTGGCTAAAAGTGCTGTGTTTAATGGGGGCAGCATTTATCAGAGGGCAGCATTTATCAGAGGGCAGCATTTATCAGAGAGAGGGCAGCATTTATTGGAGGAAACACAGTATATACATCAGATAAGAAGGGAATAATGCAAATTTCACATACCTGTGGGGTGGTATGAATGGTATATGAACAACTGGCATTTTAACTTTTTTTTCTTCAACCGACTTTTTCTTTGCTTCTTGTAACTTTGCTGCTGGTGTTATTGGTTTCTTTTTGCTTGAAAGCTTACTATCTGTGGATGCAATACTGTCATCATCGCTGAGAGCTGAGGCATTGTCAGAGTAATTTGGTGTGTGTTGATCGCAAAAGGCACTTTTCTTTATACCAGGCTGTCCGTTTTCATTCCTGACAGGCTCAATTTTCATATGAAGTCCCGACTGTTGTGCACAAGTTACGTGGAAGGCAACATAGCAGTTTGTTTTAAAACATTGGATGCACGCTCCCTCTCTTTTCTTACAGATATAACACAAAAGCTTCCATCTTGCAGGTGGTATGTTCTGGATTGAGTCAATTGGTTCTAGGAAGACCGTATTGGCAAAACAAACTTCTGGGATCCACAAAGCACAAGTGACATGAGCCCAGCGGTTATCATCAGTCTGCTTGAATGCTCCGTTTTGATTAGGACATAAAACACAGTCTACTGGTTTTGATGGCGACTGAAGACATTTCCTGCAAAGCCATTGCCCTTCAGGGATGTATGGCACACCATAACATTCTTGATGAACAGCTAAGTTACACATGTCACAGAACAGGATCACATTGCTGTTGCTACATTCTCCATCGTTACAGATGCAACATACAGCATCTTCATCAATAAAATTGTATGGATCACCGTTAATTGTTTGTGTTTCAAAGTGTGATTCTTTCTCAAGTCTATCCATCAGTAATTCAAAAACTTCCATTGACACTACAGAAAACTGCTCTCTTTTACGTTCCTCATTGATCATTTCTAGCCAAGCATAATCCTCCTCATCCATATCATATTCCACTTCTTCATCTAACTCATCCTTTGATTTCTCAACATATCTATAATATGCACCCCTTTCATCTACATCCCCTTCAACAACTGGTTCAATTTCTCTAAACTGTGGAACTGGCAAGTTTATCTTTTTTGGACTCTCTTTGCAAGCAAGCTTTGCAGCATTTTTCTTTATACTATAAGAGCCCTTTCTTTTTGTAAACTTTGGCTTCTTGTTTCTTGGGGTGCAAATTGGTTTAGCTTTCACTGGTGACTTAGGTTCATCAACATCATTAACCTGTTCCTGTTTAACTTCCATGTCCATTGGTTCCTTTATTAGAAATCGGAATATATCACCTTTTAGATCAAACTCCACCATTTTTTGAGCCTCTGCATACGTCAAAGGCTGGCGTCGTACACTTGGTGCACGAACCAAGGGGGATTCCACTCTGGCATAAACATTGGGGGACTGATCACCACTGTCACTTCCTATAGGACTAAAGCCCTCAAAAGTCATTTGAACTTCTCCATTTTTTCGATCGTACTGAATATTCTGATTGCTGTGATCAGCTTTGGAAATATGGTACGAAATTCCACTGAAACTTTGATAAATTTTGAAGCAAACGGGGCATTCGTATGGAGCTTTCGTCCCTCGTAGTCTCCTAAGAGCTTCTGCCACATCAAACTCTTCCATGCTCTTTAGAAAGTTTCCCAACAAATCAAATTATTTTAAGCTCCCTTCAACTTGGTCGAATTAGTAGGAAGTATTCTTCTTCCCAGTCCTTTAGAAAATTATTCTCCCGTGAAACTGGAGCGATTTCTACGTTCATAGCGCGAGTTGGACAGAGTCAAAATGCACAACTTGACTTATCCAAACTACGCGGTTAAATAAACGATTTCTAAACTCAACGAAACCAAGTGAACAGGTTTTGTATTCCTGCTTGAAAACGTTGCCACGACCAGTTATCGTGACTCAAGGAGCTAGACACAAGGACCGACTTTCCGAAAAGAAGGCGCCAAGAAAGTTTGAGTTCAACGTTCAACTTTTCCTCATTTTCAAATTACCATTTTCATTAAATGAGAAATTTGATTTAAATCCACACAAAACAAGATTGAACAAACCGATTTCCTTCTTGCGTTCTGCTGAATCTTGCTTCTTATTTTCGATTTATGGCGGAGAAGCAGGCCTTCTTCAACCGTTGCTTCGAACTTGTTTCAACTCAAACAACACTTGAACTGGTCGATAGATTCACTTTGCCTTCCCTTAGCTTTACCAAAGAAGCAAATATCCGATTGACCGTTCCCAGGCAAGTATCTTTATGTTTTGAACAAACGGCTTAACGGTATGAAACGAGCTTTACTCAATCAAAAACAAAGTACAGATCGATCCACCATTGACAAGACGGCCTTCGACCACTCCTTGCAATGAAAATGAGAATGCAATTTACTTCTTTCCTTCTGCCACAATTGATGCGCTTTGATTTCAAAATTGTTCGGCAAGCTGTCCTTCGTTAATGACGAAATGTTTTAGTGGAATTAGTTGCTTTTAAGATGCAGAAACCTGAGATCGAAGTTGACCTACTCGACGTTATTCCCTTCGTCTCCACAAAGATGGCGAGAGTAGAATCTCGCGTGTAGCATTAACGTTTTTCAATCGAAATTTGATTGGTTGAGGCGCTTCTGTTGTTGATGATTCACAGCATCACGGGGGTTATAACAAAGCAAGTGTAAGAAAAACAAGACCACGGTGTCAACAACTCTTTTGATATATCTTTAAGACCAACATTAAAAAATGAATAAAAGTTTTCAATACATATTTGCAAATTTTGGAAATAAATTGAAATAAAGTAGGGTAAGCAACAGTATAGAGAGGCTTTATATCATCTGTCATACCCCCGGGTGATTTTGCGATTGCTTTTGCAAACTATCAGTGGAATTTCGGAAATAAACGATGTCATTTAATTCAAGCTTTTCTTTGGTAAAATAATCCATGTTATTTATTCGAAATACTAAAAACTTCATTATACACAAAATTTAGCTGCAACGCGTCTCATGCGGCTGTTGTTGTAACTAATTGTTTTCCTACAACTCGTGGATAATAGAACCACGAGCCCTAACATGTGCGACCCTTTTATTCAGTGACCACTTGATACTCCCGTGTAAACTTGTAATTATCCGTACTTTGTTTTTCACGCCTGGCTCGCCGGTAACAGCTGGGGATGCTGTTATGTTTGGGACAAAAACAGGGGGCAATCGGGGGGTTAGTAGCCTACATCCAAACTTGCGAAGTGAAGCCGTTGTCGAGCGTGGGTCGTTTCTTAGAACACGATTGACGACAATTTCCTTATTTTCTATTCTATATTCGTCAAACTGTTTTCGTAACCATAAATAGATTTAAGATATTTTCGGAACAGAGTGCGAACATGTCTGAAAACTAAATTGCAATAAGTAGCTTTCTAAAATTAACATTTTGTGGTCTCTATCGCAGAATTCTGTCTCTATATTCGCCAACATGCATTAAGGGGATTCCCTCACGAGGTCTGTCTCGAAATCAGCATTACAAATGTTTACATTAAAAGTCGTGGATTCCTTAGCAGATAGACTTGGTTATGATAGAATGCCATATACATGTTGAGCACCAAACATTTAAAATATCACGGTAAATGGGCTAAATGAATTTACAGATTTTATATTTCGACCAGACATTTTGCCGAAGGTAGGTACTTTCGGGCTAAATTGCAATGAAAACAAACACAAACTTGTGTTGACAAATATACGCATTTCAGTTCTTTGCCTCAATTCTATCATACAGTCAAAACATTTAAGCCCGGCCTAGAACGGTCTAACAAAACGAGACTAAAAGTTCCTATTGTACCAAAAATGAACATCAATGATGCATGACGTCAAAGACGACAAAATCCGTCTTATGAAATGTTATGCATGCCATTGACGCTTAGAAATGAATCGCGGGGAATTCATCTGCTGAAGAAAGTGACCACATTAATTGATATTCAAGTGAAATGCAACTGGTAATTAAAGGAAAGCGATAACGATGATGCAAATTGGTTGAACGACAAAAAGATAAGCAAAAAGTGGAAATAAGAAGTACTCTTTATGTACAGCGTAGCGCCATGACTAGAACAAGATTTGCCAAACTTCCGATTAACGATTTTAGGAAATGGCGACTTACTTTATCTAACGTTAGAATGTGTGGCGTAAAACGAGAGGATCGTCAGAAAAGTAGATCAGACATAAAATTAGCAAATTTTTAACACCGTGCGTCCCAATCTAAGCAGTTAGATATACATAGATATATACTTAATCTATTTCTTTTCGAGACTTTCTCTATACTTATCTGCGCATAGAGACAAAATTTCTCTTTTTTGCTTTCTGATAGGGTTAAAACTGTATCACACGACTTCTATAAATTGATAAACACTACTTATCAACAACTGGAAAACACTGTTTCTTTTAGCTTTTCTCAGTTCATGGCTCTTCAAATCAAATAGAAAAAGGCGATAAAAAAGCCAGTGTATATATGAGATTTTTTATAATTCGCATCACTTTTATCTAACTCCAAGTTTATGATATCTCTAAGAAGAACACTAAACTAGCCCCTGGGAAAAAGCAATTGCCATTGGATTCATTTTTTTGCAAAAAATCCCCACATATAAGACTAGCTATTCTTTCAAGATATCTTTCTAATGTACTTTATGAAAAGATTTAGTTTCATTCGAATACTCTGGTCGAAATCTGTTAATGGTTTGGCTAGCAAATACGTAAAGCTAGGTTTTTTTCTTTCAAGTCTAGATGAATATTTTCTGAATTTTGTTCGAATAAATTTGATACAGAAATGCAACAAGTTGAGTTTGGGATTATAGCTGTTCTTGAGATAAAAAAATAACAATAAACAAACTTCAAATTATAATTGGAGTACAAACATTAGCACCTTGTCGACACAACAATAACAGTAATTAACCAAGGTGACACATCACATATAATGAAAAAATTTCCCAGGGACTAAACATAAATTCATTAGGTATAAATGTAGCTATCATATTGTCTTTCGATACTAGATTTTTATCCAATGGCCGACATCACAACCTCACTGGCGACGGGGTCCGCGCTACGAACTGTCAGGTGCATGGCAACGCCATCTTTAAAGGCCAGCTTAGCTCGAACAAACACGTCGATTCCACCACGATAAACACCAGCAAGAAGAAGCGTGTGCGAGTTTTTGTCTGCTGGTACACGATCAGATCTTTCGCATGCATGCATACCCATGAATTGTATTATTTTCTTGACAGCATCTAGAGGGCAATAGTTCTTGGGTTCAATAAAGTTATTTACCGTCAACTGAAGTTCACTTGAGTTAAACTTAAGACCAATTTACTTTGAATTCAATCTGTATACTAGGAAAAAATCCGTTGGATACACGACAAAACAATTAGAATCATTCAATTTTAGATTACAAAATTAACCGTGCTTCATTTAACATTAAACTGCGACACTTCCAAGAACTTCCCGAATCCGTCGCGAGCCTAAATGTTTCTGGGAGGGGCTCAAGTTTGGACTGCACAATACTACAAGCGACAAATAGAGGCAATACTGTTGGGTGTTAGGAGTAGTATTTGGTATGGAATCATCAAATGAGATTTCATTTCATTTTACTGCAAAATTCTTAGGCTTTCCCACAACAGCCGGCTTCTTCGGCTTCAGTATTGTAACCCTGTAATACTGAAAAAGATTGATGCAAATTTTGATAGCAGTATTTGCTTCTGGGATCCCCTCAAGAAGCTTGAATATGAAATAATGTGATCTAAGTGATAAGCAATCAAACATACCGTCAAGATCTTTCATGGATGAGAGGACGTAGGTATCTTCCATTTCACAGGAGTCTCCGATTTCGTCCCACGAGGCCAGGAAGTTTGTTTTCATAACACCCTGCACGTGATCTGCTACAACAACTTCTACATCTTCCAGCTAAAAAAAACACAAAACAATCATTTTCTTGTGGTTGTATAATATTGTTAAACATTCGCTTACAGTGGTATTTGCAAGTTTACAGTATAAGTTGCAAGTTTGAAAAAAGCATCGATGATTTGTTAAGGTTTGCGAGCCAGTCTGACGAAGTCAGGGATTACTAGGGGGGTCAGCATGGCTGCAGACTTATTCATCTGAAAGATTTGCTTTAAAAAAATAATTCTTAAAAGAAGTTTCGCGCACAAGCTTAAAGTATACATGTGATATCACCCAAATTCAGTCTGAAGGCGGAACTTTCAATTCCTAATGCTAACTAAGTGACTTGCCACTAAGTGCAAGAAAGATTGAGTCTAGAACTATTTTTAGACGATTTTTAGAAACTCGTTTTATTTGATGTAAAATTATTTTATCTTTAGATTGGACTGTATTGAACTCTTGTAATCCGTTTTTAGATCTTTTACCATTAATTTATTAAGTATCAGGACCCTAATGATAACAGTATATATTGTACTGATAGGTTATCCTGTTAAAACATTCGATTATTATTATTAACGATTATTGTCAGAAAATAACATTGGAAATTTTATTAAAATCATTATGCTGTGTGGTGACTAAAATGGAAATTTTCACCTGAAACTATCTAAGCCAGATGTATATCTTGACAACATTACAATTAACAAAACTTAACATCATCCTACAACTAGGTGTGCAGTGCCTTGGAAAGAATTTCGTCAAAAATGATAGCAACATTTAAAATAAGGCAACTTTTACCCCCAACGAGTTTCCTAGCTCTACAACCCTGCATACAGTAAAAAAATCTGCATTAACAAATAAAAACTTGTTTAATAGCAAATCTTGAGGATTAACTTCTAATTAATGCCCCGAGGGCAGATATAAAAATTGTATATGATTTTGGGCTCAGAAAGTATGGGGTGTGATCACAGAGATTTGATGTGTACAACAAGGCATCGTTTAATTTTTGCAAATACATTTTTTTACAAATAGTCCTTGGTACCCAGTTACAAGAGGATGATAATTTGAAGGTAAGCATAAAATGTATACATACCACATATTCATCGTTGTAGCCATCATCATCAGGCTCCTGGGTTGTAGGATCGCAGTCTTTGACAACGAATTTCATTGTACAGGAAAATGAGCCAGTCACTAAAAGGTACAGAGCGAATGATTAATCATTAGAGAAACTTCAGAACCAAAAATAACAAAAGTAAATAAGCAATAAACATTTATTTTATCAATAAACATTTTTCTGATGTCTTCCCTCTCTCAGACTCAGTATAAGTCTGTGTAAGGTGGATAATTAAATGCAAATAAAAGCTTATGCGCTGAGTGGCGAAAAAATAAAGACATGAAACTCCAACAGAACAGAACAATGGAACAATGCCATCCACTAGAGGAACATCTGATGCGAGAGTGTGAAGACTGTGATATCTTAAATTTTCATATGCTTGGCTGCAAAAACCGCTAGTTAGGACGTTAAGTAGCCAGAAAAGAGAAAAATCTGCTTTCATGTAAATAACCATTGGCGAAAATTTGAGATTTCATTTTGAACCATTGAAAAATAAGGTCAATGAACGCCGTAAGCATTAACAAACAGCAAAGCAATGCTTGAAACTACATTGTCTTGACCAAGATACAGACCTGAAGTAGGGTCTTCCGGAATTCGCACGCACGTGTATGTTGTTCCAGGAACATTGTAGACAAGTTTAGGGCATGGGATTGAGGTCTCAACCTGGAAGTCGTCACCAGTCTCCATTTCAACGGTGACATCCTCAAGAATCTGATCATCGAGGGTGTTCTTGCAATTAAACTGGATAGGAATAGCAACGATTTTTAGCAATGATATTAAATATCGGAATTCGGGAAAGAAATGATGCTATTATAGCGGTCTTTGTGATTCATACTGAAACATCAAAGCACTGATTGATAACATAATGATGATAATGGAATGTTAAAGACAACTTGGCAACTATTAATAGAGGTGGAAGACACATGATCAAAACCCTTGGTGACAGTTGGTTTTCAAACAAGGGCAGTTTCCAGGCACCGCGGAGCGTTGAGAAAAGTGGGGGGTAAAACAGTATAAAAAGAGGTTTTAGCGGTAGTTTAATACATAATAATTGGCAGTCGACTGCGTGAATAACCCAATGCAAACAAGCGTCGATAGGAATCCGTAGAGAATACAGTTTTCGCGGGGGATGTAGCTAAACTTGTTTCAATAGGAATGCAAGCGAGGCGGAGGTCCCGTATGGAAGCTTGTAGAAACAAAACTGGATGAAAGCATAAATAAGGCCTCAAAAATATGTTATAATAAGTACAGAAACAATCTTGCAAAAGTAATAGTTTGAGAACATAGCAAACGAAAATTCAAGATAAGGGTAAAGGAAAATATCTTAGATTTGTGATGGGAAATATGGTGAAAGTTTAGGGTTATATATTAGAACACAACGCTGCTTACCTGGAAGACAACATGCTCCTGGAATGTGTGTTTGATGCACTGCACATAATACTCCGTTTCAGTCTCGGTGAGATCAATTGGCTTGGGAGAAGATTTGAACAAAGGACCGAGTCTTGCAAGCTCTGGTACTGATGCCATTTGTTCTGTGGAGGAGATATAACTTTTACTAGGGAACAGGGCTGGCTGAAACATTGGTTTGTCTCATAGGCAGAGATGAATGCTGAATACCAATGGTAGATACTTTGTATTGTGAACTCAAATATGTAGAAAATGGATAAAATGATATCCCCTTTTAATAAGATATAAGAATACAAGAGGATTGTTGTAGAAGAAATACAGGAAGATGGTTGTTATAAAAATTCGAATGGGTGCCGTCAAAAATACAATTTTGAAGGGGAAATTTTGCCTACCTGCATACACATCTTGGCTTGTGGCAACGGGGGCAGCCTTCGCAGGGGCTGCTTCGTTAACTGAAAAACAAAGCATTATGATTTATGATAGGTTCTCGTTAATAGTAAGAAAAAAGCTAACAGTTAATGAAAAACAATCGGAAAATCAAACTTAAGATTTTATGAACTGCTTAAGGGCAGGAGCGATTTGAAATTTATATTCTAAAAACTATTCAAAATTCAGATTCTGCTGTCAGGCAATTAATTCGTCCTCATTTGGGTTTGTGCCTTTCGGTAGAGGAAAATTTAGGGTCTTGTTGCAATTTTATATGGGGCTTTGGAGCTTGGCTAAAAACAGAAAAACAACAAAAGCCAAGTTATAAGATATACCACATTCCCTGGCTTATTCGATTGGATGAAATTAAAAGAGAGTTGGGGCTTACAGAAATCATCTTTACTCTGAGCACCGAGTAGGTCCGCATTATAACTACCCCCTATTGCAACCAATATGGTGTCAAGTTGGATTTAGGGCTTGTTGGTCAGGCTAAAAAGGGGCAACAAGTAAAAGTCATAAGATATACTGCAGCTCCTCGAATCTCCATGGATAACTCCCTAGGGGCTTATAAATTTGGGATATTTTTGGATGGGGGCTATTTCGAAGGGATATGATCATCTCTTTTCTGGACAATAAGTAGGTTAACATTATAATCAATACAATGCCTTTGCCACAGATCTGGTAGGCAAAGAAACTAGGAAAATGAATCACGCTGTTGTGTATCATCAATTTTATTGATTTTGGCACTGGGTTTTCAGAAGGGAAGACGTTAATGAAGCTGCATGGATGAAAAAAAGTTTGCGGGCACAAGACATGAATTTCGTTTATCATAAAAAAGCATTTGCTAAGATTCTTAAAGGGCTCTTGTTTTGAGATGAGGATTGCTTGCAAATCAACAGTATCACAGCCAGTCGTGTATAATAGCATGAGTTGAAATATGGTAGAAAAAAGATGAATATTGATGCACTGTGCAAGATTTATTCAACAAGAAAAAGGAGTGAACAATGTTACTGTCTCTTTTAGAGGGGAGGGGGGGGGGGTGTTTGTTTGCAGCTGTCCGTTATTGGACAACGTCGGTTGAAACAGTTTTCAATTTACAACATACCTTTCTTGGTTGGCTTTTGTTCGTGGATTGGAGCAGTTGAAATAGGCACGGTCTTCAAGTCAAATGCATTGTCAGACACATTGCCAAGATACGCTGCTAGAGCACGTTCGAGGCCAACAACAGAAACATTCAAGGCTGCAAAAGAGGCAGTGATTTGCCCATCAGTTGGAGATAAATAGCATTATTAATTCTAATGTGAATTCTGCTCTCAAATCTACACAAATATAGGTGTAATATAATGATTCGAGAATGGAATTTCCCCTTTCTTTCCACGATTACTTCTTTTATGCATTTCCCCTCTGTTGGAGAGAGACAGTAAGTATTTCAGACTGGAGATCTGGGGAAACATATCTTAACATAAAGACTCCCTGAGCCAAATGGGGATCTCTGTCAGACTCTAAGAGGATTTTGGGTTTTCTGATTTTGCTTTGGGAAACCTAAACTACTGAATTCGGGAGAATAAACCTTAGCGAAACAGTTCAAAATTTTTCAGAATTCTTTTAAAATGTTGCTCTGTCAATTTGAAATATACGATTTAAAATATATCCCTAATAATATACAAAATAGATGTATACCAATATAAAATATTCCATAAATATACTACATTGATCGTCTATATAAAAGAGTATCAAAGACCGATTCACTGGAATGTATGCTATTAACACAATTAGCGATCAATGTTACAGGAAACTTCTGCTTGTCATAAGCTCTTGTAATTTGATGTCGGAAATGGTTAAAGTAGATTACTTTTTTTATTCTTAATAAACATAAGCTATAAAGTAACTTACTGTTCAGGATATAAGCTGAGGACAAAGATTTGTCTTTTTCGTTTAAGACATGAAAGAAGAAGGTAGCTCTGTCTCTCACTTCATCATCAGTATCCATCATGCATCTAAAAGCAGAAGGTTTGGTTCAAAACATTGAAGTTACAAAGAGTAACTACAGGTTACCTTGGCTTACTCACTCATTACCGAGTAACATGAAATGAATTTCACACGTTTCACACGTTTAGGATGGGTCGCTTTCGCAAGGAACAAAATATCTATCTTTTATCATTATCAGGATTCTTGAATATTTTTTAAGGCCCTATATTGCAAAGGGAAAAACGATAGTTAGCCCACATGAGCGCTGGAAATTTCCTTTTAGTATGGCCATCTTTATCGTGACCGGTCATTCGACATCAGCCAATCAGGCAGAAATTATTGATTAGCAGGAACGTTTTCGACCAATCAGATTCCCTGGACAATTTCTAGTAAAAGTCACATGCCAAAACGCGAAATCTTTCCTGCTCCAAGAGCGATTTTTTCAGTTTCCATCTCCCATGTAAGTTGCACTACATGGCCTAAGGGCGATGACGTCAATCAAAAGAACACAGAACCAGATAGATCCGAACTTAGTCTTATGGCAACCATTCATCCATCGAGCTCATAACTACTAGATGCGCAAGAAAATCGTCATAAACATATAAAGTTCATACTTCAAATAGAACTATATATTAAATAAACAATAAAGAATGATTGAGTGTAGGTGTTAGTACGAAGATACATCTTGAGCCTTCGTATAATCGGTTAACAAAGGCCTTTTACGAAACACTAAAAACTTTCAATGCCCTCGGAGACCACGATAAAGGAAAGTTTCACATACTAAGCGCAGGCAAAAGGTAGTGCCTTTTAAAGATGAGATTAGACTTGTCCTGTGCAATTGGAAAGTTAAAGTAGGGGGCACGCTGGCCTTTCCAGTAGCGCCTGTATGCAAGTGGATGACCAGGAGGCAAGCGTCCTCTCAATAGCAATAAAATACATGCAAAAAACATGTAGATCCCTTTTATTGTCTCTCGATTTTCAATGTCTCTCGCAGTTAATACCACCCCTGGTCAGCGTACAGTAACATTCAAAACTCTCCTCAAATTCAATGAAAATGGGGCATAGTCTAAGTGTTGTTTTTTCCTCGACCGTTCTTGAGTGGTCGTCCTTCTGACCACCAATCTCAGATTCTGAATACCGGTTCTGATTGCTTTTCTATAGGCTACATGCGTCCTGTACGTCAAATATTTGGATTAAAAATAGATTACAAGAAATTAAAAAGGCACCCCACCTGGATAGCAACACAAGAATGCTTGGAAGCAGAGAGTCACAATGTGCTCCAAATTTGGCCAAGGAGCTGACAGCAGCTGAGAACAAGGGTAGAAAATTTTGATAAATGCAAAATACAAAATGCGATACAAAATACAAAATGCTAGATTCCTCAACTTGTGAACTATTTTTCTCTTCGTTAACTATTTTCCTATTGCCTTAAGAGGTTCGACAGCCGACGCCTGACCAAATCATAATCAGTTGAAAATAATATAGAATTTGAATTTACCATTATCTTCCAAATATAAAAATATAATTGTATATAAACATTTTTACTATTATAGAAAATTCAGTAGATTTTCTCGAATTTTTTCCTTCGAGAGGACGTAGCGATTGAAGTTCACCAAAAACAAAAAACGATGATGCCTTGGATTTTAACGAAGCCATAAATAAGAAAATTGAAATACACTCTCCTGGTGTAACTATAGGTAAAATTTCAAAAGCAAATGTCATTGTCAATACCAAGTGGCATACAAATGGAATTCTTGGAACTGAGAAAAATTGCTTTAGAGAAAAGAAGCATTTATCGCTTTCATGTCTCAAGTAATTTGGTTAATTATGTTTTACCCATCATGCTTGGCCTAAGTTGACACACGCTAAGATTCAAAGACCATCAAAAGTCAATCGATAATCTAAAGGGGTTGATCGCTCTAAAAGTCTCATTTGCTCTTAAGGAAGTATCGGTTGTGCTTACACATTTTAGCTTGCATCTACAGTTTTCACAAAATTCTCAAATGCATCATTGACGGGTGATATCTCTCAAAGCCTTACCTGCTCGTACTTCGGCATTCTCAAGAATCACACGATTGTAGATGTAACGAATAAACTTTGAAGGATTCGATGTTTTAGGCCCTTCACAGCCGAGCAGATGCAGGATTCGTGTAGCCAATGACACGTGCTCACAGTCTTCGATGAACTCACATAAATGTGACAATCCAGTCTCCTTGGCATCGGGGTTCTCTTCAATGATGCTTATTATTGCCAGAACAATGCCTTTCTTGTATTCAAATCCACCCTAAATGCAAAAACATTGTTTAGCACTTGGTATCGATTCTTCTGAACTTATTGACCAAATATTTTCGGTCTGTCTACTTCTTTAGGCATCTTTGCATCTATGAAAAATGTCATAAAAGTTCTACAGGCTCAAATACTAAATGCAGATGATCTAACATCCTGAACTAAAAGAGCTAAGATTTTTCATCCCCTTCTCCTGGGTTCAATGTTAATACACTGTACCAGGAAAAAATTTTTCTAAAATAATCAAGTCAACGATAACGATAACGTGCTATGCTCGAAACGTCGTTGATTATTTTAGAAAAAAGTTTCCTGGTACAATTTACTTACATTGATCGTTATTTAAATTCATCATATTATACCGCACGTATTTTAGTATATTCAATGTTAATACCCCTACTATTTAAACTCATATGCCCCCATTTCGAATGGGAGGTGGGAGGAACTAGTACACCTTGATGGATGAATCAACAGGTAAATTGCATAACTAGATCAAATTCCTTTAGCTTAAATTAAAATAAAATTATCTATCCGGGATTGAAAATCTTCAAAAATAAATCAAATCTTTCTAAGAAATTTGAATTATCAAATATTTTATTCTTAAAATTGTTCCAATTTATTTGAACTATGTATTGAATATCATAATTTGCTAACAATTTTCCAAAAAATGAAACTGAAAAAGAAACGAATTAAAGCCTAAAATGGGTAGTAGAAAATCGGTTTGGAGAGTTGAATTAAGTGCTTGACAAGAGGATAAGAGCTTGGTCTAGAGAGCTCGGTAACCTTCTCGATTTCACAAGAAATCGTTGCGTACGATCCAAACTTATCGGATTACACACTTTCGTTACTTCTATCTATTTGGGTCATTTTAGGAGTAACAAAAATCTTTGGTGGTCAGTAACGCACCTAAGCCTAATGAGGGAGTGTTGAAAGTTAAATATAAGCCAAGATATAAGCTATCAAACCTCGTCACGAAGCATGGAAGAGAGAAAGGTCAGCATAACCATATGCTTTCTTGGAAACTTCAGACACAAGGACCTGCGAATCAACAAACCAGCAATTTTTTCAGTGAAAATATAATTGGGAAGGAGAAGAGTTCAGGCTTATTAGGAGGCGGAGACAGGCGGTACTATGTTTGTTTGCAATTTTAATTGCCTTATAAGCTATTTACTGTATAGATATCGATCATCTGTTGCAGTGTAGATGATATAATATGACCCTGGTTAACCATTAGTGATGATGAAATCGTTCCTGTTTGTTTTGTGGTAGTTTTTCTTTGGCCAGATTTTCTCAACCCATACGGTTTGAAGTTTACAATACCCAAAAATTATTCTATATTCAACAATATAGCTTTGTAATGGAGCTAGTGGCCACACTGAAAATGACAGGCTACGGCAAGACAACCTGTATGGCGGCAGAAATAGCAGAATACGACCTAAAAATTATAAAATTTGTTGCTTAATGTCGTACTTATAGAAGGGAAATCCTGTCATAACTTTGGGTAACCTATGAAGCAGAAGGCGTATCCCACGGCTAATTAGGTATGACTTTCTCAAACGTTTTTTATTTGAAATTGCTGCTATCTAACTTCCGCAGGTAGCTTTTAGGACACTAAGAGGCTATGCTCATCGAGCTGGATCCTGGTATTTCTTCACGGTGCGACCACACCTTGTGATTCATACGCCTGTAATTACAGAGAGCTGGCGACTCTCTTCATTCTAAGTGATAGTCTTGCCATGTCAGAAACTCGAACCACAGACCATTGGATTTTTAGTCTGCAACCCTAACCATCGAGTCATCCTCACACAAAATTGGGTTCAAATTTAACAGAATACATACTTGATAGCATCGACAACAACAATCTTGAATTCATCTGATATTTCAGACATAAACGAAGAGATTTGCTTCATCAGGCGATCCACGCTGCTCTCATTTCCAGTCTAGGCAAAGATAAAATTTTTTCTAATCAAGATTAACAGACACGTTTCCAAAAGATCAATACTTCTCAAAATTTTTAATGAAAATGTATATGACTCTGTATCATATACATCAGATGCATTTGGTCAATATTAGAAAAGACAGCTATGAAAGATCATTGCAAAACAAAAAGGTAAATTTTTTTTGGTGCCAATATTGCAGTCGAAGGACGTGGTAATAAGCCTGTTAAAAATCATACTAAAAATTTTCAAGCAAAGGGGCCTAGGATAGGATAGTCGACATGACTCAAAAACATTAATCTTGATTTTATAAATCCACTGAAAATGATTTGGAAATGTGTTAGCGAGAGATCTGTTTACCTTAAGGAGGGTGGTGATTGCCAGCGTAGCAATACTGCGGTTGACATCGGTGATCAAGTTCTCCAGATCGAGGTTGCATGTTGTGACCGAGGTAGGCTGCATTATGGCGACTTTATTCAAGGTACGCACGGCGGCAAACCGTAATGTGGGTCGCGGAGAACTCAGGAACAGTTGAAGAACTACAAAAGAATAATAAGCAAAATCTTAACTCATCAGTGTCACCCTACATCCGTTAATTGGCGTAGATCTTACAAAACATGAATAAATACGTTGGCGACCTGAACTCTTGAAGATCTCGAAAATCTAAATGGAGGAACACATAAAAGAAACCAATCCAAACGAAAAATTTATTTTATCGGTTGGGATCTAATAGAACATGAACGAGAACTAAAAGCTGTCTGATGAGCTTAATTTGAATAAAAAAAACCTTAAAAAGGTCTGGCTCACAAATCTAATGAGCAAAGGAATAGACACAAAATGTTATCGAAACGAAATATTACATATATCTAGGGGGATATTCTTATAAATGCAATGACCTTGAGTATTTCTTACAAAATTATCTCCACGATTTTCATCAATCGGGAGATCTGGTCATTGTCATCTGATCATTGACATTATTAACCCGATATCAGCGCAATTTTGGCAAAACCATTAGGTTCTTTAAATACGAAAGGTTAGGTGCTACAGCCGCCTCTTTCAAAGATAATAATATGCTAACAACTCGAAGAATTATCGAAATAGGTGGCATTTATCTTCCTGATCAAACATTTTATTATTCAACATGGTTTTATGCGGCTTCACACTTTCATAAAAACACACACCATGGGTTTAATTGGAAAAGCTTGTCGATAATTTATGTCTAAATTTTCAATTATCTATCACCGGACAGTAGGATATAAACGAGGCAAAAAGAGCAGATATTGTGACCGAAATCTTTATTATTTGAAGGAAATCCTCTTTCCAACTGAGAGAGTGGAGCTGCAGGTCGAGGTCAAAGCTGATAGATTAGAAGTGAGCGCAATGAAAAACCCACCTGAAACAGCCGAACACAAATCCTTAGACTTCATGTTCTTTAAATTGACAAGAGATCTTGCTGCTTCGTAAACTACCATCTGCAACATAAAACAGTTTTAAAAAGACTGAATCAACCTGCACGTTTCATAGAAGCGGCTACATATCGCCATGGCTGATCTCAAAAAGCGTGAAAACCTAAAAACACTTTGCTTGAACTTCTATTTCTTCATTAACTGCAAGAGCATCCAGTCCAAGATGTCTACCTTTGAACAATCTCTTTTCTTTAAACCTTTTGAAAAATTCTCCCAATTCCATATTTTTCGAAATTATACAATTCTTTCTTGTTTATAATTGCTATAAATTGTCATTAGACATGCATATATTCGCGATGGATAAGCAAAGGCAAAAATTGAGCCATAAATTCGCTTTTTTGTGTCTTGTTGTACAAGCCACAACTTGATGAGTGATTTTCAGCATTGTCTTGGGAAGCTTACATTCAAAGATGGCTTATAAACAGACGGGCGTGGGTTTCTTTCCTTGCTCAAAATGCCGCATGTCATTTTCATATATGGTTAAAGTTTAGTAAGAATGATCGATTGCAAGTTATGGCCCATTGAAAAAGATTCCCTGTCGTTGCCAGTGTAAAGCTACTGTTACAAAGAGAGAAGATGATAAAAAACTGAATATAAGGGAAATGGCTAAAACTTTTGAATGATTTTGATGATTAAATTATGTTTATAACTACTATTTGAAACATTTGCAGAAAAGTTCTGAATATGAGAGGGATTAAAAGTCAACCCGATCAAACACAGAAAATTGCCAGTTTGAACAATAAGGCTCTATTTTGAATTTTGAAGAAAAGGAATAAAACAAATATTCGATGGCAACCTTTATAGAAAAAAGGGAAGTATAAGAAAAATGATTCAGAGTGTGCCAATGTATTCATTCCTCCATCCACATTTCTAATACTGAGACAACCCAAAGAAACTTTTGAAGCCAGAAATTTGTGTTGTGAGGATACTTGCATGCAACGCCAAGGTGTCTTTGGCACATTTTGCAGCAAAACCTTAGTAAATTGTTTCATTTCATTATTTGAAGAAAAAGACAAGTAAAAGCATGTTGTTGCTCCTAAGTTATGAAGGGACTGCAAACCCTGTTTTCTGATTGTGAACATCTGGGGTTTAGCAATTTCCACTGACCACTCCTACACAGCACAGACGCCCTTTACAATATCCCTCACCACAATTAATTTCCTACCTCACTTTTGTGCCTCAGGCAGCTTTCCAAGAAATCATACAACCTGGCATTTTCAGGGCTAGAAAAAGATAAAACAATATTTAGTATTCATTCCTGGTATTTGGTAACCAGCCTTACCCATTCTTGATAATTCTCTTGATTTCAACAATGATATGACGAACAAGCTGAAGATTTGCAATCAAATAAATAAAAGAAAACAAATTCACGATACGCAAAGCGGTTGTTAGCTAGAAATAGTTTCCAAACGAAATATTTAAACACTGCTTGAGCTCCCAAAATAACTTGTGACATAACCCAGATTTTTAATTTTTTTGGAATTTTTGGTCTTTTTCCGGAATTTCTCAATTAAAGTTAATACTAGCGAACTCCGGAAAAATGATCATTTTAACTCATAAAATTTTAACCGGCGGGCATATTTCATTAGGAACTTGGGATGCATTGATCACGCTGAGCAAACTTTTATTCAATCAAATCTTACAAGAAGTTTCCTACCTAATAAATAAAAAATCAAGTATATACATAAAGGGAAATCAATTCACTAAATGATCTATGTCAACACTATCTCAGGTTTTTAGAATTTTTTGAACTCTTCTTCAATCAACTCTTACAAAAATTTCTCTACCTAAAAATAGCAATAATCTATAGCTCGACATCTGCCCACATTCTATGGCTATACATGGGGATTTGTATTGACATCATAGAAGTAACTCTGTATACTGATAAATCGAAGAGCTGGTTGAGAAAAGGTACGAGTGACTTAGATATATTCGCTCTTCTCTGTCTATGTTTGAGCATTAAAAATCGGGGATAGAATGAAAGAAGCTTAAGGAAGAAATAACACATGACTAAAAATGATGAAAGCAATCACCTATCTGGATCATCATCTAGGAATTTGGCAGCAATGCGAATCTACGGTTGAGAAAATTATCCTCAAAAACCACGCAAACTAAGGAGGATTAAAAATTTATCAGAGTCGAAAACTCAGTTTACAAACAAAGATTAAAGAATCATGTCACTGACCACTGGGTTACATAACGGCCAGGAAACAGAAATAATTTGGTCTCAGATTGCAAAATGAGCGGAAAGCTCGTCTTGCTAATAATACAAATACTCCTGGAAAATTATCAAGAAGTCAATAGAAGATGGAAAAGAATTAAAAGGAACCTTGAATTACAACATGCTTGAATCTTAGAAGATTGATATTTTATCTTATGAAAGGCAATGATCTGAAACAGAACTTATTAAGATGCGACATAGGTAAAGGAAATGAAAGTGCTATTCTCATTCGGCTTAACAACTAAAAATATTGAGAGATATCAATAAATATTTGTGCAAGCTTGAGAACTGGTAAGACCTGGTGTAGTTGTGATTTATGAAAAGTTTGCATATGTCTGTTTCTAACGCATAACGCATTGCATATAATGAAATCTCAGTTGTAAAGATTAGCAGTGTCCCCCAAGGACTTCCCTGTGTGCTGGCTAATCAGTACAGCTTTTTTGGGATACAATACAGACTTACTATGCCAGCCTCCACCGGGATCCACCTTCCAGGGCTACGCAAGAAAGTCATTAGGCCTTAATAAACCTTATGACCATGCTACAATCCTGGTTAGGTAGCTACATCCTTAAATCATCATCGTCAATGCTGGTTTACAAGGAAACGCGCTTCTAAAATAACAGGAAAACTAGATAGGACTAGAAATAATACCATACACTAGCCAACCACTCCGACTTTACCCTACCCTACCCACGCAAGATTTGATACCACTTTGAAATATTTTCTTTTACATTTCCCTTAATATTTCAATTTTCATCTACAATATTTATTCGATATTGTTTAAATGTCTAAAATAAAATGTAAAAAGGCAAATTCTTAAAACAAATCTTTGAATCAAATCAGATTTGTTTTCCTCTGTTGTGTGTATCTCCTCTTTATCTATTACAGGTTCTAGGTAGCTACAGGCTTGTACGATATATTGTACTTACCAAAAGACAATAGGCGTAAGGAGACTTCAGTGACTGTCTCGACTGCTTTGCAATCAACTTAGATACAGCCAGTCGGTCATGTTGCTTTACGTGGTAAAGAAGACCAAGTCCATGGTACTAAAATCGAGAGTGTTTTAACATAAAACGATTGAGCTTTAAAGAGGGGGAGAGGAAATAAAAGAGGCTTATCAACGTGCAAGGATGGCAACATCACTTAAAGAACTGGTAACGAATTACGTAATTCAGCATCTGCTTAACAGAACGTTTTGCGAATCTGGGACTTCCTTGATAAGGCTAAGCAAACTTTTATTCAATCAAATCTTACAAGAAACCAAGTAGTCTAAAATGGCTGCTCAAATTGTCAAACACGCATGAACACGAACTCGTTGTCCTCCAAACAGGTGGCAAAAGTCTTATTGAATCTCCAACTATATTAGTAACGGGGTATCTGTTTCTTTCTTCCTTGGATTCGCACTAAACAATATATCTGTTTATCGCCCCTACCTGAACCATGACATTGTCACTAGAAACAGCTTCTTGGGCTTCGTTCACCCATCTTTTCACGACGTCAAAATTCGGCTTGAGGAGATGCTAAAACCAAAACAACTTGGTATCATATTGATGAATCGTAAACTTAGCGAATCGCAAAAACAAAACAAAAAGTTTGCTTTACTTCAAAACAAATTAATCGAGAAGGAATAAACAGAATATAGTCTAACTTCTTCTATGCTTAACTTCTTATTCAACCCTCTACTTTCCATCTTAACCTCACTTTCTTTTCTCTTCTTTCAATTTACTTTTTCACTCGTACTCCTTTCTAGCCTTTTCTCTCCTTTCCTTTTTTCCTAAATACTTTGAATCTAAACTGCCTTTCGCCTATTTTTCCATAATATTCATTTATGATGTTTGCTTTCAGGCAATAAATTCATTTTCTCGACATCAATTCTATAATGTTGTGTTTCCAAGACCGAACATCATAATTCCAAACCAGCCAGGGGGTTCCAGTTCAACAGTATAAACATATTGGATTCTGCCAACCAATGATGAATTGTGTTTATCAAATAGGACTTGGCATCTTGAATGAAGACCATCCCCGCCCTTTTGCTGGGAATTGTGTGTTCATCAAGTAAGGTTTGACATTTTGAATGAAACTCACCAGAGATGAAACTAAGGCTGCACTTGAAACTGACGGATTCTTGTCGACAATCGCCTGCTTCAAATATCTCTCAATGCCAGCTAGCATTGTGCTCTACGAGATGAAATCAACAGTAAAAAATTATGAAAACTAAAAACTTTCGACCCGCATCTGGATTGAATCTCTGCTTACCTTTAGCTATTATCCGACGTCTATATTCTAACGGATGGCGGATGGCTTTAGTATGCTATGTTTCCACTTTTTCATGCTATCCTCAAAACGCTTTTTGTTGCAAAAACGTGGAGTTTTTGCCATCTAGGAGAGCATAGTTGGCAAATTTTAAAACGTGTCCGGCAAATAGGGTGGCTCATCCACTTGTTCGGCAAATGGGGACAGGAAATCCCCCTGAAGCACGAGCCGGAGTGTGTTTCTCTTGGTTGAACTTCATGGGCTAGCCCCCCTCCCCCATTCTCGAAGATGATTGAATGAACCTAAATAATATAAATATGAATTCAGCAACTGATTAATACTCACGTCTGTTATTTTGCACAACGCCCTGATTGCACTGGCTCTGAAGATATCTTCCTAAAAAAAATATGGGAAATTAATTTTTTGAAAGATGTATATGACTTAGATGATAAACAGGACACATTATTATTAATGGAAGCCGAGTTCCTTCAAATTGTCCATTACCCAATATGCTGTTATGCCAAAAATGTTGTCGATAAGACAAGAAAGAAGGGCTACTAAAAAATATATCAGTATCTGAATTGATTTTTGTTTGCAAGCAAGTCTTATCAGTGATTGAGATAAAAATACAAGAAATATCTACAGCAGATTGCTGGAAAGAAAATATGGCATTCCTCATAATGAAAAAATGATGTCAAGACATTTTGCCATGAACAAGGGCAAATCCACAAAACTTCTCATAAACCAAAGAGTCATAATCACTGATTACATTAAAATCAACAATACTTCATGAAACCAAAAAAAAATTTTAAGTTATGAAACATTCTCCCCCTAGTGGTTTTATAATGAAATGCTTTATGTTGTAAATAATTGAAGCAAAACTCCCTTAACGGACATATCCAAAAATTTCCAAACAATGGTAAGAAATGTCTGTCCAAGATTTCTAGTAAATGCAACTTCCAAAAAGCATACAAACTCTGATCCGATGGGTATTAGAATTATTGAACAAGATTGTATATTACAACAAAGTGAAAAAAATAGAAAGAACAGGTTATAGATACAAACCTTTCCAGTCATATCTTTGGTTAAACTAAAAAGCAAAGAATTTTTTTGAATAGCAAAGCTTTAATTTGGCATATTCACATTATTTGTTGTTTAAAAAAAGAAACATCATTAAATGAGACGAGATTATGGAAATGATCCAGGGATGTCAAGATTTGCTTTTCCTCTCTTTATTTGCTCTCATACCTGCTTGTTACGATGATGACATCCTCTGCAACATTTGCCAGCTCTTTGATTGCCAAATAGCACATTCGCCTCAATGTATGCTACAGAAAGGGAAATATAAAATTCATATACATTAACCTAACTCTTTATTTGTTTCTTTATTTTATACAAAATATACATGCTAACATTTGTTTTCAGCTCATTCTAAGATGCCAATGAACCAATTTCATGGCATAATGGTTGGATTAGAACAAAATCAGAAAGAAAGGACATAAAAAAGGTATAACTCAGGTAACCACATTCCTTTGGTACGTGTATTTATATACACCATTGATTGGTTTTCAAGCAGTATTAGTCTTGAAACATGAATATTTACCATTCTTAGGTACTTCTACATTTTTTGGTCCAAATTATTCAACTTTGTAATGTAAATATGAAAAAATCTGAAAATTTGTACAGAGCGAATTACATACATTTATAATATAGATTTTCTGCTTGATCCTGTATAAAACTTAAGTGGGCATAAGCTATAAAAAATGGGCAACTAGAGATCATTAAAATCTGAATCTAATCATAACATACATCTCTTGATTGGAACAGCTTGGTCATGGCAAAAAAGGCTTCTGTGGCCTCTGTAGTCCCAAAATGGCTGCCCTGTTAAAACAATGTGACCAGTAAAAAAAAGAAGACAAAGTTAAAGAAAAATGAAATGCAAATCTATCTGACTAATAATTAATTAACCCTTGTAGACAAAGAGTAAGTATTTTTTTAGCTTTAGAGATATCAGGTTTCAGGTTATATTGATAAAGAGGTAAATCAAGTCAGGTAAAATTTAGAAGTCATGTAAGGAGAATAATTTGAGCAATCTTACATGATTCAGCAAATACAGGATCTTTGTAAGTATGTGGATGCATTTTCTGGTGTTGATTGGAGTATCATTAAATGTTCGAGACTAAAACAGAATGGCTTCAAATTAGACTTCAGATTTGCATTAAAAGTCAAAATGCTTTCTAATAGAAATGTTATTGCTGTAATATACAATAACTAGGCTTTTGGAGTATACAAGAGGACAATTACAAGTTACTGCTGAGAGTTTTACGCTTAAATTGATCTTTATACAACTTCATTAAATGTGAAACGTGGGAAGCATCCTGTTCTCTACAACAATAGCGTGTATAGCTCTGCTTACAGGGCATCTGCTTACAGAGCAATTACAACAGACAGTAAAAAGTAATTTTTAATAGAAAAATATACAAACAATTATCTTAAACTAAAAATAAGTTGCCTCTCTTTACAGATGCCAGTTTTTTCTGAAACATACTCAGAGTAAGCTACTGGCCATGTTTCTTATGATTTTACTTTCACATAACAATATCACAAAAGGTAAGTTATTAACAACTTAATTTGAAGTGAACTTGGCTATACGAAATCAACAATTTGGCATATGATGAGAAAAAGTTTTGATAGTTTGGTGAAATTTGCTACAAAACTCAACACTTAAACATCCCAAATATCAAGACCAGCTTCAATTCATATGAAATACTTTGCAAATCATTTATTTGTAAATGGCTAACAGCTTATTAATAGGGAAAATAACTCAAACTGACAAAAATGACTTTAGATAAAATTAACTGTATGTATTTCTATGAATGCAGTTGTCTGATGGTAAAATTTAATGTGAAACTCAAAGAAGCAGCTAAAAACTGTCTTGTTCTATATATAAATACATGTACAGCTTTGTTCTAAACACAAAAGTGCGTACTTTTAAAAAATACTTGGTTAGTACAAATGACCAGCATTGAGCACTATATGATGATATACATAATAGCAAACAGTAATTTCATTGCTTATGAATGTGGATAGACATAACATTTAATTAAATTTATATGAACACTTTGGTAGTGAGTACAGAACTTAGAACTGCCTTGTTCTATGAACCAAAACATGTAAAATGTAAAGACCTATGCCTGCCAATAGTAAATCGAGCACTTAATACCAGACTGGTAAAACTGTAATCTAAATAAAAAGGTATGTAATCTTAAGTCAAATAAACATCTTAATGGAATTACAAATTACTTTGAAAAAGAGGCAATCTCTGCCAATCTAAAAAGCATGTTGGTAATTTTCTTTGGATCTACACCTGAGATTTGCTAGAATTTTTCAGTATAATGCATGTTACCATATTGAAATCAAGAAATGCAAACTGGGCTACTACACCAAGACAGAGCTTAAAATCAATAGTACAAACCTCTTGCAATACTGTGCTTTTATCAATAGTATGGAATGGATTAACACCAGATCCTAATATGCAAGTAAAATTTATTTATAAGAACAATTCTATGAAAACAGGAGCCTCAACATCAACCAAAAAAATACAAGCAAATTAAGGCTGATGCTGAAGTACTGCAAAACATAATTTCTCATAAATTTTTTACAAATTATTACCATAATTATGTTTTTACTGTTCAATAACTACAATTTAATATTATACAACTTCAAAATTATCATTAATGTTATTGTAAGCTTGGAGCTGTTTTGTACCACATTAACACAGTATGGGAGGCACATTACCTTGTCAATGATAATTCAATGTCAACATCAACATAGCATTGGGTTCGAATTGCTCCCAAAATTAGGAAAACATGGGAATTACAAGAGAGCTCTAGGCAATTAGCAATGAATGTAGCCATGGCTCAACCCTCTTTACTGTATCACTGGCTATGTTATTAGAATCATGACTCTCATACTGTGCCCTTGAGGTGGTGATACAGCAAGTGCTGTGCACCGTCTGCATTTTCTAGTAGCACTATTCTTTCTATGTCAACCAGCCTTCCCCTAAGCCCGCTATTAGAGCAATTGCAGCATAAGTGAAGGCAGCAAAATCCCCTGACACCATTACGAGAAAAAATACTCTTTACAATCATTTTCTAGCTGTTCAAAATTTCAAAGAACTAATACCAGAAAAATTTGACTCCCAGCTGCCCCTGCAGTTTAACAAAATTTAGACCCAAATACACAAAATTGTCCAATTGATTTTTTCCTCAAATAGCCATCAGCACATTTTTTCAAATTAAGTTAACTTTTTACTCTGGAGAATAACATCAACAGAGGAATATTTTCACTTTGATAAAAATAGATCCCTCAGAAATAACACTGCCACATCCCTCATGAAATCTGGCATTGAGGCCACATTCCCTCGTCACAGGAAGCAACGTTGGGCCGTTGGTGCATCCTCACAAGTTGCTCCACCTAACCCAAATAAAAACCCTTAACCTTAGATATAGCTTGATTAACTCAATTGCAAGCAGTTTTAAGTTCTGGGCAGGGAGTGGACAAGAAAAGATCACTTTTCCCCACCAGGGAGCCAATGCACCAGTCCTACCTTAGATTCCTAAGGTATGAGAAAAGCAGGGCTAGGCTGTGAAAATCTGATCTCTCACCTAACCGAGATTATCTTGATGCTTTTATATACTTTTGAGTACTGAGATTCAGTATCCAAGATAGGACCAGAAAAATTTTCTGCTTGCAGTCGCTGTTTTCTGCTTGCAGTCACAGCTTTTAAAGTAACAAACATGTGATGTGGTTATAACCAGAGTCAACTACACTAGGGTATCAAAAGTACTGCACCACCTCGAAGGGGGAGTAATGGTGCATGAAAGATCGAAAGCTATTGTTATGCAAATTAATTGTTACTTTAAGTGGCGAATGGGTGTGGGTCGGAAGTAAAACAACTACCAATCAAAACCTCAATCTATTTAGAACAATTGTTTGAAAAATAACAGTAAAAAACATTCTTTCACAGTTTCAAATTTCAATATTTTGTCGGGTAGCTGCGAACTTTTAAAACAGCTTTCAGCCTTCTTGGAATAGATGAATATAATTGGAAAATGTAATCTTGAGGAATTTCGTGCCATGCCCGAACGACTCTTTCAATTAATGATTCTCTAGTTATTTGAAGACCATTTGGATCATGATTAATAATGTTTTTCATGCGAAGCCAAACATTCTCAATGATGTTCAGATCCAGACTTGATGCTGGCCATGGCAAGACTTTAATTCCTCTTGTTTGGCAATAAATCTTGGTGAAAATTGAGCTATGTGGTGGTGCATTATCTTGCTGAAAGATAAATGGCTTTTCATCTTCACCATACATAGCTGCAACAATTTGAAAGAGGTTATCTTGAAGCAAGGAGACATATTTTTCAGAGTCAAGTCGTTGGTCACAAATGACAAGTTTTCCAACACCCTTAGGCCCAATGCATCCCCAGAACATTACAGAGATTGCATTGTTGAATGCAGGCTGGTAAAACTTTGGGTTGTGTGCCTCTTCCATTGTACGCCAGACTCTTAACGTTTTACAATCATTTTTAAGTCCAAATCTGCATTTATCTGAGAAAACAACATCCTCCCATTCCAACACACTCCAGTCTCAGAGAGCTTGAGACCAGCTGATGTGCCTTCATGTTTTTTAATGAAACAAATGGTTTTCTCTTTCTAAGGTAACTTTTGATTTTATATTTTTGTAAAATCCTTCTTATAATTTGTTTGGAAGGATTTTTACCTGCCAAACCCTACTGAACCTCAAGTTTTATGGTCTTTAGTGTCATGAAACCTAATAGCTGTGCAGTGCAACAGATAATTATTTCCCCTCTACCATCCAGTTTTTTTGGCCGTCCACTTCTTGGTTTCTTTGCCACTGAACCACTCTCAATAAAACTTTTAAAAATTCTAACAGCTGTTGTGTGGCTACACCCAACTTGCTCCACAATTTTACGATAAGACAGTCCACTTTCCCGCAAATATTTTATAGCGACTTGCTTCTCATTTGTTAACTCTTCCTCTTTAGGCATGGTCTATATCTTAACAAATAAAAATTTTTTTCGCCTAGTTTATACATTTTTAACTATGTTTTCTATGGCGTCAGCAAGATTTTTAAGAATTTCCCTGCCAAAATTTGCTATAAAATGCGCCTATTTCACCCAGTTCCCAGAGTGCAAAGTATTTTTTGTGCGCTGGGAATTATTTTCTGTCGCTTATGCTTGCGCGGGAACAAATCATGTTGCATAATGACAGGTTAAAAGCTGCAGGATTTCAATTTTAAATAGCACTTTTAGGGCTCAAGATTATGAGCAAAAAATCCACGAAAGTCCATGTTCCAACTGCTCGGATTAATCTAAATTTGCAAAAATGCGCGGACGGGATGTGAGCAAAAAATTATTGCGCAGGGAGCAGGTTCCCAACGCATACCCAAACTTTGCAGTCTGGCCCAGTTCATGCATCCAAATGTTTGTTGTTGTCAAAAAGTTGACAAAGTCTGCCACCATTTTGAGCTATCAATATCAAATAAGAGAAGGATACATAACCCAATTGAATTACTGAAGATTTATGTATGTTTTAGCCACATAACGAGTTAAATATAATCTCGAGGGGTTATATTATATGGATAGCGCCCGTGTGGAAAAAAATCCTCTCCTATCTTTTGCCTCGTACGCTAAAAAAATCTGCAGAGTAAAATTAACTAGCCAAAACAACAGGCTTTATTTTCAGTTATTCAGAACTCCATTATCTTAATGTACCTTTTATAAAAAATTGCAACAATCTTTACACAAATACGAAGCAGTATAGACGTTATATGTTGAATCCATCCATTTTCCGGCCATCACCTCTATCTATTTTCTTTCTCTCCATACCCTTAAATCAACGAAAAAAATTATTACTATCTAGCACTGAAAGATTAATTACCTGACTCCTCGTCCTTTTTATCCCTCTTAAGATACTGCATATTTACCAAAATTTGGCTCCTTAAATTTGGAATGAATTATCTTCGGAAACCAAATGGCTATCGTCCCTTCGGTCAAACTAGGCCACGTAAGGTGGCTTTAAGCGAGGCTACCTCACTCTGATGATGGTCATGGCTGACGTCACAACCGCAAAACCTGTCTCGGACTTTTCATATGAATTCCGCTTTAAAGATGAAGTGATCTTCAGCCAACATCACCAACACTGGCATTAAATGCTTTGAATCATATTTTTTCAGAATTTTTACGCTTTTTCTATAGTAAATCGTTAATCTACTCAAATTTCCGGAAAGGTCTGTCTGTCTTATCATTCTATGCCAATAACTCTTTGGCAACTTCTACTTCAACATTAAAGGCCGATTCCTACTAGGCGAATTCTTTCGCGCAAATCGAATAAATATTCGTAGCGATAGAGTAGGACCGTGATCTACTTTCTGCGAATCGAATTTTTTTGCTGCGAAATCTGAGAACATTACACCACGTATGCTCACATTGGCAAAAATTCGATTCGCGTGAAAGGATTCGCCCAGTGAAAATCGGCCTTAAGGCAAAATGGCTTTGAAAAAGCAAACATTTGAGCAAACTAAAGCTTTTCGTTTGACACTCTTCAGAGTTTAAAACATCAGAACATAGATCGAAAACTCTACGCTAGGAAATATATATACCCAGTTGTGGATGGAAATAGGTCAATCGGAAACGCGAGCACATGACTGTTGAGGCTGCCCAATCAGTGCCGCTTGCCTATAGAGAATGTTACCAATGGAGTCCTAATGTGAAAACAAACTCCTTTTGTCTACACAATAGTGGATTTTTTCTTGTTTCTGTAGATAGGTTCCAAAACTGCTGGATGGAACCATGTAGTGTTTACAGTACAGAAAGGGCCCTTCCATCTATTCAGAAGAATTGCGTTCCTACCACACAAAAGATTAATTCTGTTCGGCCTAATTTTGTCTGAACTGAAATGTTCCAAGCCTGAAATATCTAAGTTGTCAACAGGAACCTTTCTATTTTGATTGTAGATGATAAAGATCACCAAAAATGCAGTAGCTTCAAAATAGTAAATGATTAGTTTTGCTTTGAATCATAAGAGTTGTATGTGTCAACGCGACTTACCGTACTATATTGGTTCTGTAAAGGTTAAACAATGATCTTTGGCTCGTAGTGATGGCACAATTCTATACAGGGTGCAATCGCAAGGGCCGAAAAATGTCCGGCAGCTGAGCTGCCGGGAAATTTTTAGCACAAATCCATTGCAGGAAATTGTTGCTGTTTGCAAGGAGATTTTTAGCGTGAAATCTCCATTGCTTGATTTTGATATGAACGTTAAATTCATGGTACACTCTTTCTACGGAACACTGTTTTTTTGTGATATACACACATACTGTATAATTTTTGTTCTGCACTACTAAAAAGCGTTTGTTATACCAAATTACCGGGCATGATTTTCAGCTACAAATTTGATTCAAGCAAGATAAAACAAAGTTCATTGCTTTTTTACATTAGCCATTCTTTATATGTAAAACACTTAAAAACAGCCAATCTTGTTACATCAATTGCATTGAAAGGTGAACATGCCCCAAAAACTGTGTGGATGTGTCCATTAATATTCGTGCTTTTCTACTGGCATTCGCATACATTTTTCATCGCTTGCTTTATAAAATGTTAGCGTTTTGGTCTTACATTTTTGTCTCTAGCACCAACCCTTATTTAAAACATTAATTTTAACCATTGAAAAATAAAATAGTATTCTTATATGTTGTATGAATTACTAGCTCTGATGATAAAAAGAGCAGCAAACAGAAACTAAGAGCAAGATGTAGGATTCTTTGAGAGTATCTAGTCTGCTAGTACTGATATGAAATTTAATCAAAGTTATTATAGATTTTAAGATCTACTAACTTTAACCTTGAAAACAGCTATGAGTATTGTGCTTGGTCACAAAATTATTGCTGTTCAAATAGCTATTATCAAAAATCGAGGACCATGCTTATTCAAAGCCATAGGCCATTTTCAGGTTTTGTATCACTAAAAAATTAAAGCAAAAGTTGTAAATGGAGCAGGGACTTTAGGATTTATGAACACATTGCACAACGAGTAGTAAAGTTCTTAAGTGTGACGTTGCAAAAAATTATTTTAGAATGTTTGAATTCCAAAAAAAAGGAACTTTATAAAATTCTTCTAAATATGCAAAATCAGTTAAATTTGTTAAAATCAGGTAAGCTATGGCCAATAAAAGATTTGAAGTTTGCTAACAGATTACTGTTGATTTGGCTCTGTTCATAAAGTAAGGAACAGAGACAAAAATACAGAGGCTTGATGAGACAGAACACTGTGCTCATATGGCCATATCTCAGCCAATTCGGAACACTTTAAACTGATTTAGAACATCTCGTATTTCATGATTTTGGTTCAGGTTATAGGATCCAAGTTAAAAAATTCTAAAAATTTACTTTTGTGACGTCATCACTTTTACATTTTTTTGTTTAAGAAGTTAGACTGTAATATGCAAACAATCTTCTGGTAATAAAAAACGAAGCTTTAGTTAACTCAAATGTTTGTTTTTGTCAAAGCCATTTTCAAGCTAGACTGTTGCTCCTTGTCTATTCTGGAAGGCCCCAGAAGCTTATGGAGCATAAGGAAGTAAAGGTCAAGGTGAGAGCAGAGATGAAATCACAAATTTCATTGTTCTCAATTTTTTTGCTTTCAGTACTGAAGTTTGCTAATGTTTCTAAACATCACGTTCTTAGTTCTAGCAGCAACATTCTTATGAACAATTTGTGTTGTTCATTGCAAATGTGTGATGCAGTAAAGAAATTATTGGCCTGATGAAGCAACACCCCAAGGCTCAGTTCTTGGCATGGTAAATATTTCCAAAGATAGTCCAAAACGTACATGGCTGTAAAAAGTAAAAACAAGCCTACGGGACATTTGTAACATTGAATGGAAAGACAGGCACTGCGGAGCAGGGGGTGTCTGATTGGCTTAAGCTTTTGCAAAAATGCTAAAATTTAAGTATTTGACTACCAGTAAAGCCTCTTTTTACTCAGTTTTACCCCCCCCCCTCACTTTTTTAGACCCTCCACTTTCCTTAACGCTCCACGGTGCCTGAAAGAAGCTTGTGAACTAAAAGAAGAGAAACTTGCGTTGAAAAACGTTTTAACTAAAAGCTGGTTTTACAGAAAGTAAATTTATTTCCGAAAAAGTTTTTTATGAAAATAATAAATAATTGCCTAATTAACTTTGTCAAGAGAGGCTTGCCTCTGATGAAAGCGTTATGTCAAACTATAGATACATGAAACCAGTTTCGTTTCTCAAATTTTTGTTTGTATGCAAAACAGAAAGATGAAATGATAAAATTTTCTCCAAAGTATCACGTACGGCGAACTAAACTTTTTCTTCCATAATAAATAACAAGAAAATTTTCTACATGAAAAATTTCACATAGTAGATCATGTGTTAAAAAATGACATTAGAATGAAATAAACAAACATCTGAGCAAATATTGCCGACCGCAATGGAAGATTTTCAATAAAGTAAAGATAATCCTTCAAAAAACTGATGACTGTAGCCAGATAGAGAGAGAAAAAACCGATGTTTTCAATTCTTGAAGACCAACGGCTGTCTATTTTTGTCAACGCCTAACAGAAATACATGCGTGCACCACATGTATACAACGAGTACAGCGAATCGCTAGCAGGATACATGCCAACAGAAACATCTGCCCAGTTCTAATCAATATTTAAACTGTATAAGGTGATTTTTGCACAACTTTTGAGAGTATGTGGGTGGTTGGGGAGATTTTTTCGAAATAATCTGCGTCAGAGGATATAAATTGCTAGCACAATAGGTAAAGACCGTATCAAACAGCGAGAAGGCTGACTTATGCCTTAAACTTGGAAGGAGGAGTGAAATAAGCTAGAAATCTAATTCGTTTGATCTATTGACTTACAAAACTTCTTTGTTGCCTCATTCAATGGTATTTTTCTTATCAGTAAATAATGCAGCAAAATGAATCATTAATATCGAAATGTTTCTTTGCCATTAATCTGAGAAATAATATATTTATATGTTTTTATCGACAGGATAATTTCTCATTCCACGTGTCACAGCATTGGAGCTGTCAGTCAAAGTAAGCTTTCAATACTTTGATTGCAGCACTCAACTGCAATAAAATCTTCAATTGTTGGAACGAAAATGACATTTTGAGGCAAGCAAAATAATTTAATCTTGGAAGTAATCACTTTCTTGATCAATGCCAAAACTAGAGGGATTCCCACACTAAAAAACTTATAAGCTAGCACCACGAAGCTTATCACTGCTGAACTCTGCTGCTAAGATAGTTCGTAATTCAATTTAAAGATTTAGTTTGCTAACAATAACGTGATATTAAATCTAAGCAATGATGCTTTTGTAAAACTGTTGTTTCGCATCCTAGAAAGAGTATTGCGCTTAGTTTTAAAAGAATTGTATGCATTTCCAGGGTAGTATTGAGTCTCAAGCTGATTGCATCAATTTGGGTGTTTATTGATGGGCTGTGTCCGTTATTAGGAGGCGTCCGTTATTGAGAGGTGTCCATTATTAGGAGATGTCCACTTTTTGGAGGTGGCCACTATTAGAATGTTTATATTATGAGGAGGTTTCCGTTACTGAGAGGTTTTCATTACTAGTGAGGTGTCCGTAGATAGGTTGTGTTCGTTATTTGAAGGTGCCCGCTATTAGAAGGTTAAATTTATCGGGAGGTTTCCGTTATTGGGGGTGTTCATTACCAGAGAGGTGTCATTTGATTGGTTGTGTCGGCCATTAGAAGACGTCCATCATTGAGAGGTGTCCGTTATTAAAAGGTGCCCACTATTAGATGGTTTATGTTATTGAGAGGTGTCCGTTGCTAAAAGGTGCCCGCTATTGGAAGGTCTATGTCATTGAGCGGTGTCTGTTATCAAAAGGTTCCCTCTATTAGAAGGTTTATGTTATTGAGAGGTGTCCGTTACCAAAAGGTGCCCCCTATTAAAAGGTTTTTGCTATTGTGAGGTGTCCGTTATTAAAAGGTGCCCACTATTAGAAAGTTTATGTTATGGAGAGGTGAGAGGTGTCCGTTATTAAAAGGTGCCCACTATTAGAAAGTTTATGTTATTGAGAGGTGTCCGTTATTAAATGGTGCCTGCTATTGGAAGGTTTATGTCATTGGGGGGTGTCCGTTACTAAAAGGTGCCCCCTATTAGAAGGTTTTTTGTTATTATGAGGTGTCTGTTATTAAAAGGTGCTCACTATTAGAAGGTTTTTGTTATTGTGAGGTGTCCGTTGGTGGGTTTCCGTTATTGGGAGGTTATTGTCAGCAGGAAAGTGTCCGTTGATGGAGGTGTCGATTTTTTGGAGGTGTTTATTATTGAGAGATGTCCGTTGTTAGGAGGGTTCTGCTATCGGGAGGTTCTGTTATTGAGAGGTTTTGGTTATTTGATGGTGTCCGTTGGTCGGGATGTCAAATAATGAGATATGTCCATTTTTTAAAGGTGTCCGTTATTGAGAGGTTTTTGTTAGGGGAAGGCTTCTACGTGGAGCAAAACGTTTGACATTAAAATTGTGTGCACAACCGATGAAATTTGATTAAATAACATCCAATGGCTGCAAATGATATTTACAAATGCCTCCGAATAAACATGCGTAAAATTGATAATTCTACGAAACCTGAAGAATTTGATAAGTATTTTAGATGAATCAAGTGCGTCATGTGATAATTTCGGTTTTAATTTGATTTAATTCAGTCTGCAAGGCTGATTTCTATTGATGTATTAATATTCTGATTAAAAAAGTCTTCTTTAGGATCTGCCTTTTACTTTATATTTACTTAGCCCATAACTTGATGTTTGCAAATCTTCATGCGAGCAAGCAGAAAAAGAGAATATTTGCATCGGGCCAGGTGATTTTTATAGAATATTTATTTTAGAACACAAAACCAATTTTGTTCATTGAGAGAGCCTTGCCGCAACGGTCATGTGAATTTCCAGATGTCACTGACTAATTATGCAACGATCGAATTCAAAACTTTGATTTCAACTGGCATTATGATATTTAAAGCATGGATTGAATGGGACAACTTTTACCATCGCCACCATTTGCTTTCAAAGAAGATGATCTATATGCAACCAGCAAGGTTACAAGGAATCTACTTTTGCATCCCTCATAAGCAAATAATACAAACATGTCATGCATGGTTACTCCCAAAGTCAAGATTTGTGCTCCTCCTTTGTCTGACCAACGAGCCAAAGCTTTTAAACATTTACAGTAAAGTTAAGTCTTCAAAGCCATGTATTTTCACCAACATTTTTCACGAATGAATGATTCAGAACTCAGTTTTCTAAATCAGGAGTCTTTTACATTTCTATCGAAAATCTGAGCAAGGTGAAAGTCTTCAATTTCTAGATTTGATTCTTTGCATGATAATGGACACAGAAAAAAGATTCTTATACTCATCTGCATTAACTCTTTGTCTTCGTGTGGTCTGTATCAACTTTAAATAGGTGAGACAATTCTTTGGTACCAAAAAATTTCACAAAAGAGTAAAACCGGGCTAGTACATGTTAAAATCTCAAAATGAAATCACAAATACACACTCCCCTCGCAAAAGTATTGCACCACCTTGAAATATTGTACATGTCAAATACATCTAAGTTCTTAGTGTTGCGGGAAATTGTGATGTTTGGTTGAGTTCTGGATTAATAAAGAGAACATACTATGATATTTGAAGATACAGCTTTTGTAGCAAAAAGGCATACCCACATCGCCATTCATAATTTGAATGGTTGTAACTTAAAAGCTGGATAAAGGATCTACTTCCGGCCTTTGGTATGATATTATGGTATGTGATGGTTGGTTCAGTCAAATACTAAGTTGTGCAGGAAACGAAAAGTGAACTGATGACAATGAAACATAATATTCCAAATCTCCTAGGAAAAAGCTGAGTAAAAGCATTACAACATGTTTAAAGAGTTATTTTTTTTTTTTTAAAGAGTTATTTTATTGTGAAGTCTAAAAAATAAATGAAAATTAGATCAAACCAAGACTCAAGAATCTCTTCCTTTTTACATTAGTACCTAGGAACTAAAAATGTTCTTTATTTGTTTGAAATGAAAATTTTTCTTCCATCTTCTGCTTCAAACTGGCAAAGCTATAAGTGGTAGCTACCAGTCAGGATTTGGATCCAGGTAGCTAAAGATTTTTCTGCTAATGCAGGTTAAACGTTTGGCAGCTGATGGAGACGCGCCATTCGCTTTTGAAGATCAAGGATGTAAAGAGAATTTCTATCCAAATGCCAAGTTAATACATATTTATTTCTAAGTTAAAGAAGCTCAAAGATTCTTTTCATCGCATGCTCAATCAGATGGTGCGCATTACATAAAAATCATTGTGAGTGATTTTGAATAAAGCTTATTTGATTGCAGCCCTACGAAACTCATAAAAACAAAGGATCCTGTGCTGGAAAGAAAACAGCTCCATATTTGAGAATCCACCTGCAAAATTCCGAAGAATTAATACAAGAAATGTGCAGAAACGAAGAAAAACTTTGAAGAATTTTCACCATTGTCATAGCTGTTGAGATTTGTAATTATAAACGCCTTGTGTAAACCATGTGGTTATGGTGTTGCCATGGTAGCAAAAGCAGCTGTTTCAGAGTATTCGTTCGGCAGACATTCTTTCACAAATCCAGGGGGTCACTAAAAGATATCTCATTTGTTTATGTTTTGAAGGAAGTCAAAACATGTAAGAGCTTTATATTATGAAATGTTTTTCCGAAAAATTTAATCCAAAAAATTTATTGCCGGAATAAGCGCATACATTATGAATAGGCGTTGGATACGTATTGTAAAAAATGGTGCCTTTTTGTCTAGGCCTGCACTTCCTATAATTGAAAACTTTCAAAATCAAGCGTTTTCTTATGAAGCAACAAGTTAAAAAAATACCTTGGACTATTAAGTAGTAAACTAAAATGAGTTTTGAGGTGTACGATAGTTGATTTATGGCGATGAATTGCAAAAATTGCACACGACTTAATTTTTCTGATGTTTTCTAAGCATATGTTGATTAGGAAGATCGTTAACGCGCCCCCCTAGAATTTCTTGAGGCGCGCCAGTAGTCTTCATGTGGGCAGGCATAGCAAAGAACCTGCGCGCAAAGAAAGAACCAATCGATTTGATGTGAAATTGTTCGGTGCATATGCGTGGTCGTATAGCTTCATTTTAACTGTGGTAAGTGTTTATGAATGACTGTGTGGCATGTAAGATGTCATATAGACACGCTCCTTGGGCAAAGCGCTGAAATATCGTGTCAGTATTCAGCGAACGCAAAGCTTTTGATTCGAATCAAGTTTTTAGGCAAAATAGACTTTTACAAATCCTTCAAACTGGATCCGGAAACTGAGCTGGGTAAGTGATCTTCCTCTTTCATGTAATAGTTGTATTTGTAGTTTCAGGCTTATTTTCTGCAGAGAGTCCTAAGAACAAAACGAATTCATGCAATGCTTTTGTTGCGTGAGAGGTAGCGAGTGTGCATGTAGATCCTTTGAATTGAAGTAAAAGAACGGCGACAAATTCGAGGCATACGGAAAGCTACATGCAAATAGTCCATGTAATATCACAAATAGCTAAATCTTTAAAGAAAAGATTCATATAACTTGAATGTATATGTCTTCAGGTGCTAGCTTATGAAGCGTGCGTTGATAATTCAGGTCTGCAAACTTTCTTCGTAGTCCTGTAGCAAATATTTGCATATTTACAAGCGTAATTAGATTTAACCTTGTCTTGCCTCGCTGATATAATATCGGTCACCTTGATAAATAATGAGCAATGATTTAACGTTATTTATAAATGTTATAAAGTGACCTAGCGGAAATTTTATCTGACTATGTAGAGTGTGTAAGTTTTTATCGATTTGCTTCCGTGAAAAATTGCTACTTCCATTCAAATGAAAGATGATATTTCAAAATGTTAATAATTAAACATTTTCTATAAACTTCTAAAGAAAAATATTTGAAATACATAGAGCCAAATTATCTGCAGGATATCGATAGCAAAATCTGTTTGACAGGCGAAGAAGTCATCAACATAAATTTTTGAAAATACGAATAGAATTTATGTTTGTCTGAGGCACTTTCCAAAACAAAAACTAACCATTCGTGAAATGTCAAAAATTACTATCCACAATTTCGCAATGATGAAAATTAGCAAACAGATAAATTATATTAGCAAAATCATCAGTGACAAACTATTTTTAAATTGCAGCTTAATCTATTTCTAGTAACAGACTCTATCTCAGTGAAAAGCTGCGTGGGAGAAAGGTGCTGCGAGCGAGCGGTAGGGTGCTATTTCGATTGAAGTAAGACGTTTCATTCATATCCAAAGAAAAATTCTTTTTTAGGAAATTTGGTCTATAATTTAGTCATCATAAATGTAAGCTTTGTGGGAAAGAAGTAGGTGGAAAATCACGTGTCAAAAACCGAGTATGAATAATTTTTACCATATGTTTTCATAATATAAAGCGTATATTTTTGTGACACAAAAAGTCTGATTGTTTGCTCGGCACTCGCAATTCAATATAAGGAAGATTAAATTACTTAAATACAAATTTTCAATTCACAATACGTCCTTCATGTCAACTTTTCACAATACGTCCTTCATGTCAACTTGCAAGTTTTGACACCTCTTTGTATTATTTCTTGAATGACAGAGAACACCCTGGAGCACAGAGCCAAGGGCAATGACAATATATATTTTCCATGAAAACAACTCATTACTCCAGATTATCTTTGGGTCAAAATGTACAAATGTTATAAAGATATACAATAAGAACATGACGTGAAAGCTTGAGTAGTAACTTAAAACCGTCCTACAACTTAGAATTTTCTTGACTTTATCATATAACGTAAATCCTCAAATAAGCCCCGGGGGCATATTTCCCAAAAATTATTTTGGGGTGGGCCTTGCTCGAGAGAAGAGAAGCTTATTCGAACAGTAATTATGAATAAGCTACAATTGAAGTTAATCTTTATTAGGTGCCACATAAACTGACTCGGTGATTATCTCACAGCCAGATCTTCTTTTGATATCCTTAACTATACCTGCTTCGTGATGAATTTAGAGAAAGTTCTTCATTAGGTGTTACCATAACTATTTCTATTTCAGTATCAAACTAACACCAGGACTTCATTTGTTGCAATTTTTCAATTTTTCTGTGTGAATTCAAAGCAAGATCCTCTTTCTGTGCAATCAGCTTTGTGGAAAATCCACAGAAAGATTATCGTTGGATTTCTCATTCACATTTATTTTGACTCAAGTCTAACACCATATCTCTATTTGGTGCAGCCCTATAAATCTTCTTAGGGTTTGAATCCAAAAAGATAGATAGCCTTTGAAAGTAGCTAGCTACAATTACTTTCTGATGACACTGGAGAGAGATCCACATTAGATGATATTGTCTGCTTAACTTTTAATTAATGCTGTATGAAGATATCCTAATAGCATTTTGGGAGTGGTCCTATCATTTGTTTTTTACGTGAAATGAACCAAAATATTGAATACAGTAGAAACCCACATAAAAGAACCTAGGTTTTTTCTGGCAACCTGAATAGGTTCTTAATTAACAGGCAGCTATTTTAAAATCAAGCCTGTAAAGTTCTTAACAAGGTTCTTATATACGTACAGGCCTTGCATACATAAACAATGTTTTCCACCGCAAGAATTCTCACTGACATTGTCACTCATATTTTTCATGTTAGATTTCAAGTTGGGTTGTCCAATTAGAATGCAACATACCAAAACCTAATTTACTTTATTTTTCTTTAATTTTCCCGTGTGAATAAGGATAAGTCTTAAAGTCTTTTCAAAAATATAAGAACCTATACAAGTTTCAGCCTCTTTGGGGCTCTTATTAAGGGGGTTAAACGATTATATTTCAGCCTTAAAGTTCTAATTAAAACAGGGTTTTTATGCGGGTTTCTACTGTATGTCGGCTCGATCGTCTTCTCGACTGGGTCTGGTTTGACACCCATAAAGAATGGGGAAAACCTTATGATAAAAAAGAAAGCCACAAAAACGGTCTTCAAACCAGAGCCATAAATCATGCATTCGAGGGAGGGCATTAACTAGAGAGGCCATTGGCAATCCAGCCTTGCTCCTTTCCGTCAGTTGCAAATAATAGCTTGTTGCCTTTTTTCCTTAAAAACAACGGAGTTTCTACATATGAAAGGCACGAAATTCGAATCAAAAAATTGAAATGCGTATCATTTCTAACAGCGAGGTTTTTATTTTGAATGAACTGCTGTTTCTATAATCTTAAAATCAAAGTTTCAGACAGAAACGATTTTCAACCTTGATGTGTTCAAAACTTGTCTGAATAACGGGTGTTTCACCCACTAAGCACATAAAGAGAAACATCAGGTGCGGTATTAGCTTTAATTGCTAGATTGTTTGATACAGGTGTTAAAGTCTGTAGTTGGTAGAAACATCATTTCCAGTGTTTCTCACATAATAGTGTTACTTTGCTTTTTTAGAGTCTCATACATCTCTCACTCAGTTGATTCTTTACGTTACTCTATTTTGCAGATTAGAGTAACGTTGAATTTGGTAACAAGTGCTTGTTGGCGACAGACCAGAAACAGAATAGCGGAAAGAACAGAAAGCAATAGTCGCGCGACTGCCTAAACCAATAACGAGAACATCATCATTTAAGAAGCAAGTCCTCGCCAGGAGTATGCTCACAATTTAGTAAACAAAACCTGAAGCAAAGCAAATGACAGCAGTTGACAGAAAACTAATCAAAGAAAAGGATCTCTTCTGAGCCATCAACTGTAAACTGCATGTTAATAAACCATACTTTTAATAAAGCATATTTAACTTTGTCTGTGCAAATAGACCTTGATGTACTTATGATAGGACATCAGAATCTTCATTAAAGACAAGTAAACTGCCAGTTGATTTGGTAAATATTGATTCAAGAAAAGAAATATTATCACATCCATACGCCAGCGGCAATCAAGACTGTAAGCCTTATTATAAAAAAAGCAAAGGCTGATATTAATTAACATTGACGAGCATAAAACATCAAGTCGAGTGATCATCACAACAAGATTAGTAAGCACAGCCTGTAACCAAAAACTGAACATTTAAAGCCTTGGAAACAGGTTTTGCTGTGAACTGAAGTTCTTCTCGCGAGGAATTCACAAACACACCACCAATTGACTTTCTTTTGATCTTGATAAAGAAAGAGATATTAGAAAACTTGCAAGAAGCACCTGCCCACGTCATTGTTGAATCTACGATATTACGGGTTTTAATAAGAAATACATTTGAATCTATTCACATACGAATAAGTGCATGCTGAGAAAGGTCTGACTTTCTTGTGTTTACTCAAAGCAAAGGCGCTAGAGATACCTTGGGTTTGATTGTAGTCTTTAGACTTCTAAGGAGACAAAGTCTTATGCAGACAAATACAGTGAAAGTCAATCAACGAGTGGTATTTACTGTTCATAACATCTCAGCGTGCAGAGGGACTCAATATGCTAAGCATTGTGATCTGATCTGCCATACTATTTACGGTGTGGCTATTAAAGTCTGTTTACAAACTAACAGAAGCTTAATGGAAATCTATGGCAAACCTTCTTCGCCTGCAAATTAACTTTCTGGTAAGAACAAGTGTTAATCGGCAAACTGATTAACAAGGAAAGCGAAAATTTACTTGCAGTGTTATTACAGCAGATTGAAATTTTGATAGTCAAAAGCGAGAAAATTGGTTACTTTGTTCAAAACAGTGAAGAAGCCATTCACTGCTTGGCAATCAAGAAGAAAACTGCGATGCAAGACGGCATAGTTGATTCATGAAAATTCTGATTTATCAGAAATATCGTCGTCTTAAATTTTCTTTGATCATTGAATTTATCTACAAGTAAAAAGCCGATAAACTAAAATTGACAAAAGCTTGCTTTGCAGCAGACCGCAGACTAGCAATCTGAAAAGAAGATTAGTTGCCAACCGTCAGCTTGCTAGCAATACGAAGCAGGAGATTGAAAAGTAGCAACCGTGGATGTGTTAGGCCAGCGATATCTAGGGTGAAATTTCGCTTAGATGTGTGATGCTGCAAAAAGGATTCACAAATTAGCAGATTTTGAATACATTCTGTTTGCAGTTGACGGCTTTTGGTCTGTTTATCTACTTTTTGAAAGATTTAAGCTCTATACATGCTACAACAAATGTTTTTGCAAATCATAGAAATTTGACTGAAACTATTTTGATATTCAGACAACGAGCTACCATGAACGGATCTAATTACTCCCAGCCAGGGAACTATGGGTATGATACAAACGACTTCGAGACACATCAGGCAAACGAGGCTTACGATCAGCATCTAAGAGAGGTCATGCAGCTTCAAGGAGAGAACTATCTTGAATACGACAACTATGGTCAAGGCATTGATCCATATGCTGGTCAGTATTCTGCATCAAATGAGCCGCAGTTTCAATATCAAAACACGGACTATAACGACCTTCAGCAGGCGGCATATCAAGACTACCACCTAACTGATGCTGACTCTGTGCATCAAAATATATCTCCCGGTGAATATGCACCGCTATCGCAAAATATCTCACCAGCGAGCTTCTCTTCTGATGGTAGACAATTCTATCAAGAAAGCACGCCGGAAAACGTAGCGAACATCCAACTAGATTTGCAAATCAGACAGCAAAACAGGACAATTAATGTAAATGATGGATCTCCATTTCAAAACATTGAAAATCCATTTGCCAACCAAAATACTCCTAAACATGTAACTGCTAACGTAGGAACTGAAGTCCCCAATTCGGTCAATGGTATATTTGAAATGGAGGGTAGCGTTGAGCCTAATGGGCCTATTCTAGGAGGACATGGGTACATACCTGCCCAGACTATGCAAAAGGCCTATTATGAGCTTGGTGAAACTCCCGAAATAAAAGCTGCATGTTTACGGGGCTTCAGACAACAAATTGACATTCACCAAGAAGAGAACAATTTCGACGAGCACAGCGATGCATTCTTGCTTAAGTTTCTACGAAGCAGAAAATTTGATGTCGAAGCAGCATATTCTTTACTTGAGAAATATTACAACGTCAGGGAAAATAAGCCCGAAGTTTTTCGAAATTTAACTCGAAAAAACGTGAAACGAACAATGGAACAAGGCATTGTAGGTGTACTGCCGCAAAGAGACAAAAAAGGGCGAGTTATAATGACATTCAATTTCAGCAAATGGAATATGAGTCTAGCTTTTCATTTTGAGAAGCTCTTAAGAGTGTTTGTTTACACACTAGAAAAACTTTTCGAAAATGAAGAGACGCAAATCAACGGAGTTGTTATCATATGCAATTTGACTCAGCTCAGCGTTTTGCAGACAAAAAGTTTGGGAGCACCAATGATAGATAAAGTGCTGGAAATATTCGAGGTAGGTTGGACCATGTGGTGCTTTTAAGTCAGTAGAGATAAATCGTTGATATTTAATGCCTAAGGCAAGTAGAAACGGTTTGGGGGCAAAGTATTAAGAAGAGGCGTTTTCATGCTTCGTCTTCATTAGAAGATAACGAGGCCGTATCCAAGCGAAAGAACCCCATAATGCATCTTTGCATGGTGCAAAATTCACCAAAATTTATCTAAACAACACATTTCAATCAGCCCCGCTCGCCGCTATATGAGAAAATTTGTCTCCTGCCATCGAAACTTCCTCGTCCAATGGCTTTGGAAATATAGGCTCTGCTCTTTAAATCATTAGGAGGCCACGGTTCTAAGCCTCAATTGCCATCACGGCAGCTAAAGCCTTGGCAGCTCACATCTTTTATAAACGTATATGATATTTTTTGGGGCCTCAATAATACTGCATGTACTTAAAACGTATAATTTTGCATTTCAAACGAAAAAGCTAGGCCCAAACAGCTTCAGTGTTAGAAAACTTGGTCTCAGTCTTAAGAAAACAGTGTAAAAGGATCGTTAATTAATATCGCAGTGGTCAATGAAAAATAATGGGGGGGGGGGCGAATATGTCGGGAAAATACAAGGGAGAAAAGGCACGTCTACTGGAAAAGAATTCCTTGGTCATCTTCTCTTCTTGTGTTTGCCACACGCTAAACCTAGTTTGGGTTAATTCGGCACAGTCATGTGACGAGGTGAAATTATTCATCAGCCATGTACAAAAGCTCTACTGTCTATTCTCTACAGAAACTCAGCCAGATGGGGGATTCTTCTTGTATGCACTGGTACATCCTTCATGCAACATCAACCACTCCTAGGTCTGTTTATTATCAAGTAGGCCATCTTAAGGATTTCTTGCCGGTGTCTGTTGAACAGTGCCTTGAGTTCAAGAGAAAATCTTCAACTAGATCATATTATAAAATAAATCTTGGATAAAGACAAATATGCTCTCTGCCATATAGGATTAATCAAAACCCGAAATATAATCTCTTTGCAACGTTGATTAAAATTTCAGAATTTCGGAGCTTAAAACTTCAGCTGCTTGCAATGAGAAAACCACGGAGGCCCAACTTCGCAAAGAAATGCTTATACGCGCTTAAATTTTCACCTGTCATGCTCTTAGTAAACAAGCTGTAGCCAAGATTAAGGGTACCACAAGGCTAGTTTATATCTATCTGATTACTGTTTATACATACAGTGTTTCAGTGTGTCAGAAATAATGGTCTTTGATTATAATCTTCGTTCAGAAATGTCTTCTCTGTCAACATGCCAGAATATTAATGGCCTTATCCATAAAATGTAGTTATGATGAAGTTCAGGAATATGGTTGTTAAAATTAATTTGCTTTTAAAAAATCTTTTGCGTTCCTCAGTTGAAGGGATTCCTTAATTGCAAACTTTGAAGATAGAAAATTACCATGTGTTGGCATCTTTTGTTCAGGCTCGCTGATATTTCTAGATGTGTGGAACTAAATCAGATTGGCAGAATTAAAAAGCTTCTTTTAATATGACCTACAATTCAATTGGAATCAAAAACCAATCCAAGGTGCTTGTGCACTTGCAAACTTTTGGATTTCTTTTTTAAAAATAAAGATGTATAAAAAAATAATATCTATGGTTTTGAAAAGGCTACCTCCAATCGCTGAACTGGTTCTGATCTTATATATACCTCTCTTAAATATACCTCTCTTATATATACCTCTCTTATATATACCTCTTTACCTTTTATAAGGTGTCCATAGCCAGTGACATGTTCGTTTCAGTGATGACTATCTCTCAATTATCCTAGATTAGGCCAAACTCTAAATTCATCACATTTCTATACAGAAACATTGCACACGCATATACTTTTTGTTAGAAACTTATTCACCTCACAATTATGAATCTGTCTTTTTGAGTTTGCCTGAGGCTTAACAAGGTCCTGTCGTTTATCCTTTTATTAGAGGTTTTCACTTGTCAATTTATAGAGGATAAAGGATAGGAAAGATCCTTGTAGCTGTGTTTTTATCGACAAAGTTAATGCAAATCTCTTTTAACCATTTATAAATTGCATCAGGGGATTATCTCCAACAAGTTTGATTAATATCTGAATAAACCAAAACTGTGGTTTGTAGAAACATCAAAATTGTTGAATCATGAAAGACTTTTGAACCAAGATAATAGCCAGCAGTCCCATTGGTAATAAAATCTAACAAAATATCACCCTGTCATTGACATTCTTCATCGTCTTCTCTCCGCATCGAGGCTCGCTTTCAATGCACAGCTCATTACGTTACGACTAGGGATCTATTCCTACTGGCTTTTCAAATAAGTACTGTTGCCTAACTTTGCCTAAGGTTGAAGTCCTGAAAATTGCTTAAAACCCCAAGCACTTTAATGGTTCTTGGAAACTTCAGCTTGGTGCTTTCCGAAAGCTGAAAACTTGGAAAGACTGTTGAATACTTACAATAGATTATTACTTACATTCAGAAATCCCCAGTAGTGAATATTATGATGTTTTTTATGTTGAAGTTTTAGTAATGCATTAAAAATATCAATATAAAATTTGCTTCGTTAACAGTTAGTCAGCTATTTCTTTTATCAACGACACTTTCTTTTTTGCTTAGGGTAATTTTCCATTCCGCCTAAACGCAATCCACTTGCTGAATCCACCATGGCACTTCAAGCTTCTTTGGAAAATGGTTGATCCGCTGAAGAAAATAAAGCAGAAAACGGCTCGAAGAATATTTATTCACGATGGCGATCTTAGCCGGTTTCAAGCCGAGTTTGATCCGGAAATTCTACCGAAGGAGCTAGGTGGGAAATGCCCGCCTTATGACAATTCGTTGTGGGTGAAAGAGATTCTAGAACCAGAACAGAGCCAGCAGGTACAGAACCAAAAAGCACAGGGTCTCCAGCCCCCATCAACCCCAAGTCTACGCAGATCCCCAACCCAGACGCGAAAAGTATCAACAATGAAGAAATTGGAACTATGATGGAAAAATGTTGAAGAAAAATGAATATTATTAAGCTTATTTACCTACTATTTGTAAATAAAGAGGATATTTCTTGAAGGCGCCAGCTGTTAGGTAGAAAAATGTTGACTATTCTGCATTCGGATGAAATGTGAACAGCTTTTGTTAAATTTGCGACTATGGTGTTTCAAAATTCTTCAAAAAGCTTAAATTGTTCTATATGTGAAAAATTCAAAGGCAATCCTACTTAAAACACAAACGAAGACATTTTAAGATGAGTTTAGTATATCAGCCTGTTGCCAATTTCCCCAAATTTAGCCTAACGTATAAATATGTTTAGACATCCTTGGCAGCGTGGTCGTAAAAATTCAATCCAATCCCAGAATGATTTTTCCTTTCCCAGATGCCTTAATTCCATTCCCCAAAGCAAAAAATCAAGCCCCATTTCCCGGTTTGCTCCTTTGGTGCTCTCTATGAAGGGTAAAGGTTCCCAACTTGAAGAAAGAAGGGAAAGCCATCTTATTTGGTGCCATGGTAGCCAGTTCCTTTCCTTGCAACTTTTAGATTATCAAGCATTGCATCTACAATACTTGCCAGTACGGTTGGAAAGCCTTCCCATGTAAACACCATGTTAACAGACAAAGCGAGTCTAAAACAACCTTATCAATGAATCGCTGTTGCTTCCAAAATTTTGAGCACCTCCCCCGCACAATGTTGTTTCTTAATACCTTCGCACAACTCTCAGTGACAGCAAAATTGAACAACATTGTGACGAAAGCTAGAGATGTGGGGGGGGGGGGGGGGGGGGGTTAAGAAAACCATTAGCTTGGAGCAAGTGTTCTAATAATGTTTGCAAGCTTTGTAGGTCTTCATTTTCTGATTGAAACTAAGTAGGATTTGACGTGATAATTCCCCTTGCCGTGGAAATGCTTTATGGTAGAAATGCTCATGACCATATGGAGAGGCGAGCAAACCTTCTTACGTCATGATATAAGGGTCTACAAGAGCTGTTGCTAGGACAAAACGTTTTAGAGGAGGGGGAGGGACCGTTGGGTAGATGGCCTAAGTTGGTAGAAATTCTCAAACAGACTTAAGGGATAAAGGGTTGGAGTAGACAAGTACCAATTGAAGAAACAGCACGGGGAATTATAGGAAAGGGTGTACGACAAGGTTGTCCTATTTCCGTATTTCTTTTGAATTTTGTACCAAAGCAATAGTAAGACGATCTTGATATCGTTAAAATACTGTTGTAGAAGTTCACTAGACAAGAGCACCAGAAAATCGCGCAAAATGACGAGTTTTAATAACACTATCTTATTTCTTATTCACCTTCGTAGAAAAATATGGAAAATGGCTCACCAATAAGGTAATTGCCTCACCATATCAAGGCCAAGAATTTTGAAGGATAAAACAAGTAGATGCTGGTAATTCATTTTAATTGCATTTCGCAGGCACCGCGGAGCGTTGAGAAAAGTGGGAGGTCTAAAAAAATGGGAGGGGGGGGGCTAAAACCGTATAAAAAGAGGCTTTACTTGTAGTTCATTACTTAATATTTGGCATTTTTTGAAAAAGCGGGGGAGGGCTAAAGCTTCCCAGCCCCCTGCTTCGTATACATTATTGGGGCTTAATTTTGTAACTTTGCAATAAAGTTTAGAAGTCAGCTAAGTTGTTACTGCCATCAGAATCTGCTCATTCAAATAACTGAGGTAATATTGGGTTGGGACGACAGACCTCTTTCTATTGTCTTGTCCATTTAATAACAATGGTATCTCTGGCATCATTTCTATCTAACTAAGCCAAAAATTCGCCGAGGGGCTAATGAACTTGGTGATGTCAGCCAGCCCCTACACCCACACCCACCACCTCTAGCTACGTTCATACATGGCACAAGAGGGAATTTCTACCGGTCTTGCCGTCTTACGTTGGTGCTGATCTTTAACAATTCGCAGCAAGCGTAGCTTGTTGACTACAGAATCTCAAATTTGCAAAGGGATTTCTGTAGGTAGGTGTAAGTATGCTCTTTCGTTTTTCTTTGTTCTTGGTATCGGATCGAATATCACTGGTTGGATTATAAGTGATTACTTCTTTAAAGGATCTTCTGATAATGAATACCGAGCCGGTTAATACAATTCATTCTTCAATTAAGTTGAGTCTCAAATAACAGCTCAACACGGTCTCATACTCAAGCAAATTTACAAAGCACTTCTGAAACAGAAGGCTTTGATTGTTTTGGATAAGCTGGTGAAATAACAAGGGGTTATCTATCTTTCACGAACTTGAAATGATGCATAGAGTCTAGATCTTCATTAACTGAGAAAAAATTGGCGAAATGTTTTGTCTTCCATAAACAGAGTAAGCTACCGCCATTGTGATAAAGCAAGAAATTGGGGACGAAAAGTTCTTAGGGATAATTTTATTTTAGATACCAAAATACATATGTTCAAAAAGCTTACAATATCTCCTTACGAGTAAACAAAGAAGGAATAACTAATAATCTGACTTGCCCACCAAATAGGCTTGCGCTAGAGACGTTTTTTGTAGTTAGTGCAAAAGAAAAGGACCAAAATTTTCGCAAAGGACGAAAAGAGGACCTACCTCATCTCTTGTAGGAGAAGAAGGAATTACGATTACAGTTCAATAATAGGACACGAATTCTTATTAAATAAATCCTTTATTGCATGGTTAAAATATATTTTATATTTATATCAAGTTAAATTTAGGTTAAAGCATAAAAGAACGTGAAAAATGACATATATGGAAAAGGACATAATTTTTTGTATTAAGCTAACTGGCAGCTTGAAATATCATTGGTGAATTAAAAGAAGGCCTAGCCTTTCACGCAAACAACTTAATAACGACGTCCTGTCACCCGTAATATGTTGATACCTGTCTAAAGTTAAAGTTAATGTTGATACCTGTCTTATGATAAGGAGTTGTGTCCACGCGAGCCAAAAAATCACTATTAACAAGTGCAATACTAAGTATCGCAAAGTTCAGTATTTCGTACGGAACGAGGCCTTGGTGTCATTTTTAAGTTAAATAACGCTTACTCAGTTAGCCCGAGGCAAAAAAAATTCCATATTCCCACAGAAATATCCCTTAATTCAGTACTTGGATTACCAACTTAGGCCGCGTGAGATGTATTCTTATAAAGATCTCTTTATCAACATTCTCAGTTTAAACTTCTACCATTGTTATAATGTTATGACTAAAACTGCTTTGCTTGAACTATTTTCTTGGAGCTTAGGGATCTGAATAGGAATGACGTCACACAAAGTACAGACGAAAAATCCTATATTTAGCAAATTGTCGATAAGTTCTTGCCCCTAAAAGAGGGATGTTACAAAGAGCGATGCGACACGAAGAGAGGACATTGATAAATGATTTGGGTAAAGAATGTGTTAATTATTTAAGTAATAGAGTTCCAACCAATCATATTCGAGAAATTGCGTCATAACTTCAGGAACAAGCTGTGCTTCGAACTAAATCACAGTCATTCTGAACTACTTGAAATGGTATTACCTATCATCAGTGGAAGGAGGCAGCGTTATAGAGCCCCCTTGTAAATGCCAAGAATGAACCCTTTTCTACTTTTTGCTATGCTTTTAGAGAAATTTTTCGAGAAGGCCCCTCTTGTATTTTTCATAGCAACACTTGTTATTTCATAGTTCCCTGGACGGAACTTTCCTTTTTGCTTTTTTCTTGAAACGTGTTTCGCCCAAATTTTCTTCTCGTATTTCTTTTTTTTTTAATAGTAATCCGTTAGCAGACTTGGAACCTTTCATTGTGGGTATCTCAGCTACCTTGAAGATATTGAGCTAAATTAGAGATTAATAGAGAATATTTAGAGATCTCTTGCGCTTTTCTTTCAAAATATGTGACCAAAATTAAGAAATTCTTAAAAATAGATTTTTGATGACGTCATACATTGGTAGACTATTATTACATTCGATTTTCTTAATAATGCTTTCTTTGCATCACTCTAATTTTTTCACATCTTTTTGCTTTTTGGTAGTCAAGCGAGAGAAATTGTACGAATAGCAATCACTGATGAAGGCATCACCATAGATATATTGCGACGTAGTAAACAAAATACACTCGTAGTAAACAAGACACCCACTGGTGATACACAGGTGCATTGCTAGAACTCTCGCCGCTAGTGCGAACAATTACAGGTTCGAGTATACTCCTCCACTGTTCGCGAAACTATCACTGTTCTCATTTCAAGTGGCCAACTTTTCACCTTGTGGGACTTGCAGGCAGTGGTTGCACCAGCTACTGCAGAATTGGGGGGTAATGGGCGTGAGCAGTGAGACCACGCCCTTTGATCCACGAAAATATAATCTACCTCTACCTAGCGCCTTTTAATCAATTTATAAAAGAAACATGTTTTAACAAAAGTGGGATGCCGCTACTGCTTGCAGGTGGGTAGGGTTATGTCTCAAAGAAGAGTAGTCAATTACGTCAAAAATCATTTGCCCCACGTGATAGTACAGGGCCCACGAGGGGAGCGAGCCAACTTCAAAATTGTTGTATCTTCTTTCTCTTTAAATCTGAAAGGGAAATCCAGGGACGTGTGCCAAGAGAGAAGGCGATTGAAAACGAATTTTGTCGGTATTATTGATTCTATTTACACAAATTACTAATAGTGACTGAATATGCAGAAGATTATTTGTTAAAACCATCTTAAGAACAAGCTTAGTTGGTATTCTACTTGCTAAAATTTATTAAGCACCTAAATCGATGCTGCTATGCAACACGACAACATAGACACACCTAGTTCGATACGTAAACACGATACACCATCACACGAAATGCTTTTTAACACGCAACAATATGTAAATGTGTAATATATTTCCACGGAGTTGTGTACATCATAGTATAATTTACTTTAAAGTCGCCAGTTACCGCACCAGAGGCGTAACGGACTAAAGTTACCTTTAGTTAAAAAACTAAGGGGTTCCTCGTTTAGGGGCCACAAAGAAAAACTATTGTTTATCTTGTTTGACTATGAAGTAGGTATTCTGGAAAAGATAGATGAGTTCATGGGTCCCCAAGCCTTTATGATACATCGCTCTAAAATCTGAATGACTGGAAAGTCTGTTCAGTAGCATTTCATGCTTTGTCTGAACTGTTTTACCAACGCTTATTATTGGGGGGCCTCGCATGAAAAGCCTAGGGGTCTCGAAATGAAAAACCCAGGGGCCTCGAAATGAAAAACCTAGGGGCCTCCAGCCGCCTCCGATACGCAACTGTATCGTACCCTAAACTACCCCCAAAACAATTGCGAAAATTTACTCCTAATCCCCCTCCCATTGAAACCCCGTTAACGAATTTGGCAAATTTTTTTCGCAATCTATGAATGCTTCAAGAGAGTAAATATTTGTTCTCAAGCTTTCCTTTTCACACAAAGTCGTTTTGCACGAATCTCGTACACAGTCACGTCCCTCTCGCGTAGACACACGTAAGTATTAGACTACGTTAATATGCAGTGAACAATCAGGCAGGTTTCTAGTCCATATCAACTGCAACCCCCACCCATAAATATTTTCAGCAATCCTTCTCGTCTGCTGAGGACAACCCTAAAGGATCTTGAGGCCATTGCTAACGAAATCAGATCTTTACGGAGGCGAAAGTAGCTTTGATTATTACAACATACTAGCTGTCATTAATGCGTAGAAACTGCACAATTATGGGCTTTAGTGTTACAGGGTGCCTCATGAGCATACTAAAATTTCAACAACCCTCCCCCTATCAGAGCAGAAATTCCATTCGTAATTTCAAGAAATTCAAATTCGCAGAAATAATATTGCGTACCGATCTTACTTGTTTGGTAGTTGTAGCAATAATATCAAGTCCCCTCCGTTAAGGACTTTGTCCGAAATTCAGCACAAAATGGCTGTTATCCGGCTGTTTTGTGTGAGAGAAGAACAAACGTGTGCGTGTTTGGTGATTCTAATTCTAAAATCTGCTACTGATACGCTGCGATGCATTAATGAGGTTATTGAAAAAGAAGGATGATCATTTAAAAACAAATCTAACCATTAAGTTTTCAAAAGAGCTGCCTCCTTACTTTGAGTCAGCGTTTTCCTGATGTCATGTCCACCAAGAAAAGGGCAGGAAGGGTTAAGTGTCACAGAGCCAGAGCTGAGCGCGGTCCCAAAAAGTTAGGATGAAATCTTATGCCTTGTTTTTATATGCCAGACCTGTGTTGGGTTAATATGTCCGGGGTTTAACATTTAAATCTAAGAAGAGATTGGATATATTTCATCTTTGGGGCACCAGCCCAAATATTTGTGGCTCTCAAAAGTCTTAGTGGTATAATTTGGTTCCTGTCTCTGTTAACTATCGCAGACCAAACAAAAACTAATGAGGGGATTCAGAATATATCTAAGTTAAAAAGCATTCCCAGGGCATCCATACAAACTGTGAATAATGAATTATACAAAACACCAACCACAACTTAAAAACTGTTTTGGATACAAAACGTAAATGCGTAATGCTTCAAAATAAAATATTCAAAATAAAATACATATGTCAAAAAATAAATGGTCACTCCTTGTTCCCAATTAAAATTCCAACGTTGATGTGTTTTTGGATTTGTATGTACAATATATGAAACGTGTTAAACGACATACTTAATAATGATACATTCATGGACAAAATGAATGTGAGTAACGTTCTACAACTTTCCTCAATGCTTATTAAAACCCTTAAAACCAATTTACCAAATAGTTGATTTAAAAGACATGAACAGGTGGATTGCCCTCCCAAACACAAGCCACGGGTCTTTAAATGACACTTTCATCTAATGCTATTCAAATTGCATTGTGTAAGGGCAATTAAGTGTCTATGGTACTTTAAGGCAATAATTTACTTTCATGAATTACAATACAGCTTTCAAGTTTGAGATAAAAATTGAACTTTCAAATTTAAACAGGAAATCGCATTTTAAAGGATAAGGTTTTTGCAATTTGTGAAAGAAATTTAGTGTAGATAAAACCTTAGGACTGTATCGGATTAAGACTGGATACAAAGCTTTGTTTTTTATAAAAGCACGATAACCTTATCAACCAAGACAGCAATGCATAATAGGGCAAGATAATGGTTTAAGCCACAGCTAACCTCTTAAAATTGACGAATTTCTAAGAATGTGATAAAAACTTTTATAACCAGATATTAGAAGCTCCTAACCATGTACTGCATTAATATAATGTACTGCATTGGTCCTGGTAAACGTTTTGTATAAGGTTTGTGATCTAGCATATCTTAAACTTAATAGATACTTTTGTCATACTCTAGTATATATGCCCAAAGTGAAAACAAGATGGCTTCAATTAGTTCTTACAATATCAACGTCACAAGTTATAAATCAGAGATGACTCTTAATGCTAGTGCTTTTGAGTGTGCTAAAGAGTGAGGTGATTAGTACTCCAACTTATTACTTTGATGCATAAGTCTTGTAGCCATCAAGTGATGTCATCTGAGTGGAATCTGAATTTCGGCTGGCTCGAGATATCTTTCTTAAAGTAGGGCGAGATGATGTCTGTGGTGGTTCTGAAGACTTCTTTGCTGGGTGTCTTGCACCAAGGTCCAGCAAAGACTTGATCATAAACAAAGTGATGTGAACTGCAAATGAGCCTGCTCCAAGAATGACTGCTATTTGCACCAGACAATCAGTTCCTGTACAATTCACTTCTGGCAAAAGCCTTGCTGTACCATTCAGTGACTTGTTATATATAACAACGGCAATGAAATACAGAGTATTCAAAGCCAGGGGATAAATGATATGAGCAACCCTTACAGGGACAGAATTTAAAAGAAAATCAACAAGGAGAAAGGCAGTTGTCACACCATATGTGTGTATCCGTAACAACTTACCTTTTGAACTTGAAAAGAAGATATTTTCTTGATAAAACAGTGCTGCAGCTGTGAAGCTGAAATTGAGACATATTGCTAGGTCATAAAGGATCCACTGAAGCTTGTGATACCAAAAAAGGTTCATCAGTTTTGTTTCCTGTACCTGTGTTGTCTCTTTGTAAACTGGCTGAAATGATGCTTCGATTAGTCTTTCTGGAATGTCAGTTTGACTTGTGAATGGTAGTTGTTGTTCAGCATCAGAAATGGTTTCCAGTGTTGGGCTTTTGTTCAGTTTTCTTTTGTGGCTAGCAAAGAATGTCTCTCTATGTGTGCTAAATCGTCGTATCTTCCTGAAGAAAGACACTTCAGTACAAATAGCACTGACAAAGAAATAAATGGCACCCAGTGCTTGTGAAAACTGAGGCATTTGCTGAAGGAATGCTGTTCCATTCTCCAAAACACTTGCAACTGCAAAGGCGACTGTGTACAATGCGAAAATACTTCTTGTGACAACCAGAACAAGTTTTGGCAGCCATGGAAACTGAATGGAGATAATTAAATAGCATTTAAGGTTCTGTAGACTGAGAGCTGAGAATGCTGAAAAACAGAAGCAATTGAAATAGGCTTTGGCATTGTTACAGAGCTTGACAAACTAAGTTTTACTCATTTGATGCTTTTGCCAAATAAGGCTCTTTTCTTTATTCATATATTGATTCATATATTCATATATTCATATTTTATTCTTTCTTCATAATTAAAACCTTGGTTGAAATTCATTCATGACAAAAAAGAAACATTAGCAGACCTGGCTGTTCCTGGCAGCCAATAACCAGATGTCTCCTAATTTTCTATTTTGCTTCTTTCAAGTTGAAAGTTGGAAGGATTTCAAGATTTTATGTTGATCTCAAACTGTGCTTCAGTTTAGGCCTGATAGCTTTTACAAAACATGGTATATACTTTGTTAGTTAGTATATTTATATGATTTTCTTATACTAAAACTCTCAAGTTTCAGTACCTAATCTTTGTTACACAAATGGTATATTTTCTTGTACCTCCCCAACATCTAAATTCAATTCAAGGTTAGCACAAGTAAAGGAGAGCAATTTGACTGCCAACCAGCTAAAATGGTATTGCCTATGATTGACTAATGTTAAACTGCCAAATTTTTAATATGTGAATTAAGAAAAGGTCACAATAACTGTCTGCTTGACGGACTCCAAGGAGTGCTTGCGGTGAAAAATTGATGAAAATGTAGCAAATAATGAAATACCACAATGCGACGAGAATGAACAAAAATAAATGATTGCCTTCATTAATTTATGTGTATTTATTGTTGTTCATTCTCGTCGCATTGCAGTGTTTCCTATTTGCTAAATTTTCAATTGCCACTTATAAGCCAGAATGATACTTTTAGAGAAATTTGCAAAAAAGATTTCTATTTATTAATCATTAAAAAGTTATGATGAAATGCCTGTGCTGAGACCAAGCAAATTGAGAATGAGATAAACTCTTTTGTTTCACGGTACCTATGCCTTCCTAGCCCATAACCTGATTGAAATTACTTTTTTCCTTTTGATGTGAGGTTCCAATCTGTGAGTTGAATTTCTACATGTCTTCCCACTGAGGCTAGAGGCAATCAATATTATTAACAATGCCACAGGAGTTCCCATCAACAACATCAAAAAACCTGAAGACTGGGTGTTCAATCTGATGTTTGCGAAAGGCCTAAACCATGAGCTTTACAGCTTTCATGAAGTATGAATAAACAATCTATTCCAAGAGGTATGCAAATCCCAAACATTTAGTCTGACAATCTGCTGGTTTGCAACAAATGTTTGAAACGTTTTCAGAGTTTTCAATATGCAAAGTTTTCAACTTTTATTGCGCAGATGTTCTTAATGTCAAGCAAAAAAAAGAGCTTGCGATAATGAATCAAAACATTTCATTAATGTTTCATTTCATATTTTTCTGTGTTATTTCTGTACCTAAAATATTAATAGCAATATGGGCAGAAAGGCAGATGCAGACACTTCAAAGAATACCAAACTATCTCATGACCTAGAGGATAAAAAAATACATTATGCTTATAACTGATATAATCTTATAATTGTGTTCAAGGCCTTTTCTTGACAAAGCCCTGGGGATAAACATAGCCAGTGAATGTACAGATATAGACCAAAACCTGCTTTAATATTTCGAGCCAAAGCCATTATTTATAGGTTTGTTGTCATGTAACCATAATAATTTCTTAGCTAATAAAAATATTAGTTTAAGAGGCCATACCTTCAATACACAACAAAGTAGAGAAATAGCAGTGATATTATTGTCTAAATGAAGTAATTGTGGTACCTAACTTAGTTTTAAGCTGTTTTCAGCAGTGCATGTGTTTCCTTGGAATAAGTACTCTTTGAAAATCAAGTGCATGCAATGGCTTATGATTCTTATGATGTACACAAGAAACTGTGTTAAAACAAAGAAGGAAAGGAATATATTAAATTTTTCTGACTGAGGGCAAAGGAAATCCCTGGGATAAAATTACACTGTGCAACCTGCTAAGCTTTCTTGTTTCCTAACTAAGAGTGATGGTGAAAATGCAGAAGATGAGGAGCCGATTTAAGAACTCCTGGACGAACTTGGTGATCCCAGGCTGGACCAATTTGTTGCTGGTTGCTTCTAACTTCTATTTTGTACATCTAAGTAGTTTCTGAACAAGTAGCAGTTTTTGCGTCTGTCATTTCAAACGATGCATCTGCATGTTTTTGTGGGTGTACCTTATAACCAAGGGTTTACATTTTCTGTGAACCCTTTTTTCTCCCATTGATAATTTGAGGTGGCTTATATACAAAAGTGTTTATAATGGAATAAATACAGTCTGATCAATATTTCTCCACAACTCCCTTTCAGAAGCAGATTGGAGTCCTGATCAGTGTTGTGGTTTCACAGAGAGTTTGTTGCATTAGTTTGATAAATCACCATATCGAACTAACAGTTTAACATGGTTCCAACAAAAGGGAGCTTGTCATGGCAACATTAGTTGACTTTTCCAGAGATTGAGAAGTAATTTGTCCTTTGTCTGGGGATAGCCTGCTTCGGAAAATTGTTATTTGCTGTACATTGAACATAGGATTTAAGTCTTGGTTTTCAATAATCTGTAGATTTCTTCCAGATTCAAAACAAACATTACTTCAATGGCTTTAGAACCCATTCGAATTTCAATATTTTAGAATCCAGCCTAGAAATGGGAGCGAGATCTCAGCTCATTCGTAGTCCTTTAAAGCAAAGATCAAGGTTTACTGACAATTTAATATTTTAAACAATTATTGAAACGTCTGCAGACAATGTAACTCAATTTAACTTAATACAAGTAATGACTGTACATTTTGCAGGCGCATTGCAATTTTGCGGTTGAACTCCGGATTCTTCATTGACTTCTTCTGGTAGTTAATTAATCGCGATAAAAACCTGGAGAAATATCTCAATTGTGCAGCATGCTCTTATGAGTTGAAATAGTATAAATGTTTAGACTTTCACTAATTGGAAACACAAGTAATCATTTAGATAATTTTACTAGCTAATTCTAAAATATAAACACCAGAATACTAATTCAAAAACAAGCCTTCGCCAAAGTCAAAACAAACGATCGCCGTGATCATACAGAGCTCGGACAATGTTTCCTCGCGTTTCGGAGGGAAACGCTGCAAAGAAATGTTATCAACTAATCCGTGATTATCCTGCAACACAAGAAATCTGAAAAATTTCCATTAAATCATAACAGGATATCTCGCTTATTTTCCCATTCTTTGACATAACCACAGGCAGAGAGTTACATGAGTAACAAGACCACAAACTTAATTCATGGAAATGGAAACCCAGAAATACTCACCTTCGGGTTAGTAAAGTCACTCCTGCTTGCGAATGAAAATCCAATCTTCACAGGCTTAAACTGTCCACGAATCCATAAATAAGCATCAATTTTATTGAAGCCCATCGCACAGCTCGTCGTGTTCTTGTTTGTTCGAAGCTAATTTATTGGTCTTCAGGCTACCGGTTGATCATAGGGAAAACAAGGCTAGGGAAGTAAACTGTGGTAAACAACAGCTTGTCAAATGTTGCCTTCGATCATTTGCAACATCGTCTCAGCAAAGCATCAAGTCTGAGTTAAGAGGCAAACGCTTTTAGGAATCCCTTCTTTGCGACTCCACAGCTGGGCCGACACGTCTATTGTGCACGAAGAAATTAGGCCACCGTTCTTCATATGCTTGAGGAGCGTTACCTCATGCCCGGGGGTAAATTTATGACATTCGGTATATTTAGATATTGCATATGAATTCAAAAATAAAATCACTTAAAAACAAGAATATTAAAGTGTTTGATAGCGAGGCGTAGTGATTAATATAAAATATTTACAGCTATTTCATTTGTCAACACATACTGAAAATTTGTTTAAGAATTATTTTCTTTGTGGTACCCATTGTGCAAGAATAAGAGGTTTCAAAAGACTTGAAGTGGCTTCAAGATAAGTTAAGTAGCTCTAGAGTATTGTAAGATATGTCAAATATTTTTCTAAAGTTTCAAAAATTGGAGAAAGCGTTAAAATTTGAGTAAAACCATATAAAAGTTTAAGTATTGCGTTTCAATAATAAGATGACATTACCAAGAACAGAGATAGGGAAAATGACATTGAAATTCAGAGGTACAATTTTATGGAATAGTTTAAGTAATGAAGACAGAGACATAGAGAGTAAAAATGCATCAAAGAAAGGCTAAAGAAATTGAAAGAGAAATTAAACAAAAGATAAATTTTGAAGCGACAATTATGTGCATTTTTAGAGATTTAACTTATTATGCCAATCTTTGTAAATATGCTTTAATTGTTTTAATTTCATTTTTCTTATAAATAGTAAAATTAGCTCTTTTTCTAACTATAATTTGTAGTAGATGGCAGGTCCACATCTGCAGTATTGTAGCCACAAATAACTTGCTTTAACAAAAATATATGATGACAATGATCATGATGATGAAAATTTGACGAAATAGCTCCAAAACTGCAAATAGATTAAACGATTCGATAGTAAGTACATTCTTCACATGCTTAGAAAATATATCCCTACAAGATCCTAGTATCAAGGTAACAGGAGAAAATAGGGGATATTTAATGGAATTAGCTCTCTGTATTCTTATTCCTTTAACTGGAAAAAGTGTAAGAAAGTATAAAAAGCGGCTATTTTTTCTCAATTTTGGAGTTGTTTAAAGACAAGGTACTTTGCCATGAAACTGATTGTAATTTTCTACAACAACTTGTATGATGTAACCCCCCGACCACTAATGGTATGAGCGATTGATAGACAGATATCCGTACAAGCGGCCTTTTCGCCGCTACCGAGTTTTTCAAACTTGCTCCTTTGAACATCTTCTTACTTGAGTGGCCATTCCGGGCTGTTGATTAATATTTTAAGGTCATTATGTGAATCCTGAATCATAGTTCGAAGCCAATATGATTAGATAGAGAAACGCGGACGTATTTTAATCGAGAAGTAATGCCAAAACCGGGCATTTAGCCGCCAAATATTGTACCAAAACCACAACCTGTAATTTGGGGATTCTAAATAAACTTCTATTCAATTTTTTATTGTTTATCTCACAAACCATGGATAATCTGATTGAATTACATTTGTTTGTTATGAAAGAAGCAGCTAATGGTCCTCTCTGAAAATCTATTGCTGTAAATTTGAAGGAGGTATTTTCTCCATTGGGCCTAGAATATACACGAAAGTTGGCAGAAAAACAAACATCGGGCATGGAGCTAAATTTTTATTACTATTTTATTTGCATAGCTGTCCAACGAAACACCTTGTGATCCGGGACCCTAGCTATCGAAATCGAACCAAAGTCAGGCACCGCGGAGCGTTGAGAAAAGTGGGGGTCTAAAAAAGTGGAGGGGGCTAAAACCGTATTAAAAGAGGCCTTGCTGGTAGTTTATTACTTAATATTTGGAGTTTTTTGCAAAAAGCCCTAAGACCACCCCAGGCCCCCTGCTACGCGGTGCCTGAAAGTGCCCTGGACATTTCTGTAGGGCCCTGTAGCGTAGTTGCGGGCCGAGAGCCTCAATTCAATTTTGTCCTTCGGAACTCAATTTATATACACTACATACACGTTCCATATTATATTCCACTTCAAATAAAGTTTTCTTTCTCACAATATCACGATGGTCCAAAAGAAAAATATGAAAACATTTTTCTCGTTCTAAAAGTTGAAATAAATTGAAAACAGCATGAATAACTTGAAAACCTATAAAATTTTTAATTCATCTCAGACAGGTCGCAATCCTTGTGAACTCTCAAACTAAGGCTGAACCCAGTGACGCCCGGAAGGGGGGCCAGGGGTCAACTGCACCTGTTGCCTTTTGATAGGAGGGGCAAGGAGGGCTAAAGTGTCTTTTTCACAGAAATGTCCTTGACGCCGCTTTTGTAGGAAATTCATGAGATTCATATGAAATCCCAAGAAACTCAAAACTTTTAAAGAAATTTCTTGGTGCCAAAATTTAGTATATTTCATAGATTTTCTACCTGAAAACTGCTTATCAGTTCCACGTAAACTTGGAAGTATGGCAAAGATAATGTTTTATTTTTATGAATAAATACTATAAGATTCTCCTATAAACTTTAACCCAAGAAAAAGACGATGGATGACAAATTTGTTGTAATGAGATTATATGTTATCTACTTTCAAATTCAGTTGAATCTGGTTCAGTTTGACACAAATAAGGTGGGAAAATCCAATGTGAAATGAAAATCGATTTGACTTGGTGAATGTTTCACTTATCTTGGAATTAATGGGATTCAACTGTAGAACCAGAGTGATTTAATAACTGATAAAATGTATTAGAGGACAGTAGAGCCCCATTGTGACATCTTTATAATCTGTCAAACTGTCAGGCTTTTTGATGCATGTGATAATATGCATGCAGACAAGCACTGACAATATTAGTTTCAATGTTTCACGGGTCGAGAGCAAGTGGCCTTGTTGGGATTTCTTGTTATACTACATATATATATATATATTACATTTTAATTAAAAGCAAACTATCTCATTTAGAAAAAATTGTTTGCATTTACTTTGATAACATCAATAAAGGACTCAATAATGGCTCTTCACATGAGCCTCAGCATAGGTTGAGATTTTATTGGTGTTAAAAATTTGGCATTTAGTTACATGAGATTTTCTACCTGGAATTTGTTTCTGCTGTGTTGTTATTCATTTCCAGAGCCTTTTTCAGTTCATTGTTTAGTCAGTGGGATTCATCCACTTATCTTGGGTTGAGAGAAACTTAAAGTCACATGGAGACTTCAGCTAGGATGAAACTTCAAGTTAGATTGAGAAGGGAGCTGAACTTGTCCAGGGTTGAGATTTCATAGTATTCGTTTAATTTAATTTATTCTATTTTAGAAAATTTATCTTATAACATTGGATTGTTGTCGCCGTTTTGCTTTGTTTCTGAATTTTATCCTTGTATTGAGATTTCATCATGTGAAACATTGCACCAGAACAAAGAATATTATTGCAGTGATGGCCAAACTCAATTCATGGTGAAAATCAGGCTGGGTGAATGATGTGAAGGGCATCCCATAATAATCATTTCTCAATCAAAGACAGTTATAATAAGTTTTATATGGCATTTTTATTTAACTGGGAAAGCTACATTGGCTTTTCAGACATATATTTCACAAAAGTTCTTTAAATGCTTCTACTTTCAACTTTAATCCTTGTTTAGTAGTAGTGCTTTGGATAATATAGTGCTTTAGATCATATTACATCTTTCTCTACCACAGAACTAAGAATAGTAAAAACCAAGATTTGACACCAACAACATGATTTATACTGTACAAGAAGCTGACCAACATAAATAAATCTCAAGTCCTACTAACAAAAAATCATTTGGAAAAGTTTTACTTAAGGTTTACTATTATGCATCTTATTATGAAGATGTCATAATGAAACAAATCTTGAAGTTTTGTACAGAATGGTCTTGGTCAATAATACTTATGGCAGGATAAAAATCTGTTTTGCTTGTCTTTGTGTCCATTTGCTAAGAAAGCCAAAGTAATTCTGACCTTATCTCTGTACTAGAAAAATATGACCTATGGATTGAAAGAATACACATAAGGTACTCTTGAGTCTTTTGCACAAATCAGACTCTTAGAATTTCGAGATGATTTCCGTAGCAAATTGCAATCCATTCTGGCTGATTTGAAGCCCATTGAATTTGGTTAATTTCTCCTTCTGCTGTGTATGCCAAGATTGGATCCTCAATAGCACTTGGCATTTGCTGTATATCCCAAATTAGTGCTTGCTGGTCATCCCCTGCAGTACAAATATGACAAGAGGAATGTGGAGCCCATGCAATTCCATTAATGGATGCACGATGGTTGCTTAGCCTAGCAACAGGAGTACAAGGCACCCTGATGTCAAGGATAATAACCTCTAGGCTATCTAGGCCAAATGTTGCTAAATAGTTTGGATCCTGCTTGTTCCATGAAAGACGTAACAATGAAGTATGCTGTGGATCTTCATAAATTATTGTGGAATGTTCCAAATGTCGCAAATCAAACATTCTCACAGAGCCATCAGCTCCAACTGAGGCAAACAGATCACGGCCACCAAAAGCACGGCTAAAAGCAATATCATAAACCTCTTTGTCATGTGCAATAAGTTGTGTTTTGACATGTCCTTGAACTCTTCCAATTGGTTGGCCTGTTTCCAGCCCCCAAATAGTACAGGTTGTGTCAATACTAGAGGTTCCAAGAAGATTTGGATCGATTTCATTCCAGTCAAATGAGGTAAGAGGAGCACAATAGTCTGAGTTTTTGTTGTTGTTTAATAACGATTCCAGCCTAACTTCCTCAGTACCAACTCTCCAAACTCGTAAATAATCCCCAGAAGTTGCTACAAGATCAGGGTAAACACCTTTATTGTCTGGAATCCAGATAATCTTAGTTGTTGGGTAGGGATGATCGAAGTTTGCCCTCACAGAAAACTCTCCACTCTCTTCCTCCAACTGCACAATCTGCACTTTGTTACTATATTCTTCGACAAAACTGCCAAGTGCCAGCCTAAATCTTTTGTCTGGTCGTACACTCCAGTTCATGCCGTACAATGTCCATTGCGCGTCATACTTATAAATCTCCTTCCTCTTGGTTCCACAAATGGGTATATGTCCACCTGCAGGCTGGGAAAGTGCCATTTTGCATCAAATTGTCATATCGAAGTTTCTCAGTTAACTGCGCGCCTTTATAATGCGAATAAACAAAAATGCCTTTTGAGACTCCTTCCGACGCTTCCTATAGCATTTAAGCGATTACAGTTCCTTCTACTTCGAACAGCCAACAATAGATAAACCTATTATATTAAAACGGTTGCTTTATTGACGCAAAAATGATAGAAAACTTTAGCCGCTTCGATGTTCTGCTGTCCATGAAGCTTTTTATCACTCAAACACTGCCATCATGTTCGCACGAACTCCGCACTCTAAATAGTTAGTTACCAGGCTCCTGAAAGCAGGTAGCAACCTGATCTCGTCGTCTCCCTGCGCAAAGCAAAATGGAAAGGGGTGAAAAATGCAGAAGGATATACTCACCGCACTATTTCGCCTACCCACCAGCACACCATACTGGGGATTATTAGAAGAAAGTTGATGTTGGCCAATGTTCAGCAGAATTATGTACAGGAAACTTATGCTTCTACAAAACTTGTTGAAATCAAGTGCATGAAAAAGAATGGCAAAGAAAATACTAATGAACCAAATTGAACAGGGAAGAGATAAATGTTGGTACCGCGAACTCAGAGAACAAATGCAAAAGTGTGAAATAACAGAAGATAGAGAAGACATAAAAAAGTATAAAAAATCCAAATAGAAAAAAAATAATGAAAGAAATAATGCAGAAATATGTAAACCAAGAATACAAAAATGAAAGCAAAAATATGACAAAATTAAGATTTGTACATAAAAACCAAGTCAAAAGGAAACAATATATGGAAATATGCAGAACAAGGGAAACAGAGAACATGATAAAAAAAGCCTTAATATGGAGGCATTCCATTGTAATTACAAAGGAAAAGACAAAGAAAATAAATGTCCATTATGCGAAGAAGAACAAGACTCAAAAGAACACGCGTATGAATGCAAAACAATAAAAAACATCTTGAAAATTAAAGAAATGACACCTGAAGATATAGAAAGTGAACAAATTAAAGATGTCATAAAAGTTGGTAAGTTTATAAAAAGCAATGGAAATTAGAGAACAGATATCAAAGAACTAAAGAGAGAAAAAACCGATGTCAATTGAGCTTGCACTACCAACTGAAACGGAAGTGCCCGTTGAGAAGGAGTGGCTAAAATAGAATCACACAAGAATCACACTAGCCGCAGAAAATTCAGTGTTTAATTATAATGGGGTGGGGGCGGCTTTGGTGCTTAAAACTATAAATTTAGTCTCTTCATTGCATGAGAAGTATAACACGTTTTAATCGAACAACCGAAAACTCAATAACACGTAATTTACATGATTATAGCAGGGACAGGAGAGGTGCTTACAAGAATTAAAGGCAATCTATCACGACGTTGATTGATTATAAGAACAAAGGAATTTTTATTTTGTTTCTAGTCCCCCTTTAATTTATCGCATTGTAAAAAATATGGCGGAGCGCTGGAATCGTTGTTAGGCTATTGTTCCAGCTATTGTTCTCGTTACCCAATCCACAACGAGACAGATTGCCTTTAAGTGTCTTTGCAAAAGTTATACAACTGTTGTAAGCTACAGTTACAAATATAATTTTTTCTATTCATTTTATTTTGATGTAATTTTTACCAGTTTGGATCAAAAAGTCTATCAGTTAACTTGCCAAAAGAAAATAAGAGCTCCATCATCGTGTTCTCCTACATTATTGATAAGATGTAAGAGAAAATTAGGCATCCATTTTCTGTTTAATTGACATAAAAAGCAGTGCTCCTTTCTTATTGTACCAAGTTTTTTACCTTGGTTACCAGGCCACATAAATTCGAGCGCGGAAGGAGCGGAAAATAGATACTCATTCGCTTCTCTGCTTGGTATTCTATTAATGCGTTTGAAATTTTGTGGTTCTGGTACTCAGGGTTTATGTTTTTGTGTTTCTAAAATGTAGCTCTAAGTATTTGATATTCAAGAAACCAGCTGAACTTTTAGCACTGAAGTCAACAAAAAGTTGAAAAATGGTGTGCTAATCTCGAGCTTAGTTTTTCTTAAAAAGTTAATAAGCACTGGTTGAGTACGAAGTCTGTTCAAAAAGGTAAGTTCAGATAAGTTCTTAGTATGGATAAGAATATTTTATTATGGAACGCTGTTCATGAAAAAAGTGGACTGTGAATGTGGAGCCAACAGAGTTTTTACATATGCCTGTTCTGATATCATCGACGAATGCTTTTGTTTTTATGAATTATTCACATCTTACAAGATTTCACGAGCCTTTTCGAAAGGAATTTAGCTATGAGGGCAAGCCCTTTATCATCTTACAGAAATAGGACGACGGTAGCCTATGGCTTTAAATGATAGAAGGCCGCGGAGGGGCAATTGCCCCCTAATTAGCATACGAGAAAGGACCTGCTTAACAAAGATTAAACGGCAAATTTGCGTCTGTGGTTTTTTGCCATCCACCTTTTCGAAATTCACTTTTAATAATTTAATAATGTATGTTCCTTCGTAATTTCAGTCGAGTTCAAGTTGCTATCGAGTCAAGTCTTGAAATATTGAAATTACAAAATCATAAATTTTATTTACATAACTCAAAATTATAATCGGTATTTTAGTGTAATCGGAAATTTTGATCGTGTATATGTGTTTTAATTATGGTTAAAGTTTACTTTAAAGTTACCAAGTTACTGAAATGTGATTTGTCATACCACACACGGGATCTCATAAAATCTTTGACCCAAAAAGCCAGTGACCGAAAAAACAATAATAAAATTATAATCAGAAGGTCAAAAATTCCTGCAAGACCTCTAAAAGGTGTCTGGGTTAAATTTTTAAATCACAATCTAGGACTTTTGAACCTGTTACAAATTTCCTTGGTTAAGGTTACTTATGACGTTTTCTAAAGATACTTTTTCTAAAAAAATTGTTGAAAGTTCTAGTGTTTATATTATTATGGCTTATCATTATGGCTAATCATTATGGCTAATCAATGATCGGTTTTTTCTAATCATGATCGGTAGATAGATTGGTGTGATAGCTCTTGAATAGGAGGTTACTTTTGAACAAGAGGCCAGAATCTAAACTGAAACAATGGCGGGAAAAGTTGGTAGTTTTTATTTTGGGCAACATGTGATTCACGAAAGCGTTGTTTTCTTCAGATCGAAGTTGTCTTTTGCTTTTGTAAACATCAAGCCGGTGGTCCCAGGTCGTATCCATTTTTTAAAGAGCCTTATATATAATGGTTGTTTATTAAGGAAGTGTTTTTTGGAAAATTCGACTGTGTAATGAAATGGTTAGTTATATATAGAGGTCTTGCAGGAATTATAATTATATATAATTATAATTATAAATTAATTCACAATTATTAAGCCACCTGGTTAAATTGTTAGGCCATACATCATTCTAAAACTGAAAATAATAAAAACAACATTGAAGAGAGCTGATACTGCTCAATCAATTGTTCAGTTTGTCTTATTGAATTCTGACATACAATACTAATTGGATTATTAAACGAAATACTAGCACAGTTTGGTTTGCTCTTTTTGTTGTGCTTGAAAATGTTGACAAATAAACATTGATGGCTGAGTCACAGATATTCTGTGGCCCAGTTTAGAGTTGACAAGAAAACTGAACTGACATCAATTTGATTTAAACAGGGTTTCCATGACAATACTTTACACTATTTTTGTTTTCCATGAATGATAATTCCTTAAAAACATACAGATGTTTTAGTGTCATCTATAAGAGAAGCTCCAAGATTTTCTGACTTGAGTCATGATGAAGTTGCAGACCTTTTTATTAGTTCACAAAAAGTCTCTAATGTTGTGAAAGATGTTTATAATGCTACATCCTTAACCTTAGCTGTCCAGGTAATCTTTTGTGCAATCTTTTGTGGCATTTAGGGCTTGGGTGCACTAGCACTTAAAACATGACAAAATTGTGACAAACTTAATCCTTATTGTCTTCTAACAATAGGTGTTCATCTGCTATGTAACGTTCATAGTGGCTCAGCAAAATTCAGTCTTGCTGAATTTGTCAACTTTTGCCTAATCCCTCAAAAGGTTCCGTCATCCTGCCTTGAAGCAGGATAAGCTCATGACAATGGAAATGCCCCTGCTGCAGACAAGTCAAGTTTCAGTTTTGAAAATGAGTGAGTTCTTTTAAAAAGAAGGGAACATGTTTGGTCTTTGCCCCAGCTGAACCTCATTTTAAGTGCTACTGTGTAACTGCTACCCCAAATATCACTCTCGAGAAAAGATACTTCTCTCTGACCGCTCTGATTGCATCTGCTGTAGGGAAACTTTAAAGGGAGATTATGCTCCTCTTGTTCTTTTCCAATCAATTTAAAATGTTTAATAGCAGGGCCCATGCTACAGGGGGGGGGAATGCCCTCCATTTTTCTTGCTAACTATAGGTATTAAATCCCCTTTTTTGGTATTAAATAGGTAACCCCCCCCCCCCCCCCCCCGATTTTAGAATCGGTGGCACAGGCCCTGAATAGTTGAAAAAGAGCTAACCTGCTATTTCTACAGCCTTGTTAGAAATAAGGGATTTCGCTAGGATTTGGAGTAGAAATTGAATAATTAAAATAAACCAAGAAGTTTGTTGCAAAATGCGCGAGAATTCTGCTTTGATGAATGTGAGCGGGAGAAATGATCGAAATGCCTGTTTCTCACGCAAAATGTGTGTGGCTTGGTAGGTTTGCCGCTGTTTGTCCAAGTGGAAAAAGCTTGCCTTGATTTGCCAGTTTGACAATATTAATGACATTAACTTTGATACAAGGGCACCTTTGCTTTTAGAGGGATATTCACCCAAAAAAATTTCCAAATTTGGCTTTTTTATAGTGTTAAATTTAGAAACATTTAAAGCATAGCCTGTGAAAAAAATATAAATAGCACTTTAATACAATATTACAATATTTCAGGATGTTTTAGTAAAATGGTAAATTTATTCTAGATTGCTAAATATGCCAAAGTTTCAAAAGTTTGGAGTTTCTCTGACTCCTTCAGCCTTGAAGTTTTCTATTATATCATTATTAAGTAAATCTCTTAACTTGCTCATTATTATGTTTCATCATATTGTAAGTAACTTATTATTGCAGCAAAAAGTTTTGAGTTTGAATTCAAAGTCCAAGTAGTCCATTGAGCAGTGTTGACAATTTTTTTGGATGGGAAAAAGATTTTAAATTTCTAGCAAAATTCTTCTAATACCTGATGAATGGATAAACTAGGTCTACATGGTAACAATGTAATTTTGGAATTTCCATAACAGAATAGGTTGTTGTCTATCCTTCTTTCCAGTGTGTGTATTTTCAAAACAGGTTTTTTCCTTTCCAACTGTTTTAGGATGGGCCAGATGCTGGTCAAACTGTTCCTGTAAGTAATTCTTAAATCGCTTTATAATCTCTTTAGAAACCTTTTGAACAGGGTTTTGCCGGGGATTATTTTCCTTCAATTTTTTTTTATAAAGATATAGGTTCTGTATTGTTGATTGGACATTAATCACAAAAGTAAAACAAATCAAGTATTTCACAAAGTCTTTTATCAAACATTTTGTTAATGTTTATTTCTATTTGTTTTTTGCTGTATTTAGAAGGAGACAGCTTCTTAAGCTTCTTATACAAAAATCTATCTGTAACATTCTCCATACAGATTCTATGATACAACAAAATTACAAAAATATTTGTTCATATCCAAAGCCTTTTTTCTCTTAAGCATGTCCATGTTCACATATTACCAAGACTCAAGGGGGACTTTGCAAACAATGATGATATTTACAGCGAGGTACTTTTTTGATTGAATTTGATTCTTTCTGGTCACTGTAGCCTTTACTAACTCTAACCTTTACTGTGTCAAAAAATACTGATTTTTAATGGCTGAGGCATTTATCTGTTAATTAGACAAATGTATCATAGAATATGTGAAAGAGAATAAGACTTCTAAACAGGGAGGAAAAGTGGTCAGGGTTTATTTTAAATGGGCCAAAAGATCCTATTAAACAATAATTTACTGAAGAGATCCTATCAAACAATGCTGGACTTCAAGTCTTCATGAACCAGAAATGGTAAAGCCCTAATAGCACTTTGTGCATAAAATATAAAAACATTAAAAACATTTCCTCTATTCATATTTGTCACTTTTTTAAGTACTATTTAACTATTATTGATAGTGAAGTTGAACTGCATTTTTTAGGACAGATCCCATACTTTCCTAAATAATTGATGTAACTTTTCTTGGGCACCTTTTTGTCTTTAGTATATTGTCTCTTTTTCTACTTTTTATAAATTTTTATAAAATATCATACAACAAGAGTTACAATAATATGTGGTACCGAAGTATACTTTTCATCTGACTTCTCTGAAGCATTTCAGAGTAATGTTTGTGAATATCCAAAGCAAGACATTTTATTTCCTGAGAGATAATTCAGACCAAAAGTATAATTTGGTGCCATTGATGACATTTTTGCTTTTTTTGCCATTTTGAAATGTTGCAGTATGAAAGGCTGTTTTGATCTTTCCAATAGTTAGAAAAACATGATAAAGAGGAAAACCGGAAACCAAGATCCCTTGAAGATATGGCAATAGAAGCTTCAAAACTCAGGACATTTTTCCATGACAAAAAAACTTAACCTTGTGTAAAACTGAATAATGTTTTTGTTCTCATAAATTTTAAAAGAATGGAGATAAAAGTACCTGAATTCAGTTTTTAGAATTGAGCAGTATTAGTAAGAGAATCAACCTGTTTGAAGCTATATGTGTTAAAATCCGTTCACTGCTTACTGACAATTATCATCATTATTTCCAATCTTAGTTCACTGCTTTGCATTCCTTGTTTTTTTACGTTTTGGCAGTTAAGAAGCTACTTTTTTTAAAATTGATGAATTATATGAACATTACCGGAAATAACTTTGACAGAAAAGGCAGAATTAAGAAATAATTTTTTAATATTTAAACTTTTCATGCTAGTAAATCTTCAGAAATTTAGAAAACCTCCTCATTTGAGTGATAGAAAATGTAATAGAATTACAGTTGACATAGAATATTGACAACAAAATTACATGTCATACAATTACACATTAGTTGACATTGACACATGACTCTAATACATTTCTTCTAAAAACACAAATTTGTTTAAGCGTTAAATACAAAGAGATGTTCCAGGCAAATGACACATTTACAGGTTCTGCTTAGACAGCAAGTTTGTCACTGCATTTGCAACTTTATCACTACCTGTAACGCAAGATCCTCTGCTGGATGAATAGGATATGTCAAAATAGAATCTAGTATCCAACCTTCAGTGGCGGAGAAATCAGGATGACCCCATCACCTCTCACAAAGAGCATTGGTAATGTACGCTTGCTTTGCTGAAACCAAAATAGCTATACATCATTTTACAGATAAAATTGAAATTAACAAATCTGTTAGAGAGTGTTTAATGCTGTATCAACAGCAGATGTCAGATTTAGTGTGTAGAACTGGATTGTTCTGCTACTTTAAGCTACATATGTAACCAGATCATCATGCAACTTTTTTTTGTCACGTCACATTACCTTTCCATAAAATGATACAATACTACTTTCTGGATATTCCTGAGATTCCTAAAGTTTCCATGCCAGTTACAAGTGCCCTATATTGTTGACATGGAACTAACAAATTTACTTAATGTTACATTCTATTTATGTAAATTGATAGAAAACTTTTGACAAAAATCTGTTGAGCCGCTTTGACTTTTGATTTTTAAGAATTAGACATACAATAAGACGGTGCTTGGCTTTTGCTATCAACAATGAATTCCTTTTGTTCTGACACATGTTTTTATGTGGAGAAAAAACATTTGGCACGAAGTACCTTGAATATTTCTTCGCATGTTTCTTCATCTATTTCAACAGTTGTTATGCATTCTTCTACATCTCCAAGAATCATATTTAAATGTTGGTCATAAGCCTGAAAATAACAGATTTAAAAAGCACGTGTTTGATTTGTTGATGAGACTTTAATATTCTTTTTTCTAAATGTGGTCTTTGTCTCTAAAACCAAATAAAAAATTGGCATTGTTTAGAATCCCACCTCAAAAACTGTCAGAGAACTGCCATGACTCATGCTCTGCAACAGATTGGAATATTTGCCTTAAATCGGATAAATCCCCAGTGCATATCAAGTGTCAGCCACGATTGCAGCAATGCAATTTCTATTGAAATGATTCATCCAGCTGCACAGGATTCTTCTTTAAATGTAAAACTTATCTTGCATGTCTTTAATAATTGACCCTTTTAATGAAGTTTGAATTCGAAGACCCCCAGAGTTGCTGATTGTCTAAATCATCATTATTGTTTGCTTGTGTACACACGAGGCTGGTTTTTGTACACACATATGCCAACATGTGAAGGATTTTTTTTTCATTTCTGGAAGTAAAATACACATGGAACAGGATGATCTAATTTATAACCATGCACAAAGTTTAAGCAGATTTTGGTTTACAGAAACAGTTCTCATCTGGTTGGGTTCCCCTCGTTCTTATTTTTAGGAATTATGAAAAATGTTTATCTTTGCTATATTGTTTTTATAACCACTAATGATGTTCCTAATGTTTTTCTCTGAAATGTATACCCAAACCAGTCTGGATTTCATGGCAGTTTTCGACGAGACCTCGAGAGTGCACCAGCTTTTACCTGGGATTGCAAGAGTGCATTTGTGATAAGTGTGCACATTTGAGTGTGCATCAAATTTCTCAGTGATTCTTGAGTGTGTGCATATTTTGTTTGTCACTTTTCCTGTTTTATATCAATTTTACGTCTCAGGGAAATTAATGATTGAGAGTTGAACTATGCACCTACCACTACCATCAGTGGCAGTCATCCAAATTCCTAAAGGCTTGTCAGGCAAAGAGATCATTAAAAACATTTTAAAAAGGCCAAAAACAAGATCATCCTAAGACCTAAAGTATGATCTCAAGCAGGGCCACCGAGAGGGGGACAAGGGGGAAAATTTCCTAAGGTCCTTGATGTCTAGGGAACCTCGCAAAGAGGGGAACTTAATTTTAGGAATATAATTAATCTGTTTAATTGTTAAATGATAGTAATCAGTTTATAGAATGATAGTAAAATGTGACAACAAAACCACGAAACAAAGTAATATTGAAACAATTGCATGAAAAAATAACTGCAAAGAATATTCTGAAGTGTACTTTGAGCTAATCTAAAAAACCAGGCCACAAAAGTTTTTTGCTTGCTTCGCTCACAAGAAGCCCTTTTTACTTTTGCCCCAGGCCCACTGAAACTTTTTGGCAGCCCTGATGTCAAGTCAACCATATTGGTAATGTTTCCCGCAATATAGGGCGCCCCAGTATACGGTGGAGCCCCAGTATAGGGATTGTCAATCAAAATTATGTTCTAAAATGTTGCCAAAGCCTTTTCAGTGTGTTACCATCGCGAGGATAGATAGAAGTTATTTCAAGACACAGCAGCTTCTCGACCAGTAGACATTCAGCCATACATTTTCAGCAAGCGACCAAGTTTTAAAAAGCATACATGAAGGACTTTCGCAAAGCTCACAGCTACTAAATAAAAACAAAACTAAGCCAGCTTTATTCCTTCAATTTACATCAAAACAAAATGCGGACCTCTGTATATTTTCATATAAATTATGCCCTTTATATGATCAATAATATGTACCATTAAAATTTATACAAAATATAGTCTTTTAAATCTTGTGTTAAATGTTGCGTTGTTTATGACGAGCATTGATTAGGGATTATTATGAACTAGAAGTTAGAAGAAAGAAGGTTTCGCTATAATCTCAAGGTTGCAAATCAATCTCTGTGATAAGTGCAGTCATCTGAAAATCAAATCCACTTCTATCTATCACCGCGATGATAACGCACTAAAACGGCTTTGACAGCATTTTAGAACATAATTTTAATTGACAATCCCTATACTGGGGCTTGACTGTATACGGGGACGCCCCATACTGGGAAAAACGTTACCAACGCCAGGGTGGAATCCATGTGAAGCTCACGCCGGAAATACGCCAATAAACAATAGTGAGACAATGGTAAATCGTTAGTCTACGCTGGATATCTCCGGCGTAAGCTACATGGATTCCACACTGATACGTTACTCTGTCAAGTGGCTCACTCAATTTAGAATGGCACATTTTTTTCAATCTCGGTGGCGCACAAATTAATTTGCCATGTTTGAAAAAGACTTTTTTATTTGAGCCTCAAAAAACACAATCAAACACTGCCCATCTTTCCTGGTGCAAGAGTGCACCGGTTATTCTAGAAAAATTTCTCGGGAGTGCAGCTGCCATGGGAATCCATACTGGTACCCAAAAGTTACATACTGTGTTTTTATTGTTATTAGTCTCAGCCGCACAAAAATTTTATCTGTGTTATTTGCAAATGCGCAATTTCCATGGACATGCAACAGAACCACCGCGCATCTTTCAAAGATTGGCACACGCACACTGGCCTAATATCAAGTAAACATGAAAATGACAGAAGAAAGAGCCTACATACATGCAATCTGCCCCTAAGCTCTCTGTCATTTCTCATTTTGACATAAATCTTTTCATCAAGGCTAAGTCGAATTAAATCTAGTGGCTCTTCCACAGTATTTGCTTGCTGTGTATCTCCTTCTTCGGCCGCCATTTTAAACGTGCTTCTAGTGACGGGCTGAAATCGAGACCAAAAAGCCCAGAGCCTCTATTTGAAATGTAAATTGTAAATGGTAGGCAAGGAACTGATGAAACTGGTTATTTCGTATAAAGTAAGTGCAAAAAGTAAAATCTGATTATTAACAAAGTACTAATGGAAGAGAGCAGTAAGCCACAAGTTCTTTTGATTACATGTTCTTCAGATAGAGATACAGACTTTCTTGTTGAAGGGTTGATATTTTCTGAAAAAGATGACTGCTCTAACAACGAACCCGTAGAAAAAGTTCAAGAGAATGAAATATTTTCAGAGTACAGTTGGACCCTTGAAAATAAATATTACACCGCAGATTTAAGTCTTATTTCTATGAGAGTGTTTGAACCAACATCAGATATATGGGAAGTGGTGTGTGGCGCTGAAGCCATAGTCTTAGCCTTTGAGATTGAAGATGAAATGTCGTTTGACAGGGCAAAGGACTGGGCTAAATTCCTTGAAGACGGGGATATTGATATCAAGTTATTAGTAGCCAAAGAGAAAAAGTTTATCGAAGCTTTGAGTGGCAGGAAAGAAAGAATCACTAAGTGGTGCTTGGACAATTTCTTTGAACTGGTTGAGTTATACCAAAATGACGACAAATTGGATGATATTCCAGAGAAATTTGGTTTTGAAAGAGTAAAGGAGGCACTGGGTACACATATGTGGCCAAATATGGTAAGGCATGGTGATAAAGCAGTCAGCAAGCAAACAAGTAAAGAGAATAAAGACATTGGCTGTGATACAGTTGTCACAAATGAAACAAAAAATGTTCATTGCACAGAAGAGGACCCTCTGCATAATGGAACTGATACAGAACTGCAGAATTTTGAAGAAATATTTGGAAAACTTCATGAAATGAAACTGCATGCACAGTCACTTTCTGATGAAAAAAGAAAAGAGTATGCTGAACAGGTTACTATTGCATTTTGGAAGGCAATGGGACAAGATGATGATGAGATTGAGGGGTTATAAATATGAATATGATCAATTTTCTATCCTAATTAATTTTGATTTTGATTTAGAAATTATCACAATGAATTAAAACTGATTACAAACTCTGTTATAATAAAAGGTTGAATCACCTTATTTGAATGAATTACTTGACTTACTTGACTTAATTCGAGTTTCCTCGAACATCTTTAACCAGTTTCTTCCTTTCATCTCTGTTTTCCATCACACATTTGAAGTTGGTGCAATCCAGTCCAGTATCATTTAACAGTTGGTCCATATAGGTGATACAGGGTCTTCCTGGTTTCTGCTGGCCGTGTGTTGGTTGCCAGAGAAGCAGTTTGAAGATCAGTTCATCTTTTCTTCTCCAACAATGTCAGACAAAACGTAATCGCCTCTCTTGTAACACAGTTGACACTTTTGAGAGATTTCCATACAATTCCTTGTTAGTCTTGTGGTCTTTCCATGACAACCCAAGAACAGATCTCAGCATTTTCGTGAAAGTACCATCAAGACGATCTCTCATTTTTTTGTTCATCATCCAGGTTTCGGTGCCATACAACAACACACTTTCAACAGTTGACTGGAAGAACTTTATCTTGAGATCATCATTTAAATTTGAATCCCAGATTTTATTCATCTTGTTTAAAGCATTTCAGGCTTATTTGAATATGTCTCTGAAAAATGTTTCATGTAATTGTCAGGTAGAATAAAACACACTTTCTCTGCATTCACCTTGGGCAACACTAGAAATCAGATTAGTCAAGTGTTCCTATTCATTACGTTCGTTTGCAAGGTGTCTTGGGATGTTAAGAATAAAACACCCATCTCTCAGTTTTAAAGGTATCATCTTATTTTCAGTCCATAAGTATTTCAGGCAAGACATTTTTTTGAATATCACATTTTTTTTAAATTTTATCATAATTGTTGAAAAAAATTCATAACAATCTGGTGATGGTCAGGTTTCAGCAATAAAAGTAAACTGGTTTTTAAATTCACCCATGGGTCCTATCTCAGTCAGGTTGCAACAGACTTATTTATTTTTTGGTTTTACATTTCTGAAGATATTTTATTGTGGTTCTAAGATTATATGGTCAAAATTCAGAAGTTCTAAAAAATTAATAATTATGATGTCATCACTTTGCCCCTCTGCAGAATAATTCAAGAAATAAAAGTCAGTTGGTTTAGTGTTTTGACAGAGATAAATTTCCAAATAGCTAAAAAACATGCAATATTTGAACATGCAATTTACACTGACATGACTTATGAAAAACATAACCTCAACACTTGTTATCTGTGACAACCATTGATATAAGAAAAAATGATTTTATACGGGTTCAGGATAGAACCCTTTAAATAATCTTTCAAATATAAACTACCCTAAAAGTTTTTAGAGAGCTATAATTCAACATGTTGGTTTTTCAGGCTTTCAATCCTTCTAACATAATCAGATTTTTCTAAGCAGCCATCACATGTCTCATCCCAATCACTAAGAATCTTCTTTAGCTGTTTAACCCTCATCTTCTTCAAATCTACAGTTTTCCAGTCGATTTCCTTGTCTAAAAGAAAAGTTCAAACACAAGTTTAAATATAAACAAAATATGTCAAAGATAATAAAATAAGTCTAAGGCTCAACCTATGTTATTTTTCCAGCAAATGTGATAAACAAATTTCATATTAGTAAACAGAGTTATTTTTCTACTAGGAGCTTATCATTAAATTGAGTCACAAGTGTATGGAAGGATTTTCGGCAAATTTGTGTGTACTTACTTTTAACTTAAGATCAAATGTTCCTATGAGAATTTATGTCTTTAATACCCTTCCATCAAACTTTGATGCACTTTATTGGCACCTGATGGTTTTGAAAACTTTTCTTTTATATTTAAAGTCACAGAGCCAAGATAAAATAAAGAAAATATAGTTTGCTTAAGTAGCATTGCAGCAATTTAGCATATTATTAAAAGCACCAAGCTATCCACTTCTGCATGGCCCTATACAAAGCCTGAGAAGGTATAGTTATGCCCCTGAACCTTACCTGATTAGAACTATCTTTAATTTTAGTAAGAGTAAGTATTGCAAACACAAAAATAACCTACCATACTGCAGTTCACAAATTTGCCTATCTTTTCTCTTTAACTTCTCACAAATTGCTTCTGCCTTCATGAAGTAGGACAATGGCTTTGTGATTTCATTGAGAATGTATGTGGCAGCATCTGGTGTTCCACCAACATAGTAGCAAAATCTGTTTTCTTTACCCTTTGCCTTCTTACAAACTTTCTTTAGTTTTTCAGTTAATACATTATTATCTTTTCTATCCTCCTCAGTGAGTTTCTCTTCAAATTTGTTCAAGAATTTCACACATACTAAAATGAAACAGAAACTATGTGTTAAAAATTTATCCAAGATATACAAAAAACTCCAATAATAACTATCTAAGATAATTAGACAACGATAACAGATGTTTTTGGCCATCAGTTTAGGGTTCCACAATTTATTAAGAAATTATTTTTTGAGAAAAATAACTGGCAAGAATCCCTAGAAATTACTGTAGACTCTGGTTATAATCACATCAAATGTTGTTTGAAAACTTATGACTGTAAACGGAGTGTGACTGTAAGCGGAGCTAAATTTAATAGTTTGTATATTTGGTTGGGTCTAAAATTTATATGACGCGGACTGAGTTGACTGTATTAATAAAAATCTTACCTTCACATTCACCAGGCTTTAATGATGCCCTTGCATCTTGTAGAAAAACAACAAGAACAACTAACGCTGCTGCAATGGATTGGAGCTGCATTTTCCCCTAGTGGACTAAATCGAACTTACACTTTCTAATAAGTTGGAGTACCAACTTCCAACTAAATTCCGTGACAAGGGGGATTTGGCGGGAGCTGATTGGTCAATGCTGGTCGTGTAACCTCGCGTTTTTTGCGGGACATTTCAAACCTCATTCCGGAAATTTTACCTCCCTTTGACGGAATTGACTAAAAATGGCGGATATACAGCAAGCGAACAAAAAGTGCAAATCGAAAAAGTAAGTGATTAAGTGCTTTAAAGTTTGAAAATCTATGATTTTTTTTAGCTAGCCATGTTTGCTGAAAAATTTTAGAATAGATGGTTGCCTTCCTTTTAAAGGGTGTTTAGAAACCAGGTATTTAGAGAGTTTGAAACTAATTAGGATGGTCAGCTCACTCATGTCAACGACGGTTTAAATAGGAAAACAAAACAGCATTTTTTGACACCCATCAGCATCACAGAATTAGCTAAACTTCGGTTGGAAAGTTCATAAGCGTATTTTTATGTTCTACAAGCACATATGTATTCTAGCTGAACTGAAAAAGGCTATCACATTTTTTAATTTTAGATGTGTTTTCATAACCAATTTCCTTCCTGGTGAAATTTGATCTGAAATTATTTGGTCAGATTATTTGGAGGAATTTGATTTGCTATGAAAAAAATGTTTGAAGTACCCAATTTATGAAAAGGGGGCTTTAAAAACTTTGCATCCTGATACAAATTCATGATGAAGAAATTGTCCCCTTTTGTCTACCTGTACACCGCACCTCTGTTTTGAAATCATTTGACTGGGTGATTTTTCTGATTTACCTTGGCTCTCACTGTACAAGATTATCTTCGTCATAGTTTTTTCAAGTGCTCACCTGGCAGCAGAAAAGTTTCTGTTTTGTGGCCCCAACATCTGACAAGCTTACCCAATTGCCATTGATCTTTAGTCCATATAAATGTTTGGATAATTCCCAACATGTTTAAGCCAAGGAAAAGGTTTGGCTGCAAGAAAGAGAGTGGTATGATTTATGCATTGAAACTGAAGCAGGCTTTCTTGGGAAAAATGTAGCAGGGTGCTAACCACAGCACGTCTGAAAACATCCAGGCTTGTTGTGGTGTATGACATTTTTTACAAACATTTTTGGTTATTATGATAGATTCAAGCAGAAATTGGCATCATGAAAATAATGACTGCAATAGTTTTGAAGAAATTTACTTCCTTTAATTCTTAACATCTTGAATTCTTAGCATCACTGCAACATTTTAACAATTAACGTGTTATTTCTGAAGACTTGAGCAATTTTCTACACAGGTATAAGCTGAACTTATTTAACATATTAGCAAAAACACAGTACTGCAATTACAGAAAAATGTTTGCCATTTCATCATAAACAGTTTTCATCAGCTATAGTAATAAATCCTTAGTAAAGTCATCAATGCTTTGGCCTTCATCTGGTTGTAATGACCATTTTTGCTGGTAAATCCTTGCCCTAAGGGTCCTCTGTTATCAAGCATGACAGCTATTTCATGTAATTCACTGGCCAGATGTTGATAATTCATTAAGATTTTTCATTGAATTTAATGTTGTCTAGATTTAGAGCATATCCAAGCCTTAAGAGAAGGGTGTATGGGGTAGCGAAACCCCTAAATCGGCTATTATTTATAGAGTTTGGCAAATCGACTACTTTAACTTTTTATGGCATAATTGGCAAATACACAATATTGGCTAAGCGACTGAAAATGAAAATCTTGTTCACAACACTTTAGGTTCCTCATAAAATTGGGGGGCAAAAAGGTGTGTTGTAGTCTTCTGTGTTTGGACTTGTTCATTGGAATATCATAAACCTTGAAAAGGTGTCAACTTTTGCACACATCTTTTCTCAATTTTCTGCATCATAAAAAATGCATGTTTGCCAATATATGTTTTGCCAATGGCAGTAATGATTCCCACCAGAAATAGTGAAATAGGAGTAAGGAGACCAGAATAACGGTGGACATTTTTAGAAAGGGCTGTCATTTTTTGAGGAAAATTACATTGAAAGGGACTACAATTGAGTTCGTAATGATGAGAGTTCGTCATATACAGGGTTTGTTTTGCTGAGAGACTTCGTACGGAGTTAGGCAGAGTCCAAAGGGCCAGACATTTTTGGTTATACCAGAAAATTAGTTATACTTGTATCCGGGTTTCATAATATCAGGCTTCCACTGTAGATAATATCTATGATTATTTCAAAAATTTTTATTTTTGATCTGCAATTCTGGCAAGATGTAAACCTCTTTGAAGTGTCATGAAGTAAAAGTACAAAGGAAGGATAAACCTTTCTCAAAAACCAACAAAACCAATCATTAAGAATGTTCCTCTCAAAATAGCAGAAGGTGCGTGATATTTTGTACTCCTGGAAAGCAGCAGGTATGTGGGTGGAATCGCATGCCTTTCAGATCACAGTTTTGCAATTTTTTTCCTTAAATTCTAGAAAATCAATAAATTCAGTAGATGAGTCTGAAGAATCAAGTGATGATAGTAGCTCAGACAATAGCAACAGGCCATCAGAAGAGGAATCAAGTTCCTCTTCATCATCAACTGGTAATTCAGATGCAAAGAAAACCAGTGTAATGGAAAAAAATAGAGATGGAAGGAGGGGGTTAAAGAGAGACAAAGGTGAAGATAGAGAAGCGTCAAGTGAGAGTTCGAGTGAGGAGGAAGAGGGGGAGACTAGACATGTAAAAAATACAGCAAAAGATAAACAAAAGTCCAAAGAATCTGCTGATAGATATAAAAATAAAGAGATTTCTGATCACAGAAAGAAAAGGAGAAGGAAAGATAGCTCAGATCATTCAAATGAGGAAAAAAGACGAAAAAGTGATGTAAGGAAAAGCCATGAGAGAGATGACACAGATGATAAAAGAAGGAACAAAGATAGATACAATACCCATCATCATCAAGAGGCATCTGAGTTGTCTTCTAGAGATCAGAACACCCATGTAAATAGAGAAAGGTACAGAAAGGATGAAAGTTTTTATGACCGAGAGAAAAAAGACCGGACTAGGCATGTCAGTAGAGAAAGATTTGATCACAGAGAGAGACACCAAGATGGTGATTTTAGAGAGCCTAGGGGAAGAAATAGGGAAAAAGAACGCGAATATAATCATGGTAATGCTGAAGACAGAAGGAAAGAAACAAGACGGCATGATCAAAGAAGGCACAGATCTGCAAACAATCAAGAAGATGACAGAAGAAGTGGAAATGATCATAACGAGGCTAGAGAAGCGCATGTTAGGGAGTGGGATAGAGGCAAAGAACGTGACGATAGAAGGGGTGAAAAAGGGGAAGGAAGATCAAGAAAGTAAGTGATTTTCTGCATTTCATACTTATATTTATTTCAATCTAACGTATTTTGGAGTAATTGAAATTTTAAAGTACTTAGCTGCCCATATAGAGAAGGGTGAAACTTGGAGCAGCAGCTTAGATCCGTCGTGTTCTATACACAAAACACATGTAAAAATCGCTTAGTATATGGTATCAAGCACCTTTGATAGACCGGTAAACAGTAATTTTCATTAAGAATATTAATCAGTTGTATTCTTGCCATTTTTCGTCAACTGGGTCTGCACAGTTAAAAAGGAGCAAAAAATTGACGTGTATTCGTTTCTTGCTTGCGTGTTTAGAGCCAATTCTTACGGACGTGTTCATTACAATGTGTGCCTTTTAGTTTTTTGCTTGAAATTTTAGCAATAACGAAGGCGAAAGTGTGGAGTCGGGGAATCCAGAGAGCCAAACCGAAAAGGAGGAACCAAACTTTGAACTGTCTGGCAAGCTGACGGAATTCACAAACACCTATAAAGTAATATATTAAACTACTTTTTCTATAAGATGCTTCCAGATACTTAAGTCCTGGTCAAACGAATTGAATTTTTGATTGAGCAGCACAGAGTTGTAAGGTTACAGCAGAATTTTTGTAAGGTTACATTGTAAGGTTACACCGTTGTAAGGTTACAGAGTTGTAACATTGTAAAGTTACAGCAGAGCTTTGTTCAACGTTTTTGCTAAATAGTCATTCCGTTGCTGAATGGCAACTGGCCTAAATTGAACAACATTTCAGTGAACAACATGCAATATCACCCAATACAATAGAAAAGTTCAGTGATCCATGAAGCATTTTTATTTTTACCATAAAACATTCAATAAATTACTGAGCAGCACTCTTTATCACGGTGGAAATCTGTTGGGGTGGCCATACGAATGAAACCTTGCTAGGTAATCTATCAAATAGACAGAAGCTTATAGGTTATATCCTGACTCTATCCTGTACTTACATTCACCCAGCTGCAAATTTGAGTAATTGTTATCATTTTAGAGTTAACATTTGTAAGGCAAGAAGAAATTTCACTATTCATTTTAACTGTTTTTATTTTTTTACTTCTTAGTTGATCCTACCTCATTTTGCTTTGGCTATACACAGGTTTTTCCCTATGCAAATCGCACAATACATATCGCCCACATATTACATGATTTTGGCAAACCAATATACTATCAGCTTGAATTTTTAAATATCGCTTTATTACCTTAAAATGGCATCTTTTGTTTGGTACGCAGGCATTCTTTTTTTCCACTTATTCAACCGATTTATCCAAGTGGTTTCTACAGCTGTATTTTCACCAAACTTTAATTGCCGCTTGACTAAATTTCTCGCTAGTTTCTAGAACAGTAAGAATAGTAGCGGATTGATGTCAAAAAATTAAAAAATTAATAAAGTAATTTTTGCTACACATCTATTATCTTAAAGATAGTATTTCACAAAACAGGTGTTCAGCTTATGAATTATCGTTGGTTCACTTAACTCAAATGTTCTCAATATAATCAAAGTTGCTCTATACCCCCCCCCCCCCCAAAGGTCCCTAATCTTCAGGTTACCTTTCCCTCATTTTATGAATTGATGTGTTTCTCTCACGCCTGTTTCTATTGACTCTTTAAATTTATGTTACAAACTGCAGTTCACTCATTTGTGAGAACCTAGCAGTGTTTTTATACAAACTCAAATAACTTCTATTGCTATTGTGATTTTAGGGTGTGGTCATAAAGTACAACGAGCCCCCTGAAGCAAGAAAGCCGAAAACAAGATGGAGGTTCTATCCTTTCAAAGGAGACCAAAGCTTGCGTATGTTTCTTTTCAGCGTCGAGTGTTCCCTTCAGCGTGAAGTTTTCCCTAGCTAGCTCTCCGGACAGATATTGATAGGTCTTATTTAATATTTAGCACTTAAAGAGAATTCTTCTTTACTGTCCTTCAATATTTTCGATGTCAAAAGAATTTTAATTTTTATCATATTTGTAAACAATCTCTTGTCCGCAAATCAAAATACTATGAAAGTCATTAGTAACTGCCTCGCTCAACCTCGCCTGGTATCGTCAGCAAACATTACAGCTGAGAAATGATTGCAGATAAGAAGTAATAATGAATTGAAATGGGATGCTTGGAGGATGATACTTAGAGCACCCCATTTGCAATGATCTCTTCATTGTCAGTTCACTGTGAATAGGTATTACAACTTTCTTACGACCTTAGGTAGAGGGATGAATGAAAGTATGATTTATATATGTTAGCTAAGTCCGTTTGATACTGGTTTATTATTACTTTGTCGCTACTTTCTCCCACCATAGCTGTCCTGCATATTCACCGCCAAAGTGCATATCTACTTGGCAGAAACAGAATGGTATGTGAACCGCTTCAATTACGAAATTATATTTTAAACTTGCTAGTCATACAAAGTTTGTTTATCAGTTACAGATTTCTATTCTAATGACCATTCCAAAACTCTTGTCAGGTTTTGTGTTTGGATCTGTTATAAGCCTTAAAACTTTATATATTTGGAAATCTTCTTCAGGGATTTCGAAGTACAATTCTGGCTTTGTTTGGAAGGAAAGTCTTATTAAATTGTACTGCTGGAGTGCACTTATGTTCGGACAGTTTGATTTTAAAAGCTTATCCTCAAAAATATGATGAAATCTGAAAATATAATTAATTTTTGGAGATTTTCCCAGCGCCATGGGGATATCTTACTTCTCTCTCTGCTTGCAGTCATTGTTGAGATTGAAGCCAGGATAGCTGGCTAGGATGTATCGAAACGAACCCACCTTATGGTTTATATGGTAGTCAAAGATAAAGGAATCTCTATCTACAATTCTTGAGAAGACCCCCAAGCCCATTTTGTTCAGCATGTTTTCTGATTTACAAAAGACCATCAAAACAAGATCTGATGAAAGTGGTTACAGATTCCTGATACTTTCCACTACTATTGGATAGGCCAAAACGACGTGAAACATTTCAATAAAATGATAAAAAAACCCCCGATCATTTCCTGCAAGAGAACATATTTTCAGTATGCAAAGTGGCCCATATTTCCTGCAAAATGCAGGTCCGTCGCTAGCTATGGTGCTCAAGGAGGGTTTCCAGGTCCCATCTGCCGACAAAGTGGATGAGCCGTTCTTTTTTTGCCGACAAGATTAAAAATTTGCCGACTAAACACCCATGAAGGCAAAAAACTCCTCGTTTATGCAACGGAATTTTAATTATTTTTTTCGAATTCTAAGGATTCTGTAAATTTTTGCCACAGATTGCGGATATTCCGGTTGATCATCCCTCTTGTTCCAGTCAGCATGCAGTGTTGCAATATCGACTTGTTGACTATGAGCGCCCTGATGGATCATTCGGAAGAAGAGTCAAGTGAGTTGACTGTCAAGATTCAAAATCTTTTCCATATAATGAAAAGCATGCATACAAGAGAAATTCAACGTTAGAGAAATTTAAGAGTCTGCATATAGGTTGATAAGAAAGATATGATTAATGTTTAGAAATGCTGATAAGACAGTAATTTGAAATTGCTCTGAATAATGTTGTTTGACTGCAAATTTCAAGCTTAGGGGCAATAATTTTTCTAAGGGGTAGCAATTTCCTTTAGAGAAGCAATTTTCAAGTCAATTTCTTGTGTATTTTCATCATAGCCAAACGTTTTTCTTTAACGTCAATTATATTTCAATCCTGAGGTTTGAACATATAGATATAAAAGTCTGACCCTAACCCTAAACCTGAACCTAAACCTAAACCTAACACATAAGAATGTATTTTTTAACTAGTTTTTTGTACAATCTCAATCGTTGAACGAAAGGTATACAATTGTTTTGTCATGTGAACTGCGTGTTCCCCCTTGCCCCTTTTTGAAGGGGTAAATGCTGCATTATGCAGAAATATTATTTTGCAGCCATTTTCATTTGGCCTCTTTGGTTTATGGCTGGCGACAATTTCGTTAATTTTTCACGGTATCAATATAAAAGCAGCACAAGGCAGATGATAAAGGCGGCATGCCACCAACTGTATCCATGTGGAGTTACCGATCATGACTTCCCCACAAATTAACTTATTTCGGAAATATAATCCTACTGATTAATCAATGAAATGGAAGTTATTTATCTCATTTTTAAACTAAGAATTTGTTAATGTGCACTGTAGATGTGAAGAAAAATATTCTCGAAAATTCACTTTTAGTCTGTGCACGTTTTATAATTACCAAGCCAGTCTTTCAAAATGTCATAGAGTGAGTCTGTGCTTTATACTTTTATTCACATATTGGTTTTTTAGTTTTTACCTGCTATGCCTATAAAAACATCTAGACATAATATTTTTATAATTGGCCTTCCATTAGATTTTTTATCAAAGAACCTCTCAATTTCCATTTTCCTGCATCAGATAATTTATTATACTATAATTTTTTCAGTACCTGTATGATAATTCTCTCATCTCTTCTTAGGCCATATATAATAGACTTGGACTCTTCAAATGGAACGTTTTTGAATAACAACAAAATTGAAGCAAGGCGCTATTTCGAGTTAAAAGAGAAGGTTTGAATTTGATGCCGAATTCAGTCCCTTTTTTTATTCTTAAGGGTGTTATTTTTTAATTTGCAAGTCTTGCTTTGAAAACAAAGCTCTGAATTTTCTTTGTAGCATGTCTGAAGACATTCTTTAGAAGAAATCTGACCTTCTGACCATGTTTTTGCTTTCTCGCCAAGCTTAATGTTTTTTCTTGGAACAACGTGTATCTCTCGAGAAAGAAGTTTAGTTTCCTTTCTACCTTTCACAAGTTTTAAAAATCTTCAATTCCTTACTACGTTCTATCCGTAAATAAATTCGATCCTGTCTTTGGATTTGGACAATCGTTCACTTCAGGAAAGAAACACCAGAAACACCCGGCAGAGAGAGGGTGTAAGGAGGGGGGAAGGAGTTTGAAAAGAAGCTAGGACGGAGAGGACGAAAAGATTGCGAGAGCAAGAACACTTGATTGTATTCTAGAGGAAGAGGAATTTATTTGTTGTCATCGTTTTGTTAGAGCCTTATATCCTAATCTTGGAGAAGTTGAAGTATTTTTTCGAGTAGAATCTATGGGAACAAACGCGCCTTTGGAAATTGGTGTAAATGAACAAGAACTCGTTTAACCAGGCTAACAATGTTGAACTTTGTGGTTTTGTTGTCTTTGCAGGACGTGTTGAAATTCGGATTCAGCTCGCGGGAGTACGTCATACTACATGACCAATCAAAAGATGACGCCAAAGAGTCTGACGATGAGAGTATCGGCAAATGAATGCCTGTAAGTTAAATGGAAAAATCTTTCATATGCGAATGTATAGAGAACCAATTCTGGGATTTTCTATGAAGTTGGGTGTAGCATAGAAGCGTTTTGTTAAAAAAATTTGCCTGAGGTAAAAATCTGCTGTATAGTTATTTATACTGGATCAACATCTTTCAAATCTTTAGAGATATCAGTGCAAAGAATTTCGTGTTTTGAACTTGTTTGGGTGCAATTCATCAATTTGAGAATTTGCAGCTTTGAAAAGTTATTTGAACAAACTGTGTACAAAGGATGCTGACACGCCCCTTCTCACCTCGGTTTGACTGCTAAGCCTCGTCTTTGTGATGACAAATTCTTTATCAGATAGGTTTTGTCCCATAATTTTGATGAATTGTGTCTGTCCAATCACCTGTTTGGGGCGCTTCGCGTCTGAAAATTTCACTTAGCTTTTTTTACTGGAATGCTTGTGTTGCTAAATTCTTCTAGAGTTGAACCACTTCTAGGGTTTTCATCGAGAATGAGCTTGAAATTTAAAAACATTTGTACTTTTAAGCCCTCCCCAACCTTGTAAGCTAAAAGGGCTTGAGTAAAGGTGATTTTAGAAGAGATAAATAACAAAATTTATTGTATTTCTTACATTGTTGTTTTACAAATAAATAAACACACGCGTATTAGTTCTCTATTTCTTACAAATATAACAAAGAAATCACATGCTTTAAGGATGCATATTATTTTAGTGCGATCTTTTTATTTGCAACCTAACGAACACATATTTGGGCCAGTGAAGAATTAAGCATAACATCATTAGATCTCCTAACGAGACTTGATATTTTGTCGTATACTTTCAATCAATGTAAATCCGAACTCCGTACATTTCTTACTTTAGAAAGGCCTATACACTGCTCGATGTGGCTAAACTAATGGTCTTTATATGTCACAAACTTTTACCTAATCCAGTAGTATCATATTCAATCTTTTCTATTCAGTCTCATTTCTGTTATCTTTGGTTTGTGTTTATGTTTTGTACCGTTTTGAAAATTTTGTGAAAATTAGATTTTGAAAAACTGTTAATTGAAAGAAGCATCGTCAAGATGTTGGTTTATCGCTTTCCATCTTGGGTTTTAAAAAAATTTATATCTCTGTAAATGTGTCAGCTGGGCGTCAACTGGATGAGCAGTTTTCAATAGACATCTTAAATCGCACGTCTCATTTTACGACAGTTTGATGATTATGAAAGGAGCTTAGAAATCAAATTTAGGCCAGATCGACGGATCTTCAGATCTTTAAAGTACTAAAGCATATTTAGATATTTGCTTGATTGAAATCCTTGCAAATCTTTTGACGGCTTTTTCTTGTTTTTGATGGCTTTTTATTCTTCACTAATTCATACTTAGCTTTATACTAGTTTTTGCGGCTCTTAATGTGTGAAAAATCACAACCATCTTGTGCATTATTTAAATGTTTTGTTTTGTGTATTATTACGCCCTTTGTGCACGGAAAAATAACCATCATCCTTTTAAATAATTCATCGAATCTTTAGGCCATGCAGCTACATTGCTTCATCCAAATTATCTTTCATTCAAGGGGGTATCTTCTTAAGATATCAACTATATCGTTTAAAACTGTTCACCCATGAAGTTAACTGTTAGTTTTTCATCGATTTCCTGCATTCATGACAGAATTCAATGAAAAGGTTTAACGTGATGTTAAGATAGTTCTTAATCGGGCATTGTTATCTCGAATTAACCTCGAAGCAGAACTGTGTGATATTTAAATATACGATGGTAGCTTAATGGAATTAAACTTTTTTTAATTGCATATAATTACTAAAATCTTTTTCATATGTATAACTTCACGGTGCACTGTATAAAGATTTCTCACATGTATAATAATTCTTTGGCGGTGATCCCCTTGTAGGGCGTGCCGACTTGCCAGGGTCATCCCCAATGGTAGAACCCATTTCAGCGCGGGGTGATATTTCATTCTGGGCTGTGTATGGTGAGTAATTTCACCTTCAAATAAATTGGAATGCCATTACATAATGTTATCACAACCGATATCACAATTTTACAGTGCAATTATGGCCTTGGTAATTTCTTGTATTGACATTGGTGTAATTAAATTGATATCCGAAAATTTAGGTTTTTTGGTAGCGGTCGTTAGTTTTCCAACTAAGGTGCCCTAAACTGCGTTACGCTACTGTTCTTCTACATAACCTTGGTTTTTAGAAAATCGGTCTTTAAAATAGTCATGACATCATTCTCATAACACTCACCCAAAAGTATCTGTGTATCATACGCGTAGGAGATGTAATGGTTGTGAAGACTGCAGCCCTTCTCATCAAGCAAAACTTATTGAATTTAAGGCCCCGTTCGGGAAGTTGTCTCAATGAGCAATAATATTCGGACAAGGTCATCTCACACTATCAAGTGTAATTACACACCTGTCTAAGGGTCTAGAAAACTGACCCTTACCTCTGACATTTGATTCCAATTTGATTCCCCTTTTCTTTGAAACCAAAGAAAATTTATACCCTTTTCCCTGAAATCAAAGTTGAAATAAGGCCAAACATTGAGAAATTAGAAACTGTATTAAGATTCCCATATCATACACCCTTTTTCTATTTGCTATGTCCTAGATATATGACAAAATTGAACCCATTTCTATATTGAAGAGTGGACCCGCCGGGGTCCATACTAAGAACCTCTGTACGTTTAGCATCCACCACGGCCATGTTGTCGATTGATTTTTCTGCTATTGTTCGTCAGGAAACATCGGGAAACGTCGTTTTCATTTTTGCGTTTATCGGGGATAATCGCCAATGCTTCCAAAATTCTAATATCACAATTATCGGGGACTATTATAGGCCAACGGGAAACTGTATTGTCGACGATTGCCATAGAGTTTAAATATACAAGTACCAGACAAAAGCTTAAGCTCCTTCAAAGACATGACATTTATGCAATACTGTATTCCACATTTTAGGAACTGCCCATTTATTGGGTATACCAAAATACTGCATTATTTTGCAGCTTGCTTTATAGCAGGGCTAGCGTGTCTAGTGTGAGATTAAAGCCAAGAAGGGAATAATCCACTCCTGATTGGCCATTCGGCGTTCTACCATGTGGATTTTCATTCTGTACTTTGACACATTTTCTTTGCTTTTGATAAAGAGTTTCAAAGTTCTTGAACGTGCCAGTGCTAGCCCGGAATACTCTGGTTTCTGGTTAGCCATTCAACAAGCATTGCAGAACTGTTACTAGCATGGTAATGCGGCTTTCCGCGATAAAGATACCATGGTTATAGAGTGAAGCTGTTATGAATGCCAATAAACAATGTTGCGTTTCCTTATGCACAGAATTGTATTGTAATGAATTGACGTTTCAGTTTGTCTGGGGTATGTCTTTGTGGGGATAATCGCTCATTGTCGCATTTGAGATGAAAATCTAACATTTCTGTGCAACTGACTTGTCATTTGACGTAACGTGCCAATTCCCGGTACATATTGACTTCCATGGACCTCCAAAAAGAATGGTAAATATTTCCTGGACCAACCCAAAATTTTCATGTTAACAACTTGATTTCATTTCTTTAGTCCCAGATATCAGAAAATGTCTGTTTTGGGGGTTCTTGAGGGGTTCACAGTAACCCCATCTGCCTTTCTGACAGTTTAACTTTAGTTTGTCCAACTGGTTCAAAAATAGCTCTGTTAGTGACGTAATTGCGTCCCATGATGCACCCATTGTCTGCTTAAACCTATAGATGCTTTGGTTTTATATTGATGATTTCATTGCCAAACTCTTTTATAGCCGCTCGATATTCCTGTAGACATGACTTCGAACTACATGTTGTTGCTTTTGGTGTACCATGGTGAGATATGTCAGACTATCTGCCCCATGTATGCCAGTCTACAAAAACTTCATCTATTATTTGTATTGGCCAGACAATACATTATCTATTTCTGCAGTAATGCAAGCCAAAAGAAGCTCGAGAAAGTAAACGAGAGGGCCCTACGATTAGCCCGCTCAGACTACACTTCATCGTATTCTAAACTTCTAGTCAAGGCTAAATCTATAACAATTCATATTCACTCCATTCGGCTGCTAGCACTAGAAGTTTACAAAACTTTGCACAACTTGAATCCAGCCTTTATGAAAGACTACTTTCTCCCAAAACCCAATAGCTATAATCTTCGAAAAATAGATACTCTATCTGTTCCAAAGATTAAAACGACAAGTTATGGTATTAGATCTATTAGCTTGTTGGGTCCAAAGATTTGGAATTCTCTTCCAAATGAAATAAAATCATCCAAAAATGCAAGTCAATTCAAAGTTCTTATAAAAGATTGGTACTTCGAAAATCAATGCGCCTGTAACGCTTGTAGTCAATGACTTCCATAATGCAATCTCTTAAATTGCTTCATGTTAGTGTATATTATTGTCAAACTAACAATAAAAAAGGTATTATTATTATTATTATCACAAGACCAGGCTGTTTGAAATATGTTTGGCAGGAGGATTAAATGCACTATGTCCCGACGCGTTTCGCTGACCATTTAAATTCCCATTGGTTAGACTATATAATAGACCTATTGTTTAAGAGACAATCTGCCAATCTTCTATGTTTTGTCGATTTTAAACACACTGCAAGCCCATTGTTAACTCTGAATGCCTGACTGACAGGGTATAGTGCCTTTAATTAATAATTTCATAGCTGTTATAATCTTATCTTAAGCGCTACCCCTGATATTCCGAATATCTTATTTTCATCCTACTCTCGTAGCTTCTTGCCACCATTGCTTTTTCCAAGTGAAGTTCTACCTGTGATGTTTAGTAGTCTTAACGGATGCTGTTATCTACAATCATTTGCCATGGATGATTTTTAAACCGAGTAAGCTGGTGGCTTGTCAAATACTCTTATCTCAATCTCGACTTAAATCCTCAGAGTATTTGATTAAAGAAGTTGTTTTTCAACTTGCAGGGATTTAATTTCGATAATTTTCAAATATTTAGGTTTCGAGAGGATTCTGGCAGGGGATTTGATTTGAAGTTGGTTTTGAGTCCCCCTGTTCGACTGGAATTTCACAGTTTTCAATTAACCTCGAGGTTCTAAGTATATTCTCACTTGCTTTCTTGCTAAGCTAAGTACAACAAGGTCTTGTTTAAGTAAAACGGAAAACATCCAAGTGTCGGGAAGTCTACAGCATCCCCATTTGAAAATCTTCCACTGGAAACACACACGAAATTATCTCTAGCTTAAATTTAATATTTCGAAAAGCTTTTGATCGATTATGCATAATTAAGCTTAGCAAGAGTTTTCATGTAGCCAATCAACTTGGCTGCATTAAGAATAGCAAGTAGACACCCCCCGTGCTCGTGCAGTGTATCACCGAAGAGCACTTAGATATCAACATAGAACAGGTGACACAGTTGCTATAACTTTCCTTGTTCCAACGAAGTTGCTTTCATGCTTTTCCAACTCAATGCTGAAGATGTTGCATGTTAGATTCAGTTTCATATCAGGTATTTCTACTTTTACGTCATTTCGATATTGGCACTACCCATGATTCAATTCGCAATAATTACGTCAGTTTATTTGGCGGATTCGTTTTCATGCAAGTGTTATCAGAAATTAATGCTTTTATAAATAAGGGCGAAAGCTATCTTCACGCTTAATAGACTAATTTGTCGTCTTGAAATTCAAGTTTTTAATCTTAAGGCTACTAAGTATGTAAGTATAACTAAGTAAGTATAAATATAAAAAATTACGCAATTTCATCTAAAGAGGTCGTTGCTTTATGAAATTCTTTAAACTGATATTCTTTCTAAGACAATATTGCAGGTATGGATCTTAGAAATTATTTAGCCTTGATGGTAGATGGAAATCAAAACGCTAATTCTTTATAAAGCCTTCAATTTCTATCAAAGTTGCCACTTAAAAGTATCTTTTACTATAAACCAATGCGAAATGTTTTATAGACCTGCACTTTCTTACGAACTGAACTTCAAAACGATAATTAACATCATCTATAACAGGCAAATCTCCTTGTAATCAATAATTATTTAAAATCCCGCTTTCTGATCCTTCTTCGAATATTTTCCAACTTTTTTCGTATTATTTCAGTACGTTAGTTGAATCAAAATCGGCCACATTACGAATTGCGAGTTCTTCTTTCTCTCAACAGCTGCTCTACATATTCAAGTGACATTAGAATTCTTTTTTTTCTTTTTTTAAACGAGATAATTTGAATGGGCAATGTTTGGATATAGCTATTTTGATAGAAGTTAGCTGCACTTACGAAAAGCTAAGAAAATGAATGCAGATTTATTTACATTGGGAAATGTAGTACAGGGAAGTTCTGAGCCGGTGACACGCAATTATAAATTTGGATATTTTTGCACAAAGTCCTTTCTATTGGTTATGTGAAGAACACACTGACTGAATTTTTTTAACGACTAACCATATCAACCCAACACAAGTGAATAACAACGCGATAAATGCAAATAGACACAATTCTGCTTCATGTATTATCAAATCGATGTCATGGATTGATTCCGATATTTCTATGTTTCAACGTATATAACAAAGGAGATTTTTCTTTGATTGATGTGATTAAGAACCGGTCATTCAACATGTACCCTTAAACTGTATGTCTGCAGTGTTTGGGACAGCATAACGTTTTGTTGGAACGTTTTGTTGAGAAGAAAGAAATCGCTCCTTCGCTTCTCCGCTCCTCTCTTCTATTTCCACCCTCGTGTTCATCTGGTTCTGATACCCAGAGGGCTTGGGCATTGTGTTTTTAGCTTGTACCAATGATTATAAAGGATTTAGCTATAAAGGAAATAATGCTTGAAATATCGTCATTCTAGCTGTCCATGCTACTGCCGTTATGGCAGATGGCCTAAACTTTCTTCGATTCGCTTCTATTCTTTGCTTCTTGCATCCATGTCCAGCCGACTCTCTTTTTTGTTATACAATATTATTTCTGTTTCTTGATCTTGCATATGTCAAACTCTACGTGTTGAATGCATAACCCCCAGAATTGTCGTCACTGTTAATATATTTTTTGTTTATGGTATTTTACAGGACAAGAAAGAGATCTGACTGCATTTGAATTGTTTCGTGTTGTTATTACAAAATTGAGGTTTTCAAAACTTAATCTTCAAATATTCATACTCCACCTTTTCTATACTTTATAATATAACTATAGTTTAGATGAATTTGTCACCACTATCCATTACCACTTAAGGACAATGGCACCTTTTCTCTCATAAATGGTAATATCATAACACTGATTAGGTTATAATGATGCGGCAAAGTAAATGTCATTTCAAAGCAGCAGGTGAAAGTCATCAGAGCTTTTCTGTCAGTCGAATGGAAACGTGAAAGTTTGAATTTTGTTGTTTACTGGAAATTTACTAACCAAGGCTTTAATTTGCACGGGAAGGAACAGAACCCAGTCGATTAAATGGGCTGAAAGTACAATGACGTCAGAAAAGTTGACATCCTCATAAGGAAGGTCAAACTAACTAAGTTATGAACTTAACGCAAAAAAATGAATGAAATACAACGATCAAAATTACTAGCTTTTTAGCTAGCTAACGAACGAAAGAAACAACAAATTTATGGAATACCTAAGTAACTTACTAGCTAATTAAGTACTTAAGTAATCAACCAATTAGCTTACTAACCAATTAGCGATCTAACTAGCTTGCTAGCTAAGTTTCCAATTATAGCTCTAAGTTACCCTTGAAATTCTTTCATCATATAACTGCTTACTGTAAGTTGTAAGTGAAAATTGCTGTTATGATTTTCTGATATTCATTAAGCCTGGTTTCCATATGACGTTTAGGATCTTTGTCCGTATAACGACGGCGACACGACGGCGACACGACGGCGATGCCCTGTGAACACATGACCTGCACTAGCCAATCAACAATCATTATGAACCGTTATGTCTGTTCGTCACATGAAGTTTGTCAGTTCGAAAAATGGCGCAGCAACAGGATAACATTAGTGATGAAACTTTGATGAATGAGATTCGAAACTACCCTGTTTTGCAGGATTAGGTCTTAGGGAATGCAAAGAGCAAAACCTTCCCATCTGTAAAAGTTTTCTCGTTAAGGTCTGTAAAGGTTTACTCGGTCGTGCAGGTTCGTTTCGTGAAACAATATGTAGAACTGGTCAGATACCTGGCGTTGGTGGTAAATTTCCCGAACCAAGAATCTATGTTTCGTTTGAACAGCATTTTTCCTCTAACCCTAAAGGCAGGGGGCTTGCCAAAGTAGGGGGGGGGGGGGGTAAATGTAGCCAGGCCAGAAGTTATATGAAAAATAAAAGAGCACGCTTGATTCGACAAATAACAGTTTAGTTGAAGGTTATCGATAGAGAATATCACCGAAGCAAAGAGCTCGCACAAACCGAAAAAAGACTAAATTCTTAGAGTGTAGAATGACCTGGATTTAGATCATAAATCTAAACATAACGCAAAATTCCATCAAGATCATTTGAAAAAGCGGAAGCATATACGATATAAGGTGGTTGGTGTTCCAAAAAATCCATTCGTTGCCACTTGAAAGATACAAACGCTGGCTGGAACTGAACCTGATAATGTACCAGTGCCACTCGCACAGAATGAAGCCAATGGGCCTCCTATAACAAAGAAACCAACGCTAGAGACACTTGTCATGGCAGCAAGTATCATTGATGCCAATGTAAAGAGCAACACAAGCGATAACGAAGGTGGTAGCTCTTCAAGCAGTGACAATCAAATTGCACCATCAGAAATTGAAAACTCAATGAGGCTGTATATTCAGAACTACAGGTAAACATTTTGAGCCAAAATCTAATTGTGATATGAAAATTGCTTCAGAACGATGATCGGAAGTAGTTTATGATAACAGATATTTCAGCCAATAACTGTTAATGAGTTTAAACCTTATAATACAGTTAATTTATTATTTCTGGAACTGTCTAGGCTTTTTCTTGAGAAATTTCATCTTCTGAACGATTGTTCTAGTAGGTTTGAGCTTACATTATCAGTTTTATACATAATTCGAGAATGGTTGGATCTAAATCAAAATGTTACCATTACGTGAAATTCTTGCAAGTTTAGATTCTTGCAAGTCTGTCTTTATTGATTCCGGGAACATATAAATTGATGCAGTGAAGCAGAAAAATCGATGCAATGGTGCACATGCGAAATGATGAGATTGCCGTCAAAGGAGTGATTGGACAAGCGAGCGAGAAATGTGAATCTTTGGTGAAGATGCTGAGTACGAATTTGGGAAGAAGCATCGACCCCGTCTACCTCCAGCAAAAAACAGAGAATACTCATATTCCCTGAACTTTTCTTAGGACTATAAGCAGGAGATGTATAAAGTACTTGATCGCTTGATCGCAAATTTGGCAGAAGTGAGGGATTATTTGCTCAGCATTGCGTTGCCAGTTATGACATTGCGACCGCCGAATATCACGAATGCTTCCATGGAAACAGTACAGAGCTTGTGCAACATGTTCCCTGATGATTTAAAAGACAACGAGGCGTCAATGGCAGAGATTGAGTTGGCAGATGGATCTATTTGCAGGAGCGAGACACAGAATTTATCCGAAGCTGTGAAATGGTTTGTTGGTAAGTCACATATCTGTCAAAATCTCTCGAAAGCGTATCGGATAGCCCTGATTGTTCCAATACCTGTTGCAAGCAATGAACGAAACTTCAGTAACCTCAAGCTAATAAAAGGTTTCCCCCGTTCGACAATGAAAGAATAACGTTTAGACTATCTAATGGTAGCTGCATGTTCCAGTGACATTTGAGATCGTTTGGGTCTTGATGAAGTTGCAGATGGCTGGTCAATTCTAAAAACTAGAAGAATAAAGATATAAATCTATACCATGCAGGACTATATGTTGTTTTATGTATCGATATAATTTAATGGTGTGAATATTTTCCTGACCCTGACCTTCCAGACATGGGTATTTTGCAAGTAATCTGCCAAATTTCAATCCAGTTAAAAACAACAAGATAAGTTCAGTTTGCAATTTTGTTATATCCAGCTTAGACACAAAGGAACCACTACGGCACTAGAGTGTAAAATTTGTGCGCTATGATTAACTATCTTTAATCAACCCAGTCGGTAAATTTCTCATGTTACACCCCCCCCCCCACTCAAAACTCAAAAGCCCTTCTGCACACCACTGCCTAAAGGCTGAAATACACGATCAGTTTTTACTGATCAGTTTCAACTTCACAGATATTCGTCAGTTTTGACTGATTGATCTACTCGTTTACCAATTATTTTTCTGCCATCAGTGGAAACTGCCAGTTTAAACTGATCGTATTTTAGCCTTAATTTAAAATAAGTTTACATTGTATTCGAAGCAAGCGACACTTGTCGAATGCAACTGCCATTTTGACATATTAGGAGGCCGTCGCCAATGATTCGAGTTTGCTGAACAGAATCATCAGCGATGCATCGCCGTGATGTGTCGTCGATATGTCACACATTTTGTTATTGTTTAAGTCACTCTTTTTATTTAATAACTGTGCTCAACAAAGTTTTCTTTTTTTATATTTTCAATCCAGTTTCTAAGTGTAACAGATTTAATTTTCTCTACTTAGCCCACCCATGAGCACTGCATATAACAAGATTTAGACCTAGCAAAATGGTGCCGACTCCCCCATATGTTGTAATACTGACTGCCCCCTTTTTGTTATACATGGTTCTCTACCATAAAGACAAAATATGCAAAACTGAGCAGTTGGAAAATGAATCGTGTTCAGAGATTTTTTTCTATTCGGTATAAAAATTACCAAAAGACAGTACGTATGAACTACTAAACTACAGTACAAGGACGGAACTCAGGAGGAGCAATATAAAATGACTGCCCCCTGGGATATAAATACTAATAGAACAATATCTGATGCAAGCAAAATTGGCCATGTTCATAAAGATTTATCAAATCCAATGTTAAGAGATCATCGACATAAAGCATATGCAGACTGAGGTAACTTGTACTAGGTTTAGATAGCAAAACAGAAACGATTCATCGAAAAATGATAAGGTGCTCTTAATATTTAGAGGTGGTCGTTATTTAGAGGTGGTCGTTAGCTAGAGGTGGTCGTTATTTAGAGGTGGTCGTTTTTTAGAGGTGGTCGTTATTTAGAGGTGACAGTTGAGTAAAACTGACAGACAAAGGGAGGTATCCTTGAAGAGAGGCTGTGCCAAGTATCATATTTCCCCCTGTAGATTATATAAACCAAACGGGGTCTTTTTTTATCAGAACTATATTATACCCCACCCAGGCAATACCCAATATTTAAGCAAATGAAGAGGGGGGCAGTCCGAAAAAATTTAAGGTGCTCCAAAAGGCATCAATAGGACGTAACAAATTTAGGCTAAGAACCACCGATGCTTAAAGACGTCAATGTAAATTTGTAGTGTTAAATGTAAAACTGCCACATGGCGCAATAAAGAAACTTGATTAAAAATCTTCCAAATCTTTAATTTGTCATCTTGAATTCACAACATAATGACCTCAGTGTTTTGATGAACTCTGTAAATTTTAGTTTCGACCTTCAGAAGCAAAATTTCAAAACAAAGCAAGCTACTTCCAAGTAAGCTTAAAAGAAATTCTTCAACTCGGTGAACTCTCAGTAGTACGAAAGCATACGAGGTGAACACTTAAGGTCAATCAGGTCAGGGTTTAGGGGTCAGATTGGAAAACATCAGCTACGCGTTAGCGAAAATTGTCACGAGAGAATTCTCAAAAGATTGCTGCCACGCGCCCCAGTTCATGCTTTCGAGTGGCATAGAAACACCTTTATAAATCATGGAATATCACAGGTCCTTAGCAAGTCAGAAGGTGTTTGCATAAAGCAATTTTGATATACATCGCCTACACACAGCTTTCTTGAACCGCTGTTCTGAAGGTTTGTTTATGTTATTTGTATATTGGCTCGATTTTCGTTTTGCTTGTCATTTAGCCTAAGTTCATGCTAGGTAAGTCGCCAATTACAGGTCTTTTGAAGACTGAAGTTCAATCAGAAATTGTTACCAAAGTTTTCTCTCGTGTTGTTAACGCAGTGTTTTGCTTCTGTACCTTCGCAGTCGGAAACAGATAATTTAAACGAGATTTATCCCAACCCTTTGGTAAATTGGATCCGGACCTAATTGTCCTAGCTTAGAGGTTTTATTAAAGACAGACTCCTAGCGATATCCGTTCATATTCCAAAAAGCGAAATCTCTCAAGATCTCAAAATTCTCTTACTGGCCATCCTCTGGTTTCTGTTCCCAAAGCCACAGAAACATTTTCTAAATCACCTTGCGCTTATTCGCTGCACAGGATTATGTCGTGGTTCAGGTACATTGGTTAAGTAGAGCCGTGCTTATCGAAAAACGTTGCTTCGGCCTTATCTGTGTGAAATCCCATAACCACTTCGCTGTTTCTTGCTTTTCGCTTCAGCTTGAGCATTGCGGACAATCGACCACCATCGCAGAGGTCACGAGAATCTCAGTATGGCCCAGTGCAAGTACAATGGCGCCTCTCCTAAAACGAGCCGTGACGAAGATGGAGCTCTGAAGGACAGATTCTGTAAATTCATGGAGTCTCTTGCTCAGAGGCTGAAGCGTGATGGCCTTCGACTTTTCCTGCTCGTTCTTGCCAATGGATTCTATCTGTATGTTGGTGGGATGATTTTCTTCTTGCTTGAGCGGAAAGAAAGACCCAGCATAGACAAAAGAAGACAGGTGACAACATTGATCAATGCAATTACTTCGGTAAGAATGAAATCTAATTACCATTTTTTGGCTAATTAGAAGTTTTTAATAATTTTTTAAGGCATGTCAACCTGCAATTTTTGAAAAATTCGATCAGAATTTCTGTTTGCTAGCTTAATATTCTTAGTTTATAGCTGATACTGAACGTGAATTTTACTGTTCTTGTAGCTATCCTGTCTTTTTTATGACAATAATAAAAGTAGCTCATTATAGTTGAATCAGTTTTATAAGTAAACGATTTTAAAAGATTCCTATGTTTCGGTAAAGCGTATATACAAAAACAAATAGCTGAGAACTTCAATGACAATCGAGACAAAGATCGTCTATTTTCGTCTTTAGCAATTGCATTTTATTGCTTTTATTCATTTCATAATGACGTCTAACAAAATAATATATAATCTCAGTGCTACGTTTCACATTTTTCATTAAGTTATTAGTTCATGCACGCCTTTATCAATTATCACATTCATTCAGCACTTTGTCATTGCGCAAATACACCTATTTTATATGCCCTGGTTCAATAAAAGCATACTTTTTGTTATATTCATGATTAATTCAAGTATGATTATCATAGAACTTCAGCAAAATTTTAAGAAGATTTGTTGTTTACACTCTTTTTGCCGACACTTTCAGAGCGAGCCGCAGCTCGGCAAATTCCCGTTATCTCCACTGATTTCCTTTTAATGCTTATTCTCGATTGACATCTTTCGTGGACAAAGTTTTGATTTTACTGTCACCCGACCTATACCTACATCATCTTTGTGATTTTCTTTTTTGATAGCATCTCGGCAAATACTTTCTAGAAACCATCAACTTTTATTGATCATAAAAACCCGTTTTCAAGATTTGGAAAGCAATTTCATCTCTGTGTTGACAGCTGGTACTTTTTATAAACATACGCGAAAAATGTTTCCTAAACAGATTACTGGTGTATTGTAATACAATAACTCGATCCTATTTCAACGCCTTCTGCAAAAGTTAGCCACCTATAGACTCAATGCCACACACAGCATATTTAATAACCCACAGCTCTGTTGCTATGAAGTTGCTAGGCAACGTTCTATTAAAGCAAACATGCATCAGTTTCAAGTGCTGTAGCAAACACGCGTTTAGCTCTGTTTTATGACGCACGTTTGAAACTTGGGCTTAATTGCATTATAATAATATTAAACTGAGTGTTTTAAATCACTGCCGAAAGTCTTGGAATAATGTTAACTTATTTTTTCACATAAATCCATTCCTACATCTCCCATTGAAAAATATTTTCTTACTGCTATGTATAGGTGTGAAAATCAATGGTGATTGGTCTGTCATAAAGTGCTCGATGCCGTATAGATAGAGCTGTAAACTCTTTTTAAGCTGTGCAAAATAGGACGTTTTTAAGCTGGTACACTCGCCAGTTTAATGGAAAAAAGACTGGAGAGAAAAATTTTTAAACGTATTGACGAACAAGGAAAATTTGACATATCAACTATACTTTGCGATGGAGACATACCTCGAAGCTCGCAGTAAAGCTGTCTGTTACAGGTAGACCCTCACCCCCCACCCCGCACTCCGATATAATTGAACGTTATTGCCCAAAGATGAGCTAATCGTAATTTCTTTGGCTGATCGTAATTTCAGACAATTTCTGTCCACCTTAACGAAGCATTTGGTTTTCCATTATATATTTGGAAGAACAGAGAAGGTATATGTTGTAAAGCCTTCATTGTGTAAAAGTATTAAATTTGCAGATTTGAATTTGCAGAACGACAACTCAATCATTCTTCCGAATTGAGATTTTCTGGTATGAAAGTTTTTTGAATAGAAATGGACGCAGCACAGATCTTTGCTGGACAGCAAAGTAATTGAATGCAGCCATAAGTATGCTAAATAGCCAAGTAAGGATTATCTCGATATAAGTGGGATAACAAAAATTGTACGCATCTTCTGTCCACTATATTTAACTGTAAGTAATAATGAACTGTTTTTAGTCAAACTTAAGACAGGTTAGTGACATATGACGTCAGAAGTAAGAGCAAAAACAAAGTAGTAGGTTACGAAGCACTAAAAAGATTTACTGCTGTGACTGCCACGCTGTAGTAAACTACGGTAAATTGCGCATACTGTAATATTTCTGAATATCAATTGATGAAGTTTGTTTAAATCTTTATTCAATATCTTTGCCAATTTTAATGTATTGCCATTAATTTTTGTCATAGGAAGTGAATTTTAGCAACGATTCAAATCGAACTCCGTACAACCAGTCATTTGCTGTGAATCTAACCAACAGCCAGATGGCTCGACTTGAAACGATGCTGGAGAATTACTTTGAAGAAAGCCATGAATCTGTAGGGTCGAAATGGACCATGATGAATTCAGTTTTCTTTGCCTCAACTGTTGTTACAACCATTGGTAAGTATCATATTATTTAAAATGTTACCAGATATATCTCGATGGCTCTGATTAGCACAGCTATGCGAAATTTTTCAGGTTCAACTCCCTGCCCTCTTTTTAGGGCAATTATCTTTCCTAGCTCTTTATTCTTTGAATATCTATCGTAAAACATACTGATTTAGAAAGTGGAGAAAATGGTTTCTCAAAACAAAGAGTCAAAACATGTACCACTCTAGCATCTCTTAATCCAGTCATAATGCTCATTTTACCAATGTCAGAACGCACTGTAGCAGTAAGTAAAAGCACAAGAAAACAACATCATTTCATGCTTTTACTGACAACTTCATCAAGTTAAGGATTTAGGAATTGAGTATTCAGAAACGCAGCTATCAGTCAGGATACATTTGTTGTTTATTCATCAACTTTGCTACTGTGGGACACTCAACTCTTTTTCTTGTGACGTAATGCCCATCATAGATTTTCAATTTGATGCCTAAAATATTTTGTCTAGGGAGGTTACCTCTATAATATTACCTCTACATTCTTTGTTCGATTATCTGATGGGTCTATTTTATGATATACAACTGGGTTTATATACTTCCTATAATTAATGCTAAAGCTTATTTGAGCATTACGATACTCACGTTGACAATTTGAAAATCCTAGGACTTAACTACCATTCCAAGCCATCGAAAGTCTCCCTCCCCCTTCCCCTCCGTTGATTTCCTAATTAGATGAGGCCGTGCTTCCAATCCTAGCTAGATTTTCACTGGATATTGGTATTAAACAATATTGTAATGGTAGAAAGAAGAAACAAATTTAAAAAACTTTAAAGACATTATGTTGAATGTTTAGGTGTTCGAACAATTTTTGCAAGGGTTATAGCTTTGGATATTTGATTATGTTTCTGATGTTTTATACTCTAAAGAGTATCAGATTATAAGCTGAAATATATTTCAAAATTTTGCTTTTCAAAGGCATTTTTAAATTTAGAGCTATTTGTACCACCAAATTTGTTTGAAAGAAGTTGAACAAAAGCTTGTAAGTTTAGAGACATAAATGAAAGGAAGGTCAACTTACTTGAAAATCTAATCGTACATATAAAAATTTAATGACTTGATGAGCTGTTTGTTCAAAGTACTTATATTTTTACTTAGCAGCAAAGAAAGATGGGGATGCTTTATATTTAAGCACAGGATGCATCGCGTTTTTCAGGATTAACGGGACCAATATTGCTATCTATCTGCAGACAGCCAAAAATATGATAAATAGTTCCTAAAATGAAAGTGCATAACATTTTTGTGCAGTTCATGATCCATAAAACAAATACACTGATTTATGCCTACTCAGATATTTGAGGAAACAACTCTTTTACCAATGACCAAAATTGCAGTAGCTTGCTAATCATGATAAAAATGACGCCAATTTTTGCACTGAACGACCTGAAGAAAATCCTTTTATGCACATTAAACATTTTGAAATCGATTTTTTTAAGTAAAGAAACTGCTGCACGTGCTAAATATATTGATTTACGGCCAGATAACAGAAAAGTTTGGAAAACTAATGTGAAAAGCCATATGAGATACGTTTTTAGTTAATTGGCAAAATAAATGATTGTAAAATCAGCATGCTAAAAAATTGAGTCGAAGAAAAGTAAATTTGAACAAAATGTCAAAAGCTCATTTTCTAATGTAAGAAAATACCATTTATATAAAAGCTTTGTTAATCGACACTGCTCTACATTCTTTATAACTGATTTCAAAATATCATCCTGATTTCAAATCTGATTTTGATAAAGGGTAATTTGTGAGAATTTGAAGGAATGAATTTTAAACATTTGATGGGTTCATTTGCAATGGAAGGCTTGCAGTATGTTTTATAAGGACATATCGCTTCTGTGATTTTTTTAACATTTTAAATTAAAAGGAAGATTAAAGTTTCTATAGTAGATGCGATGAATTTCTTTTTGATTAGCTGGATAGTAGCTCTAAAGCTATCTCCTTGGCAATTAGGTTTCATGAACGATGGAGATTCTTTCAAACATTGTTCATCACTAGGATACTCCTGAACATGGGATTGTCAAGCCATGTGCTTTAATACTGTTGCGGTTTTTTTCACACGTGTCCTAGTGAAATTGTCTGAAATATCATAATATAAAACAGGAGTGCTACAAAAGTCAGGAGAAGTACAACTAACTCACGAAGAATCTGATGAAGAAAATTTTGTTCCTATTTTAAGTGTTTCTGCCGACCAAATATTTACCGATCTTTAAGAACAACAAACCAATTTGTGGACCAACTACCAATTTCTCCCAATTTTTATTCTACCGACCAACTAAATATGTTGCCCAACAGCTAAATAATACATGTGGCCCTTCATGTAAAGTATTTTAGTGAAAAGTAAATTAAATCAAGGAAGTTTTGATAAGATACATAGAATCAATTTAAGAAGAGATAAAAAGACTCTGTACCCTTGGTATCAAAGCCTCTAAAGAATCGAGTCGAGCAATTATCCCAAGTGAATCCAAAATCAAACTCAAACTTTTCATTAGCATGAATAATTACCTAACACATTGTATTGCACAGGGCCCTTATTGATAACAGCACCTTTGTTGCTGAAAAGGCAATCCTGTATAAATAATTATAGTATCATCATTATTATTAGTAATGGATGGTATCAAGATGAATAATAGAACCAAGATAGTCCAACCCAAAGTCCAAGATAGGAAACGTAGTTATAGCTACTGCCTGGTTACAGCTTCAAACCCAGACAGTAGGTGCCCATTGTAGGTGTCAATCGGAAGCTGTAGAGAAAACTAGCTTTAACAGGGCAGAAAAGCAATTGAGGGTATATATAAAGAAGCAACCCATTAGCAAGAAACCCTTGAGGGACATCTTTGGGTGTTAACTCGGCATACCCACTTTTAATGGGCGCTCCAACACAGTTGCTAGCTTGAAAGACATACTATAAAGAATCATATCAAAAAAAATTTTGCTGGAATTCACTTATTTTTGTAAGGTTCAGTGGCTTCTGGTTCATTACTAGCTTTCAAAAGTAAGCGAGTCAGCTTTTCATTGTATACTCTTGTGACAATCTTAATTGCAAAATTATACATTGTTACACTTTCTCATCTTTTAGGCTACGGAAACCTGGCACCACAGACGGGCTACGGCCAGGCGTTTTGCGTCATCTACGCTGTGTTTGGAATTCCACTAACGCTAATACTACTTGCTAAGGTTGGGAAAATCTTGGCCAAGTACATAAACGATTTATGTGGTTTGGTCGTGCAAAATTTGAGGAGGTATTTTTACCCAGACTACACATATGAGAGGTAACCTATTTTTGTTTGCTTCAAAAGACCGTAAATTCTTTACAAAAAAGGGCAAGTGGATTAGTCAAAGAATCGAATTTTTTATCCGCTTATTTTCTGCTATGAGGATTCCTAAAATCTAGGCTTCTGAAATTCGTTGGTTTGTGGCCAAAGATTAGAATTGTCGACCCAAAGATTATTGGGTAATTGAAAATTGATTAAAATAATCGTGAAATGCGTGCAGTTTTTAAGCCAAAAAGCTACATTTTATGAAACATCTCAACTGAGGCTGTGATGTTTGATTTCCAATGCAAACGATACCACTATTTTAAGTCTCATTTGGATTACACCGAGGATTCTGAAATCCCATTGCACTAGGGGCGTTGCCAAACAAGATTTATTTAGCTCAGCAACCAAGCATTTTCGCTGACAACGCCCTTTGGAAGACAGAATTATCCAGTTAGCGAGCAGTATAATAAAATTTGATATTTATTCTGTTAATGTTGCTGTGGAAAGTCATACTTTATTTAGTTATGAATTCAATTGATATTTATTCTATTGATCGATGATTCTAGTAACAATGGAATGATCAAGACATGTTCTTTCTACATGAAAGGCATAAATTATTATTGCTATCAATGATACTATCATTGCTATCAATGATTTTAGATTTAAAATGTCGATTGTTTAGACAAATATCATACAAATCACACGTAAAAATGCATTTCCCTATCCTCATTGTTGCTTTTTAGCAAACCAACATTGCTTCAAGGCGAAGAGGGGTTGACTCCCACAATTTTCCCACAACTGAGTGACTTAAGTGTTGTAAGAATTTTCGCAGGTAGTGAAGCATATTATAACAGGGAAAGAGAGTTTTTTTACTTTTCACATGGTGCTCGTATCAGTAGAGAAGGTTTTTCTACAGCATAAGGGTGATTAATTATTTTGTTTCAGCACCGATGGTGAGACTGACCTAAACGCCCCAATATGGCTCGCAATGGTACTTATTACCATCTTCCTGACTTTCGATGCTGTTGTTTTTATGTTTATGGAAAACTGGTCGTTTGGTACCTCACTCTATTTCATTTTCATCACGCTGACAACAATTGGATTCGGAGACATTGTTCCTCAAAATTCAGAGGTTTGTTACCTTAAAGAATTCTTTCTAGGCACTAAACGTTTCCTCGAAAAGGGAGAAGCACACCCGATAGGAATGAAACATTTCTCGATCGCATTTGCTCAGGGTGTTTGTTGATAATAGGCTGGTGACTTACAGGAGCACAGGAATCTACACTTTTTACTAGCAGATAAAACAGAGAAAACAAGGGAAAACAGTTGACCAGTTTCATGTGACAGAACGCTTTGAAACATTGCTAGATTCTTTTTGCTAGATATTTCTCTTCGACTTCAGAGTCAAGACCAGAATTTAATTCTCAATGCAAGCTTTTGTGTCGTTAGTGCTTGTGATAATGCTAATCCGAGGTCGTGCTAATCGTGCAGAGTAATTTTATGCTGATCAAATGAAATTTTATCAAAGTTAACTTCACGAAGGATGCTGTAGAATTTGATTTCGCTAGGGGTTCTTATTTTAGCTCATTTGTGATATTTTCATTCGGGTGTCAATTTTCATGCTTCAATTTGGTATTTAAGTCCTTATGTGCTTCTTTGATGCCATTGGGATAATAGAGAAAAAGGAGTTTTGTAGTTTGGGCTTTTGCACGAAAGTGTGGGTCCCCTTACTCAGATGGGTGTATTTAATTGCGGTCGGTCGGGATTATCGTGCTTAATTCATATGCTGTTTCCACGCTATTCTCTTCTCCCGTCCCTCCTTCCCCTTTTGATATCAAGCGTAGCGTGTTTCTTCAAATCCTTGTTTATTCTTTTGTAATTAGGCTAGGACCTGTTCACATCACGGGACTCTTTTCAAAGTCCTTGTTATTTTTCGTTTAGGAAAAACTAAGCTCTTAATTCAGTAATTATTTCTCTTCCCCTCTCATACCTTAGGTGTCAAAGGTAGGACTGGTGCATCGGCTTCCTGGTGGGGAAAAGTGGACATTTCTTGTCCATTCCCTGCCCAAAACTTTGAGCTGCTTGTACTTGAGTCTATTAAGCTATATCAAAGGTTAGGTTTTTTGTATGGGTTAAGTGAAGCAACTCGTGCCGATGCACTAACGGCCCAACATCGCTTCCTTGGATGAGGGGATGTAACCTCAAGACCTGATTTGATGAGGGATTAGGCAACGTCTTCTGAGAAAGCTTTCATTTTAAATGATGAAAAGCATTTGTTGTTGCTTTTTCTCCGAGTAAGAAATTAAACATTCTGGAAAAATCTGGGGTAAACTTAGAAATATTGATGCTTGATAAATTTTTAGATTAGCAGAGATGAACCTTTAACTTTACTTTTGCCTCGAAATGCCATTAAGTTTCAAAATTGTACTCAAAATTGTATTTCAAAATGGTACAATATTTTTTGTTTGTGTACATGTTTCTTTATCTTCAAAAGAAAATCATCTCGTAGCACCCAATACTATGAACCTCTCTAGAAATGTACTGCTTTTTACTTTCATTTCAGGCCGTCTGGTTTAATGTCACATTTTTGTACATTGGATTGGCTGCTGTCTCCATCACAATAAACCTTTTCATTGCTAACATATCCATACAGTTTCGCAGACACAAGGACAAATTTAAGCTCGTTCAGCACTTCGAAAGTGAGTTAGATTCAGAGGGAGATTGCGAGACAACACCGTTAACTCGAGAAATGGACTACCCTAAAGACTGCGAGTCTCAAATCGGAACACGAAATAAGAATACAGATATCCCTGGAGATAGCATAGGAAAAGACATCACCGACGTATATGACAGAAAACCCAAGCGAAAAACTTCTAGAGTGCGGTTTCAGACCGATAACTAATACAGTGAGATTTGGTTGGTGGTTTTATATATTCGGAAGTGCTGCGAGGGAGCCTGCGATTGCGCAGGGTCATTTTGCTGACTATTTTCACTGTTTCCATATGACTGTTTAAGAATCGATATTTGGTTTGTTCCTTTGGCGCCAGATAAAATAAACAATATGGATTGGACAGCTGGAGTTATATAATCACCATTAAAAAATGCCTGTATCTTAGACAACCGTGGTGTATACAGACAGCACCAGCCGTCCCAGCCAAGCATTTCCATATAAATGTTTTATGTCGACGACTCCGTCCGCGCCCGGAGGCTCAATCAGTTCAGTTCTTCTCTAATTTTTGTGCCATCTGTCTCACTGCTTGAAAAGGGCATTCTCGTGAAAGATGTGTAAATTTTGAGACAAGATCCGGCACAATTTCAGTCATGCTCATGGCTCTTCCGATTATCATGAAACTAAGCTTATGAAATCGCAATACACATTCGCAATATGACAATCAGGCTTGTGAAGCCAGTAAAATGATACTGCATGCAATGCAAATTGTGTAAACTCAGTTCCGATAAAAAACTTGGAACATTAAGAATCCGTTGTTGCTGTTAGAAAATTAAATCATACTTATAAATATGTTGGTAATAATGTTGCAACGCTATGTAAATATTGAAGAATGAAAATATGATAGACAACAACGTTTCAACTGTGATTGTTCGAAGACATGTTCTTTTTTGCTCAGCAATCTTTGGTCACCACACTTCACCTGTTGGTTACGGACAATGAATATATTGGTTGACGGTTTCAAAAAATTAATGGCAATTCCTAATGGCAGTTGCTTATGTCACAGGATAGAAAGTGGATTAGCTAAGGGCTTAAAGGTGATTCGTTTTCTTCAAGCTATCTTGGAACTTTCTCGTTGACTTCCTTTCCTCTTGGCCTGAGCCAACTTCAACTAACGCTGCTCCAGCTTCTTCTATCAAATCTCCAATATTTTCTTCTTGTTCTTTCTCTCCTACTGACTTATTTACATTTGTTGGTTCCTTTCGTTTAGATCTTATCACAAATTTGTCCATAGCTATTATCACGTCAGCGAGGATCGCACGTTGCTTTCCTCTGATGCTTCCAGCCTCTCCGCAATTATCTAATGCAACAAACCTTATGCGTGAAACCAATAATATAACAAACTAATCTAAAAATTGGTAAAGCACTTCCTTATTTTCCAGGGGGGGGGGCTCAGCCCTCCCTCGGTTTTCGTCAGGAGGGGCTGAAGCCCCAAAGCCCCCCTGAGTTTACGCCTATGCCTGTCAGTATACCGCTAATTGTTAGTTAAAATAACGCAAAGATAACATTCCTACGATCTCTCAATTGTCGTACATTTTATGCTCACCGGGACAATTGGGATACCAGCACATCCATTGTCCAACGAACTAGATGGTAACATTGTGGAGGTTTTCTCTTTCTGGGCAAACGTTCCAAACAAGGCAAATTTTAGGGTTGAGATAAAAATTATACTCTTAAGTGAAGGTCTTACAGCACTTTCAAATCAGAAAAATAGGTGTTTCTCCATTTTATTTTTTAATATACATTTCTGTTTAAGCTTGCTATATGCTGAATAGAATCACGCATGCAAATTGTCTATTGACCAAAGATTGCTTCAAGGTAAATTATTCTGTCGGAACAAAAGTAGTTGCAGACAAAAAAAAGATAGCACACGTAAAGTTAGACGCTAGATACAGAGTTGGAAAGATAAATCAAGCAAAATTTTTAAGCTTGGAGTAATTTCAGCTTTAAGCTTGATCATAAGATATGACATTAAGGTAAAATGCAGCTTTTAGTCAAAACTTTAGAGATAAGATATAGAGAAACTTTGAAAATGAAATCAAAGCTTGATTAAATGAAATGTAGTTACGTTTAATATGTGACAAGGTACGCATTTTCGGTAGCCCTTGGGTTTTTGTTTTTTTTGTTGTTGTCTGCAAACAATCTGTTTTGTTTTTGGCACAGATTGTACGTGTGTATTTACTGTAACAGTGCTAGAGTAAGCAATACATTGTGCCTTTATACAACCAAAGTAACAAGCTTGCAATTGTGCATTGGCCTTGGGTGTATAAGCTTTGTGTTTGCAGACTTCCACGAACGAAAATATATGGTCCAAAAGATAAGAGAACGCCACCTTCAATCTTATGATTGACAATGGTCAAACATTCTTAGGACTATCTTACCCTTATTTGCTAACGGTTTTTGTTTGGTAACCTGGAAAAAATATTAAATCGGCTCTGATCCAAATTTAATGCATAATTAAATCCTTGTATAGTTAGCCAAATATCGGTTTCACTTCAATTGAATTCACTGACTGCAACAGTCTAATAAGGCCTGAGAAAATTGCAATCTGTGTGGCTCGTAATATCCTCTTGTCTGCTCTTGTCTGGACTTCTTGGCAACGTATGAATTGTTTGAAATATGAAACAAATATGTTGGACTCTATTGTTGATTCAATTTTAGGTTAATTTATGTCAATATGTAGTAGTTAGAATAAGAAAAAGAAAACTTGATTGATCGCTCTAAAAATCTCATTTTCAAGTCTTTAATATATTTTTTATTGTTATGAGAAGGCCGAGCCTGAAATACAAACACAGTCAATGCAGACATGTCAGTTTTTTTCTGACAAAAGGCTTCTATACGTAAAATATGCAGGTCTGTGAAGAAAGGTATAAGAGGGAAATAAGGTTTGGTAAAATTCGTAATTGCTCATTAAGTCATTAGGGTCTTTTTGCATTTTGTAGAAAAATTAAAAATCTGTTTTTACGCTGCTCTACCCTCTTGAAACCTAAGACATGCTATTCTCTCATAACCATCCCACTTTCCGTAAGTGATTCACATTTGTACACTGTCTGAAAGGAGGGGGGGGGGCTAGTACGATTAGGTATTTACTCCACTTAGATGGGCTACACGAGGGGCTAAATTAGAATTATATAAGGCATTGTTTTTATTAAATAGGTTCCCAGCCTGGTAATAATTTTCTATCATATAAATTCATGCTCGCGTCGCTTTGTCTGTCAAATGCCGATCTGCCTGTGGTTCATGCTATCTGTTTTCTCCTCCTGAATTTTATCAGAATACTGGACTTGATTTGAAGATTCTCAATTTGTATTTTATTCAGTTACAATCTGTAAAAATGGTTTATAGAAGATATACAGCACTTTTACAGCATAGCAGGTTGTTGTTTTATTTGAAAAAAAATTGAAAACGAAGCTTTTGAAGGTGCGTCCTATGAAAACGAGGCAATGCCAACAATCTTTCTTCCTGACAAGCAAACGCAATAGAAGGTTGTAACAATTAAAGATGTCTTCATTAAAAGATGTTTGCAGTGGATTGCCTCTCGATCCACTTCCACAGAGGCAGCAGCGAGACAATGCAGTACCACATGCACCAGTAAGAACACCAAATTTGAATCCCGACGAGGAAATGGTAAGTAATTTCTTGTAGGCCATCAAAGACCCCTCCAGGCAAGCATCTTGTTGCATAACAACGTGATCGATTGCTTGTATTTATAAAAATATTCATTATCTCACATGACGATCTTCACTTTTTTTTATCAAGCTTGCACTGCAGAATGCATTGAGGTATTTTCCTCCAAGCACGCATGAAGTGTTGGCACCGGAGTTCGCTGAAGAATTGCGAGATTATGGGCATATTTACATGTATCGTTTTAGGCCTAATATTGAAATGAGGTAAGAGACATATGCTGGTATATGATACGTTCGCGTTTAATTGATAAAGTTTTTCTTGTCGAAGTTAAAATATGAATAAACAGTAGTGCCTCAAGCCTTATTGCTCAAGAGACATATCCACTTTTTTTAAAAGTAATACAAAATATATATTTATAGTAAGCTTTTTAGAAGTATGAAAATTGCTCACTCTAACCTGCTTTCATATCCCAGCTAGCTAGATTTGTAATTCATTAGCTGTTTTTCTGGGCTCATGTTTGTCTTCCTGGCAGAACCTTTTTTAAAGAAATGGATATGAAAATTAGGAATATTTGGTAGAAATAGATGTAAAAACTGAAATGATGAAATTTTATGTATAGTTTTGTTATATCAGGGCATATCCAATCTCAGATTATCCAGCGGTGAGCAGACAAGCTGCTTGTGTGATGCACATGATCATGAACAATCTGGATCCGAGAGTGGCACAGGTATTTCCATAACTGTTTCCCATTGTAATTTTTTAACTTCAAAAGCATCAAAATATTCTAAGCTTTTAAAGATATAAAGAAAGAATCTCAAATGGGAAATAAGCTCTTGATATTTTAGTTTAAAATAAATTATTACTCCATTGTCATAAGTATATCTAAGAGAATTCTACATGTAGGTCATTTGAGTTACAGACTTTAGTCTTGTCCTCTACTCTCATCATTTGAGTTTAAAGACTCATTGCTAACACAGAGCCTTTGTGCACATGGCAAAACCAGAAGATGATCCAAACAATGGTGGAAAATTTGTAGGGATCCACCAGAACCTATTTAATTCTGTTTGATACTGTTTGATAATACATTATGGCATGCTTGCTTAGCACAACGGCCCATTGTTTTTTATCTTATGCAATCTTGTTGTGTAATATTTGTTAAGTATTAAATGATTTTTGTATGTAGTGGAATTTTAAAATTAAATGAAAACAAAAAATTAAATATTGTTAGCAACGAGTCTTTAATATTGACAATTGCTTTATTAGTGAAGTATTGATAACAAGAATTTGATAACAAGATACCCAGTTATTTTTCATATGCGATCTTTATTCAAATGAAAAAATATTTTTTTAAATGTATGTAATATAGAAATATTTTTTGTCTTCAAAGGACTCTATCCTTCTCCCAAGCATATCCTTTAGATCTACTATTTGCCAACGCAAACAATTGTGCCTTAACTTATTCCAACCCTACCACTTTCTTTATAGCCTAGTCTGTATTTTTAATTTGTTTAGAAGGATCCTCAAATGGTTCTCTGTTTGCTATTGTTATGCACAGCAGACTTGTTAGACATGTAATCCAATCAGTAATTTATTTAAGAATAGACTACTGCAAAGTAACTGATGGCAATGCAGCAAATTTTCTCTAAGTTATGAAAAATGTTGGAGCCCTACCTTTTCTGTTATTTTGTAAGGTATTTGATCCAAAGGATAAAGGTAAAAATGTGTGTCACACGCAAAATGTCTGTCGATAGTTATTTGAAATATGAATCACAAGTTCTAATATGATTATTGTTGAATATTTTTGTCTTCTCATAGTTTCCTCATGAACTTGTCACATATGGAGGCAATGGCCAAGTTTTCTCAAACTGGGCTCAAGTATGTTTTCTGAAGAATTTTGTACTTTATTGATGAATTTATGAATGTAGCCAATTTGGTTGCAATTTTACAATGCAGATATGCTGTATAACATATTCTCAGTCTACTGTTAATACGTTTTGTAGTGTTAAGCTTTTTGTAGCCTGAATTTCATAAAGTACTAGGAAATTTTGGATGGGAGCATAGTCAAAAAAGTGAAGCAAAAATGTTATAAAACAGAGCTCTAATTTGTATAAATATAAAAAAGGGACAAGAAGGCTTTGGATTAAAGATTGAATTAATAAATGTCAAGGATGTTAAGAAAAGTATGCTATCTATGTGAGTGAAGTTTTGAATTTTTTGATGATCCTAATCCTTTAGCTTTTCCTTTTTTGTCTTTCAGTTCCTTATAACTATGAATTACTTGTCAACAATGAATGATGAGCAAACATTGGTTATGTATTCAGGGCACCCAATGGGCCTTTTTCCCAGTTCTTCAGATTCACCAAGAGTTGTGATTACAAATGGAATGGTATGAAAGATGTTTCTAAAATGAATTTGCCTGTAACGTAACTTTTAACAACCTGCAAAGTTATTTCATCTTTACTGCTGGAATTATTGCTATGTTAGTAAAGACTGCAAAACTAGGATTCAAATCCCTTTTTTCTGATTTGTTTTTCATTAATATTTTGAGGTCACACAAATATGTTTTACTTCTCTGCAAAATTTTGCAAAAGGATCGTAAAGGACAGCAACATATGAATATAACAGTTTGCTGGCCTGTTAGGTAGTTATTGATGCCATCAAGACAGAGCTGTTGATGCTTTGGTATGTTGGACCTCCAGTTTAGGTTGCAACTCCAGTTTCATTTTTAATGCATTAATCAATCCAATGTTTAGAAAAGGAATTATAGAAATTACAATTGTAAAGTAGAACACCTGATTAAGAGGATCGCAGGAAAATAAAATGTGTTTCTGTTAAGTCTTGTCATGATTTAGTTTTCATATTCTTGTTCATTTGCCAGGTTATCCCAAATTACTCTTCACGTGATCAATATGAGAAGATGTTTGCTCTTGGTGTGTCGATGTATGGCCAAATGACAGCTGGCAGCTACTGTTACATTGGACCACAAGGAATTGTCCATGGAACAACGGTAAGGATTTGGCATTTATGTTTTCTATTTGGATATTTAAAAAGGATAGGAATATTATCGATGTAAGAGAACAATATATGTGTCTCAACTTTTGTTTTCAAAGGCTCTCAATTTTTGTTACTCTAAGCTCAACTAACAAAACTCTCAACTGACTTAAGTACACCATTTGTGCTTGTGGTAGAAATCAAAGTTCTGCAAAGTCCTCTCTACATATATGTTATTTATCAATAGATAACTTGTGTGTTGACACATAAGTGCTGATAAGGTAATGACTGGTATCAGTTGGTGCAGTTGCAGGAATCCTTAAAGAACCACTATTACTATTCTTTCTTCATCTTTTCCATTGTCATGTGTTTATTTTATGTGTTGCAATGTTAAGTTGGTTGTCTTAACATCATTTATATAGGTTTGTATTATTTCAGATTACTGTGATGAATGCAGGTAGAAAATACTTGAAAGTTGAAGATCTGAGTGGAAAGGTACGATTTTTCAACCCAAGTGATAATAAAGCTGTTTGAGTTAACCTTTGGGCAATAAATCAATAGCAATCTTATGATATAAACATTTTCACAATAAGATATTAGTTTTAATTGCAGAAATATGATTTTTCCCTCTATGTCAATGCTGAAAATTTTTCACGAGACCTTAATCTAGATTTCATAATGATGTTTCTTATTTTTCATAGAATAAGCTTAAACTACTTCTCTGTTGATAATTTCATTGAATTTTACCTGAATATTTGCAAACAGTTTGAAATCTGAAATATTTTTTGAACACAAACATCACTTTTGAATGCTCAAATTTAGCCATCAAATTTTCTCCTTTGGGCAATGCTGGTTCGCTATAAAACAATGCAGGAGATGAGGAATCACGTTATCATACTTCTGGTATGATATTTGCCTAAACGATCAATATTGTTCTTGGGGGAGGGGGGAGGGGAAGAGAAAGATTAAATTTAGAGGAAGGAAGTAAAACATAAACAACTTCAGCGCCAATTGCTCTGTGTTTTGAAGTCATTTTGAAAGGCATTGCACCTAATACCTTTCTCATTAATTTAACAGGTATTTTTGACATCGGGTCTGGGTGGTATGAGTGGAGCTCAACCCAAGGCAGCAGTGATCAATGGTTGTGTTGGTGTGGTAGCAGAGGTAAGAGATTTTATGCTAAACAATCCCTCAATCATGATTGGTTTTCAAAAGAATCATTTTAAAAAGAACTTCTCAAATTAAAACAGTATATCCAAGATGTTTAAACTGTTTGTGGCTTAGTTGTTATCTCTTTCATCAAATCTTCCCAAGGTTTTAAAGTGCAGTTTCAATTTACAGAAGTTTTGGTTTTTCTGGGAGTGCAGCAACCCTGATTATTTGAAAAACAGCGTCTCTGTCTTTTTATTCTCAAAATTGCATAATTGATTCATGAATTTCCAGAAATTCTTATCACTTTAAATGTGGGTTTTGGTTGAATTTTTTTCATTTTAAAATTGCCTAGGTCAGCAAAGAAGCTCTCGAGAAACGCTTCAATCAAGGGTAAGTAGCGGAAAGATTTCTTTCTTCATATTCTTTAAACATGTGCAATTCGTTCTATGATTTTTTCACTCTGTGAACATACCCGCACTTGTGATGACACTTTTTTAATAAGACCCACATTTTCTGCACTTTGAGCCATATTCAAGTCAGGGTATTGCTTATTCGAATGAAAACCATTCAAGTATATTTCTTTCCTAACTATTTTTTTTCTAGTCCTAAAAGAGTTTTTCTAATTGAATCTGTTATTGTCCCTTCAAAAACTCGCTGACTCTCTTTCAACAGGACGTGTTTAGAACGGCACTTAAAATATGGTCCGTTTCAAGACACAACAAGTTCCGTCTGAGTTGTTATGAATTGAGTCTCAACGCTTTAAGAAGGAACCTTGTTGGTTCAGCATTTGATATTTCTATTTTGCTTTCTTAAAGCTGTTTTGAAGCACAATTGGGTTATATCTTACATTATCTGATTTTGATATTCAACTCCCATCCTTAGGTGGCTGAAGGAGAAAACCTCTGATTTGGATGAACTTGTAAACATGATAAGGTAAAATTTACCAAAGATTATCAGCAGCGTATTGTTTTATGAAAAGAAGCCAATTTTTGCAAACAATAAGTGTTTTCAGTACTGAGTCTTGCTTGGGTTTGCAAGCATTTTATGCCCAGGAAATGTAGGCCCTATGTAGAGATCGATTGCTAAACAACATGTATCTTAATTCATCCTTGATATAGGGACCGTAAATTGAAGGTATGTTTGATACTTTCAAATCATACAATCGTGTGTAACTTAGCGAGTTTTGGAGTGAATATATGGTAACCTGGATCTACAACGTGCAACTGAAGAGTTCCATATAGCCCTTCATAGACGTGTTGGCACCCCATTTCTGCTTTTATCTTTGAATATCAAAGCTTTAATGCTATCAAAATTGTTTTTTATCGGCTTTTCATGTTGATTAAATTTACAGAAGTGCACGTCAAGAGCGAAGGACTACTAGTATAGGATATCTTGGCAATGTTGTCGATGTATGGTATGTCTGTTTTAATTCTGTTGCACTTTGACCATTTTTTTTTACAACGATCGACAGTTTTTCAAATCTAGTATAATTTCTTTTATTGCATTTAACGATAATGTATTCTTTCAGAAATAGGTAGCTGTTTTATTTTCACTTCGTATAAACAGACTTCGTTGATATCTTTAGTCCTATTCTTGTGTCTCGAGACTATGCTCTTCTAGTTGGTAGCACAGCTTCCGTCTTACAAAATATTTAGCATTTTGTCTCACTAAATTCGAATTTGGCTTTTGAATTTTGCATTTACTTTTTATAGCACTTTGGCCTTAAAGTCTGAGAATTTTTACCAGATGTAGACTTTAATTTCTGCTCTTTCGCATTTTTCCCATCACTTTTGCACTTTGCTTTTTATCACTAAGGGAGCGCGTTGCTGATGTTTTAGAGAAGACTGGCGATAAGCTTATAGATCTAGGGAGTGACCAGACATCTCTTCACAACCCTTTCAACGGAGGGTATTACCCCGTTCAGGTACTTTGCTATTTCAGTATCACTTACAAAGATTATCTACTATAGAATCTTTCTTTTTTGAATTTTTAGATGAATTTTTAGCGAAATATTTCGTAAATTTTACGCCAAAACTCCTGCTCGTTTTTCCTGTTCAAAGGCTCTTATAATAATTTTTGATATTTATGTGGCAGTGCACATTTGATGAAGCGAATCAAATGATGAAGTCAGACCCAGAACATTTTAAGAAGTTGGTCCAGGAAAGGTAAACTCAGGCATTCTTTAGCTAAACTTTTCTTTAAGTTCATTTCACTTTCAAATGTGACCAAAGTCAAAGTCGATATTGTCAAGTGCAACCAGTTAACAAAATTTTGAGTCCTGTAAAAGTTCATAATCGGTTGCACCTATTGGCTTCTATATGATGCCAGATGTTTGCAAAATCAGTGTCACTTAAATATGAATCCTTTGGCTACTGTCATTTTATGATTTTCAAACAAACTCTCACATACAATTGTTTATGCTGTGAGAGCGTGATGCCGACCATTTGAAGCCTATTGTCTTTGTATTTTATAAGATTTGTTCAATTTGATTGTCTAATTTTTTTACTGAAAATTTTGAAACCAAAATTCATTTGCATTAATAAGCCGAAGCACATGGTGCTTGAGTAGAGTGTCTATGCCATTGGTACCTATAAAAATCCTGATTCTCTCGTGTGTTTATGCTCATGTCCTTCAAGCCAATCTTGGAGATGTTGGCCACAGCCTACGCTCATACTTAGCCCTTTCAAAAGATTTGTGCGTTGAATTTTGTTAGCCCAAGTTAACAATAACCCTTGTTATTGTTGATTAAATTAAAACCAATGCATGCAGGCAAAATACATTTATACAAGAAGGCTATTATAGACTGGTTTGATGTTTATTTTTAACGTCGAGAATACAGGAAGCAGGGATTCCACCAAATGTTCAGCCCATGTACACAATATGATGGGGGCTACTTTATTCTGTGTCTGTTCTGGCCTACTTGTTACAATATTTGTTTTTGTTACAATATTCGATGGCAATACTATTATCACTTTCAGTTTGAGGCGGCAAGTGGCTGCCATTGATAAGATGACGTCAGCAGGCATGGCATTCTGGGATTACGGCAATGCATTTTTGCTTGAAGCCAGTCGTGCAGGTCAGTGTTTATATGACATTCGATCTAAAGTCTCATTTTGGGTAGAAAACATCAGACCTAAAGAATTTGGTTAATGTGGTTAAAGAATAAAAATCGATAAAAGTTTAGGGTCTGAAGTTCACTTAAAAAGAAATTCGCAGCTCAAAAGAGTCGCAGTATTGAGCGAGATCCCAAATTGAAATTCGATCGTACATACCATTACATGCCCGAAGACATTAAACACATTTTGAACTAATAATGATGAAATAATATTACCCAAAAAGAGTTACCTAGATCTTGAACATTTTTATAAGAGGTATTGTATTTGTATTATATTTATGATTACATGTCATATCTTTCTGTGAATCCCATGTATCAGATGACAAAATATTTGCACTAGAAAATATTAGAGTTAATGTGTTTTGTTGCTTTCATTAACAGGAGCTGACCTAACGAAGCCAGGAGCCGCCCATGGAATTTTCAAATATCCATCTTATGTTCAAGATATTATGGGGTGAATATTTTACTTTTCCTGCTAGCATGAAGGATGACGCAGTTTTTTGCAAGTTTATTTGTCATTGCTTTGGGTTTGGTCAAGGTTTTGGCAAGGTTATATTTTGAGTCTTCAAATATCCATTTTCTCATATTTTTAAGATTTTTTATTCTTCAGTCTAAGCTTTGTTAGAGTGTTTTGGGGCCTTTGATCAATCAGGTTTTTAGCATAGCAATTTTTGTGTTGAGTTCGTCAAATTTGTCGATTTCAACTCTTCTACTAATGCTTTTAGGCCTAAGAATTATATAATTTATATAATGACTCAAATTGTATTATAAGGGGTATTGAATTATACAAGCTTTATGACGTAAAATCTTAGCTCCTAAAGCTACTTTTATCTTGGCATTGTGTGTCGAAAAACCTGTTGAATAACTTGCCATTCATTTCTTTCCACTTATCTTTCTTTCTACAGGGACATTTTCTCGCTGGGTTTCGGACCTTTCAGGTAGCGTTTATTTGTTATTTGAAATTTGCTTCAGACAGCGTGTTTTTCGTAGTCAACTTTAGTCAAAGCAATATTTATCCTACAAAAGCCATGGTTGCTAAGCTAGCTGTTAATTACCCTAGTTTTGAGTCATTTATCAGAAATTCAGTAGAATATGTTTACAATGCAGAAGAACTTCCTTCCCAAGAGTTCTTTCTTATTGATTAACCGATGTCGCATCGTAGAAAGTTGATCGCTCGCCATGTTACTTCTACACTTGCCATTTGAGCTTTTTGTACTCTGAAATTCATTGCCTTTGATTATGTGCTGCTTCCTTTGTTTACAGATGGGTCTGTACCAGTGGGACTCCAGCTGATCTTGCAGAAACAGACCGAATTGCAGCCGAAGTGATGGAATCGATACTGAATAAAGGCGATCGTATGTTTCTTTTCTTCCCCTGTCCCTTTGCTATTCTCGCACGATGCAAATAATTTATAATATAGGCATGAAAGTTTGAAAAGAAGTATTATTGGTTTTAAGACAATTTTTGAAAGCTAAGTGTATTAATTGTAGTTTAGGCAGTTATGTGTAACTGAAAAAGGCTGGCGTAAAAGCTTATGGAAAGGATGGGATTGATATAGACTAGGCTAAAGCATGTTTATGTTTAGAACAAGGCTAAAAATTACTTTAGTGCTTTAGAAGAATTTATATGTGGGAATGAGATGCAGTGAGACCAAGAGCTATTGGTAAGATATTTTTCTAGCTTAAACTATCAAACTTTATGTAATTTTACCGGTATTACATGAAAAAGGAAATGGGATCATTCTTATTTGGTCTAATGTCAGTTTACTCTGTCACAGTTTCAGTTGAATCACAAGAACAGTACAAAGATAACATAAAATGGATCAAGGCAGCTCAGAACCATGGCCTTGTAAGTCTTTATTTGCTTTTAGTAATAAGTTAGGCCATTCGAAAAAGTATAACTCAACGTCAAGGCAATATCTGGTTTACGTAATCGTTCCTATAAAATAAATGAAAATATGCAAGTAACTTGCCCTCTATTAAATAGAGTCGTAAGCCACTGCTCGCAACCTCCAGTAAAGTTGTTCACTGCTCGCAACCTCCAGTATTGTATTTTTTGTTAGGTTGTTGGATCACAAGCTCGTATTTTATACACTGACGAAAAAGGAAGGCGATCAATTGCCTTGGCATTCAACAAAGCAGTTTCAGAGGGGCGAATCAAGGTATGGCGAAAAAAAGTACCATCGTTAACATGAATAGTTTTACTTCATCTCGATGAGTTAACTGCAGCCACATTTCTATAATGGAAACATTTGCAAACAGTGATTTGTTTGTCAGCGATCCCAGGATCTTGGAGGTTGAAATTTTGTTTCTTCACCTGAGCTCCCAATAATACCTTGTGCAAAACCTAATTCTTAACTTCTGCCAAACAGTTGTGTCATATTTAGCTGTGTGATTAATTGAGTGAACTGTATACTCGTATATAAGTAATTCATACATTTCTTGAGGTGGTCTTCTTAAAACAAATATCTTCTTACCAGAACGTCTAATTTCATTGATTTACCATTAATCAAATTTCGTAACTTGAGTGCTTTTTAGGAATAATGAAAAATCAATTATCGAACCTACTGTAAGAATAACTGAGCATAGAGTTTAACTTATTCACGGAGCTTTTTTCTTGTATTTACATCGATGGCAACAGTCAATACCATGCGTCAATATGCTAGGTTCCACTCAGCTATTCTGATCCACTTATTCAAACACTGTTAGTGTACCAATTAATGATAGACAACTGCACCCCCTCAAAATAATGCAGGCTTAGTAAAAAATTAGGTTCGATGTTCACATGATTCGTATTATTTAAAGTCTTAATGTTGTTTGGGCTGGGAAAGGGGTTAGTTAGCTGCAGCCGGGGTGATATCACACTGGAAAAGAAATGAACTGTCCAGAAGCAAAGTCATTTGATGTGCCTTTTACTTTGAAATGCATTAAAGTGTTTTATTGTTTTCCAGAGCCCCATCGTTCTTAGCAGAGACCATCATGACGTCAGCGGTACAGACAGCCCCTTCCGTGAAACCTCAAACATTTATGATGGATCTTCTTTCTGTGCAGGTGAGAGAAACAAATAACCATTTTATAGAAATAAATGACCTTCTAGAAATTTTTTTCTCTCAAGTCTTCAGTCCACCAGTTTTTTATTTTACAGGGCCGTCGAAAGCGGGGGAGAGGGATGATTGGTTGGTCTGTAGCCCCCAATATTTATTAAAATGTATTATATTTCCTTCATAACAGTGAACTGAATAGAAAACAATATAATGGTCAGCCACCCAATACGAATTTCGCTCTGATGGCACTGTCTTGTTTTTCAGAAATGTTCTCTTTTCAGAAATTTCTTCCTAGCTCGATTTCTTCCTCGCTCAGTTATTTCTAGCCCGCACTCTTTCTAACCCTGTACCCTTTCATCTTGCCTCCACAGCCTGGCTCCTTGTAAGCCCGTTCATTTACACCAAATTCCAACCACGATCTCTAGCAGACCATGAGCTTCACTTAAGTAAATTACATGTTGAAAATATTTATCAATGTAGCAGATGATCAGACGCCCCTCTTTAGGAGTCGGGCTATGCAAAGCGTAGCCAATACAAATCATGGGTGACAGCTCTTAGTAACAGTTGTGGGAGGGGGGAGGGGGGGGGTAGCGTAAAATAACCTTGAAGATGAATAAAGTTGTTTTAACTTGTGTATTTCTGAAGCTTTGTCTTCAAGGAATATGTATCTTTCATCGACAAAAGGCGACGGTGTTTCGTTTTAAACTAGAATATCATAATGCAAATTTAAAATCGCTCTTGACGATTGATTAACGACTTGTATATTTGTTTAGACATGGCTGTTCAGAACTGCATTGGAGATAGCTTCCGCGGAGCAACATGGGTTGCAATACACAACGGAGGAGGATGTGGCTGGTAAGGGGTTATACGTATTTTTTTCTTGCACTGAACTCCTTAGTAAAACATGATAGTATTTTAATATTCAGAATTGCTGCTGCAAGCCTATATCTAGCTACCAAAAGGCTCTATAAACACCCAAATGCACGAAGTGACGTTACGTCGAAATGAAGAGTGTGGACACTGATCGACAAGCTCAGCTTTTATTTTGTTTTGAACGTCTCTTGTTGATGTTGATGTCGATGCGAGGTTACAAAATTATGCAAGATATAAATTAAACTGAATAATATATCCTTATAAATTAAAATAATAATATATGCTAAACTGCTAGCATTCATTGAGTATTCTTTATTGTTAAAGATTCCATAAACATTGTCAGTTTCGTTTATTCAGTTCATTTTCGGAAGATATTCGTTAGGTTGTGTCTGGAAATACAGAGTTCCCTTTGTTTTTGCAGGGGAGAAGTAATGAACGGAGGCTTTGGTCTTGTTCTTGATGGATCAGAGGTAAAAATATATAGTATTAAATTTATTAAAATAAAACCATGCGCTTCCTTTCATTTTTTGGAGCCAATTAACTCGATGAAATGAGCGGTTGAAGCCAGGCCAAAAGGCCTAGAGTCGGTTGTTATTTTCTTTCGGTCATAATCCCACTTTATAACCATTTAACCGTATGAATTTATTCATAAGGCTTTTTGAAGCATTGGTATATTTGCTTTTAGAGGCAACATCTCAGTTCTTGTAAGCATGCTTCCATTATTGTATCGTGATATAAACATAGAGTACTAGCCTTTTGACTTAACTGTTTAGATAATTTCATATTTGCATGAAGTAGGATACTGTTTCAGCTTATACTGGTTACAGTGTTTCTTGGAATAGAAATAATAGGGAGTGAACGATTAACCTTTTTGATGTGAAAGCTAGCGTCGATTTTTGCGACGGGCTGGTCAGGTTAAACTAAAATCTCTATTTCTTGAATAGGCCATTTAAAATCACTGAAAATTGTTAAAAATGAAAAAGAAGTTTAACGTTCATTACAATATGGACCTGCCATCTAAAGCAACGCTGCTTACATTTTCATAATTTGAATCTGTTATCAATTGTGTTTTTCTTTGGGAAATATTTAATCTTGATCATTTTTTGTGTGATGTAACAGGATGCAGCAAGAAGGGCCAATCTGATGTTGTCTTGGGATGTCAACAATGGGGTAAGAATTATTTTTAGCTATGTGAATCGTGAAAGGAAAATTGTTTTAGGAACCCTTTCTGTTACCATAGGTTGTAAAATAATTTCCTTGTTTATTTTCAAGTTCCAAGGAGCTAAGATACATTTGAATCAGAAAGTTTGTCATAACCCCCTTCCCCTGTTTACCACTCTGTATTGCCCCGCTGCTATGGCAAACGTAGTATTAGTTTTGTAGCAATATCCTTACTTCTAAACAGGTTGCCCGTCGTGCATGGTGCGGTAACTCATTTGCCCAGTCCACTATATCACGTGCCATGAAAGATGACCAAAAACTGCGGGTCACGGTACCACACCAGGTACAGGATCTCCAGGCGTTGGCAAAGGCATTCGCTGAGTTGGGGAAGCCTGAGGCCGAGTGACGATTTTTGAATAGTGCCAGTTTACAAACGACAATAAATATATATTTATTTAATGTAGTGCGGGTTTTTTATGGTTTGATGCTTGTTAAGCTACTGTCTCTATAGGAATGTTATAATCATGTCATTAAAATTTTATTTAAAGAATAGGAACACCGCGTTGTGTTACGTCATCGCTGCAGCTATATTTTATTATTCTTATTTGTGAGATAACAAATAGTGCCTAGCGTATAGACTGTTTAATGTTTGTTGTTCTACGTGCAACATAAAACACTGTGTCGTGTAGCTACCGGGTTACAATGGGTAGGAAATGGTGGGTTATGCTAACAACAGGGATGAAATTTATATTGAATATCAATTATAAAAGGTTCTTTGGCAAGATCTCTTGCGAATACAAGGTTGACATTATGGAGAGGGAATGGGCATGAAAATCACCTTTTCCCCACTCTAAGCCGATGCACACCGATCTTACCTATAAGCATCAAAACGACAATAGCATAAAAGATGCCCAAAGGTATGAAAAGTTTTTATGATGCTGGAAAAAGAAATTAAAAATGTCAGGGTAATTCCAGATTCCAGAAAGAACATATTTTCATTGAAGGAAATAAAATCAGGGTGGGTGAGTTTGTAAAGAGCGACCACCACGCTTGTAATAAGGCTTCACCAATCAAAGTGAGACCCACGCTTTATCAAGCGCATAAAGGAAACGGAAATGCAATGAAACCTAACAGCTTACCCAAGTATTCTGAACCAAATAAAACCCCAGGAGGACAAGAGAATCCACAGTAATCTTGTAGAACGGGTGGAAGTGAAAAACGAAGAAGAATGTCACAAGAGACCATAACGAATAGCAAGCAAATATATCAACTCAAAGGGGATTAATAGAAGGACGAAAACCCCTCGCGGAATTAACTCTCATCAAATTTCATTCAATCATCATGAATGGTAAACGATCGTTTCTGAACTAAAGCAGCTCATGAATCAGGTTTTCGATTGAACTGCTTGATTGAGCTTTTGATGCTAGCTACTTGGGATATTTGTTTTAAATTACGCACATTCTAAAGTCACTTGTTGATTGTTTGTTTTATCCAAAAAATTCCTCATTTCTAATCATTTTAAATTATTCAAACACAGTTGCCCAATAGGCCAAGAAAAGCTGGGTCTTGGAAAAACTTACAACTTAAACAATCTAATTTTTTTCAAAGTGTTCAAAGTTAATTGCTCAACCTGGCAAGTTTGTCAGCTTCATTTGATGAAAGATAGAACAGTGAGTTCGGCAGCACTTGAGTAAAAAGTTTGTTTCCCTGCGTATTAGAGCTCCTTAGAGAGAGAAAAAGCAAAGGGTGAACAAAAGGATGTTAGATACTAAAATTGTCAAATGTATTCGGATGGTGTCTCCAAGGAAATATGGAAGTCTCAACGGTGATCGATCGCAATTATCAAGGGATGGTGTTCAATTGGTGGAATGCGCATCGTCACTAAAAATAGTAGATTCTTACAGGCATTGGCCTAGGCCAGAGTTGCGAGTCAGTCTTGAGGTGCTGTCAAAAGATGGTGGTAGGGATGTAAAGGCGAAGCAGGAATCAAAATACTTTTAAAAGTAGGTTTGCTTTCATCATTTTTTACTTCTTTATAAAGTTTTTGTGCGGGGTCATGACCGAGTTCGCTCAGTGCGGTAGTTCTTGTTAGAGATGCCGTTTCGCTACTGTTTCGTACATAAAATCTCCAGTAAGTTCCAGGTAATCTATATCTGGAAGTTCAGTTTTATCATGCTTCAAATTATTCCGAAAATAAAGAAAGTTAGGGGTAGACCAAACACCCCAAATCAGCTACCCGAAAAATTGAAAAAAAAACATAATTTCGTACGTACATAATTTCGTACGTTAAGTATCTGCATTCGCTTCCAAACATACTATATCAAGGGGACACTACCCTTAATGTAAACAAACCATGTAGGATAAAATTTGTGTAAATGAATCCTGTGTAAAAACGTTAACTGCGCGCTTTGCAATAAACCCTGCTTACACAGCGCTGGACGAGTATGACAGAAGTAAAATTTGACTAGAGGGAATTGATTTGGTCTTGAAGGCATTGTGCGGAGGCAACATCAAAACAGAAAGGGTTTTTATCTTTGATACACAATTTTTCACTCTGGTTTGGTTCTCATGAAGCAAAGAAACAGAATATTGAAGTTTTAAGAACCTTCAGCAAGTTTTTAAAGCAGTCCTAACTAAAAGAAACAGAGCGTTCTTGTTATCTAAACATATGATTGTATTAGATAATGATTAGATAATTGAATTAAACAAGCTGTTGATATGAGCTTGTGTGCATTGTTTTAAATAAAATGATATCAAAATTATGATTACACACACATATTTAAGAATTTGCTAAAATGATACGCCAAACAAATGCTTTTTTTAAGGAGAGAGCAGAAATACAGACATTTTATAAGTTTATAACTTAATATTTGCTTCTTTTCAAAAAGAAACTTACAAAAGGGTTAAAATTAACGGGGAACAACCTAAACACAGTAAAAAACCATCATAAAATGCAAAGGTGCATCATAAAAGTCGGAAAGCACTGTCTGTGGCACGTGACAAAGACAAGAGTGTTAGCAGAGTCGTAACCAATCAAATATCGGGCTCTAATTTGGACCAATCAAATGCACTCTGGGAATACTGGTATTTATCACGTGCATGAAGACAGATCTTTTAACTGTTCACAGACAGTCTTTTCCTTTTTTCACCTTCTATGACACAGATTAAACAAACAATGAAACAATACGATTAATGCTAATGACAAAACCTAATAAATAGTCAGTTTTACATTTTAAAAATAAGCCTTCGATAAATAACGAAAATTATTAAAAACAAGTCTTTTACTGACTGGAACCTTAGTTAAATTTCTGCCTTTTTGTGATTGGTTCTTGTTGGATTGAGGATGAAGTTGGAGAATTAAGAGGTTCTGCACCATCACCAACGAAAATTTGTTTATTGTATCTCTCGATAAATGGTACAACCGTTTTCCAAATCTAGAAAAAAACATTGCTTTAGTTACCTAAAGGAGGTGTACCTTAAGTAAGAATGTTTTATGTTTGCTGTTAATCAAATTGTCTATGTTAAGAAGACCTAATTAAAACAAGATTTTGTGACAGCATTTGTTAACGAAAAAAGTGTTCAAGACTTAAAACACCCCTTATTTTGTATCTAAATCATTTTGTACAGTGCCCTTCTCTCCTCCTACCATTAAGCCGGCATTTTATCTAAAGATTTAAATCATAGCTGTGAACGAAAATTAGGTCTTTCTGTTTTTCCTTTTCCTTTCTCTTCTAATTTTCCCAGATAAAATATGCTTTCTTATGATCAATGAGTCAAGGACTTTTTAGGCGGAACATTATTGTAGAGGACTGACCCGATTTGCTGATACAGTTTTAACTTACTGCACAGAGCCAGTGAATATAAATTTTACCTTCTCGCTCCTCAATAGCTGCGTGATATTTTCAATATCCTCTGCCATGTATCTGTCCCCATCAAGTTTTCTAAATGCAACAAAAACTGTAAATGAAACATTTTTTTTCTAGTTTCTTCTCTAATAAATGACAAAGAAACGATTCCAATTTGCAGCAACAACGCGCAGACAGCATAAGTGTCGTGTGATCGTGAGGTAGAGTCAAGCAAATAGCTAAAAGATTGATCGATCAATGAGAAACGAAAATATTGCAGGGAACACCAACTTGCAGCAACTTTCTTAACGTTTCAAGGAGACATCGCAAAATCTTTTAGACACGTAGGGGTGCACAGAGGACATTTCCAAAAAGCTTCAAAACCGACACAAACCTAACAAAAAATCAGTTAGTTACACATGTCTGATTCAGAGAATTCGTTGCACATAGGAAACTGAAGGGGATACGGTTCGCTAAACAATTCAATCGATGGCTAGAAGTTATTTGTAGACTTTCTTGCTGTATTGAAACAAGGTTAATCATTGTGGCTGTTGCTGCAGAAACAGTATCATACTTACTTGCACGTGGCTCGAACCACTTTGTAGACGGCTTCTAAAGGTTCTGTTGTTTTCAATGGCCTGAGGAATTCGATCCCCTGGCAGGCTGCCATCAGTTCTATAGCCATAACTACAGTGGCAAAGACGAGTAGATAAATTACAATTAATGTCTGATATAAAGAAATAAGAGAAAGATTGAATTAAACCATCAATGTTTGTGGTAAATCAATCAATTTCATCTTTGGTAGGCTCCATGTCCTTTTCCCACAGAAATAAATGCTGAGATTTTAACAAGAATATGCTTATAACACAAAGAAAAGGGTATGGATGAAGACAAAGTGTTGATTGAGAAAAAATGAAAGTTCTAAATTTGGGAATTTTTTGGCTCGATGGAGAAACGTTTTCAGCAATAACGCACAGATGTATAAACTGATATACAGTATTTCCTCGAAAATTGGCTGGTATTCGAAAATTAGCCAATTTAAAAAAAGGTGCTTTCTGAAAGGACATAATGAAAATCACTTGTTATCTTTTAAGTACTTGAAGACAAAGAATCAATAATTCAAAGCAATCTTAAAAATCAAGAAATAATCAAAATGAAGAAAAATCTTCAAATCCAAAAAGTGTTTTACGAAAACCCACTACGAATCTTATATTTCATATTTTTGACTTGCATGAGTATGTTAGTTGTCGGTCTCACATCACACTAGTGATGTGTACGAAAGGAAAAGCAATAAGAATATTTCAATTGGAGCTGACAACAAACAATATGTAGACTGACGGTATACCTCTTTCGACATTCTCTACGACACTAAGTGCTTTTCTTGCAGCCCAGCCTCCCATTGATACGTGGTCCTCCGTGCCAGCTGATGTTGTTAGAGAATCAACCGAGGCTGGATGACAGAGCCCTTTGTTTTCAGAAACTGCAAAAATATTAGACGAGGAAGTTTAACATTTTCTCGAGTAGAAAAGTAGATCTTGCATCCTAAGTTTTCATTTATTTTATTTTCTATAGAAGCATAAGATTAGGGTGCTAAATCAGGAAAAAATTTTATTTTCTAACTGATAAATAAAAATATAAATTAAATTATTTCTTCATTTTCGTTGCAAAATGACTTTCAAATATTGCTAAATTTCATGGAAGCTGATTAAAATAATTGACAAACATCGCCCATGTAGAACTAGGCCTAAAATAAAACTACCTTAACAAGCGTCCTTATCGTTGTAGTATCCGCCTCAGAAAGGACCTTCTTCTCAGTGAAAAAGGAGCGCTTATACTTGTGGATACAATACGATACAAGACGTAAGGACGCCATATATTTTATTCCTTACGTGACAAATAAAAAGTGTTTCAGCATGCCAATGAGCTTACCCAAAGCTGCAGAAGTTACATGTGCCATCATGAAACCAGAATTGAATCCTCCATCTTCCACCAGGAAAGCAGGTAGTTCGCTATATGCTGCAATGTTAATTAAAGGCACCACGGTTAATGTGCTGAAGATCAAGCGAAAATATAATATGAAATTATACTATCGTTATGTCAACGTTTATCTCTATGAAACAAGGTTGTGTTTAGATAAGTACCAGTGTAAGTGAGAAATTCGCTATCACTTAAAATCTGACAAGCTTGTGTCTAAAATAATACAGTAAAATTGAGGGCCGCGGGTTTAGGTTTTGGCAAAAAAATTCTTTGAAAACAATTCTTGCAGAGAATTGACTTTGAATTTCAATTATTATATATCAAAAGGTCAATTTACTTAATTTACAGAAATCGTATGAAAAGGACAAAGGAACAATAAACGGACATTTTAGGAAGTAGGTGGTGAAATTTAAAAAATAATGAAAAACGAAAAGGGATTTCTCTAGAAAATTATTTTCTCAAAGAATTTCTCAAATTTGAGGCAAATATAAGTGGGTTTTTTTAATAGACAGCTTTTTATGAAAGCTGTTTGCAGCTAAAATCTTCTCCACAGAGAAATGGTATAAAAGACACGGCACGTCTATAAGTTATACCATTACGAAAACGACCTTAGAAGCAAGATTTAAAAATGAGACTCAAAAGCGAACTCAATTAGTTTTATTCCTCCTACTGACCTGGATTCATGAGTCGGTTGGTTCGTCTCTCGGCGATATTTGCAAGTTCATGAACAGCAATGGCTAAATAATCAAGAGCCTGGAATTTGAAACAATTTGTATCAATAAAATTACTGCTAATTACTGTTAATGGGTCTGATAAGAGCAGTTGCCCGATGATCGTATTAAGCATGAAACTCGGAGTAGCAACTTAGAACCGTCCTGCTCTTCCATAAACTAAAATGTATACAATGTCATAATAAATAAGATAGTATACAATACAATATAACTTTATACAATATGAATAGCCTGGAGAAAATGGCCATATCTCTAAAGCTTCAAAGTTATTGCTGGTATATCTGCACTGGGTAAAATGGGGTGAAAATTCTTGCAAAAGGGCCTAAATGATCCTGGTAGTTCCTTTTGATGAGTTTCTTTGCAGCATTAGCAGTGCAAAACAGAAGCACTTCGCAGAGATAGTTGTTGGCGTGGAGAGTAAAAGGAAGAAGAAGGGAACGGAGGGGGGAGAGAGGGGCTATGATCTCACACGCAGGTTGCCACAATGTAAGCATTTTTAGGTAACGTTAGCAAGTGTCTGAATCTGAATCAGCTTGATATAGATGTACAGCTCTCTATATGTATGCTACGAAATCTCAAAAACAAGTCAATACCTTGGCAGGATATTCTCCATGAAAATTACCACCAGACATAGTTTCTCCGATTTCAGCAAAAACCATCTTGCGATTTGTTAAGGTAATCGATGATATGAATAATAAGGAGAAAAAGCCACATTGGCTTTGTTGGGTTCATTTTGAAATATCCCACAATCTCTTGTCGAAAAAGTACTAGCTATAATTATCAGCAACTGATTTTCAATACCATTTCTGTTGAATAACAAATCTTTCTAAATCTTTCAATACTTGTAGTAAAAGACGTCATTCAAGTCAATCTAGAGGACATTGGTACAAAAAATGTTGATACATAATAGGATTTCGAGGGCAGCGAGGTCCAGGCAGGTATTGCAGTTTTTTAACAACTAAAAGTTGAAGAGCCTTATGTTGAAATACGATAAATTATATGCTATACAATGAAAAGGATACGGGATTATCTGTAGCACTGTTGAGTTCTGTCGTCAAAATTTTCTTTACGAATTCAATTGTGTCTCGAGTTATTCCATGAACCTGTGGAAATAAAAGGGTCCTCAGAAATATCCCAAGAAACTTCAAAATGAAACGAGAAAAAAAATTTCTCAGGAAAAATGTTTCCTATCGCCTTTTAACAACTTTTCACAAAAGACCTCCATTCAGATTAGGTTACAAAAACTAAGAATACTGTAAGTAGGAGATAAAAACCTGCGGGCAGCATCGAAGAGTGTATGCATCTTGGACCTTGTGGCAAAATCGATGGCTTTCTGTAAGACAAAAATGATTCACATAAAAAATCATAAGTGTGAGAAGTTCAAAATGAAAGGAGAAAAGCAAATAAAATTACTGAGAAAGATGTGATGTAATAACTCGTTACCAGATTCCTCCAGTAGGATTAGGCTACACAAACGTCGAGGACAGTAAGCAGATTATAGGTCAAGTTTACAACATTTTTAATAGTGACGTTTTATAGAAATCGATGGCTTTCTTTAAGACAAAAATGACACAAATAGGAAATCATTTATGGAAAGTTTACTCAAAAATGATACATGGTTTAGAGGACACATAACTAAGAAAAATAAGTGGTCATACCAGCGATTTCGGAAGGAAAAACATCAGAGTGCAGCAAAGCTCGCATGCTCTTGGCAACCAATCCCTGCCCGGGATGAGGCCGAGCTTCATGTATTACTATGAAAACGAGGATACATGGACATAAAGATGAGGATACAAACGATTTCCATATAAGGTCAAGATTGACAGGAAAGTATTGAAGAGGCATGCCTCACGGTGCCAATTACCCTAAACCTGTTTCTAGCCGGGAACGTGAAGGCAAAACATCCCCTCGTTGGAAATAAAGAAATTTGGTAGAGAGCATAACGTAGATAATTAAGAAGCTCTGAAACAGCAAATCTTAGGGACATGAAATGTTGTCTTTCTAACAAGCTGGTGACCAACCTCATTGCATATTCAAGGCGCTCAATTAGGATTGATTCATAAGTATTCTATGTTATAGCAGTCTCATTTAACTCAAAAGTATCTTATTCACAAAACGATTCAAAGCATCAGCTTACACGGATGGAAGGCTTTGGTTGATCCTTTCAAAACTTCCAACGACAGCGAAGCAATGACATCAGCTTGTCTTGCAATTGCTGCAGCTCTCTCAAGAGCTTGAAAAAAACGCAAAATTAAAGGTTGCATAATGTCGAGGTACAGAAGATTCGTAAAGAAAACATTTGCAAAAAGGCAACTTAATAACGAGCCATTAAAAAACTGCTAGAAGGCCACTAAAAACTACATTGTTTGGGAAACTAAACTCGACAATCCTATTTCGTACAAAGATACCTTTAAGATCTGCAATATGTTTTTCATTCCTCTATTTCAAACATCTAATGAATAATAGCTAAAAATAATAATAGTAAAAAATATAAATAATAGTAAAAAAATATCAGCTGAAAGAAAGCTTATCCCAAGCAGTTGATTAAACTGGAATGATATATCTGATTGAATTACAATTAGTTTCAATCAATTCACGAAATATTGCTGACAAACTGCCTGCAGATGTCACAAGTGCATTTAAAAGACTTTGTGTTTTTATTTCTTTTCTTGCCGGCATTATGTCTAGTGTAATTTGAGATGATATTCTAATGTAATTTAGTCACAACTGCGACTGCACAATAAATATGGATCATGTATGGTATAGGTATAGGATAACCCAAAAGATGGTATTAAGGGTTAGTCTATATAAGGATTGTATCCCAACAGGTACAAAATCAAATGAACAAAAACAGCCATGCTAGCTAGAACAACTGCCAAAGTCTTGGTGCACTATACTAGAGTTTTACTAAAGAAACACAATAGCACCCTACATCATCGTGATTTGCTCGAACAAGGTCCATTGTTAATCAACGAAATCTCATTCTAAAAGAATTGTTCTATATTCTAAAGAATTTTAAAGACCGAAAAGATGGAAGAACGGCCTCTTTCCATCATGAATTGTTCACTGGTTGCCTCACCTTGGCGATCTGAAATATTTATTGTATAAAGAATCCAATCACGGCGTCTCCAACCCCGAGATGGTCTATATTGCCGCTGCTGTACTGTACAACTATTTCGGACCATGTAGTAAAAACAATAAACTGTGACTATTTTGGGATAGAGGGTAACCATGTGGGAAAAACCGAATAGAGAAAAAAAGAAATAGATGAAAAATGATGATAAAAAATATCAAAATACCCTCTGAGCCCAGAGAAGCTATCAACTGTGTTCCATTGATAAGAGCCAAACCCTGAAGGAACATTGAAGAAAATTTAATGACATGCTACATTACTACTTAAAAAAAGGGATAAAAATTGCCGGAATAAGACCGTTGTCGTTGTCACTGCAAAGAAAATTTTGTACACAAGCAACGGCAGATTAAGAGCTAAAACTTTCACCTCGTTTTTTTCAAAGCCAGTTGCCACAACTACAGGCCCGTCAGGTTTAAGAAAAAATAGGGAGGCTTAGGGGTGGACTTCTTACGATGGGGCTGGGACCGTGAAAAGTTGCCCCCTTCTTAATGACTTGAAGCTGATTTGGTACCCTCTTTTTAAAGGTTGGGTCAAGAGAGGTAAGCGATCTAAAAATACAGCAGATACCATTATTAATGGTTGACTCTCTGTAATTGTTTCAAAAATCCACCCCTAGAAGGAGGGTTCTGCAATGACTTGAACAATTTATTGGACTGGAGATTTTAGAATTCATTGGACAGCAAAGATTTCATTTTAGGTTTAAATAATAAAAGCGATACACATAAATATGAACATTCTATCCACAAAAATCTTCTTTGAACGTAAATTTCCGATTTGGTGAGAAATTCATAATAATTTTATAAATTTCAAGAATGATTACCTCTTTTGGGCGAAGGGATATTGTCTTCAAGTTATGCGATTCCAACACCTTGTAAAAAACACAGAGAGTCAAAACAAACTAAACACAATCAATCAGTCATTAAAATATTAAACTTGTTAATTTAGCCATCTATAAAAAATATGTTCACCGACTTTATAAGTACCTCGATGGGAAACTCTCACGACAGTAACATGTCTTTGCTTCTTAAAGTAGACTATGATCTTTTAGTATTTTTGTAATAAAGCCCCCCCCCCAAAAAAAAAGGGAACTGAAATTGAATCAAAAGGAGGGACGTTATAGATGTAAAAATCCGGCGCTTGTAAAATGAAGATAAGACACCTGCTTTCTATTTCTTCAAAAGTCTTAGCTATGTTATGCTTAGATTGATGCTCTAAACGAGATCCATCATGAGTACCGGTAATCTTAGAGCCTCTGCTTTTCCTGAAAGCATGATTTAAAAAATTGTCTAAGTTAACAACCCTTGGTATCTTAGAGAGACCTTAAAAAGGCTTCCACTGAAAGTTTACATACTATTCTATTGCAAAAAGACAATCATCAAAGAATATTTGTTCTAGTTGCAAGCGGTTCACTTACATCTTTAGCGTCTGCCCATCCACTTTTGGGACTCCACATTTTGCCCTCACCCATAGCACCAAGTGCCAAGTGGGCCAAGGGGGCCAAATCTCCGCTGGCACCAACGGTTCCTTGTTCTGGTACCAAAGGTAAGCAGGATGCTGTAAAGCAGAATCAGCACTTTATTCACGAATTAGTTTTGATTAAGCGCATTTCACCATTGTTTGTACACCTTTGATTTCAACCCATTATCGACACAGCCTTGGATTGCAAATTTTAGGCTAAAAGTTTTCGCAACACACCGTTTAAAATGTATAGATGCATTAACGATTAACTACGTATAGGAGGCGTTCTTAAGGGTGTCAAATTCAGGGGGAGGATACTTTGCCAGGAATCTGTTTTACAAGATAAGTTAGAATGCTACAATCCCTCTCAAAATAAACAATACGAAACCAAATTTATTGAGAATACGTAGGCCCCCATTGGTATGCAAATTAGTTCATCGGAGCAATTAAATAATAAGATTTAGGACATCTGACACCAGTGTCATACACTTCATGATTTAACACTTAGCAAAATTTCTTACCATTCAACATATTAATCATATTGCTGAGTGTGTCAACAGAAACTCCACTAAAAAAGAAAGCATTTGCAACTTAAGGTTACAAAATATAAAATGCTCAAATTAAATTAAGATTAAAATCTGGAAGACCTTGCCCCCAATTGCAATGCTTTTCTATTCTAAAAAAATATGTCTAGCATTTTCAAATAAAGACTCCATTACGTCTAAACAAACACACAAATAATATTTTGCATATAAGTTGATATCAGAATAATTTCGAATGCTCAAAATGCAAGCATAAAAACTATTCAAACTGTTTCAGTGCTGCAAAAGTAAACAAAATACAATAATAAATTGAAATTAACTGACCCAAAATAAATTGCTTTGTGAAAATATGGGTTAATACCAGGGGTGTAGTGCTAGGGGGGCTAAGGGGGGCTGAGCCCCCTTGTTAACGCTGAAAATTAGCCAATTTCTACATTTTCTATTGTTATAGCAACATTTTGTGCAAAGGCCCCCCTTGTCATTTTGATAGCACTAGACCACTGGTTGATACTTGGAAAGACCTTTATCATATAAAACTTGGCAACGAGCAGAAAGTAGGTCCAAGATAATTGAACTTTCAGAGTTTCAGAAGACATGAATGGGAATTGAAAATATTTCGATAGAGATACCCAGGCTACTTTTAAGATTGCAGCTCTGATTTGGATTATTTTTAAAGCGTTTAAAATTCCAAGTGATTAATGATTTTTCAAGCCATCCATACTTGATAAAATGTCACAGAAAAAAATTGAACTGAGGATTAAAACCCAGAATTTTTAGGTTAACTTTTTGCACAATATTCTATATTGGTTTTAAAAACTTCTAAGCGGTAACCTGTAGCCTTTGGAAAGAATATTGATTCTAAGTGCCAAAAGCATTCTTGTTCTTTCTATTGTTAGGGGCTTTCCAACACCTGAAGATAAATAAAATATTATATTGTATGGCAGATAAATACATATATGTATAAAACATACATGTACACATAAAAATATCTATATTATGAAAATTACTATTTACCGGTCATTTATGAAGTGATCGATGCCATAAAAGGAGAGCTGTCATGTTTTTGGTTTATAAAATAGGACCAGTTTGCTATTCCGAGTTTCATGCTTAATCGAGAAATAAATGTTTGATATGTTACATGTTTCACAATTGTTGTCAGGTTAGCATAAAATTGTGCTTGGATGATTACCTAAACATATATGTTAATTTATTGCAAATATGCTTTTAATGAGAAACAAGCAAACAATATTTTAGAAAAAAGGGGAGATTTTACACGTTTTTTACCAATTTATTAACAAAATTTGACGGCCTGAATATATTTTAGCGTTGCTATAAGAATTTTCGCATTGGAATCAGACGATAGGTATAAAAGCTGGTAGAGAGGTTTAGCAATACACTGAATAGAAAAACAGATGATCATCCTCCAACTTTTCACAATTGGTACCCTTCCCTGCCAAGCGTCAGTTACAGCAAAGCAGCGGAAACTTAGAAAGATTCAAGTTCGCCTATTCTCCCAGTTAAGAGCTGAATTTTAAAGCGCAAATACCGCGAGGTATGTGATATATAACATCGCCATTTCCCCACTGCGACCCAACAGATTTCTTTAAGGTAGGAAGGAAAGTCGAGGTAGGAAATTGGAGAGAAATCTTAATATCCTATTCCTTGTCTGGGTTTGGAAAAAAGAGATTTGATGAGACTAGCATAGGTCCATCTTGAGTTATGTATACTTCCAACGTGTTTTTTGCTTTTGGGCATTCAACAGCGGAATGTCATTTTAGAAGATAGTGGAGGACTTGCTTGACATATGTTTTTAAAGCATGTCACCTCAACTGCATATTTAGTGGGATCAGGATCAAAGGACATTCTCCATCTACGCGTCTAGGCTAATCATGCTCAAAGAATGGTTTAAGCCGATATCACCAGAATTTGAATCATTCAAGACAGTGAAAACGTATTGTTAACAAGTTTACGCCGCTATTCAATCCATTTGTCAATTCATTCATGTAAATTACAAAGAACAGAGGCCCCAAGACACAGCCTTGTGCAACTCCAGCTGTAAAAAACACCCCATTTAGAAACCTTCGATTAGTAAGAGCAGTTTAGGCAGGTCTTCCTTGATTAACACTTCATATGCTCAGCTATTATTGAAGACGAAGTGTTTGAAACAACAGGTTCTACTTAGGAAACCACACAGACAGCATTGTTGGTCTTATAACATTTACACTATAGGCAGCTGATACTTTGAACTTACTGCTAGGTCACAAGAGCAAAAAGCACCTTAGCCGAAAAGGGCCTTTTTTATTGGCATGACGAATATCATTCATCGTTGCGGTGTTCCTTATTTCCTACATTTTTACCAACTTTTCGCCGCATAAATCCCATCGGAGTCCGTCGAGCAGACTGCTATTGTGACCTTTCCTTTATTTATATCCTTTTTCAAATCCACAAGTTTCTCTAATTTACATATTAACAGGCTCCTGCGTGTCTAAAAGCTTTAGTTCTCTATAATAAACCTTGAAAATGAACCAATAATGGACGTTTACCATGAATACATTGAAAAAGGTGTACTAAAGTTTGTGGCAAGGTTCGTGTAAATGTGGGTTATTGCCTTTCCTAATGAATAGTTTGAATGAATTACTTCCTTGTGAACAGGAAATTTTTCGAATAACCACAGCATCCTGAAAAAATCTTTCTGTTGGCAAGTAAATGAGGAAAAAGTTTCATGAATTGCTTGATGAAATGTACATCCCTGTAAACATAGACCCTAGACATGAAAATGGCTATTCTATTATTGTAGCCTTGAAGCTGAAGCTACATCCTCATTATAGAAATATAAACTCTGGTGTACCAGTGTCCTATTTTCACACAGGATTTGTGATTATCAACAGCTGTTTTCTATTAAAACTTAGCAGGGTATGAAATTCTAGATGATGACCCACTCACTGCAGTTATTCCCTTCATTTGTCTTTACCTGTTCCCTTCGTCTTTCCTCCTGTTCTCTCTCTCATCTTTTTTACTCCTTTTTTACAGCTACTAAGAGTTAGGGGGTAAACTACCTGAAATATTTTCCAAATACAATCCCTGTCAAGGTCCATTTGATATAAGAATCCTTTATATGATGCTACCTTCTTTTATTCAGATAAAATTACCTGGTTTAAAATGTTGATAAGGAGTCTCACTATCGTTTTAAAATCGTAGTTGTCACAGGTCAACAAAACAGTTACCATTTATGACATCAATATGATCTTACCGCATGCATGAGATCTGATGAGATTTTCCTGCAGCCTCCTGGTGAAAATCGAAGAAGGAGGCAAGATAAATACATACAATCATCAATGAAAAGGAAAACTAATAGATAACAACAACATCAACCCCAATTCACAGCTATTAAATGGAAATATCATTCACTTAATTCTGAAAGCTTCAATTGGTCTATTTTGGATACCTTTCAGTATACAAAATATTTGGATACCTGGTACAATTTTGGATACAATAAAGCAAGGACCAAAATACAGAGGGGTCAGTGGCCCCCTGTAACAATTCGAGTAGCTTGAGTAAAATACTTTTGTGTTTTCAAAAATGGATACTGCTACATTCTGATTAAGGAGAGGTTTATCAGGGCTGGCCTACAAACAATAAGTTATGCCTCTACCCCTGCAATGAAGTTTGACTTACCCTCCTCCTCTAGAAAAATGAATTTAAGTAACACTACTTACTCTAGTTTCTCCTTGGGTACAACAACATGCGCAAACTTTCCAAATCCAGTAGTCACACCGTATACAACTTGAAGAAAATAACCATTAAATAGTTTGGCTCATAATGCGTCTCACCACATTCATTTATAATCACATTCATCAAATTTTGGTTTTTGTTAATGCAATAACAAAATTTAATGCTATATTTCTGTCTTCTTAAACAAAATTGTTTGAGATTCATTATTTATTCAACCTATTAGGTAATTTCTTTCCACAAGAACACTTTTCTTTTGTGACAAAAGGAGATAAGGTACTCATCTTCATTGAGTCAAACAACCTGACATCCCTTTTCAAATAAAAAAATTTTCAAATTTTAACAGAAGACAGACTTTTTAAAGAAAAAGCAAGCAATACACAGTAGCTGTTAGAAAGGGAAAACCTTTGTTTTCAATGACAATTTGGTCAAGCAATGCTCTTGATTTCTTCACATGATTCCAAGCTTCTTCAGTTAGCTACAAAACAATAAATGATAATAAGTAAAGGACTCATTTTGATTTTCAATCTCAAAAGAATGAAATTTAATTGATTCAATCACGAAAAAACAAATTACCTCAATTTTCACTGAACCCTTTCCTATTCTGACCAGCTGCTCTGTTGTCAAGGAGTTGCCATCAAGCTTAACAGTCTGAGAAAAATTCACTTAATTAAAGGGCAGTCATGTTGCTACAGAGAAAGGGCATGGGGATTGAATTTGGAAAATATATTTTTCCCCAGATCAAAATGTTACTGAATAAAAGATTCTGCTGATGAAAATTTGCAAGCAAAAAAGATGGGCTATTGCTAAGATTTGCAGGCAGCATTTTGACACACAATTGTACCTCATTTGTTTTATTACTGGCCATATCATCCTCTCCATCCCTAAAATGCAATGTTTTTTGAGGCTGAAATTATAATGGATTAGAAACATTTCTCAAGAAAATGGAAGGCTTAACAACATCTGCTAACATTCAAAATTCTAGGAACATGAAAGAGCTTAGTAGCTCTGTAACCCAGCTGAAACATTGAGGAAGACAAAATAAAACTTAATCCTTTTGTTTCCAAAGTTTCTAAATCTGTTGTAAATTATTCTTCAAAATACTCTTCTTCAAAATACCTTTTGTTTCTTGGGCAGATGCAGTTGCAGTGTGAATGCAACACTTGTAAGACCTTTGGTGATTAAAATTTGACTAAGACTGGGTTCAAAGCTAAATCTAAAAAGGTTTCACAAACAAGTTCTATCAGAAAACTAATTTGATTGATGCAAGCCTGACAAAGGAAAAGTAAATTGCAAACAAGTTTGAATATTTGCCAACAAGGCGCCTCTAGACTGAAAAACTACTCAATATGCAACTGGATTTGTCAAAGGTGTACTACACCCTTCTTGCCCCAATAGTGATGGCCCTGCTGACATCACCAAAAAAATTGGCTGAAGGATGCCTGTTATATTAAAAAATTATCTAATTTCAATTAGGACTCACCCACTAGATACAGCACCATTTTGCACAGTTTTGCTAACTGAAATTTAAAATAATACATTATAAAGGCCAAGTCTTCAAACAAGAAGTAAAATCCTAAAAATTTAGGAGGGACCTCCACGACCACGATAACATCTTGCGTTTGTGATAAAATGCTTTTGTTTGTTCTCGAAGTGTTTTTGAAATCATTAAAACTATTAAAATTGAAATAGATATGAGATATACGATAAACAGTAGAACAATGTTAAAACCTATTCGTTCAAGGGGTGCTGCAATTATATTTAATATGGATTGGCTCAAGGCATTTTATTTAGACAAAATATTTCTACTTCGGTTTGATACAGTTTTGCTACAATCGTTTATCTCTTAGGCTGAGTATCAGCCCCCCTCGCCGCCTCCCCCCCTCCACGACAACCCTGCTCTAATTTCTATGTGAATAATGGTTAGATGCCTACTTATTTACATTTTCTAACGCATTGGAAAAAAGTAGCCTTTGAGTGTGAAGGTATTTTAGATTCACTCTATTTCAAATAACTACACAACACAAAATTCGTCATTTCACCAAATATTGAAAACTTAACTGTTTTTAAAGTGACCGCCATATTACATATAAATGGGCGAACATTATGCATATATCTGTCTGCGAAAATCACTTTGTAATCGGTTAGCTGAGAAAGATGTAAAAAGAACATCAGTGGCGCAGCAAACTCTCTTTGAAAACAAGTGGTTGTCAAAACCAAACAAAACAAAAGGCAGCCATGAAATCGAAAAAAAAATGAACTGCATTTACCGATTTGAACAAAGTCATTGTTTTCTAAAACATCTCTTATTCTATCACTTGCGTTGAGTAGGCACGATTCTCCGTTTTTCGTACGGACGTGGCATTTTAGGTCAACTGCATCGGCCTCCAGGCACAATCTTGTTTTCATTTCGGAGGCAATCCAGCCAACCTTCGATTCACCATCCCCGCACGGTAAAGCATTCCACTGACCATCGTCAACTTTCACAAACAATTTCATACTCGGAAATTGCCCCGAAAGAGCCAATATGCTTGGACCAGTTTCCGTCCAAATGTAGCGGGCTTTTTAGTCATGCGAAACAGTTATAATGATCCTTGCAGCCCTGTTTCCATTCCGAACCTTCAACAGCCAATCAGGTGAGAGTTTAAGGGGGTGTGACAAAGGCGTGCATTGTTTTTTAAATGACAATTCTTTGAAAAAAGAAGGTGAGATTATTTCACGATTGTGAACCTGGATAGACTCTTTCACACAGCTAGACGACACGGTCCGTCGATTAGACCATAGACAAATGAAAGGGTTATCCGGGGGGAAGTGACGGTGCCACATGATGTGTGCTGCTCTAGAAGTTTGATCGCCTAATGATTTTATTTAGCCTTTATTATCTCCTGCAATTTAATTAAGAAATGAGAGAACATCGAATGAGTAACTTTATTCGAAATTTTTAAAGGGGGGCTCACAACATTGTTTAAAATTACTTTACCGTAGCTCAGCCTGTTCGTAATTTGTTTTAAACTTTTGACAAATTTTGAGGCTCGTGTTCTTATAAAATTGTTCTTAGAAAAAAAGAGTCTGCAATTCCCATATAAACAAAGATAATGAAAGTGTGTCACAGTGTGTAAAAATTAATCACTACATCAATATAAAAACTGCTATCAGATCCCCCGGAGGACACGTAGGGGGTGAAGGTGGCCCTGCATTAGTTTTTTACCCCACATTCCCAACATTCGAGGCGAAAAAAGCGAAATTGTGGAAAACTTTTCATTGCTACTGTTTGATTTTTAGATATCTGTTCCTAATTCGGGTTTCTTATTTCGATCACAGTCCCCGCGCTCCGTCCATTCAGTGCCATAGAGATCTCCATATCCAGTACTTGAACATTGGTGAATATCGTCATACCACCGTGCCACGTCAAATAGGAGAGCTGCTGCATCTAGAAAACTTTATGGTTAGGCGGTTTTCATTGAAAGCGCTTTCCTCGGCCCACGAAACTAGGGAAGCGTGTAACTTATCAAAAAGAATGTGCAACGCAACGTGTATCTTACTTTTCTTTTCCAAATCAACATTCCTGTTTCAGAGCAATAAAGGGAAAGACAGGCAGTTGATAAAGGTCTTTAATCAGGGCAAATTTTCCTCAATTATACCACCTCTGTACTTAGCCATTCATATTTTCATTTAGCTTATGACGTCATCTGTGAGCATTACAAATTTATTTCAAAAACTATATGGCGGAGGATTTAGATTTTCGGGAACAGTTACTCGGTCACGAAACGTATCTGGGATCTAGGCCCTAAGGGTTCTGCCACAAAGCAAATTATGAGGATTACCCACTAGCATTTTCTTTGATTAAGCTGATATAATCCATTAAAAGAATGGCATCAGCAATTCAGCCATCCCAATCTTTCTCAAAACTAAACCAATCATCTATTGGATAGAAATCGGTCATTCCTCACACAGACATTGCGGTGTCGACAATTGAACTCTGTTAAAATGGGGACGCAGTGCGATAAGAACATCGATAAAAGATAAAACACATATCTTTGAGGTTAAGAACCACTAAGAGATAGTTATTGAAATGACGCGCAAATTGCTTGATACCATTAGTAGCATTCCATTGAAACATGTTGACATCATACAGGCCATGTTTTGTACAAAGCCGCATATAAGGTTTTACACAAACTCAAATTGAGGCTCTCTTGATGATAAAATTGTAGTTCAAGCATTGATATAGAGCGTTATGTTGGTAACGTTGCTAGTTCGAACAAACTTTGTATTACATGACATTTTTTACAAACTAACCAGGATGAGCCAGCCTCAAGAGATGTGGTAGCAGCGATGCCTTCGAAAACAGTAGAAAAGGGACCGTGTTGTAGGGTACTTCTAGCAGTCACACCAAAGATCACAACAAAGACCACATCCTATATACTTGCATTCGTGTAAAAGCTTCTAAAGTTGTGTTATAAAATTGTTCAAGTTATTCACATACTCCAAGAGGCTAATAGAATCTGCTCATTCACGAAAATTCATTTGCATAGTAAAGGGTTGGTTCACATTGGCAATTAATGAATTCGCTAACAAATCATTTACTGGCTTGTTAAAGGGGCTGATACCCCCAAATATATCTCTTATTTTAAAGGGTGCGGACTCCTGTATGATAGTTCAACCCGGAGTGAACGATATATTTATACATAAGACCTATAAGCAATCGGTAAAAAGGCTGTTTGGTGATTTTCTTTGCGGTCAGTAAAAAGCTGGCGACAAAATGCCACAGTTTTAAAATGCAACTCTTCAAACACCACAACCCTCACTATTTCACAGAAACGGGCAAAGGAGTCTGTTCCAACCTTAACTTGATATTTCTCTTCTTTACCTTTTTAGACCTCTTTCAAGAATGTCTCATGTTTAATAAAATTCTATGCATGTACTGCAACAGAATGAATTTTGTTGAATACAGTGATGTTTTCAACGTGTTGTAGTGGAAAAACCACCTCAGAAGAAGGTAAAGAAGCTTAATTCCCAAATAACAACCAAATAAGGAGCATACAGACTCTTACGAAAAGTTGCTACTTTGCATTTTGGTTTAATAAAATCATGAAATTTTAACCAATCAGTGTCATCAGTTACCTCGTATATCGTAACATGGTGCTTTAATTGAAGAAGCCTAGCTCAGGCAATATACAATACCATGAAATAGATTGTAGGGGGAGGAATAATACATTCAAACAATCTTTTGGTGGTACAAAACTTGTAAATGGCTTTGAAAAAAGCAAACATTTAGTAAACTAAAGCTTTTCGTCTGACACTCTTCAGAGTTTAAAACGTCAGAACATAGATCGAAAACTCTACGCTAGGAAATATATATATACCCAGTTGTGGATCGAAATAGGCCAAACAGAAACACGAGCACATGACTGTATAGGTTGAGCAATCAGTGCCGCTTGCCTATTGAGAATGTTACCAATGGAGTCCTAAGGTGAAAACGAACTCCTTTTGTCTACAAAGTAGCGGTTTTCTAGTAAATGCAAATATTCAAAACATTGTATCAAGGACTCTTTTACATTCACTGAGTTCATGCAAAACTTGAACATCAAAGACGAAACATCTTTCATGTGTTCTTTTGACATTGGCAGTCTTTTCACAAATGTCCCTTTAAATGATACCATCAAAATATGTGCCGACGCTTTGTACCGGAGCAAGCTTAATAGCCCACCATTCCCAGAGGAAGTATTCATTGAACTGATGGAAACTGCAACACGTTCAGTTGAATTCAGTTTTAACAATGAAATGTACCAACAAAAAATTGGTGTCGCTATGGGTAGCCCTCTGGGACCGGCCTTGGCCAATATCTTTGCTGGCTTTCATGAAGAGCGTTTGTTCGACTACGACCAAAAGCCAGGTGTCTATTTTCGGTATGTGGATGACACATATTCCATTTTCAAAAAGCGCCTTAATGGCCTTCACACAGCCCTACATTTTACATTTGAAAAGGAAGAAAATAACTCCTTGCCATTTTTAGATGTTTTGGTTGAAAAATCTAACACTGGATTTCTTACTAGTGTATACCGTAAACCCACATTTTCGGGGTTATACACACGATGGAGTTCGTTTTGCCCAAACAAAGAAAAATCAGCCTCATCAAAACGCTTACACATAGGGCACTGATGATTTGTTCCAAGTCTAAACTCGACTCAGAACTTGAAAAACTAACTAAGAATTTTCTGGAGAACGGCTATCCAGAGGATGTTATTTCAGTTTACATTGAGTAGAAGATAGGAAATTTCTCGGCTGACGTAAAATTTGGTCCTCAAAAGTGCCCGGTCTGTCTAAAACTACCCTGGATCGGTGACAGTTCCCTACGTTTTGAAAGCCAAATCAAACAGGCCATTACAAATTGTTTCTTTGCGGTCAACCCACGTGTTGTTTATAGTACGAAAAAGGCCCTTCCGTCCATTCAAAAGGACTGCGTTCCTGCCACACAAAAAATTTCTGTTGTATATGAATTTACGTGCCAGTGTGATTCTGGCTACGTAGGACGCACTACCCAAAGATTGGAGGATAGAATAAAACAACATGTTCCGTCTAATATTAGAAACAAAACCCATCCCCAAAGAGAACAGCCACCTCGGTCTTGCAAATCTAAAATTACAACTAAAACCTGCGATTCTGCTATCGGGCAGCATTTACTAGAAAACCAAGATTGTGCAAAAAACTATAATGGCGACATGTTTACGATTATTGGTAAAGCCCGATCGTCGTTCCACCTAGCAGTTTTAGAATCTATCTACATAAGCACGAAAAAACCGCTACTGTGTAGACAAAAGGAGTTCGTTTTCACCTTAGGACTCCATTGGTAACATTCTAATAGGCAAGCAGCACTGATTGGTCAACCTTTACAGTCATGTGCTCGTGTTTCTGATTGGCCTATTTCGATCCACAACTGGGTATATATATTTCTTAGCGTAGAGTTTTCGATCTATGTTCTGACGTTTTAAACTCTGAAAAGTGTCAGACGAAAAGCTTTAGTTTACTAAATGTTTGCTTTTTTCAAAGCCATTTACATTTACAAATAATACATTCCTTCGCGAAAAGCTTTACATAATTATTGGGTTAAAACGTTTTGCAAAATTTGTCCTTGAAAACTTGACTGGTTAAAGAGGTGTTCCTTTCAGCTGACCCAGAACTCACTTTCACATTGCGAGTTAAACGCAAAATCTACCCATATCACATGCAATATTTAAAATACATTGTCCTTTGAGGTTGTAAGTGTGTTCCTATTATTCCTCGATGTATTGTATAACAATTTTAACGGTTTGCAGCCTCCTTCCAATGTTGTATCGATCGCAAACATCGTCATATATCATAACAATTGTAGTTGGCAGAATCGAGGCCTAGTTAAAAGAGGTAAAGCATGAATATTTTTTAGAACAGAAAAGAAAAATATGTGAATCTAATTATCACAATAAACATAGATAGGGCCATAGCCACTAAAGGAGGAGGAAGAGGTTGGTTGTGACGGGGGGAGAATGCTGTGGGAGAAGTCGGGAGAAAACTTGTGGGAGAAGATTGTAGCCGGTGGTGTAAGAGCCAAGGGTTCATAGGCACATACCCCCTTAGCTATTGTCCAGCTGCAAAATTTTTACAGTGTCTCATTTTAACTGAAAAGCGTCAACTTTCGTCTGAAATGTGCCACTGACGCCCTTAACCTATAATACAGAATGATGCTCGCTTTTCATCATGCTCCCACTAAACATGCTTGTACGCCAGTCAATCGAATATTAGTTTGTTGAAAACTTTCAAAAAATACTACCTGTCGTAAATATCTAGATGCGATGCAACATAGCGAAGTGTGTCTCCGTATTCCTGTTTGACAATATCCCGAATCATTGGAGGATGCGATGAGTCAACTTCCAACCAAATAAAGCTGTAGACAGGCGAAGTTAGAAGATTAAAAAGAAGCATGTCGTCGTTAGACCAAGTACAAGTAAGTCAACATCGGAGAAACGCATACAAGGGAACTGGCTTTAAACGCATACAGGAGTTTTGCATTAAGAACGTATTTTTGTGACCTATTCTCAACACATATGGGAGATTCTTTTTAAGCACACGAGAAATCTTCTATTTAAAACATACGGAAGATCTCCTGTTTGACGTATACGGGAAAATTTTTAACGCATATGGGAGATCTTTTTACGTACATGGGAGATCATTTATTTAATACGCAGGGAGATCTTCTACTTATCGTATACGGGAAATCTTCAATTTAATGCATACGAAAGATCTCCTGTTTGACGCATACGGGAAATTTTTAACGCATATGGGAGATTTTTTTACGTACATGGGAGATCTTTCATTTAACACGCAGGGAGATCTTCTACTTATCGCTTACGGGAAATCTTCAATTTAATAAATATGGAAGACCCTCTACTTAACGCAATACGGGATTATGTTACGCGTAAAGTAGCTGTTTCATTTTAACGCATAACCCTTTATTCGACACATGCAGGAGACCTTCTATCTAGGGCGACGGAACGCTAGTACAATTTTTGTTCTATTAAGACTGGAAATCAAATAACAACATGTTAGGGCAATACAGTAGGCTTCCACTTATTCGAATTTGCACTTTTCAGTTACTCCCTTTATAATCACTTCAACATTTCGTTAAAAATACCCTCTTTCTTTGATTTCCAGTTGCAAGAATCCTTAAATCCAAGTACCTATCCAAAGTCAAAAGAAAATTAAGCAAGGTGCTTTGCAAGTCATTGTGCAAGGCTGTACATGAAAATCTGTGAGTCACAAATTAAGTCTTCCTTCAATTCCAACTTTTTCCAAAATGCTTAATGCTTCAACGGAACTCAACTTTTCTTTTGAAAATCAATAAACATGGCCTAGTAGCCCTGTCTAAGGATAAATATTAATATCAGATACACTTTAAGATATTTGATTATTCGAGCCTCTACTCCTCTATTCCTCTTGGACCTGAGAATAGGTTAATTCTTCTGCCGCATAAGCTAAGTTTCAAAAGACAAGTATATCTCTTTAATCTTAAAGCTTAATGTAAACTAGGGGTATCCAGCTATCATTACACAATGAAAATATTCAAAACGAAGCATTGCATCCGCAACCGCAGCCTGAAATTCAGTAGAAATTAACCCTAACATTAATCCCTTTTAACTTCTTTCTTGGATTACTTTTGACTTCTATGAGATTTTATTTACAGAAAGGCGTCAACTTGAGCTAACTAGTACAATAAAAACCGAAATTATAAAAGAAATCGTGAAAGTGCAGATTTTTTTAAAGAGTTCAGACAATACTGAAGCCGATTTCAGCCTGTTGGCGTTAAATACTCTTTGCACTTGAAATGAAGGCTATACTTTGAATTTTGAAACAATTTGGCTTACCCTCCCTTTCGCAAAAGCAATTGTGCTGCCGAGAGAAATTTCGATACCAAATCTAAGCCAGTTTCCCCTCCATGCAGTGCCCTTTTATCTTCATACCTAAAATAAATTTTGAAAAAAAGTCACGATTCTGAGAGGCAAAATCCCTCTCAGACAAACGTGTTCTGTTGACAACCTTGTTTCAATCAAACAAAAGCATGATATGTTAAGTGAGGAGAAGTGAGGCACGAGAGATGCAATGCTTTATACATTCTTCGTCATCCTGGGACAACTACTATTAGATCTCATTTATATGAAAATCATTGCAGACCGTTCCTTCTATTCAGATGTGAAGGTTGTGCTCGATAAACCATTCAAGATATTGCCTATCATTCTAATACACCGTTGTCGCAAACGACCGTTGCTTGGAGGCGTTTTCTTAGCTGCTTATGTTAGGGAGAGGCCCAGGGTACCTATGACTCACCCATAACAAGGGAAGTCAAAGAAAGAGGCTGAAAGAACAGAGATAAAGGTGAAATCAAGATTGTGAAAAGCAGAAGATGGAAAATGCATCAAGTTGCTATAAAGATAACGATAGGAAAATTCTGCTCCGCTTTTTATATTACACAACACGGATCAAATGTTATCAGAACTGACAGCACACTGAAGCTAGATGCTTACGTGTATGAAGGAGCAAAAAAGATCACCATTGATTTTAGCTTCTTCTTATTTGGCCAGTTTAGATTTGGCTAAATTTATGCTTAAATACCCAGTCCATGTAAGATTCTCGAAATCTGTCTAGTGGTCAGGCGAAGTCATTCAGACCCCTCCCTACCGTTCCTCTGTATCAGAACAGTCTTTCAAGACAGTACAGAACAGTCTTGAAAGACTAACTCTGATGGGAAGCGGGGAGTCATTCAGAACTGGGGTAGAGGGGGATTGGTTCTTTAGTTGAGTATTTATGCTTTCTTTAACAGTTGAGCATTTACGCCTTCGAAATAGTTTGATGCCCCATGCATCGAATTCATCAGCTTTAAAAGTCTACAATAAATTAAAATCAACAGCTTTAAATGGTCTTACAATGATATCTCTGGCTGCAAGCTCTGCATATCCTTAGTTGGAATGTAAGGTGGATTGCTGACAATAACATCAAACTTCTCTCCGGTTTTATGTCCATTCAAATAATCATCTACATATAACAAAGATTCTATCAACTACGTGATATGACATCTGAGTTTACCAATGAAGGCTTGTACGAAATGAGAATGAAAATTCATGAAATTAAGATTATTCTGGGATTTTATCTCGAAAATAGGAAAGCTACATTCTTTCTGATGTTAAGAGACATTACACAGGATTGTCAAATATCCAGTAGGCTTGTTATGATAAATGCCTTGAAAATGATAAAGTTGACATAGTTTACGATACCAAATGAACTGTGGATGATTTTGCATCGTGAGGAAAGTCCCAACCTGTCGAATTAAGCAGACATTGACTGTAGAAAAATCCGAGAAAAGGAAGCCACACACATGACAAAAATATAAAGACATGTGTTTATAGCATGGCTTACGGTTTAACGGTTCCAGAAAGTTTATTCGTTTGACGTTATAGACTTTTTCAACAGCTCTGGTTAGCAAGGTCTCAAGATGCACACTTAAAATTAAATTTTATCAGGGTTTTTTACATTTATTCTTTAACAAATTGCGTCACTCTTCTATAAATAGCTCACCTTTCGCTATTAATCTTCGACAAAGCAAAAGCTTCTTTCGATATATCAACAGCGGTGCAAGTAGCCTAAAAGTTAAGCATTGAAGTTTTGAACTTTTTCTATCACTACAGGCAAGCTTGTCTTATACTTTAAATCGAAGCAGGAAAGGAGGCAAAGCATTAAAGTTGCGGATAATACGCAGGCAATCTGCACATTTTGGACCTTTAACTGGATCATAAATCAACAGTGGTGGGGTTAAAGTCAGAAAACGTGACTGTTTGATATAAAAAAATCTCCAATCCTATCAAAATTTCCCCTCAATAACTTTCCGAATCTAGGCAAATGAACATTCGATAGTTGGAACAGATTTCTTTTAAGTCAAAACCTCAAATTACCAGCTTTTGATTGTAATTTTGCTATTTTCTCCTTATATAAAAATATATGGAAGCAGCTGTGGAATTACATCGAATTTAAATAGAGTATTTGAGTTATTGCATTGAAATACAAGTAAGTGCCATTCATGATATTTTCAAGCTACCCTATCAAAGCAACAGTTAAAAAGCCTTTAGTACTGCAAAGTCTTAAAATAGCACGAAAGAGCAAAAACATATCACATTATACTAAATGAAATTATATGCTTCCACTCTTCCATGCTATTCTCAAAGCAATAGTTGTTGTATTAGATAAGGTATTAAGTTGGACAAAAAAATATTTTGTTACTGGCTTTATAAATAGATTCTGACCAATCAAAATAGAAATAGAACCTCACAGTTTCCCGCTATTTTCCAAATAAAGTGTTTAAAGCCAGTTCCCCTGAGTGCCTTTATCCGATGTTGACTTATTTCAACTTGGCCTTTATTTTACAAATATAGAGATAGAACACGTGACAACGGCACCAAACCTTTGGATTCTCTTTTACTAGTGATAGCGAAATTGCACCACTTCCACAGCCGATTTCTAGTATGTTGCTATCCAATGATCCATCTTTGGTCAATGTTTCATTTATCAAATCAATCAAACCCTAAAAAAGACAGCCCAGTTTAAAGACAAGTTTGATTATATAATTCAATCAAAGTGTTTAGAAATTGATATTTTTCAATGAAGGAAACAAATAAATACCTCAGTCTCAGATCTTGGAATGAAAACAGGTGGTCTCATAAGCAAATTTAGTGAACGAAAATCCCAATCTCCAATGATATATTGAACAGGTTCCCTGCAAAAGTATATTAACAGTCAAGAATTGCCAGAGCAGATAAACTGCATGACTCATTAGATAAAGTTTCAGGCCCTTGCAGCATTTGATTTTCAGGTTTCAAAATCAAAGAATCACAAAACGATGAATTCATTGCCAAAATATTATCCCTTCCCCAACATCTTATCATCTAATTTTACATCACAAAACATTTACAATACAAATTCAAAAGGAATTCTAGCAGCAAAAAAACTTCAAAAGGTTATAAGGTTGATACCATGGGGTGCAATAAACTATGACTATCTGATGACATTACAAAAAAGTTAAAAATCACTATTGAAATGGTCTACATTTGAAATATTTGAAATGCAAAATAACATTGGTGGGAAGATAAGGAGGGAGTAGGGCAAGAGATTTGATTGAAAGCAACCAGTTCTGCTTATAGAACACATTATTCTTAAATGAGAATGCATCCATTCACTTTTTTTGGAATATTTTTTTTCACTGTACAACAAGATTTATAACAGGGCTTTATTTTCAATATTTGCATATCTATAAGGTTGCAATTGAGTCAGGAAAGGGAAGGAAAGGGGGCTGTGCAGTAGGCGAATTCAAAGGCCACATCCATGACCACACCAAACCTACTTGCATTTGTGTTAAAGATTCTCTGTTGCATGTAGAAACATCCAAACTAACATGATAACACAAACAAACTGATTCCAGTCCACCTTCTCCCCCCAAAGGTTTTTCAATGAATTTCGAGAAATTAGAAAATCAACTTCTTGGAAAACTGGGGTGGACACATCCACCCAAGTCCATCTCATGACGGCCACTGGGAACCAGGATGATTATTCAAATCATGATGGTAGAAGAAATATTTTACTTTAATATAATCATATTCTTATGAATTTTTGTTTTGGGAAATCAAATTCCAAAAAATTCCTGTTTATGTCATCTATGTTTTTAGGATTTCCAGATATTTAAATGGGTGCATTTAAATGTGACTCGCAAAATCCATTGCAATTCCTACATAATCAAAAATCTCAGTTTTTGCCACTGCATCCAATTACAGGCACTGATTGCAAACTTTTGGGTCTATTCTCTACAGCACAAACATAGACACTACCTTTTCATTCGTCTTCTGCAAAGTTTCTCAAACTCATCAAAGAAGTCAATTTTCATAAATGAATTATCATTTGATTTCTGCTGCTCTAAGTTCTGCAAAAGAAAAGACAAATAATTACTAGAAAGCAAAATTATAGCTGTATTTTTGAAATTCATGTTTTCTTAGAACTAGAAAAATAAAGGCAACCCCTATCTATTGTTTTTCTATTTAATGAAAATAATAAATTGTCTTCAGGTCTGTCATAAACTGCTCAACAACACAAGGCAGAGCTGGATACCAGAAGCATTTTTCTATTTATTTCTGTCATTTTTCTTTAAAAAAATAGGGAACAGGAGATTCTTTCTTGATTTGTTTAACCTACCTACAAAGCTTTTCCTTTACTAGCAAGTTTGAAATGTAATGGAAATTTCTTTATAATTCAACCTTTTGATTCACTTTTCGTATGATTGGTAGCACTGCATTAAGAATTAGCATCGTGTAGCCTGTGATTTTAGCACTATAACAATAGCTTATCATCGTCGACGAATCGAACAAATATAAAACTATGATCGTAAAGAACTAGTTAGGCTCATCATTGTCACTGAAAGTTGCAAGGACAATAACAATTGAAGAGATTTTGCATCTTAATCAACCAATATTTGCTGCTAATTAGTTATCAAATAGACATACGAGTCTGTTGATATGCTCTGCAATCCATTTTATACTATATTCTGGATCTGGAATTCCAGCATCTTGTAACTTAGATTGCCAATGTTGTTGAATCTTCACAGGCAACACAGAACAGTGAAGGGCTCGTTTGAAAATGATCCTTCCTATGTCACTCTCCTTGACACGTTGCTTTAATCGAAAATGAAAAAGGAAAACATACAGGAGTCTATTCGTCTTTTTTGCTGAAGGGAACATTTCTAAAAAAAACTGATCAATAACAACATTCAGCTGATCCGATTCACTTTTCGCGCCATAATCCGCTGACACCGCTATTGTAAATGCCTCGATTTCACTCAGCATTCGTTCACATTTGTTCACATTTTTGTGCCATTTGCTGTTGATTGAACCAGATTGAAACCCCTTTGCCTCTCGAAGCCGGTGAAGTACCAGAGGATACAATAACTCGCATAAGGTATTCCATCTTTGAAAATTTGCCTTTTGTTACAGGATTATGAGCAATTGGTGCTTAAGCAAGATGTTAGTTTGATATTAAATCATCAGATTGGAAAGAACTGAGAACGATTTCAGCAACATGTTTTTAATTTGAATGATGGTGGTGTATGATAAATAAAAATAATAAAGGAAGAATTTTTATACAATTCACTGGTAAAGAAAATACTCTTTTTTTATAACAACAGTTTTATAAGAAAACAAGCCTCAAAATTGGTCAAGTTGAGAACAAGCCCAGACTGAGTAAATGTGATTTTGAACCATGTTGTGGAACTCTGTTATAATTTTTTTATCTCAAAAGTGAGGAGTTTTTGTCATTTAAGGCTGCTTTTTCAGTGAATTTTTAAGTTTTTCAGCATTTAAAGATTGTCCCTCTCACTTTGTTGGCAAATGAGGCCTGAAAACCTCCCTAGATCAGCACAATAGCTAGTAACTGCACTGCTTAGACCCTAATCATTTAAGAACAAATAAAGAACAATCTAGCCTCAAAATTTTTGAAACAATTAAGAAAAGCCAGTCTGAAACTTAATTTACTAGTTCTTATAAAAGATGGTATAATGCTGCCATGCTCAGGATGCAGAGACAATTGAAATGGTTTTTGTGGTCATCAACCTGCTGTGAAATAATCATTACAAGGATTGATTATAGCCAAGTTGCATGTTGCAATTATGCTTGTTTTTTAATGTTAGTTATCAAGTTAGTGTATGAAAATGTGTCAAAAATATTTTACAACATGCATTACTTTTTATTATTGGTAATAAAGAAAATGTAAAGACATATTTAATATAGAAGTCATGGTTAGGAGAACTAGAGAAGGAAAAACATTGTGTTATTTAGGCGCAGAGATACAAAATTGCTTTATCCTTTAATCTGTTTATTTAATGTTTGATTGATACTTTTGTATTAAGAATTTCTGAAAATATTTGCAAAATTGTCTTTGTTGATCTTTATGTAAGGAGTACATCATTCCATATCTTTTCCGTTATATGCTTTGAATTTTTTAACCCTTTGCTTGGGGTATTCCCTGTGCCATGATCCGTTTAAACGCAGTCCTCCCAAATGGGTTCCTTATACTGTTCCTCTGTTTCAGTTTAAAACAAACAAAATCTGAATGTATTTTATTTTTTTAGACAGCATGCCACCTGAAGCTGGACAAGAGAAAACAGAAAAATTTCATCTTACATGTGGTATGTACAATGTTTTTCAAATCTTTCTTCATAGTAAACAAATGCATTAAAAATCATCAGGTTTAGACTAGGTGGAGAGTAAGGGAATGGTGGTCTGAGAGCGAAGTTTATGGGACCAAGTGCTTTTGGTCAATTTGAGGGTACTGATTTTGAAAATCAATGTGATATGGCGATATTGGGGGGGGGGGGGGCCAACAGCCTCTTTCTGTGTAAATAAATGTTTAAATGGAAATAAATCTAATAAATGTTTAAATGGAAATATTCCAAGATCTTAAAGTTGATTTAGCATATTTCTTGTGCATAAATGCTTAAAATTGAATTTTTTGTTCTGTATCTGTATAAAGCTTGCAATGCATTTAAAACAGACAGTTGTATCCCTTTTTTTCTGGTTTAGTCATCAATGGCTGACCTTTTGTGAAGCAACATTTCTTCACATATTTCTTTGCATTTCTTTATTCTTAGCTGTATCCAAACAAAAACAATGAGGGAAGGGGCTAAGTTCCCCACTTTTTTGAAAATTTTAGCAAGGGGGCTGAGCCCCTCACCACTACATCACACATACAAGCCAAGAGCACCTAGTACTATATTTTTAATAAAGTTATACTTTTGTTGCTTATTCCATGATACTAGCAACAAAAGCTACCAGTATCCTACCTGCTTATCAATAGAATTATGTATGTATGTATGTATGTATGATGTATGTGTGTATGTAGTATGTAGAGCAGTCTGAGCTTAATAGCTAATTAGGCTCTGTTTGTAAATCAAGAGGATATATCTAGATTGCTGGCCAAAAAACATACTAGCTTGTTCAACAAGAAATGTGTGATTATTGTAAGAGTAAACTTTTTTCTGTAACAGTACGCCCTTAATCTGTGTAGTCATCTTTGATATGTATCATGTTTGTATCTTAACTTGTCACTTTCACACAACTCCTTTTCTTTCAGACCTTGTAAGCATTGGATTCGAGCCAGTTGGAAGATGGTTTGAAGCTTATTTGAGACGACAGAAACGAGAAAAGTCAGCATCTATCAGTTCAAACCCGAGTGATGATAGTGAGCAGATAAATGATGATGATGATGTTGATACTTTTGAGCTTACCGAAGACGAAAGGGCATTCTTACTAAGTCTTGATTCAAAAGAATGGAAAAAGCAAGATCATTATAGAGTCCTGCGAATAAAAGACCGCTTTGCTGCAACTGAAGAGGCTATAAAGAAAGCTTGTGAGTCGACAACACTCAGAACTGTTTGAATCTTGAGAATCTTGACTTTTTTTGAAATCATTTTACTGTGAATTTTAAATGGTTTTTTTCAATCGATAACCATCATACATTGTTTAAAAATCTTCATATTTACAGTTTTCAACTGAGAGAATTTCGTCAAATTTGTGACATGTACTCATAAGCTAATACCTTTTCTTCTGTGATCATGTTTCTTAGCAGTTTCTCTGACTTGTATTTTGTAATTAAGACCTAGCTGAAAACCGTAACTCAGTTGTTTGTTTTTTTGTATTGTAGATAGGAAAATGGTTTTACAGCACCATCCTGACAAAAAGAGTAGCAGAAAAAGCAACTTTGAGGTGCCTGGTCTCAATGAACACGAGTACTTCACTTGTATCACCAAAGCTTATGAAATATTGAGTAATGTCACTACAAGGAGAGCATATGATAGTGTGGATCCAACCTTTAATGAGGATATCCCTACGTCTGTTAAAGGAGATTTCTTTGAAACATTTAAACCGGTTTTCAGTAGAAATTCCAGGTGACTAAATTTTTTTTGTAAAAGACTTTAAATTATGTTGGCTATTTTAATAAGAAATTTAATATGCTATGCTAAAAATTGATGTAAATATTCCCAATAGATGAATTTAAACTTGTTCTTTGTTTATTGAATCTGCTTATTCCAGAAAAGAGTATATAACTTATTCCAGTATGGTTTAAATTTTATCCTATTATCCTTTTTGTCTTTAACAATTTGTCCAAACAAGAAATGTCCAAACTATTACTGAAAAGTTTTTTATATAGATGTTAAGTTTTTTTATGACCACAATTCTTGAATCGAAAACGTTTTTGAAATATGACTCAGGTTTTTAAAACTGAAATTTCTCAACACAAAATGTTGGTAATTTCCTCTTTTTTTTAGACATATATCTGAATAATGCCCATTTCATTGTTTTATTCATTTTAGATGGTCAGTAAAGACACCAGCCCTAGATCTTGGAGATATGGATAGTTCTGAAGATTACGTCAATGAATTTTATGCGTTTTGGTAAGTCGAGGGACTGCTAGCAAAGATAATTTCCTAAATTTTAATGCTTACAAGGACTTGTATAAAGAGCGAATTTTATTTTCTTTTTTCTTTTATTAAAGCAGAAAGCGTTAAATATGTTCTTTTGTCTGTTTGATTTAAGGTACGATTTCGATTCATGGAGAGAGTTTTCGTATCTCGATGAAGAAGATAAAGGAATGGCAGAAAGGTTGGTTCGTTTTCATTACAAATGTTTAATTATTACATAAGGACCAATCTTAGTTCAAATAAAGCCTACTAACTTCGTATGATAGTAAATGCAAAAGCAATTGTCAATTTCTTGAATAAGTAGATCTCAAAACTGTGAGCCAGACAATGTATTTTTTTAGCAAAATTTCTATGCGTCGAGATTTGATTTTTGTTCATCGTGCAACCGGAAATATTTGCATCAAAGCAATAAAAAAACCTGATATAATATGAAATCTGAAACAAGGTATTGAAAGAGATTCGAATTGAAAATGGCTTTGAAAAAAGCAAACATTTGAGTAAACTAAATCTTTTCGTTTGACTCTCTTCGGAGTTAATGAAGTGTGTCAGAGCTCTAAAGTGTGTCAGACGAAAAGCTTTAGTTTACTCAAATGTTTGCTTTTTTAAAGCCATTTTCAAGTTTTGTACCACCAAAAGATTGTTTGAAATTCGACTTATCGACCACGCTGCAACAGTTGAGGTATTTCTTCCTAAACCATTTGAGCATTGTATATCAAATATAGCATCGTTTCATAGGATAATTTTTGCCTTTAATAGCATGCTCTTAAACATTTCCTTGATGTGGGAAATTCATTGAAAAGTGGTGCCGGAATGTATATTGAAGAATTACAGCCGTTTTCGGTTTTTCAAATCACTAATGTATTTCTTATACTTGGCTAAAGCAGGGGTTAGATTTTTTATGAAGATCTTTTGGACCTGGAGTAAAATTTTAGTTGGAAATTTTGATCCAATTTTTGGTAATCAGCATACAACAGGATTTACAATACAACTTTCCTAGCGTTCAACCTTCTAAAATGTTATACTTTTATGAACGTTCAACTACGTGGTTTAGAACGGTCAGCATGCTTTGAAAGCGTTGCTTCTTTCAAACAATATTTAACTGTAATTTCCAGCCGTGAAGAAAGACGATGGATGGAAAAACAAAATCGAAGAAAGCGACAGTCTCGAAAGAAAGAAGAACTTGCGAGAATCAGGCTACTTGTTGGTAAGTTGCTCCAGTCAGTAGTAAGATACAATAAGTAAAAGTACTTTAAGATACAATCAGAAGCCTCTCGAAGCTGGATGTCTTTAGGAAAAACTGCAAAACTCTACAGGTCTACGCAGGCAGAGAGGTATTTCTCTTTTGCTAATCGTTTGAATGAATAACTCTCTTTTCTACAACGGGCAACCTGTTGAATTCAGGCATCGTAAGAGGAATATATGTATTTGACTAGGAGAGAAACGTACAAATAATTTAATCTTATGCGTTTTTCGCTCTCAAAATCTTTTCTTTGCTATGATCCGCTTTCCTTTAATAAATTCTCGCTTGAGATGCACTGTTTTTGTTAGAGATAACCGTTTTAAGTGGCAAAAGAATTTGTGTTTTGATGATTTTGCGTCACCTCTTTTAAACTTACTTCAGATACAGCATATGCAAACGACCCAAGAATAAAGAAGTTTGCTGAAGAGAGGAAGCAAAGAAAGTTGCAAGATAAAAAAGCAAAAGAAGAAGCCGCCAAAGAGAAAGAAAGGGTACGTATTTTGTTTAAATATATCTCCTCGGATTTTCGTTCAGTCCAAATCCATTTTAGATACAGTCTCTGGCCATCATTTACGTTTCGCCGGCCCTGTTCCATCGGTAGATTGTTCATGAATTATTGAACATTAATTTTTATTTCTTGTATATATAATAATAGATGTATAATAATAAAATAGAAGATAGGCTGGAAATGAGACATGTTCTCTGTTACCCCGAGTTTCGTGCTTGCGCACTCATCAGACAGACTTTTATTATATCTATTGCTCTGTGCTTTTGCACATCGAGCACTGGCACGTCAGAATAGACAACGCAATCTGGAATAATAATAGATGTATAGGCCGAAATGGTCCTTAATCTACTCCAACAAAACTGAACGTCGTAATTTTAAATGGTTAATTAAAATTGCTACATCTAAAGTATTACTACAAATGGCTACTTCTAACAGCTTTAATATACAACAGCAAACTGATCAGCACATTTTTTCAAAAGGTCTGATAAATTTCATGCTTTTGGAATGCTCGCCTTACTTTTATCGCAAAAATTTGAATCAAATCAGTATATTCTTGACTCATCATCCAAATAAACTTGTTTTCATGAGTAAGATTTTTCATATAAGGATACCTCTCTTCAATTTTCGGCAAACCATTACAAAATGAAATTCGTCTTCAAAAGCGTGGGTAGAGATCGAATCGCAGTATCTGCAGATTCATACATCCATTTCAGACTCCTCATATTTTTAGAATCGGTTGCCTTTACGATGATATCGGTGTCGGGTTTCCTAGGAATAATTTAGAAATTTGTTCAGAAATGTCCTTCGACATCGCCGACAAACAAAACTATCTTTTTATCGAAAATTTGAATGACAAACATGCTTCAGTCTACTAATGAAGACGGTCTTTGTGAGCCATGTGAGCGCATAGGCGCCTTCCACACTTGCACAAAGGCTGTCTCTTGTCTCACTTGCATTTGCAACGATGATTCTAGGTTCTAGCAATGATGATGTGAACATTAATGTCCCAAGCATGTTTGGAAGCCGAAAAGTTTATGTTATACGAGCGTCGATGACTCTTGTGATACTTATGGCTAATCCGAATCAGACCTAACCTATAAAAAAGCAAGAATCTCATAGGATCTATTTAATTCGAATTTCTAATATATCTTGATGGATCAGAATCAGAAACATCGTTTCCAGGTTTCTTGCTTGAAAATATGGGCCTTGATTTGAAATGATTCAGGGTTAACGTACTCACCTGGTACTAAAGGTTGTTGGAAGTATCGGTGAACGCTCGACTATCAGAGCAGAGAGTCTTTGAGACGGGAAAAACTATGATGTGTATTCTTATTTTTTTCACTGTATATTTATTTTCAGTAGGAAAAGTACATCATCAGCTATAAGCTAATTTAAGCCTACTAGATTGGAAAACATATTTAAAAAAATTAGAAATTTTTTACAATTTTACACAAAGATTTAAATAAAAAAGCTTTCCCAGACAAATTTTTTGAGACAAAATGCAATTTTTCCAATTGTCTTACTTACGTTGCCCCTGTAAATTCGATCCTTTTCTCCTCCAGAATCAATGTTGGATTAGTTGTTTTACCGTTATCTGCTTCAAAAACACGCAATAAACAATGTTGAGTTGGGGAAGGGGGAGGGGGAAGTTGTTTTTCAAGGATCGTAGTGTTTGTTCGGGATGTTAGGACGAATTAAGAAAACCAACGTTGGCCACATTGGTTTTACAGATCCTGTAGTTGCATTTATTTCCATTCCATTATTTTATCTTACTTTAGAATTATTCAATTTGTTTTGTAGATTTCTCCATAGTCTACATGCTAAAGAGAAATCACCATAGGTCTTTGTCTATAAGTTCAGCTATAAGAAAGCATATTGTAACATCGAGGTGTGGCTTAAACCCTCACGTTACTGCTAGCCCTAAAGCATGTAAAAATTCATCGAACAACATTGACCTAGTTTTGTGCAATTTAAATCAAAATATTAGTAATGATGATTAGACTTGTACTATTTTACTGAACCAGCCAACATTTTGCTATCACGTTGTCATTGGGTATTTCGAACTAAAATTCCATCAAGCAATTTATTATTTTCAATATTTAGATAATTAGGATATGATTAGTATTAAAAAACCTTATAATCAAGGGGATCTCTCTTTGCTACTTCTTGCGACATACTAAATCGATGCGGACGTAATAGCTTTTTTGAGAGGCTGTGACGTAACATTCTATTGCAACAAGGCGTAGATTAATCTGACGTAATATTTGAGAAAAATGCTTTCATATGCTTACAATGATCTTGAAGTTTGTCAAACGAAGTTGACTTTCGTGATAACAGTACATCGATGCTAACGAATCGAAATGGGAAATTTATTTTCAAAAAGAAGCAAAGTTTCACCGTTAAGTGAAGGAGAAGGGAGCTCTGAATTGAAGAAAAAAGGCCAGTTGAAAAGGAACTGGTACCGAGGCCTGCTTTGTTGCGATAGAAATTCAGTCACAGTAATACAGTCGCTGGCTCAAAATGCCGAGCCAATTGCAAGCAGCCGTGAAGAGATGACCAGAAATGGCTTGAAAGGCGATAAGGATCTTCAGATTGAAGCATGCAAGGAAGCAGATATAAATTCATCTGCAGAGTTTGACCTGACTGAGCCAAGGCAGCTTCAAATGTCACCAGACAATTGGCAATTGTTGGAGGAAGCAGAAGATGATAGATCGAGAGTAGTAAGAAGCAGGCTCGTTGTGAGAAGGGACGAGGAAGGTCATGCAAGAGCTGTCGCTTTTGACGTCGAGTTGCAGGAATTCGACTTGCCAAACAGACCACACTCGAGCCTTTCGATGAGCCACCGAGCAGATAGGCCTGGAAGATTGACTAACAGGTTGCCTGAGCTTTCGGCAGTCACGAAAGAAGAGATCCAGAGAAAGTAAGTAAATTGTTATACTTTAAAAACCTTTTAATGTTTGACAGTAAGTGTTTCTTTGGTAATCATAAGAATTATAGAAACCAGAGTAAATCAATCGCTGTTTCCTTGCTTTCTAGGTTATCTCAAGCTGTAGAGAGAAGAGACGTTCTAATGAGGGGCAGATCAGAGAGAATACGACAAAAGGCTGCCCTCTCGAGAGAGATGCTACAAAGGCTAGAAGCTGAAAAGCAACGCTTGCTGAGGGAGAAAATCGACGAAAAGGAGCGAAAGGCCACAGAGAAGAAAGAGAAGTTGAAAAGGAGAAAGGAGAGAAAAGCTGCTAGAAGAAGCAGACAAACAGAGAGGGCCAAAACAACCGCTGCTGAGAAAGAAAGACAAAATTGTGAAAATGCCGAAGAAGTATTGAGAGCAAAGATGAGGGCTGCGGAGGAAAAGAAGGCAGCAGTGATGCGGGCGCAGGAGAGAAAGCTTAATGCACACAGGCTTAGGCAGATCCAAGCCAAATTGAAAATGATGGACGAAGTTGGAGAAAATGAAGGATCAGAATTAGAAAACAGAAAGGGAAATTGCGATGATGACAGATTCAGGATTCCATTGCACTTGTTGAGCAAAGAAAAAAGACAAGAGGCTCGAAGGCCAGAAACTGCAATGGGAAAGGTGAATAATGTAGATATTGCCTTGTGTTACGAATCTATATTGTATATGCAATATAAGTAAGGTCTTGTAGTTCTGGGCTTTTGATGAGCTCTTTTTAAATTGGCTTTAGTTTGATTAAATTTTCGTATCGAAGATTTTTATTTGAATTTTATTTTCTAGATTGAAGAGTCAGTTGAAGAATTTTCTGAAGATGAATTCAAGCTGGAAACATATATTGATGACACTAAACATCCACTTGAAGAAGATTCAGACAGCGAGGAAGATTCTTTTTGGAACTAATATAAGGATGGGATTATACAATATGAATACACGAGGATATACTGAATTCATCGAATGCAATGTTGAAAAATGGCAAAGGGGAACCAAGTAAGATAACTGACAACTGTTTCATCAAATGGCATGGATGGTTTAAACAATCAATCCACAAGTGATACAAGATATGATATAGTTGAAAGATGGATCCAATGAATAGATGAGCTCATTTCAAGCCTTTTTGGGAAGGATAGGCTGTTGGTTTGTTTACATAAATGGACAAGCGACAATCATATATGGGAAATATATGTCAGAAGCATTTCTATAATAATTTGGATATGCCTGTGAACAGGTAGATTTGATCTCTGCAAAGAATTTTCGAGAGGTGTTGAGCTGGAAGGGTTATATTTTGGAAGACTGAATTAATTCAACGGAAGGATCAGTGGATAAGTTGACAATGGACATGAGAATTTTGCCTTGTTTGATCTTTAAAACAAGCTATCCGATATGAAGTTAATGAGCGCCTGTCAGAGGTTTTCTCTTGACATATTGACGCAATTGAAATGTGGCAATGTATATGGGATACAGTATATATATGTATTTCAGTAGACAATATGGGATATATATATTCGATGTGAAGTTGGTGATGATGTTCCAAGAAATTCTTCTTCTTAGAGTATGACAGAGGAAGACAAGGACCCGAAATATATTAAATTTTTAATGGACTGTATATTAGCCTTTGGGAAACAGTACAGTTTAAGAGTAAAATGTACTTCTCAAATGTTGTTTTTCTTCGTCTGTTTTTCTCAATTTATCTGGCATCGCTTTTTGACGAGGGTCTACAAGTGTCAAATTCAATAAGAAAGTAATGTGCCTAAGTTATGAGACCTATCTGAATTGTTTCTGAAGGTGTAAAATTACAGCGTACCTTTAAAATCAGATATTCAGATAGCTACGGCTGTGGCTTTTCAGTTCTAGTAGCACTTGTCCCAGTTGAAAAAAGCTTTAGCTAAGATACTATGAAATTCTGATAACCAAACAACAAGTAAAAGCAGTTTTTGCTGAATGCTATTAGAAAATGAAAATTGTTTGAGTGCATGAACATGTTTACATCGCTCTGTTTGTGGCCTGGTATTGGCTTGAAAATTGTCTACGATCTGAGAGTCGGTGGTGCTATGCTCCATTTTTAACAGCTATCTCTCCATTTGTGACCATTGTCTCACAGTAACCACAATGAAGATGGACCTGGAGAAAATTTTCGTTATCAGTTCCATTGTTTTGTAATTGTGCCAGCAGACCAGATGTATTGCATTTTATCATAGAAGGCGGGGGTTATAGAAAATTTGACCTGAGACCATTACTGGCCAGCGGGTTGGTTTTTGGACATGTGTTGTATAATTTATATCAGAATTTTTATATTCCCAGGAATCTAGGGCGACTAGAAAGACACATGCCTTAAAAAAATTATTTTTATCAGCATCTAAACTTCACATTTTCTTTTGATTTGATGTATTCGTTAGATTAATATTGTCAGCGAAGCTCCGTTTTAGCAGTATACCCTATTGACTTGTGTGGCCAAGAAATTGAAGTATAGATCCTGCACGTAATTTTTGAATTGACAATTTTGTGAATGTAATAAGAAAATAGGGAAATGTACCCTATTGACTTGTGTGGCCAAGAAATTGAAGTAAAGATCCTGCACGTAATTTTTGAATTGACAATTTTGTGAATTTTATAAGAAAATAGGGAAATATTTTGTTGTTAAAAATATTAAAAGCAGTTGGCGAGAGAAAAATTTTGAGAGAAGGTCTTCTGACCCCGATTTCTGTTTCGCTAGCTGAGACTTGAAGCCGAGGAAGCAGCAAGGAGGGCAAAGGAAAAAGCAGAACAGGAGGCAAAAGAAAAGGTTAGATTAAATGATACGTATTGTGCTTGATAAGTTTCGTTACTGGTTGATTTGTTGGGAATATTCGTTCACTCTCAATGCCAAAGTTGCATTTAATGATGTCGACAAGCGTAGATCTTTAAGTAATCCTTAATCTTGGACAAATTCAGACAAAGAATCAAATTTTTGAAATTTCAAGAGAATTTCTATTATTCTAACAGAAATAACCTTACCCCATCCCACCCCAACATCAATATCTAAATTCCAAGCAATTCAAACAGCTTTTACATATAAATGGGGGGCTGGAGGGATGGTTTTCTGCATTTTTGAAGATTTCTAAGATAAGTCATAATGTTTATCTTCGATTCAAAAGGCACTTAGGGAAAAGAAAGAGAGAGAAAAAGTGAAGAAAGCTGTTGCCAAAGAGAAAAAGTTCCTGCGAAATGCATTCAAGGTGAGGTTTTTTCGACTAATTTTGCTTTTACTTAGGCCATGATGTATTCCAAGGTTACTTTGCTAGTATTTCTTTTTAAGTATTAAAGATAATGAACTAATGATTTGAAACTGAATCAGAAAAGTTTATTTTGATGGGTTTTTTGCAAAACATGTTCTATGCTAAATTTTATCTTCAACAAACTGCCCCCGTTCAGCGATGACGCCAGGAATTCTCCAACTGAGTGGGTTGACTTCTCGACAAGAGGTCCAAAATATTATTCTCACCCAAGGCTTGTAGAATAAGTTCCAAATTTGACCTTCCGGCGGGGGTTAGCATGCGCCGAACGTACAGCCTTATTGTTTTTCCAAGCACAATTACTGCAGTATTTTCCAGACCACTTTCAACTTTTTCGAGACCTGAGTATGTCTGCAAATTGTGTGAAATATTTATTTCTTGCTAAGATTTTTTGACTTATTTATCCTTAATGCTATTTTTCTTACATTAAAAATTGTATTTTCGTTAGTTGGTATTTATAAGCTTTACATAGTTATTAGATTTACATTTATTTGCTATTCTCTTGTCCGACAGTTAACAAATTATTTGCTATTATTGTCACTATCTTTCCAGATTCTTTGTCAAACTTATTTCCTGGAATTGTTCAGTGTATTGCCTTTTTATGTTCATCTGAACACAAACTTTTTTGTTCTTTCTCAGGAAAAGGATTATTTTGTTGAAGGAAGTGTTGACTTGGTAACAGAGCTTAATAATCTAGAGAGGACACTGGAAAATTTATCGCTTGAAAAGTAAGCAGATTTTTGGTTACATTTTTATTTCTAGAAGGGTTTTTCCTTGGTCCATTTGGACAGATCCCTGGTCAAAACTTTCATCACACAGACTTGCAAAAACACTTTGCTTGCGTTTTTAAAAACCTTTTGTCGTCCTTATTATGAAGCTTGGACTATTAAATCCTAGACGATGCCTGTTTTACCTCGGAGCTGTTTCCCTTTTATATATTTACCTTTCAGTTGGGAAATGTTGAAAGGAAACATTTTTCTCAGCTTGGATATTGAATGTTTCGCTAAGTAGAGGCTGCAGTTATGCTTGATTCAGAGGAGCACCGTGTTATTGATATTCTAATATGCGGCATAAACATTTGCTGGTGACATAAAATGCCAGTCATTTTTTTACTTAACACGGTCATTACCCTGTTTACTATTTTTTCACTGTTATTGTTATATGTTGTGTAATGGACGAAAGCTAGAATTTAAGAATACAAAATAATCTTCTACCTTTCACACGCAGAGTAACACACAACCGTATCGATCGAATGAAAATATGAACTTTTGGTCTGACAGAAGAAAACGTGCGCAAATTGTCAAGCCTTTGTTAGTCCAACAATGATAAAGTAGTTATTTAAGGGATCGAATATGTTGCATTTCATCTCTAAGTTCGTTTTCAAAAGTCTGTTTTTCTATCAAAGAAAAGTTCAGATGTTCTCGGCATAGAGAGAAATTATACATTATTGCACTTTTAAACGACTCCACTCTGGAAGGCATTTTCAAATTTGGTCTTTTCAATGATCGATTTTTTATTGACAGCTTTAAAAGAAAGGAAATGAAATAAATTTTAAAACGTATTAGTTATATTCTCGTGATATTACCTCTTTTTGCTATCTCGAAGTTTTGCTGGATTTCGCTTTGTTGACTTTACCCTTAAATTACGGAAGTTTAGAGATTTTTGCCATGATGAAGGCATGAAAACAATGATGATTTTTATGAACAATACTTTAACTATTCTGTTCCAGAGTCTCAAGTCGTGCAGGCAGAGCTGTGCGTGTGTTTGTGCGTAAAACAGGACCATTTCAAGTTACAACTCTAAGTTTCAACTCTGATGCAATAAATCAACACACCAGATTATTTATAAGCAAATATTTATTTATGAGGCCTCATGTTTTTGTACGTTACTTATTATTTTTGTCCTAAGCATACCAATAACTGACCAAAAGTTTTAATCAATTATAAAACGCCCCAGCAACAGATTGTCGCAGGGAAATTGACAAATTTAAACAAACCATTGTCAGATTTGGTGATGGTAACGATTTAGAATTCGCGTTTTCCTTTTACTTTGATCATCTTTCAATCTCTTCTTTGTCTAGTTTACAAGAAATGCACTCATTGTACGAAAGTAATAGCATTGATGAACTAAGAAAGACATACACAAAGCATGTAAGGAAATAACAAACATTTGTAATAATTGGCGCTGTGATTGATATACTCTTTCTTTTTTATTTTTAACTCAAGTCCTTTTAAAAATTTTTTGGTAATACCGTGGTTGGCTGTTTTCGATGTTTTTACGAATTTCCTCTTGATTTTTCTTTATTCCCGTTACTATTCCTACAATCCTGGTTGCCAAAAGATATATTTTTAAAAAACTGATTTGTGTCGGACGTGCACTTTGTTTAATATATAGACTAGAAAGGCTGTTGCTTTGAACAGTTTTAATTTGAAAATTTATTCATAAAATTTTCAAATTCACCTGTGGATATTGATGTACTGTATTTTCTTGAATAGAAGGCGCGGCCCCTTTCTACCTGTTTTGAAAAAGCGCGGTGTCTTTTCGAGCACGGCTTTAGTTTCCACGCCACATTTTCCATTTGACCCAAGTATATTCTTATGCTGTTTTTATATACTTAAGATGAATGTCTTAACGTTGGGCCCAAGATACGATAATGGTTGTTGAAAAGTGACTTTGTCGTGTTTATAGGTAGAATCGATGATAGAGCAGGCAAGAATTGCAGAAGAAAGGATTAAGGACGAAAGCAAGTTGCATCTTCTTTATTTGATTAGTGACTAGTTTTGCTAATTGATTGCTGTTGTTTTGGCGTGACTCGAAAATAACCATTTTTTGATGGGGAAAGAGCATGTGTTCATATGAGCGAATGTTCATATCTCAGCCAGGATGCTATTTTCCCCGTGACCGTGTGACCATAGGTCACAAGAACTTCACTGTTAAAAATTTTTCTCACAAGAAATTTTCAATCGTAAATAATTAATCTAACTGTTTTATACACTTCGCAAGAAGTTGGGCAGTTTTGAAGGAAGTAAAATGCTCGAAGGAAATTACCTCATCATGGGAGCTCAAGGGGATCAGCTTACCTTGCAAAAAGTAACAAATTACTTCTTACTGTTATGCGTGGCAGAGATATTTTTCAAATGCAGGCTATACAGAAAGTGCTATAGAGAAAGAACCGACCTTCTATATCTTCAACGTAATTAATTCCATTTTCAGAATAGAATCAATCAAAAGTTGCAAAAGTATGCCTAAGAAAGTGAAATGTTTAAAATGATTGCAATAACGACTGCAAGAAATATTTTAAAATGCATCTCCGCGGACCTGATTATGAGCATGGCAAAGGCTAATGATAAAATCTGAAATTTCTTTTTAATCTATGTCTCCTGCTTGCCTTCAACGACATTTTTTATCTCATAATTGAGGTTGTTGAACCACAAATTGCAAAACTATTATTAAAATAAAATTTTACAAACATCTGGAATCCAAACGTCAATAAACAAAAAAATTTTTAGTTCCTAGACATATAAATCTTTCATGCAAATCTTTCATGCTCTCGTGCACAAAAACTTTTGCGGAGTTGGAGGTACACAAATGTTGAACTTCAATCCCAAAGATACAATTATTTTTGTTATTTAAAATAATGAACTTTAAGACCACCGTAACTCAAACATCATATGTAGGAAATGACATTTAAAAAAAGCAGGATGAACTGCGTTTGGTTAGAATCTCTTAAGGAAGACAGTTGAATGTTTTTCTAAAACTCATTAGAATCTTTTTCAAAAAGAGTCAAAGCTCAGTTGTTTATTCCTACTGCGTTAGTTCTTTCGATCTTTATTTTCAAAACAAATCTGTTGACTTCATTTTTTCAACTTCAGAGGCGAAGCAGTTAGCTGCGCAGCAAAAGGATTCTTCACAATCCGCCAACAGACCTTGGTCAGAGACAGAAATACAGCTGCTGGTTAAAGCGTCCGTTTTATTTCCCCCTGGAACAGCAAGCAGGTAACAGTATTACACTGTCAGCAAGGAGACCTACTGGGCTCAGCAAGTTGAACGGGAAAGGGGGGGTTGGTATATTTTTTTGTAATGCCAGGGAAATTGAACAAGTCGTTGACTAAAATGTAGTATGCCCAGATGAATTCTGGGGGCCATCTAAATTCCCATTGTGCGCATTACACCATGAACTATTCTTAAGTTTCCAATCGGCAACTCAGGACTAATTGTAAACGGCCGAAGTGTCTATTGCCAAAGTTGGATTAGGAGACGTAGTGTCTTTAACATCTTTGAACGTGCCATTCTTGTCCATTTGAAGACATAATTCTTAGAACCACCGTGCGGACCAGCTTATTTTATCCTCGTTGTGATGTGTGTTATTCATCCAAACAACTTTTAGGCCGCCGTCTGTTTGCTTGTTAAGCCGTAGAATAGACCTCGCGTTGAAATATATAACAACATATTTTAGCGTGAACAACGCCAAATGACAAAAAATAATTCATTATTACAACAAATTATTTTGTAAACTAAAAATAAATCTCAATTAACAACTTTTTCCACGAGCTTATCCGGGCAATGCTGCCGTAATGTGCAGGTCTTTCGTACATGAAACAGGATAAGCAGAACTGATCCATAATGACATTTGCTTTACGAGGGCAATTATGATGTTAAAATTTAGACCCCTTTTACCCAATTCTAAGCGTAATCCGAAATGATTTACAGTTTTGTTCTATATAAAGCTTTCTTTGTTATGTGCAAAATCAACATTTTTATAATTGACTAATGCAAGTAGGTTGATTCTAGGTGGCAAGTCATTGCGAATTACATAAACGAACATTCAGGCGAAGCTCAAAATCGAACATCTAAACAAGTCATCAGTAAAGCCAAGTCTCTGCAGCAAATGGGTATGTTACGCTTCAATAAAGTTCGCCTTTTACCGTAATTATTCATATTCTACCTTTATTTGTTCGCATTTTATCGTAGTCTGTCGAACTTTATCAGTTATTTTACGAAACTGTCGAACTTAACGATTTTACGAGACTGTCGATCGTAGACTGTCGAACTTTACGAGACTAGAGACATTTCGTTTTTTAATAAAAAATAACATTTTCATGGAAAAAAGGGCCCAAATCCTTGGCTATTAATTACTATAATTCCGTTCTTTTTTTTAGATCAAAGTGTCAAAGATGAAGCAAACAAACGTGCATTTGAAAAGCTGAAGAAGGAAACTTCAGCAAAAGTTGTCGTCCAGCCTGCGGGTGGTGTGTCACTCAGGGATGAAAGTTCGTGTCATTTATCCTGATTTCTTTTACAAACACGTGTTATGTTATTTTTCTTGTATTACGCTCCTGCCTTTAGAACTGCGAAAACGTACGTTAAAAACTTCATTACGTTCATTCAAAAAACTAGGAAGGAGGAATGAGTATTTAAACTTTTGGCTTATTCTTCTAGGAAGGTTAACATTAAGAAATATTTCTCAGTCACTCTTTTATGAAAAGCCATCAGTTATAATCGATTTTATACTCGCATGAATTTACGATCGATTTGTTACTCAAGGACAAACCCCCCATTCCTTGCTTTGTTTAGAGACAATTGTGATGACTTTGGTGACGCAAAGAGGTTGAGTTTTGTCTTGCACTTTCATTGATTGCCCGAAATGACAATTTTTTCTTCTCTGTCTCACTGTAAACTTGTTATTGCATCGTACATTTTGTGAAAAGAGACACCGTTCAAATCCTCATTGGTGCAAAGATATTTAAACTTTCTTATTACATCTCACATCTCCTGAAGAGTGAGTTATTAACAAAACAGGCTTGTAGAGATTAAACATGTAGTTTCATTTTCTTCAACTCCAAACTAAACTTTCTTCTTATGTATTTCCCGCAGGTCAACCAACTCCTGAGGTTCCCTGGACCTCTGAAGAACAAAAGGTTAGTTTCTTTAACTTTTCTGCCAACCAATCTTTACCATGGACGCTGCTCCCAGAAGGTCCATGATATTGTCCTTGGTTTCCTGAGAAAAGTCCGAAGCACCTGAAACTCTCACGAAACCGGAAACTCTCACGAATTCTGTGCTGCAACTCATCTTGCTTCCCAAACTTAGCCTTTCTTTTGTAAAGACCAAAATTAACAAACATGATACCACCTCCCTGTTTTCTTAGCCTCTCCTTCGGTTCAATGTTAGGGCTTTGCTGTAGATCCCAATGCCTCTTCCAAAGATTAGCGTCTAAAAAGGCTTTGGCAATCAATTTGCAAAAACAAAAGTGGCATTGCTATTATGAAAAATAACCTGCATGTAACGAAGATAGTCAATTTAGATCAAAGTAAAGCATCTTAAAATGTCTTAATATCTAAAAAATTAGTTGAAAAGATATATTTGCTTAAGTCGATCATATTGCATTTTTCTCTTGTTTGACCTAATAGCTGCTAGAGCAAGCACTTAAAACGTTCCCCGCGAGTACTCCGGAGCGCTGGGACAGAATTGCGGAGGCTGTTAGCACCAGAAGTAGAAAGGAATGCATGAAGAGATACAAGGTAAATCTTTCAGCTAAAATATGTTCCTTGTAGTTTCCTTGAAAGAAAAATAAGATGTTGAAAAAATCCAATGGTATGATGGAATTTTAATTGATGATGACCTACAATCCCGGTCTACAATCCTGGCCTATGACCCCGGCCTCTGGTCCTGGCCTACAATCCCAGCCTGCGATCCCGGCTTACGATCCCGGCTTACGATCCCGGCTTACGATCCCGGCTTACGATCCCGACCAAAAGTCCTTAGATTGCCTGTTGCTTAAGTGTTGTTTTGAAAATGCTTCCGGTGAAAAACCGGACTCCAAACTCCCTTTTCCCCGAAGCTATGTTGGTTGTAGAGTTAGATATCATAGCTATCTGAAAGGAATGTTTTGGGGAATTGAAAATTAAAGTGGTTACACATACTACTGCATGATGATTGCTATTTTTGAAAAGACTGTTCTCTTTGCCATTTTTTGATTTTCATTTTCTCTTTGCCATATCAGGAATTGGTTGAAATGGTTAAAGCCAAAAAATCTGCGCAAGCGCAAACGGTGCTGTCTGCTCAAAGGTGACGTCGCTCGAATTAAGGTACTCTTTACGTTCATCAAAACACCATAATTTGCTTCTTAAAGTAATTTATGAGAGTAGCCATGTCTTGATGTGCTACTGATTTGATCAAATGGTAGAAAACCGCAAATGGATTGAAATTAGTTTTTATGCATCGTTCTACCTGTTATTTTCCTGTCTCTCATTTTGCTAGAGGGCTTAGCTTTTCAAAGATGCAAAGGGAAAATTCCCCGTCGGTCCTCTAGCGTCATGACTCCCTTAGCGTTTACGAAGATGGTATTCGAAGAACACACTGAAAGCTGATGTAGTTTGAATGGGGTGCGATTTCTTGCAGTTTTGAGACGTTCGTAGCATGTTTGATCTTTTACGTTACAGATATTAAGAATTTCGACGTTGTAAGGATTGCTGCATTCTATAGATAACTTTGCAGCCAATACATCCAATCGATCAACACAGCAATCAACATATCACAGCAATCAATTTATCACAGTAATCAACACAGAATCAATACATCCAATCGATCAAGACAGCAATCAGTACATCACAGCAATCAATACATCACAGCAATCAATACATTACAGCAATCAATACATTACAGCAATCAATACATTACAGCAATCAAAACAACAATAACTACATCACAGCAATCAAAACAGCAATCAATACATCACAGCAATCATCACATCAATTCTTAATCCGTCTCTCCTTTCCACTGCTAGTGCTAGGGCTTTGGTATAGGCTTCTCGGCCTTTCCCTAAGAAAATCTGACTAAAAAAAAGGAACTCGACAATGAAAAGTATTTAAGTTGGTGCAAACTCATTCATCCTTGCATTACTCGACATTCCCTGTTATTCGAGCCAATTTTGATTTAATTTGATTTGTGCTTTGAGCCCTCAACGGCACCCGTGCTTGCACCTGCTGTCAATATATCCCTCAATCTAAGAAGGTCATGAGGCATAAAGACTGTGGTTACCATCAATGACTTCATAATCATACATGAGAAATGTATCTGATATGCAGCTTATCTATAAAGACATAAAATATGAATACAGCTGGATGCTGTTTAGAACATAGTGACAAATGTTCCCTCTTTGTGTTGCCATAAAAGCTTTATGAAGCCCCGTGGGGCTGATAGTTCTTAAAGTTCTAGAAGTGTGGCTCAAAAGGGTGGGAGGCTTATTCGAGAGGGGGGCGTTTTTCAAAGATGTAGAGAGACAAAATGTTTAGTTAAACCTTTTGCAAATTCTTTGAGTGAACAATTCTGATTCAAGTTTTTTTCTTTTGACACCTAAAAAGGATGTCAAGCTGCTATTCCAGGATTACCAGTTACTTGGTCTCAGTCTCGATGACTTCCAGGGAGGTTAGAGACTGAATTTGAGAAACAAACTTTAATTTGAAAACACATAAGAACTTCATATCTGCCTCGAATGGCTACAACTAATCACACATTGAATTGTACACAGAATGAAAATTAATTTCTTAATTTTATATTTTGTTTTGTGTAATGAATTCTGTTTTAAATAGTCATAAGGTAATGAATTCTGTTTTAAAAAGTCATAAGGTAATGAATTTTTTTTTAAAACAGAATTTTTTAAAAAGTTTCAAAATTATGCCTGAAAAAAGTACAACGTTTTTAACGAATGAACCAATTAAGCTAACCTAAAGGGTATGGTCGCAAAAATTTTCTGCTCTCTTCTCTCCCAGGTGGCCTCATCTTCCACTTCCCCAGGGCCTCCAAAACCTCTGGGCGGCCCTGCATATCATACTGAAGTACTTTTCGTCGACACTCTTCACAGTATGAACGTCGGATAATGAACGAAATTAAGCTGAAAATTCGCTTACTTCTCACCTTATTAAAGAGTCCAAGAGAGAAAACAAACTCTTTCTGTCTACACAAGTCGGGATTCTTTTATGTTGATGTAAACATATTTCTAACGAAAAGATTACATTGCCTGCCCAATGATTTTGAAAATGTCATCACGATACGTCTGTGCACACTCTTGATGTGCGAGTTACTGTCGACCAATTGCCGAATTACATTTTATTTGGGCATTTTGGTTTTTGCAAATTTTTAACCCACACTATCTTATTTTTTAACATAATTAGCCATCAATTCTTAAATTATATGTATATACATTTATCAATAGAATTTTAGTAGTTAGTTTTTATAATGGCTGGAGAAAAGGCGCACAAAAACAACAAGCAAATTATTTTTATTGTGTCGATGCCATGAGGCAGTTTAACACAAGAGTCACAATTAAAGATAAAGTTTGGTGAGACCTTTCTAATACTATACTATTAATCAATACTTCTTCGCTTCATGTCCAGCCACAGCAAGTTGTTAGACAGTTTCTCTACTTCTTTTGCACAGTGTCTGTTAATTATGTATGGGAAAATAGACATGATTTCACCATATGTTCTAGTGACGTATCAATTCTCAACTATTTTTGATGCATTTTACGAACCAGTAGCATTCGCGTTTCTCGATACAAGAGTGCAGACGCCTCTATTGACCTTCGAATGTCACGTTTCTGTCAAGGTGAGCGAATTTGTTATTTCTTTCGTTGTATTTTGCATAGCTTGTTGATAAAAAGAGGATCTCTTTGCATGACATTTTAGTATCACAAAATAACCATTTGCAAATGGTTTTTATGCTGTGTTTCGTCTGAAATTTCTGTTTAACGAATGGATGAATGAATGAATGAATGAATGAATGAATGAATGAATGAATGAATGAATGAATGAATGAATGAATGAATGAATGAATGAATGAATGAATGAATGAATGGATGGATGAATGAATGAATGAATGGATGAATGAATGAATGAATGGATGGATGAATGAATGAATGAATGGATGAATGGAAGAAATAAAATATCTTTGCAATACTTTAGAGCAATAAGTTTGATAATAGCAAAATGTCCTTTTAACAAATCAGGGTATAAAGAGAATTTGGGATTCTGAGGACCATTAACAATCTTTTTATAAGAATAATTTTATAAGAACACGAGCCTCAAAATTGGTCAAAAGTAAATGAATATTACCGTTTACCGGTATGTCCTTTACTGTTCAAGCTGTATAGGCAAAGCTGTACACGATTTTTTCTTTTGTTGCAACCCCGAATCTCACGAATCTTGTGATCGTCAGGCGTTGCCAGATGGCCGAATTGGTGTTGCAAATTAGAACAATCCTGTTCTACTTACCAAAGAGAACATATTTTCATCTATCCACATTTGTATGGTTAAATTTAAATGTTAAAGACTTGCGAAATTTTTGCCAGAGTCCAGAAAATTAAAAAATTAAACGTGACTTACTTTGTAAGTTGAAGTTTGATTGGAGTTCTTCTCTATCATCAGGAGGAATGGAAGGATCACGTGAGAAGCAGGCGCATGCGCTGCAAGTCATTTTTAAACTTGAGGCATTACAGGAAATCAACATTTTAAATAAATTAGGGAAATAACGAGGAATATAATGAGAAATAATATATAGAATGTAGGAATCACAGGGCTGGGAGTCTTGGGAGGGCATGTGATCCCTCCATTCCTGCTGATGATAGAGAAGAATTCCAATCAAAATTCAACTTACCAAGTAAGTCTCGCCGAACTGCAGAGAAGAGGCTGAGAAAAGGACAATAACTGTTCGTTATTAAGTATCTAAATTCAGAACAGAACAAAACAGGTGAGAAAACATGGGTATATATATAACAATCATTGCTTAAAACTGAGTCACCAAAATGAACAGAAGTTTTCACTTTATCATACAATTTTGCAAAAGTTTCTGCATTTGACCAACCAGCAGAGTCTAGAATATCATTAATGGGCACACCAGCTGCTTTTGTTGCGGAGGCTGAAGCAGATCTGCAGCTGTGAGCGGTAAACAGTTTGGTATCGATGCCAGCTGCATTCATACTAGATTTCACCCAGTGAGAAATTATGTCTTTCCTGACAGGTTCATATGGCCTATTGTAACTGTGTTTCGTCTACAAACCACTGAGACATTTGGTTCGGTCTATGTATTCTTGTAGATATGTTACAATGCATATATTTGGGTCATGAGGAAAAGCTTTTAGTATTAAAGGCTTGATGTGTTTTCCTGGTTTTGTCGTTTTTAAAGGTTGGGTAATAGTGAAGTGGAACATAGCAGGGAAACGTTGGATTCCGGACAAGTTAAAATTGTGAATTGTTTGGCAACATTGACCAGTAAGCAAAACTAGAAGGGTAGTTGTTTTTAGCGTTAACTCTTTTAGGCTTATTTGGTTTACTGGGCTAAGAAGATTTGAAAAACTCTAATAGTTATTTTACCAGATTCCCATCAAATAGCGGAATATTTTTAAACAACAATTTTTCGCGTTTTAAATCGGTGAACCGACATGAATTCGTATTTTTAATAGTTCGGTAACATTTAAGTAAAGGAATTAGCTTCTTACCCTGCACCGCAGAGCATATGGTGAAATCGTAATTTGCTTAAGAATTACGTTGAGATCCGAAACAATGTTTTTAGTATAAGGCACTGTGGCGATAGCACATTATTAGCCATGCTCTTTATTATGCCAAGCGCGCAATGCATCCTGGTTATTCTAGAAGCGGGAACATCTGCCGTCAATGCGGGAGGCATGTTTCCTGATGCACTAGAGAATCAAAATTGTGATTTTAGGTAGATAAAACCCGTGACCAGTGCAGGAAGGTATGTCTTGCCTTGACGATAAAGCAGACCTGATAAATTCAAATGATATAATCTAAAATATAAAACAATTATTCGCAAGAATACAATTTTGTATATATTGTGTTAAATGTGATGAATTACCATAATGCCTCGAATAAGCGCCCGGGCGCTTATGTAATTTGAGAGGTTCCAGGGTGGGCGCTTATTCGAGGGAAGCACTTAATCAAGGGGGCGTTTATTTAAAAAATAGATTTGGAAGAAGCTGAAAAAGGAATGTGTTTTTAATTGAAGCATGCTATTTGATGAAAAGGAAAAAAATGAGGATGAAAACTAAAACAAACTGTGTTGGTCATTCAATCTTTCTTGCTGAATTGCCTTTCATTTATGTTTTCGTCGAAAATTCGAATAAGCGCCCGTTTCTGAAGGTTGAAGGATGGGCGTTTATTCGAAAGGTGGGCCCTTATTCAACGGGGGCGCTTATTCATTAATTTCACCTCTAGGGTGGGAGCTTATTCGAGGGGGCGCTTATTTGCGGGGGGCGGGGGGGGGGCGCTTGTTCGAGGCATTACGGTATGGCGAGTTCATATGTTTGTCATATGCATTCTTGAAACTGTTCACAGATATCGAATTCTTAACGCCGTTGGGTAGGTCACTCCATGGATTAACCACATGTGGGGAAAAGAAATTTCCACGTAGTTCGTTTCTGAAGGGGCACCCAACGAGACCTTTTGTCGGTATTGCACCTTTTGCTGTGATTTTAGTTGTTCTTCTTGTTGCACGAGTGTGGGTACCAGCAGAGAGTGAGAATTTTTTTCTATCATCATGGTTGATACCTTTAATGATTTTAAACGACTCTATCAGATCCCATCTAGCACGCCTTGCCTTCAAGGATAGTTGGCTCAACATTTTAATCTTTCTTCATAAGTACCCTGCCGACCAGATACAGCATTTGCAGCATGTCATTGCACATTCTCAAGTAAATCAATACCCTGAACAAGCCATGGACTCCAGGCCTGAACACAATATTCCAAGTGAGGTCGTACATAATGATTATATAACTTGATGAAAGTGTGGTGGTCTCGGTAAGTGAAGCTACACATTAATTGAGCAAGTATTTGATTTTTCTTTCTATCATCTGCCAACTTTAGCAAGCAACAGTGGAGAGTATCAACTGCTTTATCAATATCGTTGATAAATAGGATGAAGAGCAGAGGCCCAAGTACACGTCCTTGAAGCACGCCAGATGGTACAAGTGCCCAATCATATTTCATATATACTTTATATTTTATACATATTTATACAGGGTACAAATTCAATAAAGTTTACTGTTTTACAATTTAGCCATGTTAAAATTATAGTTGCTGATAAAGTAATTACAAATAAATTATATAAAATAATTCACATCTGAATACAATAAGATATCTGTACAAAATTAAAGATTTTCGTAACCCAACTGTTTCAACTTAGATCTAAAGGGTATACCGAGGGGACCTCTTTGATATTGTTGTTAAACTTGTTCCAAACTTTTGTACCATTGTAAGAGAATGCCTTTTGGCCACTTACTGTTCGCAATAACGGTACTGCAAGACCATTTTAGTGTTTCTTAGCTCTCGTGTGTGGACATCAGATAGTCTAACGGATAGATCTCTAAGGTACTGTGGTGCAAGATCGTTTAAAGATTTATACATCATTGTAGATGTTTCTTTCACGATCATTTCTTTGATGGACAACCAGCCAAGTTCTTTGCGTAACGACACAGAAGATGCATCATAAGGACTACCCGTAACGATTCGAGCAGCCCTGTTTTGTTATTTTTGTAGAGATTCTATTTGGTAGTCAGTAGTAACAAAATGATGTAGAAAAGTTGCTTTTTTAATCTTCTTATCTTCTTTACCTTCAAGTTAATTTTAAAAATTGGCGTTTCCACCAGTTTCCAATCCCCTGAAGGGTGTTGCACAAAGTCCAATCATCATCCAACCCCCCTAATCTAATTCTTGCCGCTCGTTCCTGGTGAATATAATAACATGTGTCGTTGGTTCCCTGCGCTCCGACGGTAGTTGGAGGATACACGAGTCACATCTGAAAATTGTATGGAGCCTTCTGATAATAGACCGGTCTTGGTTCCAATTTCTTTCCTCCAATCTTTTTCATACTTAAAAAATATAGTTCAGTGAAAAATAAAGTTCAGTGGAAAACAAAGTGGGTTTCAATATAAAAATATAAAACGGAGAGAAGTTTAGCTTGTCAATTAAACAAATAATTTAACAAAAAACAATAAATCAAAAGTCGATTAACAAACATGGAGTCAAAAATTTTAAAAAACAGAGAACGATCAGCAACTGGTGAATATTGAACCGAACAATATAAAGAGAAATATCGACAAAATTTTGGATGAAACATTATTCCCAGCAAGAGCTGAATAAGCGCTAATTGAAACTCTGATAATCGCAGAAAAACACCTGCATCTGCACAAATACTTGATAACTTGATGAAGATGACTACACAAAGATGACTTGGAGCAATACGGCAGAAAGTGCCTCCTTGAATTGTCAGGCAAACCCGAAATGCGATTATTAATAAGATCAGCATTACCTTACTTGAGAAAATCTCGAAGCCTACCAGCAGATAGCACAAAAATCTAATGTCGCCATTATCCGGTCCAAGAAAAAGGCGGAACGAAAGCTTGAAAGTAAAGAGAAAACTTGCTAGTTTATCTCTTCAAGACCTTAGCTTCGCTGGAAAGGTAAGATTTTTCTGAACGAAAGCATGGCGTATCGTCGTACTAAAATGTTTTTAGAGACGCTCGAATGCGAAGAGAACATACTTTAAATTTTATATGTTTTGGTCTAACTGAAGTAACATTTTCGCTCGCAAAGATTAGAACACGAAACAATTAGCAATGATTAAGACAGTGAATTAGTATTTTACCTGTATCAACTATTGATAATTAGAATTGTCAGACATGCTTAAGATTTATCTACGGCAATGCCAAGTCAGAATTTTGCGACAGATAACATCTGTTACGATAATTAGAACTAATAAGATCAGGTTTTTCAGCCGAACACAAGCAAATTTTCTAGCATTTGCAGCTTGCTGTGTTAAAAAAGAATCATTCATTAAAAAAACTTTGGATTATTGCTTTGCAATCGAGATTTCAATGCCACCTTTATCGCCGTATCAGAAACATGACAATCCGAAGAGACAAAGAAATCTAAAAAGGAGGGTGTAAAAGGGGGGCCATTGCTAGTCATTAGGTCACTAGTCAGGTGATAAAGGGCCCCATTAGTCACTAGTCAAGATATTTTGCTTCAGTTAGTCAAAATTTGTTTAGGTAAAAAATTCGTGATTTTAACGTTTCATATAAGAGATACTTATACGTTCGTAATTGAACTGCAATATGAAATAGCCTGTCACAGACATTTAGGAATTGTTAGAAATTGTTATCATTAGAATTTGAACGCAGACCAATAAGAATTGATTTTGGGGAACTGCGAAAAATGGCGGGAGCAACATTGTGTTTGAATGCAATGGCTGCTGAGGGTTGCAATCAAGAAGGGCCTTGACTGTTGCAAGTCAATTGAACCAAGGATACCATAGGGTACTAAGTGAATGAAAATCGTAAAGATATTGCGTCATGGCAGTTTTGCCGATTGTTCATGTTCTTTTGTTTGATGTAATACAACTGAGAGAGAAAATGATATTTTGGATGAAAGTTATTTGAAGAAATACAACTGAGAGAGGAAAATCGATGCAGATTCGCTTTATAACCTTACCAGAGCCCGGTAGATAGGTACTGAAGCAAAGTTTAGTAAAATATAAACAAAATTCAAATCCATGTAATTCAGCAACATATTTGCAATTTATCGAATACATATTGAGTAATGATACCTTAATGAAAGATACAAAGCTGAAGATTGAACGATACAATATGCTTTAATCAAATATAAAGTAAGTTGCCTTTGACACTATGAGAACCAACGTGGCTTGGAAAGTTAACTCGCCTTGTCGTTATGGGCTACTTTACAGGTCACATTACATTTCTAATGACGAAAGAAGATGTCCCAAACAACAGAAAACATGCATTTGTCTTGATTTCAGTGACAAGGTAGTCAACAACTGTTTACTGTTTTTCATTCAAAATTTTTGCATCCATGTTGCTAATGCAACTGTTCACGAACACGACAAATCTTTGATGCAAATTCAAATTCTGATGGCGAATGTAGATGGCCCACACAAAATAACACATGCATATTCTATTTTAGATAACTTAGACTTTATGTTTAGTAGCAGCATGGCGTACTGATTTTTTTGCTAGGTGTTAGTAAAATGTCCCTGTCTAGTGCTGCTTAGGGCCTTTCCATTGACCGCAAGAGTTGCCCTTTAAATTTTGGTGATCGTCTCTTTCAAGGTGAAATTTTTCCACTTGCTTTACGTCCTTGCTTTGGCCATGACACATATTTTGCTGACTCGTGCGTACGAGGAAACCGCCCCCATCAGTGAGATGCCCGTTTGGGCTTTACTGATTATATGCATAGATGTAGATGCATTTGTCTAAATGTCTCTTACAAGGTGTTCAACAACTTTTCGTTGTTTTTCCATTCAGGCTATTGTCACCTGCATCCATGTTGCTTATGTTACTATTCAGGAAAGATAACTGTTCATGCAAAATTCAAATTCTTCTGACGAAACAAGATGACCCACACTATAGTACACATTTATTCGTCTTAATTTCTCTTAAAAGGTGATAAGCAACTGTTCGTTTTTTAATTTCAGGCTATTGCCACCTGCATCCATGTTGCTAATGCTACTGTTCATGAAAGATAACTCTGTCCACGCAAAATTCAATTTCTTATGACAAAAGTAGATGACCCACACTATAGTACACATCTTAATTGCTCTTACAAGGTTGTTCATCTTAATTGCTCTTACAAGGTGTTCAACAACTTTTCGTTGTTTTTCCATTCAGACTATTATCACTTGCATCCATGTTGCTAATGCTACTGTTCATGAAAGATAACTCTGTCCATGCAAAATTGAGATTCTTATGACGAATGTAGATGGCCCACACAATAGATGCCCTATACTGGGGGAGGTTTTCAAAGCTTGTGGAAGCAGTCCGGGGTTTGGATGACTCTGCAATGCAATATCCTTGTTTTTATATTGATGTTTTAATGGGGCTTTTTTGCTATTTACAGAACGACAGTTGAAATCCAAAAGAAGAAAGAAACAGCATCTCGCCACTGAATAGATCTCGCTGACTGAACTCATAATTGAATCATGAACTCCAGCAAGATTAACAACACAGCAACTGTCATGTGTTTTGGCTTAAAAGATTTGAAAGGATTTTATGTATCCGAATATCTTATCACTACCGCTCTACTTACGATTTTATCAAGCGTGGCAGCCTGTATTGTCGCAATGGTTGGCAATGCACTCACATTGTACTCGATCTGGAAAGCCTCGCTCTTATCTAATCCATCCTACATGATTATAGCATGCTTGGCAATAACTGACTTTCTAAGCAGCATCACTATTCTCCCGTTCAATATTGTGATACGTTTTCAAGATATGTTCAACGTCCACAGCTGCATTCTGAAGCGCATTTTTTCAACGGTTGCAACTATATTAATCGGTTGGTCGATGCTAACAACGTGCATTATCAACCTAGATTGCTTTTTATCTCTGTATTTTCCATTTAGGTTTAAGACATGGAATCTCAATACTTGGTACTTGGTGGCAATTGTGTCTAGTTGGAGCCTTTGGCTTCTGTATTCGCTGTTAGGCGCATCAAGTATTCTGTCTTTGAGAACTTTTATTTCAATACAGGTTTCAACCATCATTGGCTGTCTTGCTATCATCTTGACCTGTCAGATTCTTATTTATCGTTTGATTAAAGCCCGCCAGACCAGGATTGGTGTTTTGGCACCAAATCAAAGTACAGCGACCCAAGTCATCGATGGTGTTGTACAAAGAAATCAAAGGAAAAGTCGCATGACCATTTTCATTATTACAGCAGCTTTTTTAATCTGTTTCTTTCCAAGATGTGCTGTAATAGTCGCTTTTAGCGCTGCTAGAAGCCCGTCATTTACGCTCGTTTATCAGGGAAGTAGATTTTCTGAAACAATACTCTTCGCCAATTCCGCCATAAACCCGATCATTTACTCTTTTCGGTTGCCGAAGATCGGTAAACGTGTTCTCGCGTTGTTGCGTCGCAGCTTTTCCTGGTTTGCGAGGCCATCAAGATCGGAAAGCTCATGATCCGCAAGATAGGGACACCAGACTTCGGGGACGAAGCTTTGGGCACCACATATTGGACACCATACGTTTGAAACCGCACGTTGGGCGCCACATGTCTATCATCTATAAAGATGTCTTTTGGAGAGGCCAACGCTATAAACAGTCGTCAAGCAGACACTTAGAAGTATTGCGACCGTGCGATTGTTGACCAGGGGAAGTTATTGCTTAGGAAAAGTTTATTTATCAACATCGACTAAAGTGTATTTTCTGTTGTCGTTTTTCTGAGAAATTCGTTTGCTGCAAGGAATCGGTTAGTTTATTGTGAGCATGCCAGAAGGCTATTGAGTTTAATCGAGCTGCCAACATTTTGGAACGCAGCTATTGTTTTTAACTTTTGGTGCAAGGAATAAACATCCAAAATGAAGGCATTGCAATGATACAAAAAGTTTTTTCCTGAATTAATGCAAATAATAGACAAATAATAAAAATATACGTAAATAAGTTCGTAAATAGATTAAATACAATCAACAGTTTGTTCTGTTTCTTATTTCATACTCTATTTTTCAAAATAATAGAAAAAGCGGTAAAAAATGTTCATTTTGGAAAAAGGTGAGGGGCTTCAGCCCCAAGCCCCGAGTCCTGCTGTTAGCTAGTTGGATTTGTTGTTGTATAAATAAGAATTTGGACATATCGCGATTGCAAAATTTAGAAGTGCTTTTCCCAATTCAAACGCACGCCTTCTTGTCAAAACGTGGGCGAAAAGTTCATCGTATGTTTTAACCACGAGTTTTAACAGTAACTGATGGGTCTAGTTAAAAGCCAGTGGAGTAATCTTTGGCTTTTAATCTTTGGAGTAATCTAAAGACAGACTATAAACTGCCTTCTTTATAGCGTGGGAACTAGGATATGTTGGGGATACGCTGCAACACACAATTTTGTCATCGAGAATTTAGAAGATACGTCAATGAGCCCGGTTTCGTCTTCCAGAATCTTAAGTGACGACGACAGCGGTACGTTTGACGTGTTGATATTTTAATGTCGGCGTAAAAAACTGTAAATTATTGGGGGGGGGGGTTGTAACTACGAAGTTTGGATTCAAGAAAGGGGTAAAACTGTGGGAGTAAAACCGCGAATTATGATGGATCCACGGTTATTCATATTGTCTAATGGAGGGGGTAAAACTGCTTTATAAATCAGTAAAATTGGTGAGCATCTTTTTCAACGGTACTTACATCTTTGTCATTTAGAGACGCAGTGTTTATAGAAATATGTTTATAGACGCAGTGGAAATATGTGGGTGGAAAATTAAGAAAGAAAATTTTGGTTAAATCAAAGTACTTGTTTTAGAGATTGAGAAGGCATGGCAAACCAAGAAATGTTTCTATACATGAAACCAAACAGAGAGGATTGCCTTCTTTTGCCTTGAACAAAAGAGGTAAAGAGAGACGTTTAATAGTCTGTCATTGGCTAAGGGCTACTCTATCGACTTTTTACCATGTCCCTTAGTTCATTTAGCAATAACATTTGTTAATATTTGTGGACGTTTTCTGTAAAGGAAAAATATTATCAAAAACTATAGTATCAAAATTCATTTTCTTACACTTCTGTGAAAAGGCCCATAAATTTTTATTTTGCTTTATAAAGCTATGAGCCCGGGCTGTGTTCGCCATTTTCCTAAAAGTCATCTGCAAATTGTAAATACCATCGTCAAGAAATTAAAACCGGAATCAGAAAATTTGGCGAGGAAAACCTCTCTAATAAAAAAACATAATGTACTCACGTACACAAAACGTACTGGTTTTAAAGTCCTTACAAGATAATCGAGAAAAAGGAATTTCCCCACGCAAATATCCGCATGGCCTCTCAGAATTTCTGAAATAATACCTCTAAATCGCTTTCTGGTTACCCCCTCCCCCACCCCCTCTTTATAAATTGTCTTGCAATGAGGCTAGCAGTCTTGATTGGGCAAATGATTAGGGAGAAGTTGCTTGTCACAAGCTTGAGATTCAATAAAACTGCACTGTTTCGAAATAGACATTCAAAGTTTTTGCAGATAAATTCAAATTGTCTAGCAGAGTTTAAGTTCACTCTGTTTAAACCCTTTTCCCAGCCTCCACATCCTTACATTGTCCAAAGATTCTAATTCGATGAGTATTTCAAATCAATATACTCATTGATACTAAGCTAGGGGGTGTAAAGCTGGGAGGGGGGGGGCTCAGGGGGCCGTTAATGATGAAAGGTAGCCCTTTTCTTCTCTTTACTTTTCTACTTTGGAGGTTCCCTCCTTTTCTTTTCATAGCACTGTACACCTGTGCCCCTAAAGAATTGATATTTCTCACCAATCGCCTTCGTATTGGCAAAAAATATAAACAAGGTTAGCTAGAGTTGTTTCTCAATGGCAGAAGAGTATTAAAGAAAATATGCAAACAATTAGGTTTTGAGGCATGTCTGGTAAAGGTATGATACTGTTAAAACAGAACAGACAAAAACACTGCAAAACGTTTTGGCCTTTGGGAATATTTATGGCTACTATTGTAGAATTGCATAGGGTTAGCTGTTACTATCAACTTTGTTATGAAACCAAACAACTTTCGTACCATTAGCAAAATAAAAACAAAAATTGAATGGTGGTAGGCAATAAAATCTAGGCCAGTTAAATATACGAAAATTAATTCAAATTTTCTATCTCGCTTCAGTCAGAAAATAATATTAGTACTGGAGTACCAGAAAAAACTAGAAGAAAAAAGGTCAGAGTTAACGTGAAAATCTAGTTTCAAATGTATTCCCAGCGAACATGCAAATCCCTATCTAGTTGTGTTTGCAGACAAACAGCAAAATGTCTCCTCAGCCAAACAGCAAAATGTCTCCCTTACACCTTTTGACAGAATTAGGATTTTATAGTATATTTTATAGAAGTATAGGGTTTTAAAGTTAAGAAAGGATCTGTTTATAGCTGTTTATAAATACGAAATGAATTTCGCTCTAATTCAGACAGTTAAAGCAAAAACGCGTTTTCAAGATATTTCCAAGTGGAAAAGAAAAAACGAGCAATATTGGAGAAAGTATGAGTGACGAAATGATGACATTTTTTGAAAATACTTACACGACTTAAATTGATTAAAAAATCGTTCTAATTTACACAGCTTTCTAAAATGACCTTTGAAATCGTGCAGCATCGGCCGATCCAAAGGTACCTTGCATTTCAGCCCCCCTCTGCCCTGCTGTCCAATCTTGAGGAGCAAGCCCTTGAGCCACCCCTTGTGCTACCCCTTGCCAAGTCCCATCTACTCCTGCACGACCCATTTGCATCCCATCTACACGCCCTATTGGTAGATTAGTCTGCTGAAGTGGATCCACCCGTCCCTGAGGCAATCCTGCCGGCTGCTGTAGGCCTGCCGCTTGTTGAATAGGGGCAGGTTGCTGAATATTGGGTGGTATATATTGCCCAGTTGAGTTAGGAAACTGCATTGGGTTCGGTGGAAGGGTCATTGGCCCCGGTCTACTGACTGGAGCACCGGCATATTGTCCTCCTGAAGATGCGACTAAATACGGATCAACACCAGTCATTTGACTTTGCACTGCAGCTCTTTGCAGCATTGCTTGATCAGGCCGGAAACCCTGTTGAGCCATTGGCTGAAATTGTTGAGGTGGGGCAGCTTGTTGAAACTGCCCCATCATTGGAAGTCTTTGCCCCTCCAAAAATACTTGCTCCCTTTGGGTAATGCCTTGTAGCATCCTGTTATCGATGGGCATTTGTGGAGGATTTACTTGTCCAAAATTTGGCCTAATTGTGGTTGGCATCATTGGGACACCTAGAAATGGCATACGCGCTGTTTGCTGTGTGCGTTCATCAAGTCTTTTTGCAAAGGTATCTGCATCACTATGGGGAATGCCATCCTTCTGGTGCCTGTGCTTAATATGAGCAAGCAAGTCCCTCTGCGAAAGGTAACTTCGACGGCAACCCGAGATACCATGCCTACTTCCACCAAATGAGCAGACAAATATCTGACCAATGCCCGCCGGTTCAATGCGGTCAACCCGCTCCGCACATCTAAAATTAAATAGAATAATTTATTGGTTCATGGTATCAAATAAATCAAATAATTAACTTGGTATCAAGGTATCAAATAGTTAGCTTCCAATGCAGCAAGTACGGTTATGGTCCAGGTAAACAGCAAATAAGAAATACATTCAAAAACCAAACACCAAAAGATTTCATTAATAAATAGACCAATTGAAAAGAAAATTAGCGCATTTTGAATGGACGTCTTGTGCTACAATCGTTTTTAGCCTTAAAGCAGTATTTATAAGTATAAGTCTAAGAATATCAATGTTAATCTAAGTTAGAGTCAAAGTAAATGTGTACATTATGATTTTAGAGTTAGGGCTCTTGCTTCATTCATCCTTTAATCATTAACACCTCATAACAAGTATCAAATTCAGAACTATGCCAATAATTGTTATCTTTTATCTACGTAAATTCTGTAAAAACGTATTTAACAGATCATGTCTCGAATACCTTGGGCAGTGACCCTTGAATTTTTCTGCACAAGTCAGGCAGAAGACATGCTTGCAAGGGCTCTGTGGAAGAATGAGAAATATTAATGAAAGAATACTAGCTAAAAAAAGTAAGGAAAAGCTAAAAACAACATTCTAAAAGGTCCCAATTAAACATTCGCTGTACACAATTATTCTGCAAAATGCATGTCTGCTGGAAATAAAGGTGGATGTATCAGCAATTAATCAAGAATTACATATAACTTATTTTACCAACCAGAACCCCAGACAATGTGTAAATATGTTTTTGAGTATATCAAATGTTCAAAACAAACAGTCTTGTTGTGCTTTGGAAAAATACTTTTATTATCTGGTGATAGCTAAATAGTCAATCTTTTCTATCAACGTGGCCTAAAAGTATCATTTGTTGTTCAGATTAGGTTTTATTTTCATAAGCTCTCCTTCTCCTGTTTCTGCCTTTCTTAGTGCTGCTTTGCCTTAATTTGTCATCTGCTCAATCCATGTTATGCTAAGGAATCTCCTAATAAACCAAATTGTTTCTGCTTTAAGACATTCTTGCATTGTTTTCCCTCTCCTTTTTTAAACTGATCACTTCGTTTTTGACAAAATGATCACTTAATTCCTTTTAATGCCTTTTCTTGCATTCCTTTTGTTTCTTTATGTTCTGCCAATGATAGTGCCATTAGGAATGCTACTACCTAAATAGACAGAATGTTCTAATTTTGCTGGTTACAGTACAACCTCTCTGCCTTTTTTACCCTCCTGAAACTAACTTTTAAGGAAACTTTAATATCGTTTTCTTATACAAGAAATCTGATAATGATTTTCTGAAACAGTCTGGTGAGTATATAGATTAAAAATTGGACCAAGCTTCTAGACAGCATTATTTCTACTGAAGTTTTACACAATATGTTCATCAAAAAATGAAAACTTCACACTTACCAGTCTTCCATAAACAAGAACAGGAAGGGTGCAACTTTCACACATATGAATCATTGGATCCTGCACTTTTTCTCCAATTGCTAATATCTGAATAACGAAAATCAATTTCACTAATCTGAAAAAACATGGATTTTGTTTGACTAAATAATGAATATTTTTCATAATAAAAGCAACATTATTTATAAAGAATCTTTTATGATAAAATAGAATATAGACTAGAAATGAGACATGTTCTCTGTTACTCCGAGTTTCGAGCTTGCGCACTCATCAGACAGACTATAATGAAGAATATTCCTGCTACCGCGGTATAAATATACAAAAGGTGTGATAAAGTTAGACAAAAGAAATTTTATTAGATACAGGTTAAAGAATCTTTTATAAATCTTGAGGGGTCCTTGAATTTCCATGCAGTGAATGCATTCTGAAGCCTTCTCATATTAAGCAATTTGTTTTGACTTCTACCTCAAGTTTTTTGTAACTTTACATCCTTTCAACTCTGACAGTTAACTTTTATTCATATTCATGTTAACATTGCCTTGCATGAAGGACTTCATTCGAATACAGTAACAAACAATACAAGATGTTCTCACCTTTTGACTCCAATCAAGTTCCTCCTTATCACTTTTTGGAAAAGCATCTCCTGAACTTACTGATTTGACCTTCTTTGTTGTTTTATGACTTTTTCCATCTACAAATCATAAAAAGTGATAAATGAATTTGTTCATACCTAGCATCCAAAAGTGATATTTAGAACACTGAGGCATTACATTTATTATCTGATCATTCCTTTGAGGGAGACTTGCCTTGCCATGAAGGGCTGGTCATGGCTCAGGCTCCAACCTTTCGTCAAAGGCTACAACCATCACTGAACCATCCTCAAAGTTTCCAATGTTCGTGGAACTTTACTTATACACACATGAAAGATTGTCTCCATTGCAACCCACTTTTCTTCTACTTATAAGCAGGCATTTTTGTTTCATTTGGGTGATCCTCCTTGCCTACACCATTGCAGGCAAGCTATTGACTGCCCTTGCAAAACATATATCACCCACAAGTGAAAGGAAGAGCACTTTCAGAAAAGTTAGCAATAAATGTTGCTATTGTTGTTGTCACTATTCCTTCTCCTGGTATCGTATGAGGATTTCTCTCCAGGCCTTTTAGCTGTACGTTTTTAGAACACAGGTGCTATGGAAGTGGGGGCCATCAAGGGGGTAGAAATCTACTGTTCCGGTCATCTTTAGCCAAAATTCCACGCCTCAAAATTGTTGATAGGACCTTATTCAAAGAGTTTTTTTCAAGACAACAGGTGAAGAATTCCACAAATCCTTAAAATTTTATAAATATTTAGTATCCCATGCATCATTTTCTGGCAAATGTGTAGAATTTGGTTGTTTCATCAAGAAATTGCCAGATTTCCGTAATCGACAACAAATTTTCTTAACAGTGTTAGGAGAATTTGTTGTGGATTACGGAAAACACGATAAAATTTATTCAACAAATGAAGTCCACTGGTAAATAAAATATTCATTTTTAGAGATCCACTTTAAAAAACCTATTCATAATATTCAATCAGATTATTAACTGCTTATTGACAGTATGGTTAGTATAAACTTTTACACAGAAATTAAAAAAAGGATGATAGAGATATATGTTACCTTCTGGTGCTTCTTTATGTTCTGAAGATGATGTTGATTTCTTTTCCTTTTTTGATTTACTTGATTTTGACCCTTTTACCTTCAATTTTGGCTTCTTCAGTTTCAATGGGATTGACTTTCTGACCACTTCATTGCTTCCAAGATCTCCTTGCATAGATTCGGAATCAAGCTCCAAGTCTATAATTTTATATTTCAAGAATAGAAAATTTTATGAACTTAAAATGCTTCAGATATTTTTATACCTCTGTGCAGGCCTTGCCCGGAAAGGCGCTTGATCGAGCGCGCGCGCCTAGAGCGCACCCAGAAAAAGCCTTGGAGAGCGATTTATAGAGCCCCTCAAAACGTAAAAACAATATTACCACGGAGCGAAATAATTTTTTGGCCTTTGTTTAATAAACTTTATCAAGCATAAACAATCTTCCCAATAGACCGCAATATTATAATTTGCGTAAGATTAGCCCTTGAGAAAAAAATTCAGCAAATTCAACGTTGGGTTTTCGATACCATTTTTAATCTAATAACCCTCTAATAACCACCAAGCACACAGGCCATCAAGCCTATTCTCCGGCAGATTTATTTGATTTTCGAGCAAGCGTTAAGCTTCTGTTGAAGTATTATTTTCTGTTTTTTCTTAATAATTTAAAATCACCTTTGCAAATCAGAGATCACATTTCCGTCCAAATTACCGCATTGCTTTTCAGTTTGCATTTGCTTTCGTGAGTAGTAGATGTTCTAGTGTGTCTTACAGAATGGATAGCATAAAAAGGGAAACAAAGTTAATGTTCGACTTAAAGCCATGCGTTTTCCTAAATTTCTATATTTGTATTAACATAGTGTTTGCTGCATGTTTTGTTATTTCATATTATGGTGCTTTTTGGTATCACCATTGAATTTCTTATTTAACACTCTTCCAAAGCTTTCAATATGAATCTCTCCATCTTCCAAAGCTCTTGAAGGATGCTCTCAAGGATATTTTATTTAAAGGTGCGAAATGGAGCGCCTAGAGTTTCTAAGGGGCTCTTTTTATGGAGCACCTTCATTTTACTTAGAGCAAGGCCTGCTCTGTGGTTTCCTTATTGGCTGAATTAAATGGAATACATGGCTGAAAACTACTTTAACTAGTTTGGCTATTCAAAGCAACAATGCAATGTTCTAAATATTCTTTCAAAATCCAGAAATCCAGAAAAATAGTACAGAAACTTAATTGTGCCCCGAGGAGACTTTCTAGTCTGGAACTTTGATGAAAATTTAGGAAATATTTTGAAACAAATGAGACCAAAAACAATATCAACTTCTGTTTTTTCATTTTCAAGATGAATTCTGTTGCACGTTGTACTTGAACACTGGTCAGATCAGCTGTGTTTAAGGCAAAAAGTTTACTTCGAATGAAAATGGCTAAGCACTAAACTTGCAACTCAGCCAAGAAAACATTGGATAATGTCTGGGGAATGCATTCCACATATCCAATCAGTACTTTTTGAACTCAGAATGATGTTTGCTGCTATTTTACAATGGGGTTTACTCCTTGGTAATTGCAAGAGGCAAAAAATAATTGCTCAGGCACAAAAATACTTTGCAGTTGGGCCAGGGTTCAAAGTATTTTTGTGCACAGGGAATTATTAGCATATCCAAACTTTGCAGTCTGGCAGTTGGGTAATTAGAACTGTTCAATTTGTTTGGTGAGTTTACTTGGGACTGCCCACCATCATTTTCACCGCGTACCATTCAGCACCAGATTCATCCCCTGATTCATCCCCAGAATCATCCAACAGGTGTCCCTGTGGTTTTTGGTATCCCTATGGCTGCCAATCTGGGGATGAAATGGACTGCCTAGGCCAGCTAGAAACATTGGAAACAAAGTGGTAGAAAAGTGACATTTATCTAGTAGAAATTGATGGTGAACTGGGCAGAGAGCCACATACACATTCTATTAAATTATTGTTAATTTGATTCATATGTCAAGCCGTTTTTAAACCCATTGATGGATTCAAGTTGACGTCATCAATTTTGTATCTCACTATCTTCGGATCTTTTTTGAAAATGAACTTCAAAATTGAAATCTTCATCTTTAAATTAGTTTATACTAAAAAAATACATGTTGTTTGGACCGTTCGGTCACATGATACTTTGTTGGAATATTTAGATATTTCTTTAGAGTTGACCAGAACTTGCTGCTGCAGTGAACAAATTTCACTACAGCAACAAATTCCATTGAAATGTATAACAAAAGCTAAATTTTGAAAATGGGGTAATTCTCAGCCTGACAGCCCAAAAAATTTGAAATTTTTGGCACAGACTAATTTCAACATGAAGGTTCCAATTCTGTTATCCATTTTTGCCAAATGTGAAGATACAAATTGCTCAAATCCGAGAATATTATGCAAAATGTGAATCTGGGGTGAATCCTGAGATGGAAAGCATCTTATTTTTAGAAAGAAGACAGTATTTGGTAGATGTAGATCTAGATGGATTATATGCATCCCTAGGCCTGCTAAAAACATCAAGAATAAATTGGCAAGAAAAAGATTTCATCAAGTGGAAATTGAAAGGAAACTCCAGAAATAACATATTTTCTTACTAATCATTGTAATTTGGACACATTTGGAGCAGTACAAGCAAGTTTTCGAATCTGTGGATGAATCTGGGGATGAATCTGATGCTGGATGGTATGCAGTATCGTTTTAAACATTCTACTATACAGGTCGATTATTATTACAGAAATTTCCTGGGTGCAAAGGGGTTTTAAAGTCATTTTAAGTGTATATTAGCCCTTTTATCATAATTTTTGGTGCACAAGTGCCATACATCAAAAGCAGACGCTTTGGTTAAGATCCTAAAGGTTGATGTAGCCTCTGAGACTGAGAGGCAGTCTGCCAGTCTGATTGTTGATCTCAGATCTCGTTGAGTCGTCGTCAAAACATTTTAACATGCAATCACAGAAGCTACAAACCGAAAAAAGATGCAAGAAAAACGTTAATCAATTAAGTGTCTTTTCTCTTCGAAGACTTAATTTTCTATCGAAATTTCATATAATTTGTCTCTTACCGCCTTCAAGTTTCCCCGCCATCTTGCCTTTTAAGAAAACTTGTTTGGAACCGAGGTCACGGAAGAATGGAATGGAACCGAAGCCGGAATTGGAACGAGGCAAAGTTTCAAAACGTCTTCCAACTTCAGACACATTTTCGGGGAACAAGGCTTTTGGACGCATTTAGACGCGGAACAGGGGCGAAGCCAACATTTTTTTGGGAGGAGGGCACAGAAATGAGTTTTCCCGAAAATTGGCGTGTACTGCTTTCACGAACAAAAGGATCTTCGAGCGCATCATCATGACAACGAACTGAGCATTTCACTGAGCAATGCTCAACATGCCTGCTCAGTGAAAAGTTTAGTTCGTTTGACGACTTGCTCAGCTTTGCTCAGTCTTGCTCAGAGATGTTTGACGGCAATAAAAAATGTTGAGAGGGTCATTCAACATTTATTTTGTTCGAGGTGTTGTTAAGCCATTCTCAGCTCGTTTGACCACCCAAGTGAACTTTGCTCAACTCGCGCTTGTGCGGCGAATTCAAACTTTGCACCAAGAATACCTTTAAAGTTTTTGTTGATATTGTGCTCACGTTTTGTGCAAAATTTTCAGTTCTCATTGCAGCGGCACTCGCATCAATCATTTCTTGTTCAAAGAATGTTGGCTGCAATATTCAGTTCGTTTGACCACCCTGTACTGAGCAGTGCGCTGAGCAGAGCTGAGCAAGGTTTGCAAAATTTGAGTGTTGCTCAGTGCGATGTTCAGTTCGTTTGACCGTGGCTTTATGAACATCCATCTTCCATCTTCCATCTGACTCTGTCTTCAGATCTTCTCAATGCTTCCGTCTGCTTGTTTCATCTGTGAGTCCATCATGCACGGGCAAGTAGAAGACTCACAGATTGCTTCTCTTTTCCTCGTAACATGTCCAAACCATTGAAGCTTTCGCGTTTTTACAATGGCCAGAAGACTTGCAATTTTGCCATAATGTCGTTGAAGAGTGTGAAACACCTGCACAACAGGACCAGCTTGTTTGGTTACGGATTTTACTAAGTTGTAGGCTTTTACGGAATTGTTGTTTTCGAGACGTTCTTCGATGACCAGTGTCTTTTGCTGTAACCACGAAGACATGGCTTCAGCAATTTCCCTTGTGGTTTCTTCGTTGATTTTCTTGTACTTCTGAAGATTTTTGTCATCTTTAAACCTCTGCTTCTTTGCTTCTCGTCGGTTGTCTCATTTTTCAAGCACCTTGATCGTAATCCAGGGTCTTCTGGTGCCTTGTGCTTTATTTGCCGTTTCATTGATTACCGTATTTCCAGTAAAAACGCCGCGGCCTTTATGAAGAAATCAAACTTTTGGATGCGGTGTTTAATAAAGGAGGGCGTTTATCAGAGAGCGGTGTTTAAAACAAAATGAAATGTTCGTCAAATGAGAAATGAAAAGAAAACTGCGACGAAAAAAGATAAAAATAGACTTTACATCATGTTTTCTTTTCCCCCAAAACACGTAATAAAGATCGTGTTAAATTTTTTTGTTCACAAAGTTCACAAAAGATGTGTTCATGTTGTGGAAATGTCAAGGACATAACAACTTTTATGGCTTTCGAATAGTAAGCGTAAAAACTATTCGTTGTTTGGTGTGTTTTCTAATTGTGCATCTACCTTGCTCAGTGCTGAAAACAAGCATTCAACGTGGACTGAAGCACATCAACAGTTGGATCGACTCAATATAGCATTGTGGGGTCTGGTGAACAGTCGATAGTAATTGGTTTTCACTATCTTTGTTAGTCGGACGGTTGTCGGACGGTTATCATGGGACAGTCGGTCTCAACATTGGCTTTCACAAACTTTGTTCAGACCGACTGTTTTTCGACAGTGATGTAGGAAGACACCTTTTCTAAGATTCTAGATAAAAACACATCTGGTGGGCACAGTGCGGCAAGGAATGCCAGTTGAGATGGAACTGCCCCCCTTTCTTCGTGGCTGTATTAAAGGCAACGAGGGACATGAGCAACGCTAATTCATATAACCAGTCTAATCTGAGGGGTGAAACGTATTGGGAGGGCACTGACTGTTTACAGACGGACTGAGGTGTTCACCTAGGGCCTGGGCTGCTTACCCCCTACAATCAGTACCGGGTGTCAATAGAAGGACTCCTGGTATTGAACCTGTCGGGAATCTATGACACTTCGAACCGATAGCCCAATAAGAGGACTGTAACTTAACAAACAATAAAAATCTGTAACTTCAACGTCCTGAAAACTGCCCAGCACTGAGTGTGCCCACTATAAATCCCGATCTTTGGGCTCAGTTGCCGAAAGATCAGAAGGAGCACGATAAACGACTCCAATCCGCCCAAGGTTTGATGGCCAAGGGCTTAACAGGGGTTAGCAAGGTGAAAGAAACTCTCCTACAGTTCAACACCTATCCGGATAAGTTCCCAAGCTTGTTCAAGAACGAAAAACCCGATGCCTGCGTTGCTATTCTGGGCAATGCTCACCTTGAAACATCATTTCGGCGAAGAGGCATGTTGAAATCGGCATTAAACCATAGATTTCACTCTCTTTGCAGCACAAAAACCCCGATAACTGATTACCTTTTCAGGGACAATATCCTCGAAGCAGCCAAGACAATTTCATCTACTGAAAAAATGACAAGGTCAATCGCTCCCTCACGCTCCTCTTCCGCGTCAACTTCACGTTCACCTTACTGAGTCTTCTCCAATTAGGATATCTTTCGTGCATGTAGACTTGTCTTCTACTGACCATAAACAGGCCGTGTGTGCCAACTGGGCACGTTTACAAGGTTCTAGGACCTTCCAGTATCTCGTCTCAGAGGATCATTCCCATGTTGTTTGTCCATCACGTCTTTCGGACAACTGCCCCAAAATGTTCTTAGCCTAACTGTCCGCCATGATGGGCCTAATCTAGCACAAACCTTGATTCGACTTTGGTCCAGACTTGGTTCGTCTCTTAAACATAATTTCCAATGGCGTGATTTTGAAGAACCTCTGGTCGATCCCAGAAAAGGTTTCAGGTTTAAAGATGTCCTTCTGGAAGTTGATGTTGAGGTCTCCACTCAATTCATTATTTGGCATTTTTTCTTTTAAAAACCTCTTTTTGAATAGGAGAAAGTTCCAAAAATTCACCTTGCTTTTAAAGTCGGCAGTGTTGCGTATAAACGTATCAGATTAGTCAATAGTGAAAGCCAAAGTGGCACCTTTCATGCATTTGCATGGTAAGCATGGAGCAGTTGGTACCAATAGCAAATTGAGTTTTGACTTACTTCCCTCCTCTCCCCTCCCCTCATATGGCTACTTAAATCCGATCATGTTGATTCTATGCAGCATCATAAACTGTATTATCAAAATCGCTTCTAATTTCCAAGTTTCAATATAACTGTCTATATTAGGTTTCATTGTCTTCCTTACTTGACATTTGAAATGACGCCATGATGACAAACATCTGACTCTGGAACTCGCCTAGTTCTCGCTTGTCATAATTCTAGTAGACAGGGACAAGATTCTTTCAAATAAGACTATTTGCTATATGGTGAGGAAGTCAGCAATGTCAGCGATTGCCGCAGAAAGTGTTCACCTCTGTTGTATCATGCTTAAGAATCGGGCCTACCAGGGAGTCTTATATTGATTCTGACAAGTGTGAAAGAAGCTCAACAGATTGGTTCAGTTTGGGCACATAGCAACGAATCACTAAAGTAAAAACTTAGCTACCTTTCAACAGCATTTCGAACTGGGATGTCAGGACGAGGATGAGAAAAGTTCCCCGCACAAAGCAACTTAATATGTATGGAAGTGTGAAAACAATTGCAAAACCTCTTCTGAAACAGAGTTATTACAAATTGAAGCAAATGTAGATGCATTGCATCCTTTTTGCAAAAGACAAGTTATATGTAAGATACTGAGATAAAGAAAGGTTCATTTTGAAGCAAGCAGTGTATCAATTATGCTGATGCAACTTTAATCATCGACATTTTAGAAAGTGAATGTACTAGCAATGTTTCATGATGTATCTAACAAACATAATTTTATGTGAATAAGTCCGTATTAAGTATGCTACTAATACTGAAGCAGAGCATATCAGAAAATGTTCTTCTTCTTCTCAGTTGTCCTTTTTAGATCCTTCCTCTTCATTTCCAAGAATTATCAGTCTCTTCTACAAGAAATAATCATTTGTTTTCTACATTTAAATTACCAATAATTAATCATACATACTCTCTGGATTAGTTACTTTAACTTTTTCTACACAACAAAGTACAAATTATATTTTTGTAAATTGACTTGACACAGCTATTAATATGTTCTATATAAATTCAGATATTTTATGGCATGTAGCTGATTGATGAGGCACATTTTTGTCCTTAATTTTAAAATTTCAGACCCAATGTGAATTTTGAAGGTAATTATTCCATAACTGCAACCCCCTTTACTTTCAACTTAATTTTTTGTCATCCATTGGTCCCGAAATCTAAACAAATTTTTCAAAAAGTTTAATTTTTCAATGGATTTCTTTATAAAATTATAACTTATCAATGGAATCTTACATTTCTTAAGAGAAGCATCTTCCCCAAAAGAATAAAATTAAAATTTCAAACCTGAAGCTTTTCATTTTCTTCAAGTATTCTGTCATACTCCTTTGTTAGTCCTTCAGCTTGTGATTTCATACTCTGAAGGTCTTTTGACATCTTTTCAAGCTCTTAGAAAAATAGAATAGAAAAATTGGCAAATGGCTTCAAGAAGGACAAAATTAGCTGAAAGATTTTAAAATCAGCTTTTAACAACTCTTGTGAAAATCTATAAATATGCTGAAAGTCTAACTATAACAGAAATTCATAAGAATACATTAAATAAATGCATTACATAAGAAAGAGTCACACAAAAGAGGAGTTGAAACTTACTGAATACTAAATCAACTAATGCACAAAAAATACTGAAAAATGCAAATCAAAGGAAAAATAGAAAACCATATCATAAAAATATGAGTAAATATATATTAATTTTGGATATTGAAAGCAAACCTGTCTCTTTTTCCTTCAGCTCCTGTTTCTTTTTATCCAATTGTTTTTTGACATCAGTTTCTTCTGATCCTTTCTTTTCCTCAGTTTTGCCAACAAGAGCACCCCCTTTCTTTTTTACATAAAATAAGACAAATTTTTCACCAGAAAAGAAATGAAGTTAGTACAATTCTAAGAAATACAATTCTTCATTGTACAGAGTTTGCAATACCATAGAAAATGCCTCTTATTCCATTTGCTTTTTCTCTTTATTGATAGATGAGTAGTAAAGACAAATATTTCTTAAGTTCTAACATGAAAAAAACATAAATGTTTTTCTTTTTTGCAATTAACATTTTCAATTTTATTTTAAACTCTGATTGATTAATCTAATTTGAAACTTAGAAGATGCAAATCAAAAAGGAGTCCTACATATACAGGGCCGGCACCACTGGGGGTTGGCCATGGCCCCCCACTTTTTTGCAGAGCAAATAGTTTTAAAACTGCAATTAAAGGGGTAAGAAACCTTGGCCCCCCCATTTTGAAATTTGTGGCGCAGGCCCTGATGTATATCATAAAAGCAGAATCGAGCAGAGGCTATGTATTTTGTTTTCTTACCTTCAGCTCTTCAACTTCATCAAGCAATTTCTTGCACTGATCTGTTGCACCATGGGCTTGCTTGGTAACTGCCTCGTGTGACGCTTCAACAGCTGCTAGCGAAGATATCAAAGTAACCAGCCGCCTGAGGAAACTAAAAGAGAGCAAAATAAAAAGAAAAGTAAATTCAACTGAATAACAACACGTTTTCGGTCACTGGTTTTTTTGTGCAAAGGATTTTATGAGATACCGTGTGTTATATGACAAAATATATTTAGGTAACTTGGTGCCTTTATTGTGTTTAGAAACCATACTTAAAAACACACATACACAGTCAAAATTTTTCTTAGAACTGCCACTGACCCCAGGCAACCTCCTCAGTAAGAGTTGAGTTAGATTCTTGCCTTCTTTAAAGGTTGTTTGGTTTAGCCTTCAGAAGGAAAAGATTTCTTCTGAAGAAGGAATGTTTTTGACAAAGCAATTCTAAACTAGACTGAACAAGTGACTTGGTACAAATAGCTTATCCTTTAGTAATATGTTTCTGTTACAATGTAGGACAATTTAGATTTTATCTGAAGACTTGAAAGCAAACTAATAGCTATCAGTACTTTGATAATACATACGGTAACATGAAAAGAGCAAAGCCTGTGATGTAACAATTTCTCTGGGCCCTGAACAGTTTCATATGAGCTTGAACTTCGGCATGTGGGTTGTTCTTCAGATCAACCTGATGGGCGGCTTCTACCTTTGAATACTTTCTCACTTGCAAAACTGAATCTGAAATTTTACAAAATTTTACTTTAAACACAAAATGATCTAGGTTGTGTATTGAATAATTTTAGGTCCCAGTAGGGCTTAGCATGAAAAAATTAATTGTTGTTATTAACTAGTAGTAGATCTCATTTACATTTTCATATAGATTGTAGCAAAGTTGCTGTAGAAATTGGTGCATAAACATTTATAACAACAGCTTTCCCAGAATATTTGAAAAAATATAAAAGGATATTAAGACACAAGATTGGGAACCCCTATTTGTCATATATTTACCATCCTTTTATATTGTTCTGTTTAAAATAACAAAATAACTTTGAAGTCAGGATATAAATTGTCATTGATCAATACCTTGTCATGAAGCATTAGGATTTTAAGACGTGATATCATAAAATATGTTTTAGAGAATTTAGATTCCAACTAAATAACCTGAAAGGGCAACAGGAAATACTTTGAAATTTATAAAATCAGTTGAATGTGTTTCAAACAAGCTACACGAGAACAAGCTTTTCCTCGACAAATCACTGTAAGCTGGCTTTAGTTCAAAATTTTCTGAACCAAGAGAAATCAAGAGGAAACTGTAGCTAACTTCAAACCTTTCATTGATCATAAATCAGTAATGCATAATAAATTTAACTGATTTTACATTTCCAAATGTATTTCATGGTTGTTCCTTCAGTTTATGTAGTAAAAAGTAGCTGATCTTGTCAAACATTCTCCAGATAATCAAATATGGACAACAATCCAATATATGCAAAATAAATATAATTCTTCATAAAACTTTAAATGAATAAATTGTACCAACATGAAATTGATACATCAAATAATTTCTTACCGAAAAACAGGAAGATCATGATCAAAACTGACACAACAAAAAAGTAGTTTCCATTAGTTTTAATAATGCTTATCAGTCTTGAATTGAAAATTTTCCTCCACCTGTTGTGAAAAATATACAGGTTTACTCTTAATCCATCAGACATAAAAAGCAAAATTACTTTAAGTAACAATTAATAATTACTCTGCAAGTAAAATGGAAAGGCTACTGTAAACAGACTGGAAACTTTGCCTTGGCTCTTTAGATACTAACAGTATAGCGACCTTTAATGGTCATTGTGGCTTCAAAAGCTCTGGGGGAAAACCCAGACTGGGAACTTTCTTTCTTGTGCGAACAAGATTACTTTGAAAATTTGAGACTGCGTGTCTGAAATCATACATTCTTAGCTATTTTTAGGGTTAATAACAAGAAATGTTCTTACCTAGGAATTTTGAGTGGCTAATATGCAAAGCATACAGATTTGTGGAAGGGCAAGATATTGCGGGTGTGCCACAAAGTTTCCAGTCTGGGGGCAAACAGAAACATGAGGCTCCTTGCCAGCAAAAAAGCAGAACATTTTTGCTTAAACCACACAAATAGTTTTTAACTGGCTTGTCACCTGGTAAATATCAAATTTTTCGAATCTAGGATTTGAATAGTAACTCTTTTGGGCAATATGTAATATATATATCTTAGCTTTGAAAAATCTTGACCACATGCATGTACCTTGACAAAAAATGACTTATAGACTAAGAATTTCAAATTCTGAGTTTCGATAAAGGTACCATTAAAAATGAATTATTCTGTTAACCATTTTATAATATCATATATGTGTATAACTCAAAATATTCCATAAAGTTAAAGCAAAATATTTTCAGATAATTTATCTATCCAGCTTTGCAGGTTATTTGATATTGACCAGCAGCTTTTCATGCGTCATAAAAGCTTTGGTAATGGATAAGAATCGTTCGAATGAAGTATCTTTGATCTTTGCAAACAGGTGAGGCCAAAGGGCAAAAATATTCACTTTCTTCATATTGCTATTGCATTCCGAGATAAAGAAAATGATAAAGTATAATGAGCAGCAAACCTGGCATTTGAAATGAACGGCAAGCAAAGCAGGAATCCTGCAAATAGCTCACTGTACAAAAATGCAGCAGCCGAGACCCACTGTAAAGAAACCATTTTTCTGCTTTAATTTTATTTGTCTACTTTTCCACTGAATTCGAAAAACTGTCCTAAGATTTTGGGATGATGCAAAAGCCTCCTCTGGAAGATAGCCTCGTAGCAAGGAAGGGAGGAGCAAAAAGAGATGGTTGGTTGGTAATCTTCTCTTGGCGGATATTTTGAATTCAAATAGTCATAATTCGGTAAGAAAATGTCAGTTCCCTGTTCATATTAGTAACTTGTTAACCCAGTCTTTCGGCACTTTCGTGACTTACTTTTAGACACCTTAAAATACGAACGGCTGTTCCAATATTTGGAATTCAATTCAAAATATAAGCTGCCAGAGAGCATAAGGCGGCAAACTTAAAGTCACAAACATTCCGGAAAGTACACATGATGGGATGGGTTTTGACAAACTCATTGAAAACAAAATGCAACAAATGGCTATGACTGTTGTTGCCCCGAACCTTCTAAACCAAGCCAATTTTGAAGGAAACAGACTTATCTTGCCTTAAATCACAAAATATTTAGGTTAATGTAGGCTCCTCTCCAAATGTTTTTTGACACATTATAATCATGTGTCCATATTATGAGATCAAACTCAAGATTACATAAGAATGTATTATGTAAAAATGACATATACTTATTGATCAACAAGTAATTACAATCAGTGGTATAGTGGAGGGGTAATGCGGCATAACACCATTATGCTTCCTAAAATGTCTGAGCTGCATTGAAAGACCTAAAAAAGGATGAAAAATGAGCTGCAGAACATCACATTTAGCTCTAGGATGAGATGCATTAAGTATATTGCAAATAGTTAAATATTCAAAACAGAGTCTCACAGGGGCGGATTTAAGGGGGGGGGCAACTATTGATGATGAGTTGAAGCAAGTATGGCGCCCCTTTTTGGAAATTGTGTGCCCCTTTTGAAGAGTGAGAATCTGGTGAAAAAGTTTCTGAGACCAATAGGCTAATTTGCTTCAATGATTACTTCAAAGTTATCTTGTTTATTCTGAAAATGGATCTGAAATTGTTGTATACAGCGTTCTCTCGTCATCAATTTTTGAAAATTTTTGAGCGCCCCCACTACCAACTGCCCCTCCTTTAAGTTTGCTCTGGATCCGCCCCTGGAGTCTCAAAAATGTCTCATAAAGCACTTAATATGATATTTTTGTGAAAAAAGCAAATGAAATGCTGATTTTTGTTTTTTACTTTTTTGTTATTCTTCCTAAGAAATTACACTACACCAGTGATTGAAAAGCAAGTTCCTTGGGTCAAAAGTGCAATATACAAGGTCAGGTCTGAGTTCAAATTTAGGGCAGCATAATCTACTGTCCCTTAGAATGGATTCATTTTGAAATTCTTCAATATACAAACTCCAACTATGGCTTCAAAGTTCATTTGCACCGAAAGATTTATAGTTCTGGTTAAACTAAATGACCAATTTGAATCCCTGCATGTCCAGACGTGATAGAAGTTAGAAAATTTTCAAAAGGAAATAATTCTTATGCCAGTGCCAGGAACCTTATCTACATTTCAGGAACCACAGAGTGTTGAGAAAAGTTGGAAGGTCTAGAAAAAGTGGGGGGTGGGGGGCTAAAACTGTATAAAAAGAGGCTTCACTGGTAGTTTATTAGTTAAAATTTGGTATTTTTTGCAAAAAGTGGAGGGCCCCTGCTCACCTGTGCCTGCTCTTCTATTACTTTTAAACATATGTTAGTTCCAAAGTGGAAACTTTGTTGCCAGCCCTTGATTTGTTATCTATGCACAGATATTTTTTTTCCTGTGCAGACCCACAGGGGCAATTACATTTAAAAAGATCAATTATCAATTGTAGCCTAAAACCTGATTGACTACATGGGTTTTAAATGGTGCAAGCAGAAGTCAAACTCTAGGAATTACTATGATATCTTAAGAGACATATATTACAGCATTCATATTATTTGTAATTATTCATAAGCTTGAACTAAGATACAAAACAGTTATTTCATTTGCAATCCTTTGACTAGATAGCATGTTATAAAATGCCAGTATGGTACTGGTATGATTTGTAATTACTATGTTATTTAGAGTAATATCTTAAGTCAAGGCAATTTAACTATCAGCATGCCCATCTTTGCTTAGTGAACCAGCAAGGACATTTACATTTTCCCTTGCCCCCATCTGTGTGCCTGAGTAGAACAATAACGTTTAAATATCAGTTAAAGTAGATCCACATGAGAAAATGATATGGTATTAAGTTGAACAAACATTGCCCTTTAAAGTTAGCAACAACTTTACCTGAAGTAATAAGAAGTATAATTATGTAGCTGTTAAATGGCGATTGCAAAAAAATGTCCTTATGGTTCATGGTAAGTTAAACATGACTGGTTGATAGCTCAACATACTTTAGTAGCGCTGTCTTTTCAATGGGTCTAACTGGCTTCATAGATTTGGTATTGACCTTTGCCGACTGCACAGCACTTTGTTTCTTCTTGGTGTGGACCTCCATGACTCTTCCAAGTGGCCAGGGGCTGCATTTCACATTGTGATCCATGAGCAGAACAATGTCTTCCACTCCAAGGCTGTCATGCTGTTGACCTTTTTCTGATACTGCTGCTAGATATTATTTTAACCAAAACTGCCAGAATACATTGCAGATTAATTTCACTTAAAGTCAGCTTCGTTTTGCAAATTCGCCATGCTTTGAAACAGTCCCGGAATTAAAGCTTAGGTACCTCTAGCATAGAAGCAGCAGCAGGCACGTAAATAATAGGGAGGTGTTGGGGCATGACGCCCCCCTAAAGGTTGAAAAATCCAATTGCAGTTGGAAAACTTAAAATTTCACTTGGAATTTGTTCTAACTATTATGACCAAGTATGTGAATTTTATAGCTTAGGATTTTGGGATTTCAAATCTTATATCTTATTAAAATTGAAACTCTGGAGCAGGCACATCTTCTAATCTCAAATTGCACCATTGCATCGTTTGTTTCCTTTTTGACAGGGGTTAAGTTGAATTAAGTTATTTTGAACAGGCAAGGTGAATTTCTGGATAAGAAGTTTAAATTTTACCATCAGTATTGGTTGAGCCTGAAGTTTTGAAAAATCATTGCCTGTATTGATCAGAACAATTGAAAGTGGGAATTTTTTAAGAAACCACGAGTAGCGAATTCAATTGAAAACATTACAAATCTTTCATTGCTAGAAATTCTCAACGCTTCTGAACGGGTAAATGCTAGGACCCCCTGCACTTTGTAGACCTCCTAGAATCTTATCATAAATTGCTATAATAAAGCTAATGAGAAGCCACAAAACATTGATCAAAGAAGTTGCAGCAGAAGTATTTGATCAGAGTCCTTCTAGCAATCAAACATCGCTTTGAATTGGTGAACGGTTCTGTATCAATTGAATGGACCACTTTTATGTGGATGACACGAATAGCAACACTCTGCACCTCTTGAACTTCCGCGTTGAATCATGATCGGGCCAAAGCCGTCAACAGAGGCTTAGATGTAGTAACTCTAAGCCCTGGAATACTTGCCATCTTCCGCTTTAGCACTAACGCCATCAGCAGCTCATACATGTGTTGATTATTTTTAATTTGCTACTTCAGGTTTCAATGATCCTGAATATTTCACGAATAAGTGATATTCAATTCCAGAATGCCTTCAGACACCACTTTTTGATGTTGATTAAAATTTTGAAATTGCCATGCCACAAGTTTTTCCTGTTACTTTGAAGAAGAACTACTTGAATGCAAAGTGGGAAACCACAACCAACCTTTATCATGGCCATTATCTTACTGATTTAATAAGGCTACTCCATAATCCTATTTCTACTTCCCCTCTCCAGTCTGTAAAAGGCTGAGGTTGAGTGCATGGGCAGGGCATTATATGCCTTTACAAACCTATTGCCTTTACAAACCTATTGCTCTTTGAACAGTGGGTTGAATCATGTGACCAGAAAATATCTCTATGGTGAGGCTCGTAGAACTCTAATCGGAGTTCGCCGAAGCTCCTCCAATTTTTATTTCTACCCCAATTAGGTCTTAAGTTTTTTGCTTTGCATTTAAACACCAGTTATTATGGAATTTACATTTTTCTTTTTAGAGTGTAACTGTTTTCAAATCACAAAATGGCGACCTTGCCAGGACCAAAAGCAAGATGGGTTTCTTTTCCACCTTTACCAACAATAAGGGCCTACTCAGCTACATGTTGCTATAATGGTGTTATATATGTCTTTGGTGGCTGCAATAGTATGGGTCAGCCATTGGCCGCTGCAGAGTGTTATAGTTTTGAAACAAATACTTGGAAAACCCTACCAAATTTAGCAGTGAAGCGAGCACAACCACATGTTTTGATTTACCAGGGAAAACTTGTAGTCATCGGTGGATGTAGGGAAATGAACCAGCCTGTGCAAGAGGTGAGAAATTTCTATTAGCTACCGATTGTATGATGCTATCATATTATGCAAAAAACCGTCTTTGGAACGGTAAACTACAATAAAATTGACAATAAATCCGGGCATCTAACTGATCCAAGGCCTATGTTGCTTATCATCTTCTACTATATCATTGCGGTTTTTCAAAGCACATGGAAGATGAATAGTTTTATGGCATTCCCCAAACATGGGGAATCCTTTACCGAGCAAACGAATCAGTATTTGGCATTTGATGTTCTACAGAGACAAGCAAATCGTCAATAATGTTCAAGATATATTACTAAGTCCTCCTGTTTTGCAGGTTGAAGCATTTGATCCAGTGCTTGAAGAATGGTCAAAATTAACCCCTCTACCGTTCAGTCTTGCCTTCTTTTCGTGTGCTGTTTACAAGGACAGTATCTACGTCGCTGGTGGCATGTCCACGCATGGTCCTTGCAATGACATGACGTACGTGCTAAAGTCTGGCAGCAGTGAATGGGAGGCATCATCAATGATGCCAACGAAGAGGTATGCCTGTAAGGCATTCACCCATGACGATGAGATCTACGTCTTTGGGGGACGTGTTCTTATGACCCCTTCAAGCGCTGTTGACTCACTAAATACCCTTTCAAACACGTGGACAAAGCAGCCTGACATTCTCGACGGTAAAATGTTCTCTCCCATTGTCCAGAATGGCGGGTGTTTCTACATACTTGGAGGACTAAAGCCGAACGGAGAGTTCTTGAATACAGCCGAAGTTTTCGATGTTAACACTAAATCGTGGAAAAACGTTACTCCGATGCTTTCAAAGAGAGCCGACATGGCTACAGGTGAGTCTTCTAGCTCCTTAAGAAGCATTTCTAAACATCTCCTGACAAAATAGAGGTTATACCCTTTTACTGTGAGCAAGGGAATATTTTCAGTGGGCTCGTTTTGGAGAATATCACCTAGATAGCTTGTATATATGCTTTATAAGCTTTAATGACGACAAAAGTTCCAGAAATCGTTCATCCCTAAAGCTAAAAGTATACTTAATAATTCAAATTGCGCTTGTGCCGTCTCAGTGTTTTTGAGGGGAGTGTTTGAATGCACTCAGCTTCATTTGAAACCCATAATATTGGAAGCTAGATAAGATTTCTTCTCCATTCAAACCTACTCTAAGCAAGGCTGAAAAACCTCAAGCAGCATTGCACAGGATACTCTAAATGTTTTTCTCTGTGTCGAGCGAGATCTTGCCTTGGTTAATGGTTTCTATGCCTCGTGCACGCTTGAAGCATCGAAGTAGAAACAAAGACTTAGATGCGTCAACCATCTTTCGATTAGTTTTTGAAATCTTGGTTTGGCGACGTCGTTGACTGTTGCAGGTTTTTATTATCACAACTCGACCTTGACTGCTTTTCTGTTTTCAGCCATACGAATAAAAATGCAAAGAATCTGCTGCTAGCAGCGTATCCCCTTTGCTGTCATTACCGTATTTCTTCTTATCAACTACGTTTACAAGCTGGTTAACAGCTAGACCATTTGGTTCTGCATAGAAAAATATTGGATATATTGTTTGGATGATTGAATGATGAACATGATATATTTTGTACTACCCCTCCCCCAAAACTGAGAATGATTGATGATCGAATAGACACTCTGGAAATCGACCGATCAGCTATTGGTGTTATTCAACTCAGAATCAACTTGTTGGCTCTGCTTCCATTGAATTATCTAGATTAATGTAATCATGGGTTTTGGATGCGTTCCTAAGTTAGAGGGGCAAAGGGAGAATGGGGCACCATGTCGCAGAAAAAAATGGAATTTTAAAAGACGTTTTAAGGAAAAGTACGTTTTTACATTGTTGGCGGTTAAAGAACGTGTCCCTTATCCATTGAAGTTTCTAATACAATACTTTTTGGGGGCAAGTGCCTGAAAATTAGCGGGAAATGGAAACAATAAGTAATTGCATTTGACGATCCTTTGTTATTTACTGCTCTCAAGCCAAAAACTGGTGCTTTGAAAACAATTGCAATTAACGATAAAGAAATTGTTCAATGAGATTATTCAACGAGAAAAAAATTGTTCAAAAAATAGTTATTTTTCCCTTGTCATTTCGAGTATAAAGACTCTTGAGCTCAAAATATCAGGGGCCTTTAAACCTTTTGACTAGGTGGCGTTTCATTTCTATGTCTAATTGCTCTCTTTGAATGAGATGAAGTGCTTCATTCCAGTGCTAATATCCCTTTAAGTAAGGTATGTAATTTATAGAAAAGCAGGTTCAAGCTTTAGCACTTCTCTGACACAATGCTGCTTCTTCTCTATCGATGTTTGTTCCACCTCTCTTACATTCTGATTTCATAACAGAGTTATACAAGAATTGGATTGTGGTCGTTGGTGGACAGAATGAGAAAGGCCAAAGTCAGAAATCCGAGGTTTATGACATGGACAAAGATGTTTGGTTCAATTTGCCCGATCTGCCAACATCAAGATGCGGTGCTACTGCTGTTGTTCATGGCAACTCGTTTGTAATAATTGGGGGTATGGGCGCCAATGGACCATTAGGGGATGTTGACGCTTTGATATTTGAATGAGGGCCTATTTTCCTGTAGCAGTATTTCACTTCATGTTTTTTGATAGCTTCTTTTAAGGCAGGAAAACGCACGCAGAATACTATGACAAACCTGACGGATACATATTTTATGTATAATTAGGCGAATAGTGGTTTGGGGATTGACTACTGCTTAGTTGTTATCGTCGAGCTGAGTTTTACAAAGGCAAAGCACTTCTATACATCAATGACTTATCCATCTTTCCTTTTTTTATTAAAGTCCTTCAGCGATTACGTAGCAGTATAATTCTGAAATGCAATAATTTAAATAGTTTGTCTTCAGAGTTCAGTTTCAATGTGCCCAGCCCCGTTTCAGCAATATTCTGATTTCAGCTAGTTGATGTATTTTTTTCGGTTTCATAGGCCGAATTTTTTATATCGGTAGATACCTTACCGTGACAAAAAAAATCATGCTAAGAGCAAAGGGCTGATTTGGTTATTGCTACCATTGATTGTAAATGATTTCATATGATTTTTGTGATTAGGGATGATTTGAACTAGCCTGTTGTGGGTAGTTTCGGCCGTTTTGATAATCTACTTCCTAGTCAATCGATTTATATGTTGTTATTTGTAGATAGTTGTCATTTCTCGTGCACCGACTAGTACATATCATTCAACAAAGACATTCATCCACGTTTTTAGAGATAATTTATCAAATGCAACGATAATCGTTTAGAACATGAATACGATTTTGATCTTCAGGTTTTTTTAATTAACATTTTATTTCTTTTGTCTACTCTGATAGAAGTGTAACCATAATTATATTTCTTTTGCCATATCTGATAAAAGTGTAACCATAATAATCCTGTTTTAAGTCAATACCCATAAATTGCTTTGCTGGATTTTATTAAGCTTAACAGTAGGTCTGTTATACATGAGTTTTTGGGAAATAATATAGGAAACGAGAAATTGATAGCTTCACGACTTTTTATTTAAATATAAGCTAAATCAGGTATACACAGAACTTGTCAAAAATTATACACACTTCTTCAATGAAGTGTGGGGAACCCTTTCTGGGACTATCCTTACAGGCCATACCCCCTTCGGGGGACGATACCCCCCTTCTCCGCCTGGTCTATTATGATCTTACAAGATCTTCAAAACAGTGCTTGCAGACTTATAGAAAACGTTAGCATTCAAGATGGTTGGATTTGTAACTGGTTTTTTGTCTCTAGGCTGATGGGGCTGTAATGATTACAAAACACTAGAAATCTTGTTTGCAGACAGTCTCAATCGACAGTTAAGGTAGAAGTATCTAATATCTCGGTGAAGGAGAGGGAATTGAGTTAAATCAGAACACGCTTATCAAATTTTGTACTTTCTTTTACTGCCGAATCTGCGAACACAAGCCTGTAAAACCACTGAATTTACGAGGGTTTTACAGGCTTGTGTTCGCAGATTCGGCAGTAAAAGTTTGAACAGTGAGCAGTGAACTTAAATTTACTGGTTCTCATAAGAAAGGAGTATAAGACGCGTTTCATTTATTTTTCTCCTCCATCCTATTTTGGAATCTAAGAAATTTTTCATCTCGAGCTTCATTAAAAAGGTCATTTTGAAAATTTACAAGCCCTTTCCAATTTCATGTCAACATTGCAATAGACGAAACTGTAGCGATAAATTATTTACTCAATTTATAATAGTTGTCAATTGAACATAGATCTACGAACTACACTCTTTTTTTATAAGAACCAGTAAATTTCAGTTCAGGCTGACTGTTCTTAATTTTTTCGAAAATCTGAGGCTGGATTGTTCTTAATTTGTTCTTAAATTAAAAAGGTGTAAGCTGTGCTATTGCTAGATTTTTCGCTCTAAGGAGGTGTTCAGGCCTCATTTGCCAACAAAGTGAGTGAGACAGCCTTAATTTGCTGACAAATTTGAATATTCACCGAAAAAGCACCCACACATAGCTAAAAATCCTCGATTTTGAGAAAAAACGTTGTTCAAAATTGCATTTTGCAGAAACTCAGCCTCAGCTTGTTCTTAACTTTTGACAAGTTTTGAGGCTCGTGTTCTTATAAAATTGTTCTTATAAAAAAAAGTGTATTAAAAAGCTATGGGAGATATATGAAGTTGATTTGTATTTGGAAAATGGCTGTTCATTTTTCGGGAGAAATTGGATTGATCAATAACTTTTCTTGAAATTATCGTATGGGAACTTCTCAAATATTTATTGAGCTAATAGGATATGATTCTTATTTATGATTTGGAATATAAAAACTGATTTAGTTTATTTCTTTATTCTGCTTCGAATGTGTTGATGTTGTCTCCCGTCGCTTACTGACGCCACCCCCTGGCAGCTATTGTGCCCTGACCTTTGAAATTCTGCTGGTCAGTATTTTAGCGTGGCTGCAGTTGCCGATTCTGAAATCTGTTGTCTTTTGGGTGCTCGGGTGGCAGTTCCTTTTTCAGTTGGTAATCAACACGTGAAAAGTAACGGAGAGAGCCGAGAAAACGGCTTAAAAATGACTAAATTTGAGCCAAAAGTTGGAGCCTATGACTGGGTGGCAATCGGATGTTATTTCTGTCTTTGTATTGGGCTTGGGATATGGGTAAGTCCGCCACTATTTTGCAAGCTTTCTGTCTTGTGTCGCACAAAGTTATTATAAAATGTTTTTAAATCATGGTTGTTTATTTGATGGGAAAGATGTTGTTTGAATGATATGGGTAGGTTAGAGTAATGAAATAGATGTTGGTTAGCGATGTTTCTGTTTTATGAACACAAAGTCAAAGGAGTCATTGACGTGTCGCTTTTGTTTATTAACTTCGGGAGAAGGCGGTCACGGCTGGTTTTAGGGGTTCACGGACCCAAATATCCTTTTGAATTGATTTTATCATGAATTCAAGTTATCATCTATTTCTTTGAACATTTTGACAATTGATTACAGCACTTGGGGTTCACTTTTCACGTTTCGAGAGCCATCCCAACCAGTTGTGCTGGAAAGATAGCCGTTGCCCGTTCAAAGGTCGTACTTCAAGCTGACTCTGTTGTACTCAATATGCCCATTGAAAACTGCTGTGAAGTAGGATAAAAGAAATTACTTTACGTCTCCTCCTTTCAGCACATCTCGTTTTGTAATTTGAGCCCTCTGTTAGGCGGGCATTGCGCACCGAGATTGGCCTCCCGTGGTAAGATCCACGTTTATTGAACACACCCACGCCATTCCCATTTCTTGGCAACCCGCAAACCTAGACTCCATCCTCGGGCGTATTGGCTTTTCAACCACCCGTTTCGTTCAAAATCATCGTTTATTTCTCAGATAATTACCACCTGGTATGGAAGCATTTGTTGTTCCATACTTTTCTGTATCATTCTGCGAATCGTTTTATTCTGCATATTTGAAACGAGTTAGGGCACCATGACCAAAACACGCAATGGCCTATGTTTTTACGTCATCACATCTCTATGTTTTGAATCAATCATCAAATGGCGTGTCTCTAAAGAGAGGAATCATTATTCCGCAAAGTTATTAGGCGGTAGGAAGTAAAATCTAGAGCTGAAACTAGTCACAAATGGTTCCTGGCCGGTGTTTCCAGACTTGACTCATCGTTTTTCCCTACGCATTTCAGCGTCGATTTTACCCACAAATCCTTCAATTTTTACAAATATACCTACTTTTCTACCCATGTTCAAGCATGCTTATGTGAACAATTTCCAGGGAAAGTCAATTTAAAGACGCCGTATAGATCGGGTAACATAAAATCAATTCAACTTTAAAATCGATGCTATAATAGATTTTAATGCTGACGAAAAATATGTTACAGTTCCTGAAAATCCTCTAAGTAGATTGAAATATCTACACGTGGCAACACTATTCTGGACAAAGCCTAAAAGTAAAAGGACCACACAAGGCTTCCTCTGCAAAGCTCCAATTTACAGGATCTTGGCATTTTGCATTTATTTAAACAGTAGTTACTAAAAAAGGTTGTTATTGCAATTTTTTTAAGGGCTCAGACTGCATAAGTTTCAATCCAGGTGCCTTTTGTATTCTTTTAAAATGGAATAGCAGAACTTTCTTATTCAGACCCGAACTTTCATTTTTCTTAATTATTTCATCCTTAAAAAATGAGTCCTTGATTTTTTGTATATATATTAACCATTTTTTTTAAATCTGAAATTAAAATTGCCTGTCATGATTGCATGGGGCAATAGTGTTGTAAATATAGCTATTAAATGTAGCGCATGCATTTTAACCTGTCCAAAAGTTACAAACCTTTCTTTGTTTTGTTACAAGAAGATTGCTATGGAATACTCAGTGTAGTGGAATTTCTTAAATCTTTAATCATTCACAGTAGTCTTTAATAGTTCTTTCAAACTAACTTGTCAATTTGTAATCCCTGATTAGCATAAGGATGTTCTTGTGACACTTATCTTGCCAAATCCAACTCAAAATGTAGGAAAAGGATCAGCCATTTTTGTCCTTTTAAACCATTCTTTTGTGATTTTAAGTATGATAAGTATGCCGAGAACCAACAAAAATGGCTTAACCCAACTTTCAACATACTCTTTTTATTCATTTGACTTAAAAATTGTATAAATCCATTTAATTGATCTAATAAGTTCAGTTGATCTATTTCTGCTGCTACATATGTCTTGTTTGGGATAAAAAGATTGTTTCCAAATAAATTCATATCGTGACTACTGAATAATGCGCATGGATAGAAAGATAATGTATTTTATTTGCAAATCAATACAGTAAGACTAGACATAATAGATGCTCAACAAAGACACCTTTTACTGCCTGAACCATTGTTAAGAAAGATTTTTTTTAAACTTGAGAGTGTTACTTAGAAACCATTTCTTGAGGTTTTAGGCTGCAAACAAATGAATCTCTGTGCAAACCAGTACAGGCTAGGACATATATATCTTTATCCATCAAAATAATATGCCACTGTGCTTATGCTTCAGAAATGGAGAATTATTAAGTTTTAACATGTCCTATTATTGGTGTTAAGTTGTCACAAATCTTCCCTGGTTTTGAAGCAAGGCTGCTCATGAAATTTTTGAAAATGTCTTCTTTTTTAGTAAGCTTTTTTCTTTCAACTCTCACTTTGTTAAAGCTACAAGACCAATGTTGATGTTTCCTTAGTCATGAAATGAGATCCGCTGTATTTATGCAGTCATAAGTTGGTCCATTAGAAGGGGTTTTATATCTTCCTAACAAGGCTATTTTTGCTGCTATCTTGCCTTTTTTGATCTGACATATGTTGTAATTGTAAAACTATAATAGACCCATTAATATGATATCTGCACAGGTAGTCTGCCTTTTAAGAATTGGAAATCCATAAAATATGTTTCTAACAACAGACAACCTCTTGTTCTTTGTAACAAACTTCAATCTTTTTTACAAAAAAGTATGTTTTAGGGTGTTAGTTGTGAAATCATGCCAATGCTGTAAATGAATTCTTTTTCAGTCAAAGTTTTGGAAACAGGGCAAAAAGGAGGAGACAGCAGAATCATATTTCTTGGCTGGAAGGTCCATGTTATGGTGGGCTGTAAGTAAATATACTTTTTACTTTTGCAAATATATCTGGCAGATGTTCTTGGAATGACAGTATCTACAGAACTAGGACTTTTGATTTTGTCAATTTTCTTGTGCAGAGGGACACAAGAGCATTTGTTTAGGAGGTTATTGTGAGATTACCCTAACCTTCCAAAAAAGACAAGGTATAATTTGAGCTCTGATTTTGAGGCTTTGCCACATACAAGTACAGCTCTGTTTTTATAGTATCAAGCACTTTATGATGTAAACAAGCTAAACAGAAATTTTCATTTTATTTGGGGCCAACAAAAATTTGAAGTCACAGGGCTTTCATGTTCAGAAATTAACGCGTGCGGCCAAAAACTCGCGTGATGAGAGTGGGGCGCGCAAATCAAATTTATTTTTTAACACAGCAATTAAGTTTTTTCCAGTGAATCATTAAACGTAACAAAACTTTTAACAAATGAACTGAATGCTACACATTGTATACACTCTTTTTTTTATAAGAACAATTTTATAAGAACACAAGCCTCAAAATTGGTCAAAAGTTAAGAACAAATTAAGAACAAGCTGAGGCTAAGCTTCTGCAAAATGCAATTTTGAACATCGTTTTTTCTGAAAATCGAGGATTTTTAGCGATGTGTGGGTGCTTTTTCGTCGAATATTCAAACTCTTCGGCAAATGAAGGTTGTCTCACTCACTTTGTTGGTAAATGAGGCCTGAACACCTCCCTAGAGCGAAAAGCTACCACTCGCACTGCTTACACCCTATTAGATTAGGAACAAATTAAGAACAATCCAACCTCAGATTTTTGAAGAAATTAAGAACAGTCAGCCTGAACTTAAATTTACTGGTTCTTATAAAAAAAGAGTGTAGTTATGTTTCATGTTTCCCTCAAGTTATCGTGAAGGGTACTGTGCGACATAGAGAGGTTTCAGTGACTTTAAAAACGTGACGAAGTTTCAATTCTGTTCAGCAAAGTTCAAGGAAAAAACAGACAAAAATAGTTTTAGCAAATAAAACAAAAAGAAGGCCCCATAACCAACAAATGGCAAAGAGGCAATTAATAATGTGTTAGTCCATTGGAAATCAGGCCCTGTTCCTACTACTCCAATTTCGTAGGAAAACGGAGCTGAATGAATCGCTTCTGATTTTGGGTTCCCATTGTTACGCTCAAAAACGGAGGCATTTGATAATGATGCTCTAAGTTATCAACCGAAAACAGAGTTCTTTGAAAATGATTCCTTTTAATGGGAACAGCGAAAACGAAGTCATTAGAGAACGGAGTTATTTAAAAACGGACTGTTTGAATGAGAGAATCGAAAACGGAGTCAATTAAGAACGAATTCGTTCATCTTCAGTTTCAAGATGAGCTCGAACAAAAGATATGAAAAAAGACAAAACAGAGTAATGGGAAAACCGTCGTTTTCGTTCTGGCCAAAACGGTGTGGGCCGGAGCAACTATTTATTATTTTTATTATTATTATTATTAACTCTTTATTTACAATGTTGGCATAAAAGAGGTATAAAATAGCCAAGCAAAGCTAATAAAAGCCAACTATTTATAAAAGCCAGCAATGCGAACGGCTCAAGAATAACGAAAACGGAATATTCGGAAAACGGAGACATACCAAAACGGAGTAGTGGAAACAAGCATTCGATGTCACTGGTCGCGCGACTAATCGCTCTCAAAGATAACCTCGGGCGCGTGCCTGCACGCTCGCGCGATATCGCACACGCCCCATCAAAAGTCCTGAGATCACCAACCCTGTTTTCAAACAAGGTGTAACGTTACAACAAAAGTCTTTTCTGTTAGGGACCACTAATGTTTGTATTAATATTTTGATTACAGAATTTAAAATCTAGTGGCACAAGCCCTTGTGCTAGCCCCTACTTCCAAACTTTGCTGAATATGATTGTGTTTGCACTTATTGAAGTTCAAGTTTATCTTGTTGACTTCCATAACGTGGCTGATTCAGTAATCAAAAGCAGGCCAATTTTTTATTTTCGAGCATGTTAGACATTTTGATGAGAACATTTAGGCTAAAAGTTTCTTAAAATTTAGATAGCTTCACAGCTTGGCATGTTTAAGAAACTTTTGTTTGAATGATGAAAGCTACATGTTAGGATGTTTTTACAAAATGTAAAGAAGTACTTAAATACTGTAAAGCAGTTTCAAGAGATGTACATGTTGTATTGTATTATAGATTATTTAATGTTAGTTTTACAATAGTGAATATACACTAATTAAGACTAACATGAAGCAATTTCAAGGATTGCATAAGACAGTTCATTTACTGCAGAACGAGCACGCGCACTTGTTTTCAAGGAACCAAGTTTTGATCAAATTCTTAAATTGTCTAGTATTTTCTGCTGTCTTTATTGATTCCGGGAGTGAATTCCAGATTTTAGGCCCTTGAAAACTTAATGATCTGATACCATTATGCAAACGTGTTCAGTAATATTTCCAATAGGCTCTAGGGGACCATTCAATATTCAGCGCTAAAGGATGGAGGGTTTCAAGAGGGAGCTTATTTGAGAGGAGAGCTAAGTCACTACTTAATCTTCTTAAGGAAAAGGGTGGTGTTTAAGACACTACAATGGGGGGGGGGGCAGTGGCGGATCCAGCCAAAAATCTGACTACCGCCGAAATGAGATGGAGGGTTGACTACACCCTTTAGACCACACCCATTTCTTGGTCACACCCGGTTTTCTAAAATGATTATTGCTTTCTATAATTTCTTATGTAGACCATTTTCAAGAGACAAGCGGTGCTTTACTGAAATTTCATGTATCCTTACAACAAGCTTGAGAAGAAATAAATAATCTTATTCAATATTCTGAGGATGGATATTCTAAAAAAATTTCACGGCATTTAGCCGAGGAACACCATAGAATTAGAAAAAAAGATACATTTGGCAGAATTTCGAAGTGTCGCCTAAAACTCGCATTTAGTCGGACAATTACCTATGAAAATCAGACCTGTTGAAAATTACTAAGTTTAAAAAGCTAGATAAAATTTGCAATTATTGAAAGCAACTTTTGTTAAACAAAGAATCATACTTTTGGCGAATATTGTGGGCCTGACTTTTAATTTAATATTCTTTTAAAATATATTCCTACGAATAGTTGTTTATTGTACAGAATAATGGGTCACATCGGCTTTGAAGTTACAGTTTGCCCACTTGCAGAATATGTAGGCATCCCCCCATCTTTCTGTAACGTTTGAGCCGCGTTGAGCGGCAGTACTACTTCAACCCCCCATCTGAGCGGTAGTCAACTCGGTTGTTCATTGGTTGTCAACAAAATTTGTATGCATCCCCCCAGGTTGGCAGTGATTTCTGACGATTTGATTGGTTTAGGCAAGCTGACTACCGCTCAGTGCAGCTCGAATCCGCTCTACACCGACTCAACCCCCCTAGTTAGCAAGCCATGATTTCATCATCATGCTAGCCTTCTATTTGCAAACATGTGGCTCGTCAATTGGCACGCAATTTCCATAGCGATAAGGATTAAACAATATTTTTGTCTCTGTGCAAATTTCAGGCATGTTCCTAGGAAGAAGCCTTGGTTTGCAGCGCGATCAAATATTTTCAATAATTAATTATGGTTTAATTAAAGTAGTAGGATAAACATGAAAATGATCCTTGTTTCTATAATTTTTTGAATAATCTGACTACCGCTCGAGCGGTAATGGCGGTAGTCTGGATCCGCCACTGGGGGGGGGGGGGGGGTGTTGTTGTAGGGAAGGATTCAATGCTGAAGAGGTGGACTTGTTCAAGAAATGGGTTGATTCGAATCATCAATTGCATTTATTTCTTGTGGCAGTTCTGCGTAGAATATTGGCCACTGAAATTATGTCAAATGGTCTTAAATGTTTGAAATTTGAATGTCTCTTTTTCTTTGAGAAATTTATGAAAGGCTATAATTGACAAAAATCAACACAGTAAAATATAAGCGAGCTTATTTCTCAAATCTTTCCTTGACATTTTTCATACTGCTAATAAGATTGACCAACGTAGGAAGACATTGTCAGTGTTTTAAAGAACTCCAACATCCATAGCCAGGTACTTTAAAAAGAGGGAGGCTGGGGGGGGGGTTCAGCCCCCTCAATAATTTCAGAAAAAATGTTTTTTGCTCTTTAGTATATCTAGCCCCCCCCCCAAAAAAAAAAAAGTTTAGCCCTCTTAATCCATAATATGATCTGCAGTTCTTGCCTAGCCAGGTAGTGAAAAAGTTTTAAATTAGGTCTTGTGTTCGTGCTGTCTGTGGTTGAATTTCTCTAGGAATAATGTTAACTGCCAAATTCAATCAATGGTTTTTCTGAAATTTGAAACTACTTCTAGAACAAGCTCATTATTTGTGCAAGTTCTCTCTATGTTGACTCTGCTGTCTTTGGGCGATAATTTGCAGAAAATCATAAGTTACGCAAACTGCAAAGAAACGGTTTTTGACTTCTTTTTTACTACAAAACACTTTAATTTTTCTCAATGTCTGTTTTTCGGCTGCCGCGACAATGTTGCTGTGATTTTGATTCTCCTTCAAATTCTTCTTCCGGTTGGTTGTGTGGAAACTGCGGAATTGGATACTTTTTAATCCACTTGTACAGATGTCAGGGGCGTCGCGACCGGGGGTTGTGGGGGGGGGGTGTCCAATAGTATCTCAATAGCAAATTTCAGGTAAAATCCACTTGGTGGAAGAAACGTTTTAGGTATTCCAGAGACCTTCATGTCATAAAATCAATAAAGGATCGAGCAAAGGTAGTTGCTCCGTTGGTTAAATATGATATTCCTTGATATGAATGAAGGTAAACAAACTAATGATTTGTAGATTTGAAGATTGCTTGTTGGCAATAAATCTAAAAATCCAGGCCCTCTTTAGGTAGAATTGTGCCTTGTGTCCATTTCTCCTTAAGTTTCTCAGTAGAAGCGTCAACTGCAATTCACTATGAGCTCCAGATTTTTTTTAACAATTAAAAGGCATGCTAAGATGGAAAGAGGGATCTAAATTGACAACCAGTGCTGATTCTTACCTAGCATTAGAAGTAACTGACAACCTGGTATTTTTCAAGACCACGGGGAAATTGTTGTTTTTATCTGCTGTAAAAAATGTTTGCAAAAAAATAGTAATTTTCAATAGGATTAGGAGGATTGCTTTAGTAAAATTTGCCTAAAAGAGTTTATTTTCCAGAGAACTAGAAGCATCAAAATTCGAAAATTTCCTCCTTCTTCGGCGGCAACCATGGAGAGGAATCACCATTTGCCTGTCCCGATTTAGAGATTTGACAAAACTATCAGGAAAGTCCCGTTATTATCATATAGAAATGACAGTTCTGAATTATATACAGAGTAAGATTGACAAAATGTATTGCAGAGGTTTGTGACCGACAGGATCGAGCTTCTTATGTGACAAGAGTGTCGCCGTCCGAGAAGAGGGCCCAGAACAGCCCATGCGAGGAGACGGCCTTCTCTATCACAATTGGAATGATTCAGCTGCTTTGGCCTTGTCCTTTTTCAGCAATCATACACACAGCATTGCAGCTCTTGCATATCCATATCGTTGAAGTATTGGTTTTGAGGAATGGCTTCCCGCTATTGTTTGGGGCCCTCTTCCTTTAGAAATTGAATGGGCTTCAAACTTTGGTGTTTCAAGACAATAGGAAGCTCAATCCAGTATTTTTTATAGATCAGTGTTTGTAGTCCACACTCCCCAACGAGGCTTGCCTCGCGACGGCCCGGACAGAAGTTGTGCTAGTTATTGTTCTTGTGTGGTTTTGCTTAGCTACAGATTTTTAATTAATTCTGGTTTTGCTGGAGCTCAGACAGTCCGTGTCTGGCTATTGTGCCTAGGGGGTGCTCAGGTCCAATTTGCAGACAAAGTTGGTACAAAGTGGGTGAGCCATCCTTTGTTTGCCGACAAGTCTGTCAATTTTCCGACAAGCCACCCGTACATGGCAAGAAAACTACTCAGGCGCGCCAGGAATTTCTACTAAGTTTTATAACTTAAGGAGCCCCTCTCCAGAAAATCGTATGGACACCGTGTGACATCACTGATATTATGAGGTCAAATGCAATCCTGGTATCCGCTTTCCATTTCCTGTAAACTCACATGTTATCAATCGTATCAATTAGATATTACTGTACTGTTTTGTTTACCCTGTTTATACTAGAATTAAGTGAATGCGAATTCAGTTATCCCCAATTAAAAATTCAATCTAAAATTCCTAAAGCACAGTACCTGATAATAAATTTACAATAAATCCTTTATTTTACTACAGTACGTACTGCTACGTAATGCTACTTCGTGCAATTTCTGAGATCTGAGATCTTTCCTCCTTAGAAATTCTCTGAAAGAACCCCCCGTCCTCTGCTGAGACAGTGATACGAGTTTGCAAGTTGCAACTTGTTTATCGTGATTTATCGTGATTAAGAAGATCCGACGTAAATAAGCACTCACATTACAAGGTTCTGATTACTCTCAAATTTTCCTACAAATTTAAAGAATTTCAAAGATTAGAGGGTGTAACATCCCCCCTTCCACACCTACCCCTTGCTTTTACGTACTTGATGAGAAGTTGGAAATCGTGAACAATATATAGTAGGAACATATCCCAAAATGAAGAATTGATATGCAGTCTCAATAAGACGAACTAGAGGAAGAGGAGTCCAATGTTTAAAGCAAAAGGCAGCCTCTTTGTCAATACGTATTCAAATCTTATTCATTTCCACGATATCATTTTCATTTCGTAGCATATAAGTTCTCCCTAAAAATAGCAAGGCTAACTTGGTATAACATGGTACCGTATTTGAAAATGGTATTATATGAACAGACTTAAAAAACTAAATCTGAGTGACCAACTGAGCGAGGATGATTATCAGAAAGTCTGAGTTTTCTTCTAGAGGTCATCCCGGACAAAATTGTTGAGACAAAATGCAATTTTTGCAATTTTCTACTTTACGTTGCCTCTGTAAATACGGACCCCCATCCCCCCGAATCAATGTTGGATTTGTAGTTCTATCATTTTCCTTCAAATTCATGCATTCAACATTAAATTGGGGGAGAAGGAAGTTATTTCCAAAGGAAAGAGAAAATATCAACTTTCTCTGAATATTCTCGATTATTTTTGTCCGGGATTGTAAGGTCTCGCGCCTACTTGCAGAAATTACATCTTTATAGAAATTTTGGTCTCCATATGCTGTTTGCAATCGCTTAAATAATGTTGAAAAGTGATGAATCACAATAATCTATCATTCAGTTTTTGAATTTCAATCATGTTATCTGTGAGAAGCAAAGTATAATAGACAAAAGTATGATAATTATCGGATCTGAATAATATTGGGTGAGCTACAGCCAAACGGATGCATTCCCTGTACCTTTGAAAACACTGTAATTTGGTCTTGGTTCTTAATTCCGTAAACCAAACCAAAACCAATTAAACATCTTTAAATAAAAATGAGGCCACTCGGTAAATTTAGGTACTGAAACAAACTTTTATGTTGTCACATTTTAACCCTAGTCTACTCTGGCTTTCCTAGCAATAAATTTATTTCAAAATTTAAGAAAGAATATGACATAGCTCTTGTTTTTAAACTAATGACGTCACCACATATTTATTTTCCTAGGTTGGTGGCAGCTTGTTTGCAAGTAATATTGGTAGTGAGCATTTCATTGGCCTAGCTGGCTCAGGGGCAGCAACAGGAATTGGTGTTGTGGCATACGAATGGCAAGCATCATGGATTCTGCTTCTTCTCGGCTTCTTCTTCGTGCCTGTTTATCTGAGATCAAAAATTTTCACCATGCCTGAGTATTTGAAGAAGCGTTTTCAGAGCAAATACATGCGTGCTTATATGACCATTGTGTCGTTACTCAGCTACGTGACGACCAAAATTTCTGTAAGTGCAGAAAACTTATCACAGTTCTGCTAATTACAAAAAGCATGAATTTATGGGAACGGCTTGGTTCAGGCCAATCGTTTAAATTTCTTGCTTTAGTAATCCAGGATTCTTTATCGATTCTGAGATCGAACAGAAATTTGGAACATTGTGGTTTGGTTGCTAGAAGTTTTTTCGCCAATTTTTTGTTAAATGGCAAGGCGAGGATATCCAATTGGCACCGCACGTGTCACAAACTCTTGTCTTTAGCAAATGATGTACCTAGCAGGGTCGTGCTTAATTTGTGAAAAGAGAAATTGAAGACAATCATACTTTCAACCCAAGGAGAAAAACGTATCAATAAATTTTGCCTAACAAAGTATTTTTATAAAAATCATATAGGATGTGGAATGATCTTAATTCAGGATTCTGATGAAGATTCGTTCTGCAAATATTGTAGCCATGTTGTAATATGGGTCTAATTTCAATTCTGTTGTTTCACCTTAGGTTGACATGTATGCCGGGGGTGTGTTCATGAAAGAGGCAATGGGCTGGAACATCTACGTGTCCTCGGCTGTTATTCTTGCTATTACTGCGATCTATACGTTACTTGGTATGTACTAAAATACCTAAAACTATTGGAATCAAAAATATTTTTATTTTTCTTTTATTTTTCAATTTTGGATCTTTTGTTTCTTATAAGCATTAGCACACTCTTTTTTATAAGAACTGGTAAATTGTAGTTCAGGCTGGCTGTTCGTAATTTCTTTCAAAAAATTGAAGGTGGATTGTTCTTGAAGTGTTCTTAAATTACTTTTGAACTAATAGGGTGTAAGCAGTTGCCAGCTAGTGTGCTCCAGGGACCGCCCATCAGTCTAAATGCGGGAGGGCTGAAATGCCTGTAGAACGCCAGAAAATGCCCTTTTTAGAAAATACTTGCTTATTTCTACTGAAGTTTTATAAACAGTCTGGTTCAGAGAAAATATCAATAGCTATAAAAATAGATAAAATTAGCTTGGGGATAATAAAACATAAATAAAAACACCGAGAAAATGAACCAAAAGGGTTCCCAGTCAAGAGGAACTGCCACTACTCAGGCCTTGCTTTAAGTAAAATGAAGGTGCTCCATAAAAAGAGCCCTTTGAAACTCTAGGCGCTCTATTTCGCACCTTTAAATAAAATATCCTTGAGAGCATCCTTCAAGAGCTTTGGAAGATGGAGAGATTCATATTGAAAGCTTTGTAAGAGTGTTAAATAAGAAATTCAATGGTGATACCAAAAAGCACCATAATATTAAATAACAAAACATGCAGCAAACACTATGTTAATACAAATATAGAAATTTGAGAAAACGCATGGCTTTAAGTCGAACATTAACTTTGTTTCCCTTTTTATGCTATCCATTCTATAAGAGACACTAGAACATCTACTACCCGCGAAAGCAAATGCAAACTGAAAAGCAATGCGGTAATTTAGACGGAAATGTGATCTCTGATTTGCAAAGGTGATTTTAAATTATTAAGAAAAAACAGAAAATAATACTTCAACAGAAGATTAACGCTTGCTCGAAAATCAAATAAATCTGCCGGAGAATACGCTTGATGGCCTGTGTGCTTGGTGGTTAATAGAGGGTTATTAGATTAAAAATGGTATCGAAAACCCAACGTTGAATTTGCTAAATTTTTTTCTCAAGGGCTAATCTTACGCAAATCATAATATTGCGGTCTATTGGGAAGATTGTTTATGCTTGATAAAGTTTATTAAACAAAGGCCAAAAAATTATTTCGCTCCGTGGTAATATTGTTTTTACGTTTTGAGGGGCTCTATAAATCGCTCTCCAAGGCTTTTTCTGGGTGCGCTCTAGGCGCGCGCGGTCGATCGAGCGCCTTTCCGGGCAAGGCCTGACTACTTAGGAGTATTTTATCCAATGTTGCGTTAGAGTAAACTTTCCAAACAGTTTTCTAACATATTATTGCATAAAGTGGAGGGGCTATAGCCCAATGACTGCGCGGTGCCTAATGTGCTCTAGAGAGGTTTTCAGGCCTCATTTGCCCACTAAGTGAGTGACACATCCTTTTTAAGGGGAAGGGTTTAAAGGGCTCAGATTTTTAAGAGCGTTTAAAACAACTTTGTTCAAAATTGAATTTGTTCTAAACTTTTGACCAGTTTTGAGGCCTCTTATTCTTATAAGATTGTTCTTATAAAAACAATGTATACAGCCACTTTGTAATTTACCTTTTGTATCTCAGTCTTATCCAGCTCTTAATTTTAAAGTCGATTGTTCAGATGGCAGAGATTGCATGGTGAATTACCCGATTGGGAGGAAGGGTATGGGGCCCACCATGCTAAAAGCAAGATGATTCTTTGTATGTTTTTTATATTACCTGGAAGCTTCAGCAATAATTAGCTTGTTGCCGATTTTCAAAGGCTGCGCTCAGAGCAAAGTAGAAAAACTACGCTTATTATATAAGCAAGCGAGCACTGCTTGAACCTTAATTGAAAACGTTAAAAGATTGACCAGTTTCCTCGAATATTACCTGTTGGCTGTTACGAAATTTTGTTATCAAATAAAGTGGGAAACAAAGCCGCCTGACTTTGTCACAGTAAAGGTTTTTCTTTGTGTTTGCTTTCTCCAATAGAAAATTTTAATCAGTTCACTTTCTTTGGGTCATGCTCAGTCGGTGATCTTTTGTTAGATTTGTTTGCCAAATATTATGATTCCTCCAACGCTGCCGTCTACGAGAGTAGGAAAATGGACGATAACTTGTATACGTCGCTGAAAACAGGTTTAAGCATCATATTCTGATGAATCAAGTAGGATAAAAGTTATCACCTTGGTAATTCAAGGTCCCAATTTTGTTGGATGCTTCCTCCGCCCGCATGAAGTCTTGATCAATTCAACATTTGTACAAAGACTTGTCTAAGATCCGAATGAACTTGTCAAAACTAGAATACAAATGATCTTTCTAATAATAGGTCTTTGAATTTCTACTGTCTCAATTTCACATTTAACATTTCTTATGTTTATGCTGCTGACTCGAGATGTTTCAGCTTGTTTCTTTCCTTTATTTGCAGAAGCATCTTCTTCTCTTAAAACCAATTTTAGTTCACAGCAAGTAATTTCGCACTGATTTACGAGTATTTGATGTTGCTCATTCTCGTCGCATTGCGGTGTTTCTTATTTCATACATTTTTATCGATTTTTCGCCGCAAGAATTCCTTCGGAGTCCGCCAAGCAGCCTGCTATCGTGGCTTTTTCTCTATTCACACGTTTTATGCAGGACCAGCTTTTCCACTCAAATTAACTTTAATAATCATAGCAAAAGATGTTGAACAAAGCTCCGTTGTTTCAAAAAGGTGGGGGATGGCCCCTCCTCCCCCCCCCCCCGTTCGTCGGAGGTCCTGAATCTGAAAAACAATTATGGATGTGCAAGTAGCACTCCCTCCTCTGTTGTTAGTAGTTTTTCGATATTATACCGAAGTTTTAATAACCTGCGTACTTGAGAGAAAAGGAGTTCATTTTCTTTATATCTAAGCTTTTAGCAGCAGATTCGTTGTGACAACCTCCTTGCATTCAATTTCAGAAACTTCTGAGATGAGACAATGTCCGCTTAGAAAATCGAAATTATATTTCGATTGGTTGCGCCTTTATTCGTATGTTTTCTCTGTCAATGCATTATTGTTAATATTATTGCAATAAAATTATTCAAATATTCTGAGCTTATTGTTTATATCCAAGTAAAATATTCTCCTTCACCTCTTTTGTTTTTCACAAGGTGGACTTACTGCTGTCATCTATACTGATGTTCTCCAATGTACCATCATGATTTGTGGTGCCATCGCACTCTCTATTGTCGGTAGGTTTCTTCTCTCGTATTTATAAAAAGTTAATTGATCATTCAACGATCAATCAGTAATCAAAAATCACTTTCAATCAACAATTAATCAGTTATCAGTTATCATTACCAATCAATAAACAAAATATCATATCTAACTACCATTAATCTTCAATCAGTCATCATCATCATTCTATTATCAATCATGCATCTAAACCGATCAATCAATAAATTGATCAGTCGACATCATAATCAATTAGCAGCCATACAATTCCATCAAACTGCCATCGCGGTCAATGTATAGTCAACCCTCAGCCAGTAATTAGCGTTTAATCAGCCATCAATCATCAATGAATCGCCGCAGTCAATCATCAGTCAATCACTGCGATCAATCATCGGTCATTGTTTCCTTTATTTCTTATCACCTCCAGGTTTCTCAAAAATTGGTGGAATCAGTGCTTTGTGGGAGCAATACCCAAACGCAGTCGGCAGGCCCTACGCACTTTTGAAAGCCACAACCGCGCCAGCAGTCAACAAAACACTCAATGCGACCATTTCAACGCTAGCTGTGACAACTGCTGCCGGGTTCACTAGCTTCACCAAAAACATGTCAACAGCCACGAATTCCACAATTGCTGGTTGCTATAAAGTCGACCCACACTGGGGGCACATGTTTAGGCCCATTGATGATAGTGAATTCCCTTGGATTGGGATTTGGTTTTCGTTACCAGTTACTGGAATCTGGTACTGGTGCACGGATCAGGTTTGTCACACTCATATATGTCTACTTTTCAGATGTTGTATTTTACTTATGTTTTTCTGAAACATGTCATACTTACATTATTAGCATGTCATACTCCATATCATACGCACATTGTCAACATCTCAATTTTGAATCCACGATTCCACTTGACAACTATCAACAGCGTAGTATTACTGTTCCCGATTAAAGAGTTTTTTAAATATTTGTTTTTACAGTTATAAGTTTGCTTGTAGAACCTAGCCAAGTTAGGCCCTTATGACATTAGCAAAGAAGCCAATCAAAAGCACAATTAGTAGGCAGCAGCGTCATCTTCTACTAAATAAACAATTCTTTTTTAATTTCTTCTTTTCAAATTTTTTTTATATATATATATATATATATATATATATAAATTCGATTAAAAGTTACAATAGACTACGAACAAATAACCTACAAGACGATGGCGCAGGGAGCATGAAAATGCATTGCAACCCTGCACCTATTACCTACAATAATACTTTAATACTTAAACTAATAATACTATTGATACCATGAAAAAGATATAAGAATTTCCAAGAATACAACGAGATATTCAGATGTCTCATAAAGGCTTTTTGGGTGACGTAGAGACAAGAAAACCAACGAAAACAGACGAAAACCTTTGGATTTCCACAGCTAGAGCGCCTGCGCGATCACAACAAATGTTTAATTGGTGGCAAAACGACTAAACATTTGCTAAACAACGCTAAACGCTAAACATTTTTGCTCAACAACACTCAACACGACTTAACAACACTAAACAGGGTGGCAAAACGACTAAACTTTTCACTAAACGTTTAACAAAACAAAAGTTGAGTGAAATGTTTACTCGTTTTGTCAGGGCTTTAGTAAGTTTGATCTAGTAGGGCCTAGTATGGCTTTTAGTAAGTTTGATCTTAATACTTTCAGGTTATTGTACAACGTACCCTTGGCGCCAAAAACATTGCTCACGCACGTGGTGGAACGATTTTAGCGGGCTTTTTAAAGATATTGCCAATGTACATTATGGTTATGCCTGGCATGATAAGCAGAGTGTTGTACAAAGATGATATTGGATGTGGGGATCCTGAAGCTTGTTATGCTTATTGCCAGAATAAGTATGGATGTTCAAACAGTGCCTATCCAAGGTATTACCATTGATGCTTTAAATTGATTTTTTCTTACAATACTGCCAAAAATCGTGGTACACTACACTTATATTTCTGAATATTTTATACCACGTCACCGTCGCTGCAATTGAGCAATGTTGTTTTCTACAATGTTAAGAGGTTCAGTGTGGTCCAATGGATTGCTATGAAACTCTGCAACCAACATTTTTAGGGGGGGGGGAGGGAGAGGTGGTACAGTGTCGGTGAAAACGATTTGCTTTTTCAAAAAAGCATTTACACAACTTGATGTTTCAAAGAGTTTTCTCAGGGATTGTAGCTTGGAGAGGGTGCTTGGCGCATATGACCATTTAGGGTTTTCTGTCCTTCAAGTTAGGCAATATTTCAACCCACTACTTTGTTTCAATACTTTTATTGAGCAGCTAGAAGGAGGCATTAAGAGCGTACAGGGTTTTTATCTTTCTTCAACTTGGGCAGAATGTTTGATCAAATTGTTATTTTCTAATATATATATAATTTACTATTTCGAGAAGTTTTACTGCCACACAAAGAAGATATACTGTGATAAGGCTGTTTAGAAAAATGATAATATCGTGTAGAATTGTTGCATCGTATGTTACAAAAAGACTTCTAGATTAAATTCAAGTTTGACCACTCACAAAATAGTCAAAACACTTTTTAAACGGTCTCTTACTTTATGCGTTCTTTTTACTAATTCAGAACTTTTTATTTGATTATTTTCTAATAATAATTCAGTTTGTTTTGTGACCTAAAAAGCTGATAATTTCTCTTAGGCTGGTCCTGGACATTCTACCAGCCGGTGCAGTTGGTTTGATGTTGGCGGTTATGATGGCCGCCCTTATGTCCTCGTTATCGTCCGCATTCAACAGCTCCAGTACGATTTTTACTATGGATATATGGAAGCTTTTTAGGCCAAGAGCATCGCAGAAAGAGCAGTTGATTGTTGGTCGAGTTGTTGTTATCTGTCTCGTCGTCATTGGGCTTCTCTGGATTCCTGTTGTTTCAAGTGAGTCGAAACATTCAAATGTCAAGTAATGGATCACGAAACAGACTTGTTTATTGCGTTTTGGCAGGAAAACGTCTTGGTTGTCACATTGCTGCGAAAAAATTTTTATCTTATTTCTGAGAAAGGGCCGTGATCTCTCTCTGATGGCTCTGTAAAGCACGAGAAGACCAACATGCTATTTCCAATAGCCATCTGTATATGTCCTCCTTCTCTCATCTGTATATCTCAAATAACCACATTATTTGGTGCAGTGTCGCAACTTGCAAGTATTATTTCCCCAGTAACAAAAAACTGCGTTACATATTTCTTTTTCTTGATAGGTTAGCTTAAAGTATTCTAGCATGCTTTTCCTGCAAGAGTTTAAATAATTGTAATTTCAACTCCTGTTTTTTAGGCGGTCATGGTGGACAACTTTTTAAATATCTTCAGACTATTCAATCATACCTTGCACCGCCTGCCTGTGCTGTGTTTATCATCGGAATGTTATGGCCTGGCCTCACCGAAGTTGGCGCATTTTCAAGCATGATATTCGGTCTCATTCTTGGTGTGTCTCGCCTCGTTATGGATGTCGTTTATCCACAGCCTCACTGTGGAGAAATTGATGATCGCCCCGGTTTTGTCAAATTGCACTTCATGTATTATGGTGAGTTTATCTGTCATAAGAAAATCCTGCTGTATTCAGCTTTGTTTGGCTTAAGTTTGGATTGAGAACGGAGCTTTAATGAAGAGGGGGGAGGGGCATATTGCCAAAGTCAATTTATCGCGGAGGCTTTGACGTTGAGCTTATTTGTATCAATACATTTTTATCCGGACTTCAAGTTAAATTGTGTTAATTAATTTTCATAAATTGATGCTAAATTCATAAGCATTTTTGATTAACCTCCCAAAACATTTTTGTAAAAGACATCTGTATTTCTCTCTGGGCATTCTTAATATTGAAGGCTGGCTCCATATTGCAGCCATTAAATTTTCTATGCTCAATCAAATAGCCACTATGCTCACAGAAAATACACGTCTGGAAATAGTTTCACTTTGAAGTTGGTGTGTAGATTCTAAATATGCTACAATAAGAACTTATTTTAACTTGAATTTTTTATCTATTTGCTTATTGATTCCTTTCAATTCAGTTTCGAAAATTTACACTAATAAAAAGATTGAACAAATGTTAATGGAGTTTTAACTGAAGACATATTCGCCAAGCACTGCTTAGTATTAAACTTTGGATAATGACAATTCCTCTGTATTAATTGTTATTTTTTACTTCAACCCACAGCAATCATTATCTTCGTCTGCTGTATTGTTATAATGGTCGTTCTTAGCCTCTTTACCAAAGCCGTTCCTTTGGAAGCACTAGGCGCTTTGACGTGGCCAACACTTAACAAACCTCGTTATCGTGGTGGAAAATCAACCGCAGAATATGTCGTTAATGCGGACATAGGTGGACTGGAGATGAAGAATGCTTATGGGTCACCGGGTGAAGGTAACTATGAATATGATATGTTGTTCCATCGACAATGGCTTCTCAGTATTCGCAATAGCTTGAATCTTGACTGCTTTCGCTAGGTATTGAGGAATCTACTGTTGTAGACGGGATATCTTGACATTTTATACCCTATTACCAGTTCATTATTAACATGAAATATATAAAAACACACTCACCAAAACCTTGAATTGGATGGGGGGGGATAGGTGGGCTGAAATAATGCCTGGCATGAGATGCTTTCGTCTCAACAGGTGTGTCAAGGGTTGTAGTTTAGTGGACCTACATCGATACTGCCAATGGCATTTATTCTTTTTTACAAAGCTTGTAAATTGTTTCAACGCTCTTAGCTAGAACTGGGTGATAAGTGCATGCTATGAAAAACATATGTGCAGGAAATTTTTTTCAATTTGAAGCAAGTTCAACATTTGTATCAGAGTTTTGAAATTTTAGATCTCTTTGTTTCAAAAAGGATTGAATTTATAGAAAAGAAGCAAATCTTTCCTTTACAGATAGCCGCGACCTATTATCCTTTGATATAAAAATGGTAAAGCTTTCTAAAGATAATTCCATTCCAAGAAGTTGCTATTATGTGACAGGCGTCTTATCTTTCAGTCTATGTGAAATTTAATTGTCGCTTTGTTGAAACCCACAATTTTCATTTTAGTATTTATTTTATGTCTCTGACGGTAAAGCTTTCTCATTACCGTTATGATATTTTCCATGCAGAAAAATTACAAATGTCGGTGGATTCCGTTATCAATTCAAAGGCCGTATTAACCGACAACGAATCAAAAATGGCCACCGTAGAAGAGAAATATGACAGGGAACAAGAGCTCAGAGAAATTGAAGAATTTGAGGACCAGAATACTGTCACCAAATGGTCACTTAGAGTGCTGGCAATATTGCTGTTATGCTGTCTTGTCTTCCTCTGGATCTACTACCGCTAACATCCGTATCTTGATTCCCAAGAGGTTTTGCTTTTGCTATGCTGACATGTTCTCGTGGCTTTCTTTTTGGGTGTTGTCGATAATTGTTATCTGTTTAAATACGAAACTCTGACAGCTTTTCCCCCTTCATTAAACGTCTTACACATTATACTATCTATATTATTATTCAACATAGATTTCACTGAGTTCTGCATAAGATAGTTTGGCACCTATAATTTGATCAACTGTGCTTTTAGCCTATTCAAAGCTTTAGTTTAGTAAAATTACATCTATATATATTTTTCAGTTAACCTTTATATATCTAGGGCATGGACTTTATTTTTATGGGTTACCTCTTCTGCGATCTGTTATAACCTGCCCAAGATTACGTTATAACCTGCCCAACGTGCTTAGTTTTTCGCTACCCATGATGTAAAACACTTGAAATAATCTGTCAAATTTTTCTTTTACGTGGGTTGTGATTTTCGTTTGTTGTCCCTTCTATATATTTTATCCTCAACAAACGGTTGTGTCCATTGTGATGGCAAATCAAGGAAATTCCTTCCAAATTTCAAGTGGGATGACGTCACTACTTTACTTCCACAAATCCACCAGTAGAGTTTCTGCAGAAAAGTTTAAAATAATTTTAAACCTTGTTTACAACCAGTTGCTTACATCAATTTGTCCTTTTTTCTTCCGTCCATTTCCATTATTTGTTGACGCAGCGAATAACGACCTGTCTGTGAAGGGCTGAACTACACACAAGGACTACGGAGCATGTTATCAATTGTGTGGGCAAATCAATTTTTGGGGCTGAACATGCTAAAAGCCAAGAGCAGGCGATCTTTAGTATCGTTTTAAGTACATTTTGAATAGGGGAAGCCCCCCACGGTCCCCCTGCGCCTGCGATCCTTGAAGGCCCCCACAGTCCCCCCTGCGCCTGCGATCCTTGACCAAACATACAAATGCACATAGTCAAAGTTAAATTCTAATCCATTTCGACCCATCTAAATACTTTTAAGCTAAAAATTATCAGATTGGCTTCAAAATGTAAAAAATGTAAGTTTGTGATTCTGATTAATTAGCGATTTATTTGTGATTTTTTTAAAAATTCAACTAGTGATCTTTGTAATCTATTTTGTAATGGACATTGTGATTGGGTAGATGAAAATGTTGAATGTTGAATTATCTTGTCTGAAGACATGTGGATATTTCCTTCGATAACTCTAACGAACTTGCTCTTATGAATCGTTTTCAGCTCTGAGAAGCGGAAATACGACTAACTTTGACCCTCGGTCACGCTACAGAACAATAGAGAATTCGAGAAAGCATGGACAAGGAGCTTTTGGCTGTTCGACTGAGAGGCCTTTAGACAGCTATCCTGTTTGTGCGATACAACCATTTTTCATGGAAGACGTGGAAAAAAGACTAAACGGGTCAAAGATAATCACTCTCTTGAGCAGATCCAAACCGCCGCAAGCGCCTCTAAAAGGTGCAAGAAATTTCTAACAGAAACTGGCTAAACGTGAAAAGTTTTACCATTTTATACATTCCCCCTGTAATACTGTTTTATTTTTGTCACGGTACAATTGGCTGCTCTTTTGTAGTCTCTCTAAGGGCCTATTTAAAAAGAGCAAATTTATCCCCTCTCAGCCCATAATATGGCAGGTGAGATGAAATCATCGAATAATTATATGCACGTTTTAAAAGAAACACATTAATCGGTTGGAAAGGTGGCAACCTTGGGTAAATGATGACCCAATTTGTAAGTGTAATAATGGGCAGCTAATCGTGCTAACTCAAAGCGGGCGTTTCTAGAGAACTAAGGGTTTGCAAGCCAATTAACCTGTTTTTAGAAAAAGAATTCAAAAAAGTTTGGCCATTTTTGTAGATCTATAGCCTTACTTTTTTATCGAAATCTTCCTTTCTAAAACAACGCTCTCTTTTCCAAAAAATCAACTTTTATTTAAAAAATTCAATCCTCGTGTATTGAGAAGAAAAAGTTTGGAAAAATTTGACCATTTTTGTAAGCCTATAGCCTTACTTTTTTATCAAAACCTAACTTTTTCAAAAACGCTATATTTTCCAAAAATCGACTTTTATTAACAAACTAACTTTATTTTGTTTTAAATTTTGTTCATATATGAACCGAATAACATGGTTTCAAGAGCAAAAATTCGAAAAAATTCTACCATTTTTATAAACCTATAGCCTTAATTTTTTATCGAAAATCTATATTTCTGAAAATGCCTTTTTTTCAAAAATTAACATTCATTTAAAAACTGAAATCAATTCTCTTTATTTCTGTTTATATACAAGAAAAACAACCTGTTTTTAGAAGAAACAAAAATTCGAAAAAAATTCGACAATTTTAGTAAGCCTATAGCCTTAGTTTTTATGGAAAATCTATTTTTCTGAAAATGTTTTTCTTGCCAAAATTAACATTCATTTAAAAACTGAAATCAATTCTCTTTATTTCTGTTTATATACAAGACAAACAACCTGTTTTTAGAAGTAACAAAAATTCGAAAAAAATTCGACAATTTTAGTAAGCCTATAGCCTTAGTTTTTATGGAAAATCTATTTTTCTGAAAATGTTTTTCTTCCCAAAATTAACATTCATTTAAAAACTGAAATCAATTCTCCTTATTTCTGTTGATATACAAGACAAACAGCCTGTTTTTAGAAGAAACAAATATTAAAAAAAAATTCGACAATTTTAGTAAGCCTATAGCCTTAGTTTTTATGGAAAATCTATTTTTCTGAAAATGTTTTTCTTCCCAAAATTAACATTCATTTAAAAACTGAAATCAATTCTCCTTATATCTGTTGATATACAAGACAAACAACCTGTTTTTAGAAGTAACAAAAATTCGAAAAAAATTCGACAATTTTAGTAAGCCTATAGCCTTAGTTTTTTTGGAAAATCTATTTTTCTGAAAATTTTTTACTTCCCAAAATTAACATTCATTTAAAAACTGAAATCAATTCTCCTTATTTCTGTTGATATACAAGACAAACACCTGTTTTTAGAAGAAACAAAAATTCGAAAAAAATTCGACAATTTTAGTAAGCCTATAGCCTTAGTTTTTATGGAAAATCTATTTTTCTGAAAATGTTTTTCTTCCCAAAATTAACATTCATTTAAAAACTGAAATCAATTCTCTTTATTTCTGTTGATATACAAGACAAACAACCTGTTTTTAGAAGAAACAGAGATTCGAAAAAAATTCGACAATTTTAGTAAGCCTATAGCCTTAGTTTTTATGGAAAATCTATTTTTCTGAAAATGTTTTTCTTGCCAAAATTAACATTCATTTAAAAACTGAAATCAATTCTCTTTATTTCTGTTTATATACAAGACAAACAACCTGTTTTTAGAAGTAACAAAAATTCGAAAAAAATTCGACAATTTTAGTAAGCCTATAGCCTTAGTTTTTATGGAAAATCTATTTTTCTGAAAATGTTTTTCTTCCCAAAATTAACATTCATTTAAAAACTGAAATCAATTCTCCTTATTTCTGTTGATATACAAGACAAACAGCCTGTTTTTATAAGAAACAAATATTAGAAAAAAATTCGACAATTTTAGTAAGCCTATAGCCTTAGTTTTTATGGAAAATCTATTTTTCTGAAAATGTTTTTCTTGCCAAAATTAACATTCATTTAAAAACTGAAATCAATTCTCTTTATTTCTGTTTATATACAAGACAAACAACCTGTTTTTAGAAGTAACAAAAATTCGAAAAAAATTCGACAATTTTAGTAAGCCTATAGCCTTAGTTTTTATGGAAAATCTATTTTTCTGAAAATGTTTTTCTTCCCAAAATTAACATTCATTTAAAAACTGAAATAAATTCTCCTTATTTCTGTTGATATACAAGACAAACAACCTGTTTTTAGAAGAAACAGAGATTCGAAAAAAATTCGACAATTTTAGTAAGCCTATAGCCTTAGTTTTTATGGAAAATCTATTTTTCTGAAAATTTTTTACTTCCCAAAATTAACATTCATTTAAAAACTGAAATCAATTCTCCTTATTTCTGTTGATATACAAGACAAACAACCTGTTTTTAGAAGAAACAGAGATTCGAAAAAAATTCGACAATTTTAGTAAGCCTATAGCCTTAGTTTTTTTGGAAAATCTATTTTTCTGAAAATGTTTTACTTCCCAAAATTAACATTCATTTAAAAACTGAAATCAATTCTCCTTATTTCTGTTGATATACAAGACAAACAGCCTGTTTTTATAAGAAACAAATATTAGAAAAAAATTCGACAATTTTAGTAAGCCTATAGCCTTAGTTTTTATGGAAAATCTATTTTTCTGAAAATGTTTTTCTTCCCAAAATTAACATTCATTTAAAAACTGAAATCAATTCTCTTTATTTCTGTTGATATACAAGACAAACAACCTGTTTTTAGAAGAAACAGAAATTCGAAAAAAATCCGACAATTTTAGTAAGCCTATAGCCTTAGTTTTTATGGAAAATCTATTTTTCTGAAAATGTTTTTCTTCCCAAAATTAACATTCATTTAAAAACTGAAATCAATTCTCTTTATTTCTGTTGATATACAAGACAAACAACCTGTTTTTAGAAGTAACAAAAATTCGAAAAAAATTCGACAATTTTAGTAAGCCTATAGCCTTAGTTTTTATCGAAAATCTATTTTTCTGAAAATGTTTTTCTTCCCAAAATTAACATTCATTTAAAAACTGAAATCAATTCTCCTTATTTCTGTTGATATACAAGACAAACAACCTGTTTTTCGAAGAAACAAAAATTCGAAAAAAAATTCGACAATTTTAGTAAGCCTATAGCCTTAGTTTTTATGGAAAATCTATTTTTCTGAAAATGTTTTTCTTCCCAAAATTAACATTCATTTAAAAACTGAAATCAATTCTCCTTATTTCTGTTGATATACAAGACAAACAACCTGTTTTTCGAAGAAACAAAATTTAGAAAAAATTCGACCATTTTTGTCAGCCCATAGCCTTACCTTTTTAATAAAAATATATACTTCTATATAACGCTATATTTTTAAAAAATCGACTTTTATTTACAAACACATCATTTTGTTTTAAATTTTGTTCATATACGAACCAAATAACCTGGTTTTAAAAGAAAAGAATGCGAAAAAATTTGACCATTTCTGTAAGGCTAAAGGCTATTTTTTATCGATAATCTACCCTTCTGAAAAACGCAATAATTGCAATTCTAAGGCAATTCAATTCTCCTCAATTTTGCTTATATACCAACCAACCTAGCTGTATACAAGAAAAATAATTTCGAAGAAATTCGGCAATTTTTGCAAGCCCATAGCCATAATATTTTATTGAAAATTCATCTATTTAAAAATGCTATAACTTGATTCAAAAGAAAAATTAAACAAGCTTGATATTTTCTCCCTCTCTTCCCAACCCCTCCTCTTTTTTCTCTGTTAGCGCTTAGCTAAAAGCTCCCTAGCTTTTTCCTAATATCGCCGACCAAAAAATAGCCTTGCCATGTTATCAGTTCATTCTAATTATATAGATACGAATTGACCAATCGCAATCTAAACAATCGCAATATCAAAAAAAATTTTATTTCCGAACTAGATTCAATTGGTCCTTTTTTGGTCGTTTCTGGGAAAAAAATGTTCAGAAAAATTGGACGCTTAGCCTTATTTCTTTATCAAAATCGATCTTTCTAAAAAAGTCGTTTTTGTCCGAAAATTTCGACTCTCTTTCCTAATCTAAATTTAATACTTGTTCTTTCCAATCATATAGAAGCAAATTTAACTGTTATTAGAAAAAAAAATTTCAGAAGAGTTTGACCATTTTCAGAAAGTTTCCCCGGCCTTTTCCGATCTTTTAAAAATCGACTTTCATTCATTTCATTTCCTTACATACAGTTTTCGATCTATGTTCTGACGTTTTACACTCTGAAGACTGTCAGACGCAAAGCTTCAGTGTGACTCAAAATATCTGCCTTTTTCAAAGCCATTTTTAAGTTTTGTACCACCAAAAGATTGTTTGCAACTTTCATTCAAGAAGAAAATTTCAATTTTTGATTCTTATCATATAGAAGCAAATTAACAAAAAAGTGTCACAAATAGCATGATATGTTAATATTTCATGTTTTATTTGGTAAAAAGCCAAATTCAAAATCGGCAAAAAGGTAATCTTAAACGATTGAAAAAATGCACAGTTATGATTGGGAAATAGCTGAAAACTGTTGTGGTAGAATTAAAAGGAGAAATTCTCGAAAAAATCTCATTAATCATTACAATCGAGATCAAAGGACAGAATTTATGTTCAAATCAAGTGACTAAAGTAGGGGTAGGGAATGAGATGGAAACAATGGAGCAATAGTAATTTCTTTGCATTTCTGAAATAATTTCATAAAAAACATATAAGTAGCAAATATATGACAACTTACTTACTGCTGACAGCAATTCACACAAATATGAATAGAGCAAAACAATTTATGCGATGACATAGAATTTTCACACTTGAAGTAGTTGTTCTCAATTGGATGCAGAATCTCAGCAAAATAGTGGTTCTTCTTCTTGAGTAGATTTTTGTCTTCCTTAGAAGTATAAAAGCAAAATACATTTGAAAAATACTAAGCATCAATTAGATATGCTCCAAGTCTAGTGTGTGCTTGAGAGAGGGAATCAACGGGAAGGAAACAAATACACCTCTCTAAAGCACGAAAAAGACTTTGAGCAAGCCTATGCATCAATTCGTAATGATGGCTTTTTACAGTCACTAAAAGAAGCTCAGTATGCCTGGTTGTAATACAAGTTTCATTTATATAGCTTCCTGATCATTATATTAAGATTGAAACTTAAGACTTACAACTTAGAATGGTCTTGCCCTATATGTAAAATCTTAGTTTCATCAATATATTCTGGTTTCACCAGTCCTGGTAATATAAGGCGTGTACGCCTCCATGCACTCTTGAAACTCGTCACATATGCTTCTTATCGCACACGCAGCGTGTCATTTTGACTTACCATTCTTTTTTCACTTTTTTCTTCTAGTTTCTTGTAAATTTTCTCAAAAGTTTTTGAGTTTTCTTATGTCTCCGTTTTCAGATCATTCCAGTTTCGTTTTCTCGATTTCTTGAACTGTTCTCATTATTACGGGCCACTTTGCTTTGGCCAAAACGAAAATGAAGGTGTTTCAATTACTACGTTTTTTATCCGTTCTCATATCCTTTGCTTGAGCTCCTTTTTAAATTGAGAATAAATGACTCCGTTTTTGAATGACTCAACTTTGAACAGTGTTTTTGAATGACTCCGGTTTGGGATCAAATTACTCCTTTTTGAGAGTATTAATGAGAAAGCCAAATCTAAAACAGAATCATCCGATGTCGTTCTCATAAGAAACCGGAGTAATAAAACTTTCATGATTTTCGTTTAATCAGATTGTTTTCAAGAAACTTCTTCTAAAATTCTGTAACAACTATTTGGATTGCGAAAACATTTTAGGCTTTTTCAAGCCGTAATACACCCCTTCAAATGCATTTCAAAGGTTATCAGGTCTTGATTAAAGTTGTTGAGTTCTCTGTTTTAAGCCATCGCATGCCTTAAATAATTTCATATTACCAAGACTGATTCACACAATCATTTCTTGTAACATTAGGCTCTTCTCCGTCAATTCACTTCGTTCCTGTGAATCATATGCTTACTAGATTACAGAAAGCCTTTCTTTAGGAAACTTTTCCATATGTTTTGGTGTGTAAGCTAGCTTTTGCAATATGAATTGGAACTGCAAGCAGAACATGCTGTAAGCACAGCAACCAGAGAGATTGTGAAAAAAAAGAAAATAAGTAAAAACCAGGACATAAGTTTTAGAGATCGCCATCGCGGACATGAATTATGACTTTGATTTCAAATATCATCATACTAGAGATTCAAATTTGGTACTGTTAATTAATATGATTAACAGTACCAAAATTTGAAAAAAGCATAACATATTCAAAAGCAGGCCTCTCCGGGAAAAAACAACACAGGCTATAAAAAGCTCTTGCCAGTTTGGCAGCGTGGGCTATTTAGCCCTTGCAGAACTTTTGTTAATCTTTTTATATTTGAGTATTTACAAAGGCAAAAATACATTACCTTGCCAATTCTTTAAACATTATTCACCTTAAGAAGGCATTTTTGTGTGTATTTTACTACCTTTAAATTTTGTATTACCACTCCTTTAAATGAGATAAATAAGGAAGATAAGAGAGGAACATAAAAGAGGAACATGACATAGACGTGCAAGACCTCTTTTTCCTTATTTACTAGCCCCCTGATATTTAGTGTTAAGTAGTACAAACATTGGGAAGCTAAACTGCACAGATTAATAGAGACAAAGTTTGAAAAACTGTGCAGGCGGAAAAAACTCTGGCAAATTTATTTTGCTCGGATTTTACCCTGGCACATGCTGTAGCCTGCATCTCTGGGAAGGGCCTGTTCGAAAGATACCAGACATGGCTGTAAATAAAAAAATTACAGTCATTTTTAAATAAGATGTTTCTTCAGTGTATGATATTCTTGAAAAAGATTCTCAAAAAGTATCATTTGTTAAGAACTAACCTTTTTTGAACATGTCATTTTGATCCTTTGAAAAAATTACTGGGAGCCAGGGGGCGGACCAAGAAGATCAATATCTGCTAATTCTCTTGTTGCGTACACAGCAAAAAGAAAAATTCCTGTGTGCTTTATTATTTCCCTGTCAAATAAAAATATAACATTTGTGACATAAAGTATGATAAGTTGAATCTGCTTGAATGAAGCTAATAAATTTTTTAATGAACCATATATTATTACACAATAAATGTTGGAGTAACACAAATAGTCCAGTTTGCAAAAAGTGGGGACAGGCTTCCAGGTGTTCAGTAGTTTTCTGCTTGTACTTGCTTAAATAAAAGGTTTCCTATTTTTTCAGCCAATAAAAGTCCATTTTGCCTAGCCTTTACTCTTTAAACGGCCTTAAGTTTGCATGGAAATAAAATGATGTTGAAACAAAGTCAATTTTGTGCACTTATTCAGTCTTTGTAATATAAGCTGGCGATCACATGTGCATGCCTTCACACAAGCCTAGATTATCTAGGACATGCAAGGTATCCCACATGCAAAGTAAAAATTTCTTAAAAATTCAACAGCCTTAAAATTTGCATATATTTTGGGAATGTTCCTAATGCAGCAGGAAGTCAACGTCACCAAGAAAGAGTTCTTTCAGTTCAATATTCCTGCTCAGGATTTAGCAATGAAGTGGTTAAAGTGGTTAAATATCCTGCCGTTGCTATAACATTGTCAAAGGTAGCCTGGTTAAACAGTAAGACATTTTTTGATAAATATTCAAAACAGGCCTCTCCGGGAATAAAAAGCATGTGGGCTAAAAAAAACCTCTGCTGGTTTGGCTGCGTGGGCTATTTAGCCCTTGCAGAATTTGTTGCTTATCTATTCATATTTGAGTATTACAAGCGAAAAAATAAATTATCTTGTCTACTTGTAAACATTTTGTGTGCATTGCTACTCCTTAAAATGACAAAAGGGATATCTGGTTTTTTGCAAAATGGCAACGTTTTGTGTAGAAACACAGATATATTGAGTAGTATTTAACAAAACTCATCTTTATTAAAAAAGAAAAAGGGGCAGGACAATGTTATTTAATTGGTAATGGAAGATTAAGTTGATTCACATTAAAAATTCAAGAAAGAATAACTGAAATACACTTCTTTTCTATTAGAAATGAAGGCCGACTTGGAGTACTCAGTTTTGGTATAGAGTAATGGTATAGGAAATTCCAACACCCATTCTTTCTTAAGAGTTTCTTAATCTGAAAAAAGCACGGAAGAGCAAAAAAATAACTTGATAAAAATTGGCGAATAATGTAAACATAAACCTGAAAGCATACAGGGAAGGAGAAATGTAGATGGAAAGTAACAAGAGAGTTCAGAAAAGGTGTATGATTGGTTCTATGTTTTTGACAAATCCCAACCGCTTATCTCTACCTTGTTGAAGAGTCAAAGAGCAAAAACGAATTATTTCTGAAACTTTTTTAATTTTTTTCTGATTGCCCACTTGTCGTTTCTTATAGCGTGTTTCTTTTAAAAAATGAGTGTATTCGTAACACAAATTTCTTACTTGACAATGTTGTGTAACAATTTTCATTCTCGTATTTTACGCTATCTGTTGTTCCTTTCCTGCACAACCATTTCCTATTCTATTGCTAGCTGTAACAGGTAAAACTATAGTTTGTTAACATTTGGTGTCAAAAGAAACAGAAACTTCCTTTTTATAATGATATTTATAAAACCATACATCTCTTTGACACGACGTTATTTATGAATACCCTGATATATAGTGGTAGGTAGTTAAATTATTAGAGATTGAGACGAAGTGCATTTAATGAGAGTGTTGTCATAAACAATCGCGTGGGCGGAAAAAAGCCCTCGCAAATGTGCAAAATGCCATATGCCATATGTAGCCTATTCTCAAGTTACTCAAGACTGAAACTGGTGCACAAGATGATTTAAGGTTATGGTAACGTTTTCTGAATGTAAACATCCTTTTTTTGATCTTTTCACATTCAAGTAACTGAACTTTCAAGACACACAATGACACCATGTTTGAAACTAGCAGAAATTTTGAAAATGAAAAAAAACCCATGCAAATGAAGGTTTTCATAATTTCTTTATTGAAACTTTCAGATGAGGTCTGAAAATCTCTTGACCTGTTAAGAAGATTATTGTTGCCTTGTGGTTGTGGTTGAATGTCTCATTTACAATATTGCATGGTACATCCGTGTATCCCATGTATGGCTGTGTTTATTTAAACAGGCTTATTGCTCTTAAAGCTTTAAGTGACTTGACAGGGATTTCCCTGTGGTTTATAAGTGTACCTTGCAAGTGCCATTTTCTCCAGACTTACAATTCCTCTACATACAGGTTCGAAAAAGCTATTTTGTACCCTTGAATTTGCGGTAACAAAATCTGACTTATATCAGCAAAAAGAGCAGTTCCTAAGCTACCAAAAAGTGTCTCAGATTTTCAAATTCCTCCTTCCTTTGAAACTATACTGTGTCAATAATTTGTAATCAATTTTTGTTACACCCCAGCAGTTGTATTTGGCTATAAAAGACAGACCAGAGCAAATACAAAAATTTTGAGACACGCTTTGCTTACCCGACATCTGTCCTGGCAGTGTGCAACATTATCCTAAAAATATTTTCAACGCTCTGAAATAGTTTCATTGAACAATTTTATCAAAACTCAGTGACAATTTTGTATTTTCACTGGAGTGTGTCAGGCTTTGAATATACTTTGGCCAATAAATAACAACAAAAAAGATCAAAAATTTCTTTCCTTTATAGACTGTCATAAGTGCTAACAAAATTTTACAGCATTTCTTACAAAAGTTATAATAAACACTAATCTCATTTTCAGGAAAACTTTGAAATACTTGCAACTGCCAGACTGCAATTTTTCAAAAAAAGCAAAATTTTGTTATATTCTAGGGCATTCTATGTGTAGTAAATGCCAACCTTTCCCAAAGAACATGCCCCCTGACCTGGGGAGCTGTGTCAGCCGATGCACAACCACTGGTGCGCACAGAAATCTAACATCCCATTATTATAGCTATAAGATAGGCCTTTTTACATATAAGATAGGCCTACGAAAAGTGAAGCAGTGCACGCTTATCCTTGCAAAATCGAAAATGAAACTGATCCTAATAAGTCTTTAGACTTACCACTTTGCCGGGTCTTTGTACAGGCTTACTACAAAATCTTTAGTTTTTGACAATGATGATTGGCTCGTGCCTTTCAGCGCTTTAGGTTTCTTTCCTCTGGCGTCCATCTTTAAATTTCTTGGGATCGGGAGCACTCGGGAGGTCCACAGGGAAACAATGACTACAATATGATGACATGTGGTTGGTGTGGTTGGTGCCGCTCGCACGTGGGGCTACCTGGGGATGACATGTGGTTGGTATGAAATATCCGCTCACCGGCCCCAAATAGGGGCCCCAAGAAATTTTCTGAAGTTTTCTATGGTGTCGTAGGGTTTGTCTTAATCATTTTTTTAACATTGCGTGTGAAATGTTGCCGAATATCATTGTCTCCACAAGGCGGGAGAGGTATAATAAGCATTATAACTACGTACAGTGTTAAAACGTTTAATCCAAGTGTTTAATCCAAGGTGAAGAGCTACTCGATAAACAACTCCGGTGTAGGCTTGTAGGCTCTCATCAGATTGATCTACGTTTGCAAATAACATTTATTTGGAAAAATCCGGTGGAAATTTCGGCTAATCTTTACGGCATTGAAATTGAATATACAATTCACAAGCACCTTTGATTTTGGTCCTATACACTTAGTGAGCAAAATTATTACACAGGCTGAGACAGAAATTGCGGCACTGTAGCAAAATTTTTTAGCGAACCAAAATTCAAATGGCCACAGGGAGTTTTATAAAAGTTATAAGATGACTTTTTATTTGGAATATATTAGGAAATGTATCAAGGTTTGATGCTGAAAATAGCAAATGCAAGAAACTTTCTTGATCTTTGTCTATTTCTGAACAATATCAACATTTGCAAAAACACGAAAATTGAGCCATGGTGATTAAAGCACCTGTGAAACACGCGAGATTAAAAAGTTTATCTTTGCACCAATTTGCGATATCTTCTACAAATTAAGTCGGGGATTATGCTTCGGTGTCTAAAAGTGTTCATTTTTCTCACTGTAATTGAAAAATATGCCAAACTTTTGTGGTCGGAAATTTTTGGAGCTGCAATGTGCCTAAAGGCGGCGGCCGCTTCGTGATATATTGCATCGAAATTCAACCAATAAAATGTCGCAAATCGTCAAGCCCATCTTTTCCAACCAGTTTGGATGTTGGTATGGGACCAAATAATGCTCCCAATTGCTTGAAACAATGTTTCGTCTTCTCGTTGAATGAAAAGACCAAAATTCCCGCGATAACAGGTACACTCAAGTGCCCCAATTGCTGGGAAAGAGTCGGCATAATAAAATGGGTTAAAATATGCCACTTTCCGCCAAATACAAGGCCAATAATGTCCAACGTGACACTCCAATGACTGAATGTGAGCTTGCAAATGTTTTTCTGAACTGACAATGTCGTGATAAACAGAACCTTTTACTAAATTTTTTGATAAAGTTGTAGCAAGTCTCACAAAGATTAAATCTTTTTACTTTAAAAAAGTAATTTTTTTCAATTTTTAAGTTAAATGTGTTGCCAATGGTTTTAAGTTTGAGAGAATAATGTTCAATCAAATCTACAATTATCACAGTGTTAAACTGTTCCCTTTGCTTTGTGGATTCAGAAAAGGTTATAGCACACAACACGCTTTATTACGACTTATTGAAGGCTTGAAAAAGTGCCTGGATAAAAAAGATGTGGCTGGTGCAGTGTTGATGGACTTATCGAAAGCATTTGATTGTTTACCCAATATACTTCTACTAGCCAAATTGAAATCTTATGGCTTCAGCGATAACGCAATAGAATTTATGTATAGTTATCTAGATAAAAGGGTACAACGAGTAAAAATAAACTCAGATTTCAGTGATTGGATGGAAACAAAGCAAGGAGTTCCTCAAGGATCAATCTTAGGCCCGTTGCTTTTCAATATTTACATAGATGATATTTTTCTGCATTTGAACAAAAGCAACTTATGCAACTATGCAGATGATAATACAATTTGGCTGTCGAATACTGATATGAACGAACTAACTAACTAACGACTTAGAATCGGAAGCAGCTGTCCTTAATAAATGGTTTTATGAAATTTTTTGGTGCTCAATGGCGATAAAAGCAAGCTTATAACATTTAAAGCCAATCGATCCAATTTAGAGGAATCTAAAATTCAAATAAATGGTTCTACTATAATAGAAAGTAAGAATGTTAAACTTTTGGGAATACCATCAACTTAGATTAGAAAAACATATTAAAGTTTTTTGTAAAGAATCTGGGAAAAAGGTAAATGTTCTAGCCAGGATTGCTTCATATATGGACGAATCTAAGCGTATTCTTTTAATGAAAACGTTCATTTTATCATATTTTAATTATTGTCCTCTTATTTGGATGTTTTGCAGTGAAAAATGTAATAACGCTAATATAGTTAGCAAATAAATTTAGTACCAGAATGAAAATATAATAGTTTGATTGTTAAAAAAACGACGTTTCGAGCATGTACTCGTTATCGAGTGGCTAGAAAAGAAACGAGCTGAACAAAGAAAAGGCGAGATTCGATATATAGAAAAGAATGCGAGATGCGACGCAACCGAAAAAAACTGAATAACGGAATGGGAGGAAAGTAAGAAAAGAGAAGGAAATAGATATAAAAAGAAACTATTTAAGGAAATTAAAATGTTTATTAAGACCATTAGGATAAAGAGCTTTTAGGCTAAAAATTAAACGTTTCTCCGAAGTCTTCCGTTTGGTGGCGTCTTGCGGTGCATGCAATAAGCCAAGGATGGACATGGCGGCAGTAGAATGATGGGGGAGTTAAAATTTCTAGATATGTTGCTATCTGCATCGCTCTCAAGTGTTCTCCAAAACGGCTGTTAATTTGACGGGAGGTTTCGCTGATGTAAAAGAGATTGGCATTTGGTGCAGATGATGCAGTAAATCACACAGGAAGAAGAAAAGGTAAAGTAAAATCTGATGTGGAAGGATTGGTTATGGTTGACAGTGGCGGAAATTCAGGCTTTCATTTGGGAGGGGGGGCAGGCCTACGATTTTCCGACAAGATAACATCACGGACCATGTATAATTTCAAAGAAAATGCACATTTTGATAAAAATAGCTGATTTTTTGACGGAACTCTTTAGAAATCTTTGCTGACCCCGCCATAATTAAGTAGCAAGAAGAACAATCCATTTATGATTTTTTATATCAAGCAGAAAAATTGGCAATTACGCCCTTAGATTAGCTTAAAATTCCTTTTCGGAACAATTTCTTGGAGTAATTTCGACACGTTAAACGGTTGTCAATTATCCGAGGAAAGTCCGAATTTTCCGATGACGTCGCTGATTGGGGGGGGGGCCGAGCCCCCCTAATTTCCGCCACTGATGGTTGATGATAGTGGTCGATTGGTTAATGTGTGTGCAAGTACGATAGAGGTGATGTTGGCAGGCAGGAGCGTCGAGAAGGGGGGGGTAGAGGGGGTAAAAGGTCCGGGGCCCGAAGGGGCCCGTAAAAATTTTGACCCATAAAAATTGATTATTACTTTAAAATCTCTGTATATCCAATATTTACCTCAAAGCCTTAAAGAATCGTGACCCCTTTGGAAGTTTAGTTACCTTTACCAACGTCACTTTATTGTCCGAATCCAAATTAGACAAGAATGATGATTTAATTTTAATGAGTCTTGCAACATATCTCGTGCATGAGTATATTTCATCGTTAGAAAAATATATTTTAGTAATCATTCGTTTTTGTCAGAATTATCTTGATAATTTTACCAAATGATATTTATGCGAAATAGGAACAGTACTGTGTCCTCATGCAAACACAAATCCGGCGCGCAGAAAAGGAACGAAAAAGGAAAACGAGACAAAGAAACGGAAAAGGTTCTCGTTGGAGTTAAAAAAGTAACTGGATAAGGTAGACAAAACGAGCACATCGATGATTCCGAAAAGAACGAACAACGCGACCCTGAAGTGGAAGGACTTGACGCTAGGGGAAATTCAGACTCAGAAGTCGACACAGAAGGAAATTGGAACTTTGAATGGCTCTCCAACAAGAAATGAGCTTGAGAATATTGTACGAGCTGGTTCTCAGACCCAGTTTACACTGTCCCGTGCAAGTTTGGAACCGTGACAAAATTGTATTGTTTCCCAGTCCAAGCTTTCATTGGACTTTGCAGTTTTGTAGTCTAAAATAACACTGAAAATTAAAGCCACCTTGTCGTCCGTCCAAGTAAAGTTTTTATCGGCCTTCCGCTTCATTTTAGCTCTCAATAAAATTTAGATTGTTGACTTCGGCGGCAAAATAAAAGCCTCGGTTGACTAAATACAGCTTCTTCTAAACATTGTTCTACCATTCAATTAAGGTCGTACCGGTACAGTGTAAACGGGACGGCTAAACGGAACAATTTGGAACCGCGACAGTGTAAACACTTGCGAACCGTAACGGTACAAAATTGTCCCGGGACAGTGTAAACGGGGTCTCAGTTCCATTACCAAAACAGTTCCCAAGAAATGTTGATGGCCAGGTATTTCCGCTTTTTTGTACTACTCTGCAACCACGAGAATAGGGGAAAAAGTGAAAGAAAATGGCTGGTGTTTAGTGCTTCCAAGAAAGCATTGTAATGCCTTCCATGCAGATTGTTTTCTCATTGATTTCTTGTCTGATATAGAGCAATGGAAGAAGCTTCTTAGCAGGATAATCGACTTGACCATATTTTTTGGAGAGAGGGGTCTTCCATTTCGCGGTTCATCGCTTTGTATTTTCTTGGAATCTTGGAACTGTTGGCACATTATGATCAACTTCTTCAAGAACATATTTCAAAAGTGAAGACCTACCAGCAAAATGGTGAACAGCTGCAAGCACATTACCTTTCCCTGCAATCACAAAATGAATTTATAAAGGTTTGCGATGCAAGAGTCAGGGGTTGCATTTTGAAAAAACGCGAAAATGCAAAGTATTTTTCGATCATGGTGGATGGGACTCCTGATTCAAGCCACACAGAGCAATTCATTCTCCATTCATTCTCCGGTATATGAACAGAGAAGACGACGTATATTCCGTGAAAAAGCGATTTCTGGTATTTGTTGATTGCTGCAACAAAACTGGAGTGGATATTGCTTCGGTGATTCTGGAGACACTCAAGAAGTTTGATATACCAATCGCCGATTGTCAAGGACGAGGTTATGATAATGCAGCCAATATGTCTAGCAAGTACAATGGTGCTCAAACTCACACCAGGTCTGTCAATCCGTTGAGCCTTTACTCTCCTTGTGCTTGCCATTCCCTAAATCTTTGTAGAGTAGACTCTGCAATGTCGTGCACGGAAGCTGTAACCTTTTTCGGAATGGTGCAAACCGTATACAATCTCTACTCCTGCAGCTCTCAGCGATGGAAGATTTTGCAAAGCAACATTGGCTCCTCATTACATGGTTTATCTAGAACAAGGTGGACAGATCGTGTTGCAAGTGTGCATCTTTTTGCTGCTCAACTTTCAGGTTTCAGAGTTGCACTCCAGCAACTTCTTGCATTAAATCTGACACCAAAGACAACAACAGATGTTAACAGTGCCATCAGATATGTATCATCCTTTGTATGCGTTGCGATGTCAGCAATCTGGCTTAAAATCCTGGTCACTATTGATCAAAGGAACCAGGTTATTCAGGCAAGAAAAGCTACAATCGATATCGCAGTTGCCAACTTCCACAGCCTTGTGGCTGATCTGAAGGGGCTCCGCGAGAAGTGGTCTCAGATTGTCCAGGAGAGCATTTTAGTTGCCACTGCAATGAATATTTCAGCTGAATTCCCAACGAAGCGAAAAAGTAAGCGTCAATTACTATATGAACCTGAAAGCAGCCTGTCAAGCAGTGATGAAAGTACTTTCAAACGCCAAGTGTCTTTACATTGCTATAGATTCTGTTGTTGCAGGAATATTGAAACGATACGAAGCTGCATATCGCATTAATGATCTTTTTTCTTTCCTTTGGCAATATCTGGAGCGTACTGATGAGATGGCTCACAATGCATGCATAAAATTCGGAGCAGCCTACGGTAATGACATCAGTCCAGTGGCACTTGAAAAGGAAGTTTTGCAGATAAAAACAGTGCATGTCGCTAATTATGAGGAGAAAACACTTGATCCACATTCTTTGCTTAATCCGATAGCAAAGATCAACCTTGAAGAAAACTTTTATAATTTTTGCACTGCCCTCAGAATATTTTGCACCTTGCCTGTGACAGTTGCATCTGCAGAGCGCTCGTTCAGTAAGCTCAAGCTGATCAAGAACTTCATGCGAAGCACAATGACTCATGACCAGTGCTGAGGAGAGGGGGGTCAGGGGGTCACTGACCCGGGGGCCCATGGCTTTATGGGCCGACAGATAATAACTTAGTCAAAAGTTGATAAGTAGCAATTCAGCTTCTCCATTATCAAAACCTTTCAATAATAGAAACAATAGTCGCAAAAGCATTTAAAATAAAATAAGGTAGAAGCAGTAATAGTATTAACCCCATTTATGTAACTCTAACAGAGCTAGTATCTTTCGGTAATTGTCTAGATAGTTAACAAAACAATTTTCAAGACTCTCTGGTTGTTTCTTAAGTTTCTTAACTCTGGTTGAAAAACCCCAAGATGCAATAAAACATTAAATTTGCCAATCTTACATACTTCGAATGTCATTCTAGCACATTTTGTAAATTTCATTTGCGGTCAAACACACAAACGATCAGCTTCATATTAAAATTATCTTCTGTAAAATGTACAACAGTTTTTGTACAAAATAAATTGTATTTTGTCCCGTCTCAGAACCTGTCACGCTTCAGGTGATATAGCGTGTAATTTTGGGCAGGAACACTTCAAAGATTGTTTAGAAATTCAATGTTCAGATTTTTAATGTGCGCCAAATTTTGCAGTGCTCTAAATAGCTTTCGGATGCAGATTTTTTCACATTTTTGCGGAGTTATTAACTAAGGGAGCATTTTAAACCAGTGTGAGTTATATGTTTGCATTAAAGTTGGTTGTTAGTAGTATTGTTTACAAATTTTGACTTACAAGCAAGCGTATTGTTTACGACTTTTGATCATTTGCACGAACCTGTTCAATCAAATTCAGAAACCCACTGGTGATTTCGTAGCCTGAAGGTCCCTTCTCTGATTGACCAGTTGTTGCTAGGCAGTCTACTTTGCTTCTTCTTGGTCGTTGGGCGCTAAGGTGATCAAATAACTTCGAAAGCAATGCAGATTGCTATCACAGAATAGTACTTAAAGTATATCTGTTCGTTTCTAATCAAAAATGGTTCAACATGAACATGAGAAGTCAAAAGCTGATGCGCGTAGTGTTAGCTGCACTTTGTATCTTTGCTTTTTTTATACTTTTAAAGCAACCAAGGCTCCTGAATCATGAACCAAAGCAATACTTCACTGAGAACAACGAAAATAAACGTTTTCAGAGATTAGCAAAAGGAGGTATTACTGCGAACACTGACAACTCAGAAGTATTGGCGAACGAGAAGCTGATACCGAATGAAAAACTCAAATCGACAAGACATGGGCCTTTCTCTGAAGGAAATTATTTCGAGAAAAATATTATTTTGGCAAGCACAGTATTAAAGGAGCAGTGGAGGAAAACAATGAAGGTGTTAAAGGCATCTAGTTTTGCCTCTTCGTATTCAAGCAAAGCCATTGAAGCGGTTCGTTCAACAGACAGTGCCATGCTATACACAAAAACATTGGAAAATCCAATGAAAAACCTAGGAAAATCTGGCAAAAATAAGATATTGTGTGAAATACCAAATTTGAACCCTTTCGATAAAGTAGCAATGAAATATATTGAGAATCGCGCACCACATGATTGCGGAAAAAAAGATCATGGAGTTTTAACAAAGGGCATCTTCAAATTCAAAGCTGATGGTTTGAGAGCAGCGTTTTTTCGTTACATAAGAAGGGTGGAAGATGATGACTTCAAAATATTCCTATCAAAACCAGAAAAACTTCTTAAACAAAAGATCAAGCAAGCTCCCATAGCTAAAGGTAGGTAATCCATTTCAATAAGTACTTATGCCAGGCAAAGATATTCTCCAAAACCTTTATCATACTTTGCTGGATATTCTCCAAAACCTATATCATACTTTGCTGGATATTCTCCAAAACCTATATCACACATCTGATAAGAATATTTCGAAACTGCTCGTTATGTTTCGTCAACTTATATTTCATGAGTTCCATGTTCCATGTTAACTGCAAAGAAGAGGGTTTTAAACGTTATCAAAATACCATGCATTCATGATTTGAAAAAATCTTTTTATAAAGTCGAATTCATTAGCAAAGGCCAGTTTATCGATGTTTCCTGCCTAGTTGAACCTGTTCCCATTCAAAGTAAATTCTTAAGTTTACTCCATATTTTGCCACATTTCAGCACAAAAATTGGTAGAATTACATTGAATTATGTTGATATAGAGTGTCCTGTCTTCTGCATTAGACTCTGACTCTATACTCGTTGTTTCGCTACTTGAGTGTTGTTAGCAGTGAATCAGAGCCATTAGCATAAGAAAAATTTCAAACAACAACATATGAATACTGCAAACCCATTAAACAGCAACCCTTCTCTTATAAAAGATTCCTTCACAAGGTCATGATAGACTTTTCCACTCTCTGGCTACGAACATGCGAAGGGAAATCTAGCATTATTAGGGAGCAAAGGCAGTGGCGGCGCCAAGGGGTGGTATGAGGGGGTAATTACCTCCCCACTTTTCTGAAAATATAGCCTATATACTTCTTCTCAAAATGGATTGAAAAGCGCTGGGTAGGGGTAGATCAAATTTCCCAAGGAAAGGGACGAATCACTGGAATGAGGCAAAAGGGGCGTGGTCACACTTGCCACGCCCACTACCCTCCCACTCTGTATTAGCTGGCGCCGCCACTGAGCAAAGGGGAATCCTGTTGCACCAAGATCGGCAACGAAGTAAACAACTGCATGACTGTTTCTGCTTTACATGGAAAATTCAACAAAATTATCCCCCCCCCTCTTCTAAAAAATTTAGAAAATCGGCCACTTTGCCTTTATATTGGTTTATTCCATTCATTTAAAGTTTCCATAAGCAGTTTTTGGTTGTTATATCAGCAGTTGTTTGAAGCTGGTTAGAAATTACCCCCGTTTACAACAATTCATTTTCAGTTTCATTTCCAACCACTAAGACTTATCCTATCCATAATCATTTTGCTTGTGAATGAAGATTTAATCAAAATTGAAAGAAAAGATTGACATACTGGAATCTTTAATGGCTAAATGATAGAAATTATAACTCCAAAGATGAACGGAAAATGCAAACGAAGTGATTGAATGAAAATGTAACAAAACGTAGCGAGCGAAATGTTATTTGAAAAGGAGAAGTTGCTTCGTTTTTTTCACTGATGAAGCCAAAACATAAGAACGGATATAGTGTTATCAAATTTTTGCCTTGCGCTCTACGGTAAAGTAAGAACAGAAAAAATAAGTAACAGCCCTCAAGGCTTATTCTTTGGTTTACAGATAAATGTGAAAATGCGCCTTTTCAATGGTAAAGCATAGTTCGGGTAGGTTTCAACTGCCTGTAGTAGGAACAAAGACATACCGCAGAGACTTTTGTGTCAAATTTGAACGCTTCAGACAGTTGTCTCTTGCAGTTGCAACAAATCGTTTTGGGCGTCTGACTTTGTGTATTGGATAAACGAACAAATCAGTGGTGGCGGCAGGGGAGGGCTAGGGGGGCTACAGCCCCTCCGTCGGAAGCATCTAGTCCCCCCATCGGAGGAAATTTTAGGTTATTGTCGGAGCAAATTTGACAAATAACGTACGAAAACTGCTTATTTTAGTCATTTTAGCCCCCTTGTCGGAAGCTCCAACCCCTCTGTCGGAAGATTTCTGGCGCCACCTCTGGAATAAATTCCTAATGTATTCTGTCCAAACCATATATTGTATTCTTTTGAAGGTATGGTGGGATGTTTTGTAAATGCCAATGGAACATATTTTGGCATAGGCCGGGACAGTGGCACGAATCGTCTGCCGGATGCGGTGAAACTATCAGAGCTAGAAGAATGCTATCCGCGAAATTACGTCCGCATCTTGGCAAATGGACAGCTACAGGATTTCGCAAAGGGAGAAACCTGCTTTGTGCTGCCGGGTAAGAGAAACAGCAGTGATCAGAAAGCGTTTATGGGGCCTGTGGCACATAAATGCTGTTAGGCTACTGGTTTAGCAGTTGTATTTTTGATAGCAATTTAAGGTGAATGATGAGTAGCTAGAGAATTATCCACTGTCAATTAAAATCCATATGTTTCATTGACTACATTGGCATTCTAATTAAGCAACAGGAAACCAATTCAAAGCAGAATGGAAACTATTATTCTAACTATTCGAGGACCGTCCCATTCAGTGGAACTTGTGAGCATTTTGCAATAAATTCCACCGTGAATGAACAAGTTGACATCCCTATATTAAAATGAAAAATTAACAAAAGCTTAGCGTATACTGCCATACCAGCTCTAGGGACGCTGGGACACATTTGGGGTGAGGGGACAAATTAACAATCTTTTATCATAGTTTTTCACCATTATCCTTGATGCCCCAACATTAATATCATACTTCAGCAAAAAATGAGGGGGATACAGCCTTCCCAGCCCCCCCCCCCCTCCTGGATCCGGCGTGCATGAGCACAAATACAATCTGATATTTTCTGAGGCTAGAGATATGTGCTGAGACTTATCCGTCATTAGAATCAGCACAAGGGAGGTTGTAAGAATGGGGAAAAACAAAACTTTTGTCATTGTGATCAATTGTTCTGATATAGATATTTCAATGTTATGACACTTGAAAAATTTGTCCGCCTCTGTAGATAACCGCGATGACCAAATTAAGCAAACGGGCTGCGGCGATGAAAAAGCAAGACACAGAGTCATTGAAGGTAGTATTTTTCAACATGTGGACACAAAGAAATGTTTATCGGTGAATACGTCATCAGAAGATCTGGAGCAAAGAATTTTTCTGACCGAGAAATGTACCAACAGCTCAAACAGATATTTACAGTTCCAGGACTTCCCACCCGTACATAGTAAGTTTGCAAGGTATCTCTATGAAATAGAACTTGAGGAATATATGGTTATACTCAGCAGTGTTGTGCCAAAAAATGTAGAGGGGGTCATATAGCTTTCTCTATGTTGTATACAAAATGAGCGTTTCAGTTGTTTTCCTTTGCATAGCTCCTCAAAATTAATTTCTCTGCCTTTCCATTTTTTCTAAAGTTAAATCATTTTTCAAAGTTTACCTGTCATTCGAGCAGAATATCTTAAAAATATAGAATTTATAGTAGTAAAATTTTGCCAGCAGTCAATAGGACTATTGAGGTCACACGCGAATGCAATGTTAAAATTGATGCTTGTTCGATCAAAGATTTGATCCTGGCAGAAATTAGCCATGATATTTTAGAATTAACCAGAAAAAGTAGAGGGGGGGGGCTGAGCCCCCCTCTTCTACAGCCCTGGTTATACTGTAAGTTTACAATTAACTAGTAAATGTTGAAAACATGCAGAATTGTTGTTGGCATATTTTCACGACCTCATGTTAATCATTCAAAAAGTTATGCTTTTGTGACTCTTGCTGGATAAACATTTCTTCGAGTTTAATGAAACTATGTCTGTCCTTCCCTACAGATATCGAAACTGAAATTAAAGTTGAGGAAGAATTTATAGAAATGGTAATAGCCACGGAAAAAGCCGTCATCATTGAACACTATGCTGATATTAAACCTTTGTCAGCAAAGAAATCGATGAGCAATAACGCTGCTGGGCGTGGCCTGAAATATAGTGTTGCATTCCTACTCTTTGATTCACAGTCTGCTGCCAATGTCGCAAGAAAATTGCAAAAGACATTGGCATTCATTAGAGATAAGGAAAATGCTGTGATACTTAAAGGACATACAATAAATGGCGATGGAACAACAGCCCAGTTATGTGCAATGTTCACAGGCGCAATGGAGGAAGATTTACCAGAAGCCAGAAGAGGAGAGCCAGGAAGTTCTACTGTTGATAGTTGGCCTTTCTTGTTTAAAAACTTTTCAGCCCAAAATTACGTTACAATGTATTCTGAAGACGATTCAGATGTTGCCACTTTTAATTACCGTCTTAAAGGTTTCAAGCGGCAGCCAACTGACCACTATTCAAGACCATTCTGGTCTCGAGCAGCACGCAGTTTTCACAGTGGCTTTTGCATTGGTGGTAAAACAACTTTTCAAGTTGGCCTGAACTATACGATGAGTTTTCACGATGCCTATAAAGAAAATCTAAGATTTTCTCTCACGATATTTTCAAATTTATTTCATAATGACATGAATGCGGTGGAAAATGCTGATGAAGATATTCTTAACTTTCTGAAGAGATTTGAGCAAAGGGGACATTTAGATAATACAATATTATTTGTTGGTGCTGATCATGGCCCCAGAGTTGGTAGCTTCCGGGAAACTCTCCAGGGTAAGCTGGAAGAAAGGCTGCCATTTATGGCCTTGTTGCTGCCACCGAAATTAGTAAAGCAACACAAAGAATTCATGGATGCGTTAAAACATAACTCCAATCTGCTGACGACACATTTTGACATTCATGCGACTCTTTGCCAAATATTAAGTCATCCACAGAAATTTCAAAGCAAAAGCGGACAAAGTTTGTTTACAAGAATCGACGCTTCAAAAAGGACCTGCAAGTCATCTGGCATCCAAGATCATTGGTGTCCTTGCTTGCAATATTCAGACGTCAATATTACTAACCCAAAGGTTATCGAAGCTGCAAAAGCTGTGGTTGTACACATAAATGACAAAATCATCGGAGTGCACTTAGAGGCAATGGAAAAGTGCCAAACACTGGAGCTGTCTTCAGTAAAACGGGCAGCCCTCAAGCAACCCCAAGAAGCAGTTCAAGTATTTGTAAGAACATCAAAGAATTCTAAATGTGATGAATGTGGTATTGTTACTGGCGGAAAAGCCAACGCAAACATAGATTCTGCAGAGTATGAGGTAGTTTTTAGCGTACAACCAAGTAAGGCTTTATTTGAAGCAAAAGTTGCGAGAAATGGTAGTGATTGGATAGTAGACAAAAATATAAGTAGACTAAATCTTTATGGTAACCAGCCACATTGCGTGCAGGATAAGTACCCCTATCTTAGGAAATTTTGCTATTGTAAATAACTATGCTTAGGTTACTAAACTCTCATAATGTAATCGAAATAGATACAACTTACACTAACAAAACAAAAATAGCTTTTAGAATTTCAAGACAAAAGGGCCTAACTTTGTAACTTTTTTATTAGTGTTATAATGTGTGCTTGAGAAAGGGTTGTTTTGGCTGTCTAATTATCAAATCTGTACAAAATCGTCAGGGTCGAGGGCAGTTTGGAGACAATTCTCTTTATCTTTTTTATTGTAACAGTATAAATGCACAATAATTAGTATTTTTATACCAGAAAAAGTATAAATTTAGAATAAAATAAAAGTACAAACGTACAACCTTCTGTTCATTTCATTGTAAATAAACATGTGCATGTGTTTCAATAACAAAAAGCAAAAATAGCAACCATAATGCCAACAACAACAACAAAAACAGCAACAACAACAAAAGCAAAAACAACAACAACAAAAGCAAAAACAACAACAACAACAACAGCAGCAACAACTGTCACAAAATAAAATCAGCGACAATTTTGTAGATAGATGCTGATCATTATACAGCTGAGCAAATACAAATATAGAATATCATAATGATTAAAAACGTGATAATCATAAGATGGATGATCAATCTTTTCAAGACAACAAACAAAATTCATTGGAACTATAGGTCTGCAAACATAGAGATTTAAAAATTCTTAGTCTAAACGTGGCACAGTCGTAGGTAGCTGCTTTTTTAAGGAGAAAATTTTAGCGTTTTTTGCGAAATGGTGAAGTGGTACAGGATCAAAATAATAAAGGCACCTTTTGCTAGCAAGCTCACAAGAATTAATATTTTGTAAGTAATATCTAAATAAAGAATCGCCGCTTTTAGGAAACAAATCGTTGTATTGTAGCTTGCAAAATGCACGCAGACTTGTAGGTTGATCACCTTGAAAAAATGGAGTGGCAAATAAACGAGATTAAATGGATTTATGCGTCTAAATTGAGCTCTTGAAGAACAGAGTCTAACAGGCTAAGCCTACCGTTGATGTCCATGTCAGTGCTTTCCGGACACAAACCCGGTAAAGCAAACTTCACCAAATGGTAACGAATATCGTCAATGACCTGAATAGTGTCGGTATCCTCTCTTGATTGAATGGTTGACGCGTCTTCAAGGACAAGTTCAGAAAACTCTGGGCGGCATATGATCTATAACGAACCGTCACAATAAAACAATATAAATTATATTACAAAGCTCAAGTGACAGAAAATCTCAAAATTGAACGAAAAAGCGGAATCATATAAACAATGCACTGAAAATATACTTTTGGACACTTTAATATAGTTCCACCTAAAGGTTATGACAAGTATTTTGAAATCTATCCATTACTTGAAACTACAAACGACAGGGTAATTGTCTATGCGTTCAAAAGTGTGAAATTCAGAACGTCAAAAACTTGAAAAGGCTCTTAAAGGGACATCTTGATGATACTTTGATTACTATCGCAATAACTTTCAATAACATGAAACTTGAATGACTTTCTTAAGTTTGAAAATCGATTAACTTTTTGCTAAATTTCAAAGAATTTTCAAAAAGAGATTTCCAAAAAGTTTCGAGTGCCAGTCAATAAAATTTGGAAACCATGGTGTCTGTTGTTTCATATTCCCTACATCATGTTTGTGACCAAACAACATAAGGGAAAGCAGAAACGTTTACTCACATCTGGTAAGTAATTGGCGATGAATTCACAGCACTGGCTTTCTAAACGATCTAGTTGATGCAATCTGGCCAGCCGTAAAACTGATATTGCATTCTCGGGGATCAACTCATTTACCAGGAACGCAGCGCATTGAAGTTTCAACCCAGGGAGAAGGAACAGATCAGCAAAATACAGAAGTTCATAAACGATGTCTTTCGAGATCTTAACAAGAAAAAATTGATAGTTCTATTGCAGAATGGGGAAAAAACACTGAAGTAATCCAGTGTCACTGGATTTGCATCGAAATTTTGGTAGCCAACGATGTTACGTAGAGATCACACGACAACAACAAGGATATTAGTAAAAATTTGACAACACCATGTAATGTTTCCTCGCTTATATTTAAATTTATTGTATAAGCGATCAAAAAGGATAGTAAAAGCTTTTAGGCTAAATTAACTCGATCGATCCCCATCGAAAAATCTAAAAAACAAACTAAAGAATCAAACTAAAGAAAAAGGTACATATAAAAAGATAAATATAGAATAAAAAAATAAAAAATAAAAACTAAGAAGTGAATTTGTATGCGTTGTTTAATCAACTTTCGATACGAACAGAAAATGCAATTCATTAACCCTTTATCTTAACCAAACTATAAAAATACACATTCATTATCAAAGAGTGCCGGTGACAGTATAGAATATAGGCATTGTAGGAATAAAGACACAATTCTTATCGTTTTTATCAAAGAAACATATGGCAGCTAACATATGGCAACTCACTTTGCATCTGTCCGAATATATGAAGTTGATCACGGCCGCAAAAGCGTCCGCTGAAATATCTTTCAACGAAATCTCCAGCAGTGTTTGCCTCTGCTTCCCTTCGATTTCTTTAAAATGATTCAAAGCCTTAAAGTAGTCGCTCCTTCCGCACAGAAATACCTTTAGAAAAATATGATTGTTATCTCAACTCTAAACAGTACTGTATCGAGGGAGTAAGCTGGAGGGACAGCAGAAAAAAGCTGAAATCAGAACTTAAAGGTGACAGGTATGAGGCGTGTGCTAAACTAAGAAAAAAGAGGATAATGACAAATAAAGTAGCAAAAATCTATGCTTTAGCTTATCATAAAACTATAAAAACTTATATTACAATAAAACGTTATCTTGACCATGATGGAGCAATGGAGGAACAAAGATTACAGAAAAGAATTCATTACAAAATAAGTACTAGAAAATTGCCAATTTTCTAAACAGTTCTTCAACTAACTAGCATAAGCATATTGAATTAACTTTATTAAATCATAGTAATAAGCTACTAGCCTACACATTACTAGCCTACAAAATTTGATTAAACTACCTTGTGACAGAAGAATTCATATCCGCGAATCTTAAAACAAACATCTGTGAAAGGCGGTCGACCTTCCTCGTCCAGTAAGCAGGAATCTTCACAGAAGAGAACAAAATTACGTAAAGAAGAGGGAATAAAAAGGAATAAATATAATACGGAAAAAATCGATTCACTTAAAATTGGTTTTCAGCGATGTGTGTTCAAAAGAAATTCTGGGAAATATACATTTTCAACTAGGCGTGCTTTAACTGCTGAAATACGATTAGCCTTATGTGCTACTATTGGCTTAAAATACGATTGGCCTAAAATACGATTGGCCTAATGTGCTGAAAATATGACGGCACATTAACAGAGAAATATTTGTAAAACATTTGTAAAAAATTTCCAAAGAAAACGAAATTAAAGTCCAAAAATAGGTTTTTCGGGAAACGATTCTTAATGCTCCAACATGCAATTTGTAGATACAATCCTAGTGAAATTCCCTGTAGCCTGGGCAGAGCTTTACTCTCAATTTTTTCATGCATTCTTCCCAGGCCTTAGCAAAATTGGGGACGAATACATGTGATATCTGATACAATCCGGAATGAAAACAAGACTCTCTTTTAAATGCTACTGCAGTTACGCGAGTCAAATTACAAATGTTCATTGATAGCTGAGAGAAATTTGCAACTCAGTCAAACAAAACAGTGACATTTAAATCATTAATTTGCAATTTTAAAAACATCTACATCCACGCAGTTAATCCCATTGAAATTGATCGTTTATGGTCGTTTTTGTGGAACATACTCTTGTACACAGGCAAACAATGGTTATTTCAATATTCTTAGCTTATTAAGAGACATTTTTCTGCTGTCGATAAACTGTTTCTACTATGTTCATGTTCATTCATCCATTTTTTAAAGGTTACTTCATATAATCAACACAAAACTAAGGCAAAATAAAAAACAACATAATAGCATTGAAATTGTATAAATTTTAGAACCAGCACCTTGAGAAAGTCTCGTTCTCAGTAGCTGAACTAATCAAGGAGGCACCTGTTTGCAATGTTTTTGAAGAAATAATGTTTTAGAAAAAAGGAACACATAATCCCTCTCTTGAACAATAATTTATTATCTCTGTATATCTCTCTGAAACTACTTTAGAAAGTCAAAATATTTTTGAGACAGTGGAAGCCAAGGTTTCCAAGACAGTCGAGTTTGCTATGAAAGAATGGTCGTTTACCTTCAACTGAAAAATCTTCATCAAAGCATATGCTGAAAATCTCTGGGACAGCGCCAAAGAATTGCTAGGGCAACGCAAAAAAGAAGAAATTCCAAAAATTTGAAAATTGATGGAGCAAAATTTTATATCTTTTTAATTTTATATTTTTATAGTTCAAAAGACAGGAGAAGGTTTAGATTGGCAGTGAACAAAAGAAGATGAAAGGATAAGAATGAAAAAAATGGTAAGTACAGAAAAGGATGTATTTAAAGGTATTAGATACCTTAAACCTGAGGGAATTATGCATACAAAGCTCTGCTATTCTGCCAAATGATGCCTGAAGCTCCGCAATATCTTTACCGTCGCCAATGCTTATCATAGACACGCGGTTTCTTACGTATTCTGGTTTTGTATCAACTGACAATAAAAACAAAAGGCACATTAAGAACAACAATAAAAAGAGATAATTTGAATAAACATAGCTGGAAACTAGGCAACCTCTTGCTCTTAACATTTGGAAGCCAAAAGTTCTTATCCTGCGTGCAAACTCTGTTGTCAAAATTGAAAATAGGAGAAAAAGTAGAGTCTGCGAAGCCGAGCCGATTCACAGGTTCAGAGGTTCCTCGGGTGTAAATCAATGTATCAGGACAATAGAATAGGTCTGTTTGTTCTTTTGAACAAATAAAATTACAGAAAAACATTGCACGCTAATGGAGTTGTTGTTCTAGTGCTTAGAATAAAATGTTGTTCTAGTGCGAACAAGAAAAGCGACTCTGTTGCGCAGACTCTACTTTCTCTCTTCTTTTCAATTTATGAATCTGCACGCAGGCTAAAAGTTCACTGCTTTTGTACTCAGAAATAAGGAGATGAAAAATAAGCTGATGGATTTCATGTAGATACTGTAAAACGTAGATATCTGCAGCCACACTAAGAGCAAAATATCAAATATTAAACTGTATATAAAAAATAGACTGAATATAAAAAAGCTGATGCTTATCGATGACATAGAAAAGCTACATCTATCATAGCAGCGAATTCGCTGTTATTGCTGTTTGTAAGCAACGTCGCATATATCGAGAGCACAGTGATAGGTAAGGTATGTTATGACCATGAGTACAAAAAACTGAGACGACAAAATATCAACAAAACATTGATATTGTAATTAGTAGAAGTAAATTAATCATAATCCGATTAGGAGAGTGGTCATTTTTCTTTCTTGCAGGTTTGTCGAAAGTATCAACATTAAATGACACTCCATATAGCAGCCATGGAAAAGTAAGCGATGAATACCCAATCATTTATGACGTTTGCAATATCAACTCCATATTTTGTGGCAATATCTGAGTCTAAATAGACCTGTAATCAAATCATGTAATCAAAAAGCTTCATTTAAAAGGTTATTTTGAAAACTTAAATTTGTTAAAGACTGACAAACGAAGCAGGTCCAGCATTCAGTAGTAGCATATATTCCCGTCGATATCATCAGGGCTTTAAATAAGCGTGGCTTTGACTCACTTTGCGGAGTTGTAAATTAAAATTGTGGAACTGTAATTGTAAAAAGTGTGGATTTGTAAATAATGCATGTTCTTAAAAGTGCAGCATAAAATACCAGTCGAAACGCCTAAGAAAGAAAGGGAAACATTTTTTTTCGATTCAAAGTGAGTGCCCAATCCCAGCATTGTGTATTGCACTCATTTTTTATAAGAAAATTGCGATAAGAAATAAGCAATGGACAATAAAGAAGAATCAAGAAACTTCAGAGCTCGAAGCTTCAGTACATGCGGAGAAAAATCAATTGCGCGATGTAAGTAAGTAAAAGTAAGATGGACTCTGTATACAGTAGCAGTTCTGCTAGGAACACGTTTTTGTTCCTTTTGATGGTGCTTTATCTTGTGTGGTCAAAGATAAATTTTTATTTTATCTAACTCGGTTTTGTATTTTTATGTTAATTGAAATCTTCTCTAAATCGTTATGTTTATGAATAAGGACAGAAAAAAGCAAATATTTTCTGAAAGGGGTGGTTTCCGGTGTTTCAAAGGGCGTGGCCGTAAAAAGAATTAGGGGCAAGCCTGCTAGTCCTGTTCCAGCCACTCCCTCGTGGGCTGGTGCCAGTGTGACCTGATCTAGCGTAATATTGCATAATATTGGCTAAAAACCTCCTTTAGCATAAAATCTAGCATAATTTGGAATCTAGCATAAATCTGGCGTAATTCTGATATTATTTAAAAGAATCATTGTTTCCATTGATCCACTGTCTATCGTTACCAAATGCAAACACTTTACACCAGCATCTTTGGTATCAATTTGGGAGTAAATTGTGACTTTCCACCTTCAGGATTTTGCCAGTTGTTTTGAATGGTTGGCAGCCACATATTTTATGGTTGGCAGCCAAATGCAGCCAGCTAAACGCAGTATACAAAAGAGCTAAATTTTTGCTAATTATTGGGAGTGATACCGTAATTAAAATTTGCTTTGTGGGTTACAAAAATTTCACTTGCTTTTATCTAAAACTGTCTGTTATCTTTTACTTTGTTTCATCATTCATCCTTTCCAATTTTGCAATTTATGACGGCCAAGAGGTTTTGAGAAACTGTCAAATTGGAGAAATTTGGCAATCAAACCATGGATCTAAATTGCCTTTTTGCTTATGAAGAATGAGTACACTGGGTTGGCAAAAAGGCCAAATTGCAACTCTGGCCACTTTTGATATTCTGAGCATGCATTAGCCTCTTTCTCGAGCAGGGTTGCCTTGATTTGAAATCTAGCATAATCTTATGACGAATTTGGCGTAATTCCAAAATTGAGATCTGGTGCGTGGTTTTTGTATTACAAACAAGATGGGGGTAAAGATCATGCTTTCAAACTTGGCGAAAAGAGAATAAGAAGAAACAAGTACAATTTGTACATCGGTGAGAGAAAAGTTTATTTGCCATCTGTAACGAGGTTCTCGTTTATAGTATCAACACTTTTTGAAGAACAGATTTGATGGCAAAGAATTTGTTGGGCTGAATGCAGTCAAGAGCTTTTCATAAGTAAACGAGACTTAAGAAAGCCCGGACAAAATATTTCATTCAATCATGCATTAAATTTTGAGAAATAAACGACTAAGATCACAGAGATCTGAGACTTGATCTCAGAGGAATTCTACCAGACGAGACAATGGCTCGGATTCTCGCAGCAATCCCTGATTCTGTCGATGTAGAGAGGCTGATTCCCACCTACAACAAGATAGAAGCAGGTGGGGAAAGCAACATAGCTCCAGAAAAACTTAACAAAGATATGAATATTGCAATAAATATGCTTGATCTGGCAAGTTTCGAGTTCCGAGAAAAGCTGCAAAGATATGGCTCACAAAACCAAAAAACACCAAAGTCTGGGAAGCAAGGCTGATTTAAGGGAGTTTTTGAAGGTGAAAGGAAATAAAAAATAACCTTGACAGAGATCCGAACAAACCATGTAAAAGAGTTTCCTTTCGATGACTTTTTGCTTACATATTAGGACCGCTATGTGTAGCTAATTTTCTTATTAACCCAATCCATTTATTGTAAATAATCACCTTTTGCTACTTATACTTCATTCATTTAAGAATTTGCCCAATTAGGACATGCTAATTGCACTATGATGGCAGTTTTATATTTGCCACCCCCATGATGCCAATCCCAACAAAGTACCACGCCCAATTTTTCTAAAAATGTGGATATGTAAAAATTTCTTATTTTAGGCCCTGGTTATCATTGCACAGACCGCATGGAGAGAGGAACGAACTAAGCAAGTCGTAGTTCCATGTCGTAGTAAATGGAAAAAATGTTTGTTATGCCTAAGATCTTGGAGGTACAGCAGCGGTACTTACGCCAAATTTTGTCTTAATTGCATTTAATGGTAAATTTTCATTCAAACATTTTTCAGTGTGACGTAATATTTTCATAGTTATCAAAAGCCTCGTATTCGCTGCATGTTTACGTTGAACCCTGAATGAGTATGATGTAGGCATTGGGTTTTTGACCCTGTTTACAATGTACAATTTTGAATTGAAAACCGTGCAATAATACCGTTTGATCCTCCCTTTGCACTGAAATGTTTCTGTAGTTGGAATCAAATGAAAAAATATGGAAATGGCACTATTTGAAAACGGCATGAACCGTTCAACTCTTGAAACAGAACAAATTCATTGAAGATTGAAATTGAGGCAGATTTTTCCCTAACCGTTCTCTGAATCCGGAGAGACACAAATCTTTTGTCGTTTTCAAGTGGCGGAGCCCAGTTTTCTAACGGAAAAAGTTTTGATAAAAAAAGGTAAGACTGCTCTATATGGTCAGAAGCTGATTTCAGGGTGCAACTTTCGTATTTACCGACATTGATTGTTAGGTATGCCATCAACCAATATAAAAGTTATGTTGCAAAATACGAGTGACATAATGGTACCATGTTTCTATGTGCATCACGATTAAAACTTTACTGCAGATCTAAAAGTGGATTTTCTGTTTTTATGTAGTGTTTTAATGTTGATTTATCATGATTCTGCAAACGTAAAATTTCAAATTTCAAAACGATGTTAAGGTAAAAATACTAATGCTTACTTCGAACGATATATAAAAAGAATCTTCTGTGACAAATGGGGTCTATTTGAAGGGACGTGGTCCAAAAATTTCCTTTTATCCCCTATTGATGGCTGGCACCACCACTGCCGATTTCAAATCGTGCCATTTTCATTTTCTCCGTCAAGAAAAAATTATAAACGGGACACAAAAGGGGGCATGTTGTTGTCAATGCCACAAAACGGGGCATGCTGTTGTCAATGCCACAAAAGGGGGCATGCTGTTGTCAAACAATGCACACCCTTTTAGGAAAAATTAGTGCAGCATGGCGCACCTCTCACATTTGGTTAAAAAAATGAATTACTGAAACTACTGGCGTACAACCTATGGCGTTCAAAAAACTTTCCTGCAAGGATGATAAAAAAGTCAAAGATAATCATGACGTCCTAATGACAACTGAAAATGGCAGCCATTACTTCGATCTACAAGAAATTCTTCATTGAGGACAAAAGCCAGCAATGATACACATGACTGAACTCTATTAGCTTCTCTTGAACATATAGCCATTCATTATGCAACTAATTGACGTTATTTTTTTTCAGTAAGCTCTTTTGCTCGTCAAGTAAATGCATACTTTCTTTTCCATTAGTCCCATCCTATAGCTAATCAAAAATTCCATTAACAGTTGATATAACACAATATTTCGGAAAGCTTGTTTCTATAAAATTATCAAGGCACATTAATAGTGTCTCAACGTCTGATAGAGCGATGAGATAAGATCTAAAACACTTTTGTATCTACAGTTCACAGTTCAAGGGATGATGTTTCACCATGCACAAATACACTTTTATGACACAAATCAGAAAAAGAGAAAAATTCACTTAAGTTTTTTAACTTTTTTACATTTTCGTTATTCAAATATTTTTAGCATGTCACAGTCTGTTATCAATTAGAAGGTATTCCTTGAGTGTACATGTCACAGTCTGTTATTAATTATTATGATTGAGTTTTTGAAATCCTAATACATTAAAATACAATTTTCAAATACATTTTCAAATCTGTAGGTACAAAGAAACTGACGTTTTCGCAAAAAAGGTTCCAGGGTATTCATGAGCACAAATTCAAAATGGCGGATTTAAGAGTTTTTTGGGAAAACTACTAAAACCATATAAATATAAGCATCAAATTGGGGGACTGGCATAACCTTGCTTGTAGGAACAATGGTTTCTTAGATGATAAATCTAAGTGGTATGGCGTCTTCCAATATATTACCTGGTGAATTAACATGGAGTGACCAAGAAGGCGTTAAAATTGCCACTAAAGCGTATTCATACTTCATATTTGTCTAGCTGACTCCGTTTTATGCATGATTTTTAATACAAGTGGAATATAAAAATATGTAAGCAAAAGCTTAAACTCGCCACGTAAACAAAAAACGACACTCACCATAAATATGAAAATTATGCACTGCCTTTTCTACTTCATCAACCAAATCGAACATCTGACATTGTTTACAAATCGCAGTGAAATCACTTACACCATTCAACGGCATATTTATCCGGCCTACAACAAATCAAACTGTGCAATATTTTGATAAAATGAAGGCCCTGGATCAATAACGATAATCTTAGAAAATAAGAAAATTCTGCTTGCTGTAATAAAATAGCTATTTCCTAAAAAGAACCCCAATCCCCTCTCGGTGGTTGCATCACGGACCAAATATTTCCCTGTAAACAATAAACAATAAACAAATTAGCGTTAGGTAAGGGCTAGTTTTTAGTGACGTTGATAAGGGTTAGTTTCTAGTGAAACTGGCAGGGACATTTACCGCAAGAATGAGCATATGAAACCGAAAGTATCTGAAAATGTGCACAAATAATTCTCAGTTTCGATCTAACGTCTCAAATGGAAAAATATAGATCGAGTTGTAACTAAAATCTGGATAATGGGAGAGTCAAGAAACAAAAGGATGGGGATAAAAGGACTCAAAGGAGCAAACTGATCCAAGAATGATTTGAAGTTGCTTTCGCGCATATGAAAACCCAGCATCAGCGGAATTAGAGACCTGACTTGCAAAACAAAATTCTGAGAGGTATTTTTCAAGAAAAAACCAAAAACAAGCTTAAGACCGAGTTGCACCATGCCTATCTTCTTTATTAATTTATGCTGTAACGATTAATACCCCCATATAACTCTACAAAGCTCCCACAAAGCATCTATAAAGTTTTGTATAACTTCTAAGCGAATGTTCCGTGAGGAGCCAGCAGTTTTGTTGCCTTTCTTCAGAAAATACTACACGCACCCTGCGGTAAATAGCACGTAAGGCTTAATTGTGCGTAATAGCACGTAAAATAAGAGACCATGCTCATCTGCCTGTCGGTAGATTGTCCCTGCTATTACCCTCAAATGGCATTCAGAAAACTCAATGGTTTCTTGGCAAGCACTTGGCATTAAAATTAGCTGCTATAGCAAGTAGAGGCAATGCAATACATACTACTCACCCAAGTAGAGGTAGTTAATGAAGTTGCGGAAAGCTGCAGAGCTAACCTGAAAAAAAATCGATGGTGAAAAGTTAAGGAAAGTGTCCATGTAGCAGAAAATGTTACATCGATACCCTAAATTTCATCCACTCACAAATACGATCTTGAAATCAATCCAGGCCTTATTTCTCAACATTCTCACAACTATAAAGAAAAAAGACTACAGTGAATACAAGAAGTTTGTTGCTGTATTTCCGTCTACAATATTTTAGCAATACTAATACTTACTACTTTACCGAGCACTCAAATAAGTCCACCAAAGACAGTATGGTCTGTCTATAGAAGATTTTCTTAGAAAAAGACTTGAGCTTTGTGTGGAAATTTGTAGAAACCTTTTTACTGCCTGTCCTATGTAGAAACCCTCTAAACACGTTTCAAAAGAAAGGATTATAAAGTAACAACAAAAACGAAACTATTTATGCAGAAGGGGCTCTTTAATGAAGCATAAATTTGAATAAGATCGTTGGAACGATACATACAAGACTCTTTTTCAATGTGATTAGGGAGCGATCCCTCCATTTGTTTTTAAATTTATTGGCAAAATATGGACATCTTGCAGTCAATATGATCTTGTGAGCAATGATTGTCTCCTCCCCAATGGTAAAGCACACATCTTCAAATGATGCTCTATCTGTGCAACTTTGGAAAAACAGAGAAAAAAAATAAGCCTGTGAAAATGTATGAGCAGAAATCGAGACAAGCAAAACTAAAGAAGCCATATTCTAGTTTTCATGTAGCATGGGTATTAAACTATTACACCAAAGGGATTTTGAAGGCCTCAATATTTAGATTTTCCTTTCTTAACTTGAAGCAAAAACTTTTATGACATTATGGGAAGAGCCATTGAGAGCTATGGCCACTAATTGAGAGCAAAGTCAATTTGTGAAGACATGTGAACCACTTTTCATGCTACCCTTAGAGATCATCTTGTTCTTTTTGGAGAAAACTAGAACTAAACTTGATAGCATTAAATGCAAGTGCCTGTCCTGTCATCACACATTTTAGAAGAGCATAATTGTTTCTAGGACAAATTCGGTGACAGAGCAAGTTAGCAAGTAAAAAAACTATAGAAAATTATTAAGAGACAGTAAAATTGCGTACCCTCTGAGGAACTCATGATACTGATCTCTTTTCATACATTCACTAGTTATAGCTTTGAATTCTTTGAGCATCTTTTTTATTTTCTGTGTTAAAGCTGCATAGAGACATCTTTCTCCATCAAAGGTGTTTGCTTCACATCTTGCTCCTTGAAGGTTGAAATATAACACATTTTAAAAAGGGTAAAATGCTGTTAAATTCCTTGAAATTTTGCTTCCTTTTTTAAACAAAATAATGTTAGCATGACAATGCAACTTCATCTATTAGAGGCACTTGTTGAACAAAGATACGTAATTAATCTGGTTGGAGCATACATTTCCTGGCTTCCTTAGATCAATTCCTCAAACCATGATTAAGATAGCTGAAATATTTATTACTTTATGGCTATATCATATCATATAATATTTCTCACCATTTCTCAGCATGAATTCAACAAGGCTTTCATGCCCACACAGGCAAGCATAGTACCTTGGGAAAAAACTTGGCATAAGAAACCAAAGTACTAAAAGCTATTTAAAGCAATGGGATTTTAAAAAAGACAGGTTTGAGTTGCTATCTTTTGGTCTAAGCATTACATTAGAGGGGCTGCGGCATGTGCAAGGCTGCCAGATCATGTTGCTGCCTAGATACTTGTTGATGTGGTGAATCCAGCACATCAACTGAAGTGAGATTCAGTAGGACAGAGAATGGCAGTGCATCTACAGACTTTGATATATTTTCTTACTGGGGAACAATTTTTTTGCAGCCAATAACATAAAGACTGATTTCAGACATATATTTTGACATTTCATTTATATGCATTTCATTGATCAGTCCACAAAGGAGCAGTTGCAGCAGGAACACGAGAAGAGAACATCATAACTAGATGTTTGGCCAAAGGAACAGAAACATTACTAAAAGCAAATTGTTACAGGATCATTCAGACTTGGAAGCATTGCTGCAAACTTCAAGATTTCATGGTCTGCCATTTTGTCAGATACACTTCTTTGACAATTTTTAAACCAAATCCCCCTTACTTGCAGTCTGTCCTAAAATGCTTCTTCTGCCAATAATGTAAAGACTAATTTTATATGCATATTTTGACAAAATTTCAATGATCAGTCTATGAAGGAGCAAATTTATAATGCAGTAGAAACATTATCGAAGAGAATGTCATAACAGAAAACATTAAAGCCAATTGTTACAGGATGATTTAGACTTGGCAGTAATGCTGCAAACTTCGAGATTTCATGGTCTGCCATTTTTCAGATACTCTACTTTGACAATTGGAAAACAAAATTGTCTAAGGTACAATAAGGAATTGTCTAATACCCGATTTGTCTACTTATCCGATTGTCATGATGTAACAAGAACTGGTTAAATGTGTTAAGCATCATGTCTCTTTTCTTTGTTGTGGTACTTATTATTAAGAACTAGAATATGCCTCAAATGTCTTTGCATCATGATTAATTCATATATTTATTATGATTCAGTAATTCAGACATAAGTGAATTGGTCCATACATAAAAAGTGCTAGGGAAAAAGAAAAAACTGTCAAAACGACCAGGCTCATCCAATTTCTGATTGTCACAATCTCAATTGCAGTCTTGAGGCAAATTCCATTACTGTTCATGGGGATTTTGAAAAACGATTAAAGAATTTTGAGTGTCTTTATGTTGGTAACAAACAGAAAATCAATGACAGAGATTTCTGAATTATCGAGAAAAACAAAAGCAACCTTTTGCTTAATAAGAAATTGATGAATACAATGGCTTAAAACTTACAATGGTGTACTGTCCCATTCATCTCTTATATTCAGCTCAACGCCTTTCTCTTCTGCCAAAGTCCTGCATTGATAAGAGGGTTCTGTAAGGCATAACATTAAAGATAGCAGAATCCACTCAAAGTTTGAGGGTCTTCTATTTCTCTCTAAAAGGGGGATTTTTTCAAAATTTCTGAAGAGGAGGCTTCTTTAAAAGTTAGGGAGCTTGACCTTGTTAGGAGAGCATGACCTTGGGAATAAAGTACACTTTTATTTCTACATACTGTTTTCAAAAACATACAAAACTGTAGGCTTTTAGTGATAGAGGGTGTTGCCAGGGGTGTAGAGCTAGTGGGCTCATGGGGGCTTTGCTCCCTTGTTGATGCCAAAAATTTTCAAATTTCTACTTTTCCTATTGTTTTTTGCAACATTTTGTGCAAAAGCCCCCCTTGTTATTTTGACAGCACTACACCACTAGGTGTTGTCTCCTCGATTAGTTTAGCTATTGAGGTAACTCCACCATTAAAGCAATTATTTTGCAGGAAATATTCGCTGTTCCTTAGTTTCTCTATTGTATTATAGTATTTGTAGTTCCATTATTTAAATCAATCTCTGAAATTATTGTATGTAGTGGAATTTTAAAATGAAATGAAATTGAAACTGAAGCTGTGAAGAAACGTTCTTCGTTTCAGTTGTTAGAAAGGCTGAGTGTATGCAAATATCAAACATTTTGTGGTTTATTTTGATCTTGGTACAATAGCAATATTCACTTTATGCAACTGCTAATTTATTTAGATTGAATCTAAGTCTTTATTAAATGGGTGGATGGGAAGATTCAACTGTGCCTGTGTTACAAAGCTTCTTTAGGTTAAGAGTTCACAAGATTTCTTTATTGCATTGTAAAATCAATGGATTGTCGTAACCAAAAATAGGCACTGAAATTCCAGCAAATTATGGAGGAAAGCGCAAAATGTTGTTGAATACGCTCTAATGTTGCACATATGACGAATAATTGTTGATTAAATGGTGATCAATTGCATTGCATAGATAGGCCACTAAAAAAGAATAAAAAACAGAATAAGGCCAAATTCAAATTCAAAAAACTGCTCATGCTTACTTAATTCTCTCAAGATCCCCTATTCTTGCAGCCTTGAACAAATCTTTAGTAAAATATTCAGCTTCTTCCATTTTTATTTATATTTGATCACGTAAACAACTTTCTTCAGTGATGAGTGGGGCAGCCACAGAAGTTCCTGCAGATTTTTGTGTTTACAACCAATTTTCCTTCGCAGCGTTGTCGTTGAATTTTCTCCTTCGCAGGAACGCATAGGATCCAAATTAGTGTAATTTAGTGCGGTTCAAGAACAAGGGGAGAAGAATGGTGAGGGTAAAGTGAACAAAAATAATACAGGAAGTAGAAAAATGAGGAGGAGGAGGAAATGAAAAAAGAACAAAGAGGAGAATGATTAAAAGGAGATAGCGTCGCTAAGTATGAATTTGAAGAAAGAGTGCGAGAAAAAGAAAAAGGGAAAAGAAGAGATAGAGGAGTGAAGAAGGAAAATTAGAATAAGAAGAAGAAGCAGATGAAGATGCGGAAGTAGAAGAAGAAGAAGAAGTAGACGAAGATGCGGAAGGAGAAGAAGAAGAAGAAGCAGATGAAGATGTGCAAGGAGAAGAAGAAGAGGAGGGATATGAAGATGCAGAAGGAGAAGAAGAAGAAAAAGAAGAAGCAGAAGGAGAAAAACAAGAGGAAGAGGAGGCAGCAATGGATGAAGAAGAAAGAGAAGTAAAGAAGAGAAGATAAATAAAAACATGGGGTAAAGGGGGAGAGAAAGAAGAAAAAGAAGAACAGCTATTACCGTCTGCTATACTGAACAAACAGTTCCTAGATTTTGAATCTTTTCTGCTCTTGGAATGCATAGTTTCCAGGAACGCAAAAAGGGACTGGGTGAGAGGTGCACTATTAATTGATGCTTCGCATTTGTCTTTACAGTTGTGTCTGTATGATTTAGAGAAATTTAACATCCACAACCCTCTAGCTTTCATTTAGCGTTTTCTTTAAAAACTCTATCGCGCTTCTTTTGAAGACCAACCTCTCCTCCGGCCCACAAACATATACAAACACAGGTACATTCTGAGGTGCAGGAAAACTGTTGGAAATGCGTCAAATTTTCAGAGATTAGTCTCAAGGCATCTAAAAGCTCCTTGGTGTTCTTCAAAAAAAATAAAGAGATGTAATAATCAGCAAACCCTCACAAGACTACTAAGTGTTATTCTTATCAACGTTTGCATAAATAACAGTCTAAAATCATCCCACAACAGCTGCAAAAATTCGTGGTTCAAAAAAAATTTATGAATTTTATGTTGTTTTGTTCAAACACATATTTGATGCTTTATAACAGTATGCTTTTAATGATTTCTCTCACCATTCCAGCCCATCTTCTTCTCTTCCTTTTGTTCGTCTTCTTTCCCTTCTCTTTACTTATTTTGTCTCTCCTTCTCCTTATCTTTTCTTCTCCTTTTTTCTTGCCTCATTCTTCTTCTTCCATCTCATTCATCTCTTCCTCTTCTACTTTTTCTCTTCTTTTCTTCTGTTTTTCATCTTTCTTATCCTACTCCTTAGGTTCTTCTCTTGCAAAAGTGACCATATAGCTGTTAAGAGGAAAACTGGCAGGCGTTTATTTTAAATTAATGCAGGGAAAGATCAAAACCGACCAATGTATTGCCTGTGTTGCAGACCATATGGCAGATTGGAATGCGTAGCAGAAATCTTTACAAGAGTAATCCTGAATGACAATGTCGCAGGAGGCGATTTTCCATGCGACAATTGAATGTGGCGAAAAGGAATGCTTGATCTCCAATTGCTTTTGCTTTGTGCGTTTAAAAGCATTTTCTGAATGAATTTAAAATGGCTGCCGTGAATTTGAGATGTCTACTTCTACTGCAAAAGCTCGTATGTATCGCTATTTGCTTTGGAAGAAAAGAAAACTATCGTTGATAAGAAGAAAAGATAAACTCAGAAAGATATATGCTGAACAACTCTGGTCAGAGATCTAAGGTTTCATGACCATGAAAATTAAGAGAGAGTGCGGGAAAATAACCGACCCGAGCGAGGCTCGAACTCACGACCCCTGACTTTGTGCGTCAAGTGCTCTACCGCTGAGCTATCGGGTCGTAATCAGGTGACCATGAAAAGTTTTTTCAAATAATTTCACATGTCTACAACAAGTCATGAGCTGTCTTTGTGTGTGTTGTTATTCGTATCCAACAAGCATCGAGATTTTCTCAAAGTTCCAATAAAAGCTTTTTCCGCCTAGTGGAATTTTGGCTTTACACAGGCAGAGATGCAAGTGCCAAAAATATCCTCTAGATCTCTCATCATTATCAACACATTTTAGTTTATGAGTCTTGATAGTTGAGAGAAAGTCTGTATTAAAGCATTTCACCAATGGTGTGCGAATGTCTAAAAGTGTCGATTTTCTTAGTTTAGGACAGGAAGGTGACTGCTTCTGCAAAGAACCAAATTTCTTTCATCCAGCTGTTTAATTTACAAACTGCAAGTAGCTCCATGAATTGTTTTAATGTTTGTATTGGAAGAGGAACGGATTTCCTATGACTATAGCTCAGATTCTCTGACCAATGCATTTGTTGGAATTCTAAAATGAAGTTATAGCCAGGCATGGATTGAAGATTTTTAAGAAACAATCGTGATACCACAAGAAAAAAAAAGTTTAAAGCTGTCATCCTTAATAAGACACTCTGGACAGGACACATTTTTAATGTGTCGATCTGTTATGACAAAACTTTACTTTCAATTTTCAGTTCCACCATTCTGGCAAATTAAAAATTCACATTCACTTGTCTGAACATATTAATTAGTTTTGTACACACGGGCAGGTTTTTGAACACGTTAATCAATTCTAACAAAATATTTTAAAAATGTTTTCCTTTTTTTAAGAAAATAGTGAGATCAGCTGCATTGTTCTGTCAGAGTTAGCAGCCCACAATAACCTTCGAAATTTTGACTCTGCGATAGCTTAATTTTCCTGTATAGTAAAGAACAACTTTTGTATGGAGAAGCGTCTTAAGGTGGGAGATAATTTTAGAAAGTAAGAGTAATTGGAAGAAACGAAGCAATTGCTAAACAAACCTAAATCTAATGCTAGCTAAGCTCTGCCAGGAGATATGGCAATGAATGCAGCCTAGGTAAACAAAGCTTCCAAATAATTGACATCTTGCAAACAATAGGCAGCAAACCAGCAACCCTACTATTTGCGGAAATGTTGACTTACTAAATGATAGCACAGCGTGTTTTTAGCATACCAGTATAACATAACACCCTAAGATTCTTTATCAAAATCAAAATGAATTTGCATGCCATGATTATTTGCTGAAACCAAACAATAGTATACATATTGCGCAAACTAAGAGCTTGATCATGAATAAAGTTTGCAAAGCATTAATGATTAGGTCAAGTTTCGGAACGATATACAAAGGAAATTCGCAAAGGTCGAACAGATAGCAGCGCACAGGAATGAAGCTGCATTTTGTGCGTTTCAAAGGAAACCAAAATAACTCACAAATACAAGACACCATAATCAAGCTAATATTTTATGAAAATTGTTTACCGGTATTATGATGTGAATGGTAATAAACAAAATTTAGGATACTTTTCGTAGACAACAACTTATCCCATTCAGTGGGAACATAGAGAAGGAGTGTGAAGTAAATACCAGATTTACGTCCTAACTCTAGCACGAGAAAATTTGCAACCGGTCGATAAACAAATATTACGGCAACTAAGCATAAGGATCCTTCAAGAATCTCTTGCCACAAGGAAAGAAGTAGGCAGCAGCAAGGAGCCTATCAAATGCTTGCAAAAAGAGTATTAAAAAGGTTGAAAAAATTACCAGGACAGTTTGAAAAGAAAGGAGTATGAAATTCTAAATGTTTCATGCTATAGAAACATTATCAAAATTTACCAGATAAATGCTTGGCAGCAATAATTTTAATTAAGTCACAGAGTCAGTTGAAATTTGTGTAAGCGTTTTTATAAATTTAGCGAGCCGTACTTGACAATAGTAACAAAATCTAGTACTTTTTTCCCAAGATATCAATTAGATATTGTATGTATCACTTATAAAAAACACGTGTTGTATCTTCTTTTTTAACACTTGAGTTTCAATATCCGAGTACTGAATAATTTGTACCCATTGAAAAAAACCCTAGATTTAGCAAATATTGGGAAAATAGCGATCCAAAACCAAAAATAGTAAAAATGAACGAAAAGAGCTTCGTACGCCAATTTTTTATAAAATGAAAAGCGCACGGAGGGGAGAAAATGAAACTAAATTCTGGGCCTAGATAGTTTGGGTACCTCTTCAAGTTCACAATCTGTCATTTTTCCTTCCCTAATTCAAGAAATATAGAAAATTAGTAAGAACTTAAAAAAAGTTTACAAATTTAAGTCTTTGATTTAAAGAATTCTAATTATTTTGAAGGTTTTTTTGTTTTGTAGCCAAAAAACTTGAAAAATGAAACCTCCCACAAAACTCTTTAACAATTTGCACAGATTTTGAAGTAGTACTAAATCTCTTTTAAACAACCTTTCTTAAAGGCACGATGTCCCGTCAGTCACCCGTTCAGAGCAAGCATTGGGCTTTGCAGCGCATTCATGATGGAGAATTAGCCGAACGTTGCCCAGGGGGACCGCGCACCAGTCTAAATGTGGGAGGGCTGAAAAGGGCGTGACCGAAATTTTTTTGAGGCTACACCCTCTAGAACGCCTCTTTTAGAAAATACTGGCTTATTTCTACTGGGGTTTTATAAACAATCTGGTTCAGGGAAGATATCAATAGTTATAAAAATAGATGAAATTTGATTGGGGGTAATAAAACATCAAGAAAAACACCTAGAAAATGAACTGCTACTTCTTAGGAGTATACTATTCAATGTTGCGTTAGACCATAGTTAGAGTAAACTTTCAAAAACGTTTTCTAACGTATTATTGCAAAAAAGTGGAGGGGCTATAGCCTCTGCTAGCCCAATGGCTGCGCGGTGTCTGACGTTGCCGATTCTATGCGTAACAATAGAGTCGAAACATAGTGCCTTTTAGTAGAAAAGTAACTAGCATCATTACCAACCCAAAAGGTCAAACTTAAAGAAAACTCTTTATTAATGCAAAATACTTCATTTCAAAATTATGATAAATCTAAAAATTTGACGCTATTTTAAAATGACTATTTAATTTTTTAAGATATTCACAATTTTTTACAATTTTAAAACAGTATCAAGAAAATACA